CGACAGCAACATCGACAGCAACATCGACAGCAACATCGACAGCAACATCGACAGCAACATCGACAGCAACATCGACAGCAACATCGACAGCAACACTCATAGCGTAACTTCGTGTGACCAGATGCGTCCCATTATTTCGATACACTACGAGTATCCGAGTGCTCATCATTCCACTTCTCGATCAACATGTGTCCCATTATCATCTGTATGCGCCTCACAAGCCCAAATCTGACCCAATAATTACACGACTGACGGGTTCGACGCTGATGGAGCTACGTGCGCTCGGCATCACCTTACTGTGAAGCAATCTGCATGGACAGCGATATAGCACTGTTTGATTCTGAAACATGCACTGTTGGCACCGAAGATTGCTCGATCCAAAGCGAGCGAAACAAGGGCAAGCAAAGACTGCCACTGAGTCACAAAGCGTCGTCTAGCACTCACGTATGCACAACTAGTTCGAGAGCACACGCCAATTCCAAGCCAATTCCACGCATACCATATCCAGGTCGAAACCCCAAGAAAGTCAGAGAAGCCAGAGCCAAACCAAGTCTCCTTCTAAAGACGTGCATACTCCTCCCGAAAACGCCTACCAGACCCCGAGACCCGAATCCAAATCCAAACACCAGCCTTTCCCAGACACCAAAAACCCATGTCTTCCCCCTTTACCCCCCGATAAAGCACATATCCCAACTCCCAAACCAACCACCACCTTCCTCCTCCATGCTCCCTATCCCCACACATCACGCCCCACGGTCCGCATCCCCATCCCCCATATCCATAGCCCACAACTTCGCCGTCTCCTTCTCATAACTCCACTCCTCAACCCGCGGAATCGGCGGCAAATCCTGATCCACCCATCCGCGAAACGGCACTCCGTCGAACGTCTTCTGCGCGTAGGGGCGGGCACTATATGGGCTGTATCTTGAGTATTAGCGGGTATATATGTATCATACAAACATGCAGCAGCAGTAGCAGCAGAAGCCCAACGTACCGTCCCATTCCTTGCCCTCGGCCTTGGCCTCGGCTTCGATTTCCACGCCCGCGACTGAACCATGGCCGCATACTGGTCAATTCGCGCGGTCCCTCTGGGTCGTCGAGGTCGATGTATGTGCTTGTAATACGCCGGGTGTTGTAATGTGCTGGGTAGCGAGGTTGTTTTGCGATGCGGTAGGGATTGTGGGGGTTGTATGATGGGTTGCGTGGACCGCGGGGGGCGTGGGTGGGAGGGTTGTTGTTGATGTTGTAGGGACCTTCGTGGTGATTGTTCTGGTAGGTATCATGGTGGTTGTGGTGGTGGTCATGCTGGTGGGCCTCACGGTCGACAATCTCGCCGTCCTCCATATCCTCTTCTACATCCATGCTCTCTGTGCTATGATTGATAGCAGCAGAACCAGAACTAGCACCAGCACCAGCACCAGCAGTGCAATTCCCAGGCGCATGCCGCGACGCAAGCAGGCCTTCACCACCAGAGAACATGACACTTTCCGCACCGTCATCCGGGATCGCACCACTGGTAGCAGGAGAAGACAAAACACTGTCGCGGCGCCTGCTTGGAGATATGAGGGTTGCATTGTGCGCGGGTGGAGCCTGTATAGGAGGTGGATTGGTATGTGTGACCTGAGCAGCAGAGGGGGGCGAGGGAGGAGTGGACGTGTTGAGATGTGATTCTGTGGTCATGCTCCCACGCATACCATGTCCGCGCCGCTGTGCGAAGAGTGGGTGTGCGTGTGTATGTGTATGTGCCGGCATGGGGACGCGCTCTGGCTTCATCGTGCTGAGGGACTGGGACGCCGACTCAAGCAGAGCGAGGGCGGTGGCAACGGCGGCATCATCATCGGTGGTAGTGAGAGGAGCGAGATTGGATGGACGTTGCTGGTGAGGATGGCTCTGGCGGTCCTGATGGGCGGCGGAGTTGGAGAGGTACGTGTGTGCAGGAAAACGCAAGGGGCTGACACTGACACTGGCGCTGGCATTCAGCGACATTGTTTGGCGTGTGGTGTTTTGGTGGGTGGCTTGAGAGGTGGTGTATGGGTGGATCTGAATCTGAATGTGAGATGCAAACCGAAGTTGAATAAAAGTGACGATATGCAGAGATAGACTGAGATTTGTCAGATTAGGATCGCGTAAGTACCGAATTCAGGAATCCAATCTTGTCATTTCTAGACGAGGAGAAGGTGACTACAAACCGAAAGTATAGGTCGAGTCAGTGAGTTCGAGTATTGAAAACAGACGATGGCAGACGTTCTTGGATGGTAGGTCAACAAGAGTAAGAAGAGAAAAACGAGCAAAGAAAAAGAATTCAGACGATGCGATGCGAATCTCGAAGAAAATATAGGCCAATGTATCATTGCGCTGAATGCATTGTCCGGGTATGTGAGTCTGGCTGTCCGGGTATGACTTGGGTTGTCAGGGTAAGACTTGCTATTATCAGTGGAAACAGTCGAATTGCATAGGGCAGGACTTTTGAATGAGATTGTAGCTCTGGAGTGACTTCAAGGGACTCCCGGCTAAGACTTTGAGGGCAGGAGAGAGCTAGTGAATGTAATTCAGTCGATGAACACGTCATACTATACTGCGCTTAGACATGTTACGTCTGCGTTATCTTATTGCATCCTACCCGGCAGTGACTTCAGCTACGGGTTCTGTCAGGAAGATTCAATAATCACAATGAAACCAGAACACGACGCCGTGAAAATCAACATGCCTGGACATGTAAACTCGTCCTCTAGACTCGAAAGTCTCGATTGTTTGGATACGTACGACATGTATCCTTCACCTCACGTCATGATCCTGAAAATATGCATTCAGATCAGATCAGAGTCTCCAAATTTTCAATGCGCTGTCGGGAAGGCGTGCCGACGATGCGTGCGATCGTTCACTCTCGCTTTCACTTTCACTCTCGGTGTCCATGCTGGTGTTCATGTTGGTGTCCATGCTGGTTTCCATGTCAGTGTTCATGTCGGTATACCTGTCGGTGTCGTTGGCTTCTGAATCGTCTTCGGAACTCGACTCTGAGTCGGAGCCTGAGCTTGAGTCCGAGTCTGAACTTGAGCTCGATGTATCGTGCGCGCAGTACGGCGCATTGTAGTCCGGCGCCGACGCTGTCGCCACCACATTCCCACACGTATGCACCAACACCGACGTCACGGGATCTGTACACATCCATCAGCATATACCCTCACTAACAACTCAAACCGCGCCCGTAAATCGCACTACCACAGCCGCCCAGCATGAGAAGAAAACTCACCATCATGTGCCTTCCACGCTGCTATCGGCAATATCTCACCCTCAGTTACATGCGGATCCTTCCACACCCGTACCCGCCCATCCGTGCCACCCGCCCAGACCTCCCACCCAGCACCCACAGCCACAACGTCAAAGCCTAGTTTCTGATTCGTCTGCGCAGCACGTCCGCTGAGCCAACTCAGGCGCTTTCCGTTGCGAATATCGTAGATGAGGGCGATGTCGCTGCGACGGCAGCCGGCTAGGAAGTAGTTTCCGCAAGGGCTCCATGAGACTTGCGTTATGCCGCCACCAGGGTGAGGTGAAGTGGTTGAGGAGGAGGAAGCAAAAGAAGAAGAGGAGAAGGAGGGGTTGATATTGAATGTCGTGATGACCTCGCCGCGGCCCTCGGATGCGTACAGTCCGATGTTGTTGAGCAGGGTGCCAGCGGCCAGGGTGGACGTCGACGGGCATATGGCGAGGCTGGAGATAATGCCGCGCATGCCGCGGCGGCCGGAGATTGCGGCGCGACTTTTAGCGGGCGCTGTACGGTGCGATTCAAGGGGCAGGCTGCCTGGGACGGCGAGATCATGAACTGTGATGAGAGAGGTGCAGCCAGAGATGAAGAGGGATGGAGAGGAAGGAGAGAAGAGGAGAGCGTGCGGGGAGCGATAGGCCTCGTTAGCCGGAGAGATGATCTTGTATGTTGCAATCGGGGGGGCATTGAAGAGGGCGTTAGTGAGGCGCAAGGGTAGGTCGAGTGGGGAGGAAAGGACAAGGCATGTGGAGGTGTCGAAGAGGCTGAAGAGAGAATAGGGTGTGAAGGCGTGGATTTGTACCGGTAGCTGGTACGTGAAGTATGGTGATAGATTGATGTGACTGGGAGATTCGAGGAGGTTTGGTGGTCTGGTATTTGGTCAGTGATTATACGCTGGACAGGAGTTGTAAGAGGCATACAAGACGAATGTTGACAGACGATTTCTGCGACCGTCAGAGCTGGTCAAAACACAAGTCCCATCCGTAGACCTGCATTCAAGTCAGACATTGTGGTTCTTGCAGTAGAGGGTGTTTTACGATTTCCTTTCAGTTACCATTGAGCGCGGCCAATGCCTCCATCGTTCGTATCTCCATTGGAGGCGACTGACGATGCAATACATATCGGATTGAAAGCAGTCGAAGCTTCGTCCATGGGTGTTTCCAAGCCAACCTGCGCAATGCTATCTGCCATACTCGATTGTGTCGAAATTTCACATCTTCGTTGCAAACAGAGAGATGTTGTAAGCGAAACAAAACAAACGAAGCTCTCCCACACAATCTCGCTAGCCCCACTAAAACTTTCTCGTAGGGCTGAACTGACCCACAGCTATCAGGAGCTATGACCACCTCCCTCCAAAACTACAAACCACTAGTCATTAACATCACCACTTTCTTCGCTCAACACAATGACCTCTCCACCCTCCCTCTCCACGCCAAATACCCCAATCCTCCACTCCCCATATGTACTCTCTCTCCTCGTAAGTCGTGCTCTCCCCAAATTCTCCCTTCCACTCATTCGCTCCCAAAACTGACACACCTCTCCACCAGTCCGGCGGTCTCGCTGGCACCACCGTCGACCTCTCCCTATACCCACTCGACACGCTCAAAACGCGCCTCCAGTCTACACAGGGCTTCCTCGCTTCGGGCGGCTTCAACGGCATATACCGGGGCGTGGGCTCCGCGCTGATCGGCTCTGCGCCGGGCGCCGCGCTATTCTTCGTCACCTACGACAGCGTCAAAGCGACGCTGCTGCCACTGACACAGACACAAACACAGACACGAGACAGACACACCAATGCGCTCGTGCACATGTTTGCAGCGAGTGTGGGCGAAGTAGCAGCGTGTGCGGTACGCGTGCCGACGGAGGTGGTCAAGCAGCGGGCGCAGGCCGGGCTACACGCGAGCAGTCTGGACGCGCTGCGGCATATACTGCGGCTGCGGGGCACGGCCGGGTTTGCGCGTATGTGGGCAGAGCTGTATCGTGGGTGGGGCATTACGGTGATGCGAGAGGTGCCGTTCACAGTGATTCAGTTTCCGCTATGGGAGGCGCTGAAGAGCTGGGGTGCGGTGCGGAATGGGGGGAGGAAGGTTGGTGCCGGAGAGAGTGCTGTGTATGGGAGTGTGAGTGGTGCAGTGGCGGCTGGTGTGACGACGCCGTTGGATGTACTGAAGACGCGGATGATGTTGGCGCGGGAGAAGGTTGGAACGAGGGAGTTGCTGAAGGCGATATTGAGGGAAAGTGGACCCAGGGCGTTCTTTGCGGGGATAGGGCCGCGGGTTTTCTGGATCAGTGCGGGAGGTGCCATATTCTTAGGGAGTTATCAGTGGGCGGCAAATGCGCTTGGTGGAGTGGAGGAGGAGGATGCGCCGTGAGGAGAGGAAGAGTCGGGGTAACGACGTGGAGATCAAGTATAGATTACTGATAGACACTGCATACTCATAGTATCCAATATCTGTACGGTCTTGACGTACTACTTTTCACTACTCCGACTCCCCGCCTCGCTCAGCGTCATTGCACTCGCCGCATCCCCCTCTGTCATCTCGAGAGTCCTCGCAGTCGGTGCATGCTGAATCTCCTTCCTTCCATTCGCCTTATAGTACAACAAGACATCACCTCCACCGCGCCACACATGGGTCCGCATAGTGGCAAGCGTCATCGTCATCGGAACGAGCTTATCATTACAGTACAGCTCGAGATAATCCTCGGGCTTGAGTGCATCCTCAGGGGGGTTTTCTTCTGCAGGTTCGATGCGCTCAGCGACATACGCAAGGATCTTGCGCGCGCGGAGCATACGATTTGCATTTAGACGGTTATTGCTGCGATAGATCAGTATGAAAACATAAGGCTGGACCGGCTTGACATACCCATCAGTGGCGACGACCGGGAGGAGGTTTTGATATGGCTCGAGGACGAAGGATACCTTAACAATGTCTTTGAAGGGTATGGTGTTCTGATTCTGTTAGTCCATATTCTTGGAGAAAGACAGATACATACTCGGAGTAAGACTTCCCCTAGCCACATCGGCGCAACTTTCTCAATCAAATCTGCCTGCTGTGCCAAAGTGCCGACTTGGCCTTCGAAAAGATCAGCAACACCGCCCGAGTCAGGCCGATCCTCTTGTATCAAGATTGTTGTGTTGAGCGGCGGCTTCAATACCGGTGTATCATTTGGCAGACTCGGTGTGATACCAGTCGTTAAGTTCTCGGGATGCTCCGGATTCTGTAACTGATCCTCATATCCATGCTTGATTCTCTGCAGCACACCATAGAAACTGTCCTCTACAATACGATCATCCGTCTTAGTCGATTGAGAATCAGAGTCTTCCTTTTTCTCTTCGACCACTACTGGCTTGTCTACTTCGTTCGTCCTCTCCTTCCCAAGCTTTTTCATACCGAAAGCCATGCGAAATTTCTTGCCCCCAAAAAAACCCTCTTTGCCGGGGCCTTTCTCGTCAGATGGTGAGATTGGAGTCTGCGTCTCGTCGTGGCTCTCCGAGACCCTTTCATGCGCTGCACCCCCGGGTGTCGTAGGAGTTTTTGATGTGTTCGCCACAGAGAAATAGTCTGCGCCGCCTTTATCGGCTGAAGTCCGCGGCTGGCTTTGACCGGTGATGCTTTTCTCAAGTGGAGCGCTCTCTTCCAAGGTCGGTGATAGTGCGCCGCCAGATTGCCCATTCAGTGCAGCAAGGCTATTGGACGTCACAACTGGATGCAGACCAGGTGTGGCAATGCCAATGTGGAGGCCAGGGGTCGTGACTAGTAATTTCCCATTCGCTCGCAGTGTAGATCCTGAGCCTGGCCCAAGACCTCCGTGATTCCAACTCGTCAACCCAGCATTGGGTAGCGCAATACTTGGTGGCGCATTGGGTCGCTGGATTGATGGCTGACCAGCGCGGACAACCGACTGTCGTATGACTTCATCTCTCTTGATCTCCTCGTCAATGAGGTTAGAGAAAAGATATCGGAGGACCCATTTGCCAAGATTAACTATGCGGCGTTAACCTATATCCTTCAATCGTCAGGCTGACGGAAGTGGTACTCACTCCTCTGGTCTTCCCGGAATTCAATATCCTCTTCCATAGGCACTTCATCTGCGTACATTTCCGCATCAAAACAGTAATTTTCTTCTAGTGCACATGTCAGGCTTCCTGTCCGAGTGTCGACTGCGCACCAATGCGCCACGGACTCAGTGGTGTTGACCTCCGGTAATACGTCTTCTAGATGGCGTTTGCCGAATGATTTGACCGGAACACACTGGCGTACTGTAAGTATCTCGCCCCGCCATTTTGTGATTGAAACTCACATGTAAAAGGTCCCAGAGCATCACCTCGCCAGCAGTATCTAACGTGAGCACTCGTCTTCGATCGTTCAGCAAGACATGCTTGATAAGACCGTTTTGTCCTTCGATAGAATCATCCGGAAGATTTCGAATAGGAACAATGCTTATGACTTCAGGCTCTGCTATCATATCAGATGTTCTCCGTATCATAGGTTGGGACTGAGAGAGTGAGTCCGAATCCTTGAGTGGGCCCTGGAACACCGGAAAGGGGGCTGTATTGGATATGCGCAGCATTGAGTGAATTGGGAGTTTCTCGGCTTCCGATGTTTCAACATTTGTGGTTGGCGGAGAAGGATACCGCGACCTCGTGGTACCTACACTCATACGATGGAACCTATAGTTGTCCGGTAGCGCAATCTCGGCCTCAGTGTTTACGTCTTTGTACCGGTTGATGCTCGAGCTTGAAGTCGCCGTCCAGAGGTAATCGCCTGCACTGATGACCTTGTTAACACCATTATGCTCCTGACATACAGCAACAGAGAGCCCTTGATCCATTTCTGTACAATTACGGACATCTGTTTTGGCGACCAGACCTGAGCGATCACTCGAGTAGAAGACCGAGAGTTGAGGATGGTTGGAGTAGAGGGACCAGACACTATCATGGTGCATCGTCAACGTGTACATGCATCTTCCTGCAGTCATCGACCAGACCTTGACAGTCTGGTCGGATGAAGCTGTCAATAGCATATCGCCATTGTGATTGATCAGAATATCCCGAACATTGTCTGTATGTCCGACGAAGTTGGTGACGCGCTTCCCTGATCTTGGGTCCCATACCCGCACAACACTTTCTGGACCACCACTAGCGAGCAGAGTCTCGGATGCAGCGAGCGCATACACCGAGCCCTTTTCTTTGTTCGAGTCTTCTCCAACTGATATCTGCGACTGTTGGCCTGTTCCATTCAGGTCCCACAGACATATCTTCCTGTCCAAGCCACCAGACGCCACCCAACCTGATTGTGGTCCTGGCGATGCAAGACACTTGACATAGTCGCTATGAAGGCCAATTGTTTGTGGGGAGAGGTTGTCTTGGGAGTTCGGGCGCCAGAGCTTGACGGTGATGTCGGACGAGGCTGAGATCAAGGCATCGTTGTTCTGGGCGAGAACGATGTCGTTGATCCAATGGGTATGGGCTTGGACTTGCTGACGAAAAGAGGTCGCGGGAGGCTTTTCAGGACTATCTGTCAAGCTCAAGTTGAGGTTGAGGTCCCAGGCGCATATGACGCCATCTCGACCTCCGGAGTAGCTATCGATAGGTCAGCGGCAGTTCCCATGCAGGTACGGGGCTGACAAGCGCACAGAATCGAATTGGCGGAATCAACAGCGAGGCCATTGACTCCGAGTCGGTGACCTCCAGCAGAGTTTGCGAGAGGCAGCACTGCGTAGCGCGATAACGGTTAGCGTTGAGAGGTCGGTATTGGTTAGAGAGATGAGCAGACCATAGGAGATGCGCTTTCGGGCGTTACGACCCATTCGGTCGGTTCAGTTTCGTGATAGCATAGGCTGAAAGCTGGATTTGAGCAAGATGATATCCAGCCAGGCTCTTCAGATGCTGAGTAATGGTTTAGTATGTGCAAGGGAGATCGTTTGGTGTTGCGGCGTGTCCTGACTCTCGGCCTGGCCTGGTAGAATAGATGTTGGGTGTGTCTGTGGGGGCACCGGGGCACAGAGACACTGGGACCGGCACTCATTCAAACTTGAAGGGCAGAGGATGGATTTGCTGAGCGAGAGTGTAGTGTATATCGTCTCAAGTCTTTTCATGATATGAAACAGTGCTACTTCGTAGGAGCTAAATCACACTTGACTTACTTGTACGACTGCTTCTTGTTCAGCTACTGAAGCTTCTAGTGCCGTTCGATCGCCGCCCCACATGATGCACTACACTGCTACAGCAGTTTAGTGGCGGTGCAGCACGTGGCGCATGACATCGTAGGGCAGAGCAGGGCATTTGGTTTCACAAGCCATGCTTCTCGCTTCACTACCACTACAACCTCCTCGTCTTTTACTCATACATGTTTGCTCTTCCACCAGTAATTTCCCGTCCATCAATGAACTCCATTGACTGGATCCTGCAGGCTCAGGAGCTCGTCCTTATGCCTCCTGTACGCTTCTTGCGCTTCACGTTCTCTCCGATTGATATGTGTAACCTCCTCTCGAAGTGCATCCAATCTTCGAGGTATAGCCGACGTCTCATACATCTGCTTCGTCCGCAGCGTATCGAGCTCTGTGCGCGTCTTCTCCAGCGCATCTGCTGCGTCAACAATCTTCTGTCGTAGTACCTTTGCTCGTTGCTGATACCCGCCCATGTGTAAAGCTAGCTTCTTCTCAATCTTATTCCCACTCTCCGCGGACGTCACAATTTCCTCTTGCAGATTCTGCTTCCTCGTTAGCTCTGAACGTATCATATGTAACGTGGGACAACCTACATCGAATGTCTCTAGCATGAGCTGGTGTTCGTCCACCTCGTCTTCGCCATATTCTGCAAGTCCCGGTAGAACAGATCTGCCATGAAGCTCCGTCCAAGCCTGTTCGAAAGCTTGTGTATTCTGTGTGACTCCTGCAGAGGTAATCTCTAGTGCTATTTCCTGTCGCGCCTTATCCATCACGCTGTCATCGAACTTTTGCAGGGGCCTTGCCTTGCCCACGATTTGGCCTGAGCTGGAGCTGTTCACATCATGTGCGATCAGTAATGCCATTTCCTTTTCCACTGCCTTTTCGATGGGGCTTTCAATTTCAGCGACATGCTTGAGCATTGCATCAAGATCGAAGATCGAAGGTCGAGGAAGAGCCCTCTGGACGACCTGTGTTTGGCGCTTGAACTCTGCAAGCTCTGCAGCTTTCCGTAACGCTGCATTCCTTCGATCGCGCTCCGCCGCGTCTTCTTCAGAAAGCTCTACTTCCATCTGTTCTTGTCGCTCTTCTGGTAGTTCAAAGTCCCATTCGGTTTCTTTTGGTTTCGGCAGAGCAGCGAGCTGCCCCTTCAATCCTTGTCGGAGTGCATTCTCCCTTTGCCGAATCTCTTTGGGTGTCTGGCCCACCAGCTCCATGCTACCCTCTGCATTCAGCCGGAAATTATCTCTTGGTGTTCGCATTGGTGTCGCCGATGGCCCACCTGGCGTAGCGCCTACACTACCACCTTGCCGGTATGGTGTGGCCATAGGATTTGGGGTGACGAGGGCTTGTCTTGCCGGAGTCGCACCTGCAAAACCTGTTGACCCAGAGCCTTCGTGCATTGGTGTGTTCTCTCCTCCAAGTAGGGCAGACTGCGTCTCTGTCCGGGCTCGGGCATTTTTAATCTCGTTGGCTATGCGGTCCTCCTCTTGTGGTGCTCGAGGCGTTCGAATCGGCGTTCCACCAACAATGCCTGAGTAGCTGCCTATCAGTCCTCTTGTGGCGTCATTCTCACCAGCGCTGGCGATCCTGCTTGCACGCTCTCCAGCCATACCCATCTTGACGATATCTTCCAACTCGCTTTCACCAACTTGAGGTGTCGGCAGGACGAGTGTCCTTCTTTTACTGCTCTGTTCTGCTTCTCTAATTCGCTGAGCCTGTCCAGCCTTGGCAGCCGCAGCATATGCTGCTGCAGACCCGGTAGTCTTATCGTTCTTCTGGCGTTTGCGATTATCGCCATCATCTTCTGGGTCACCCTTGCGTTTGTTTGCTAGCTGCTGCTTTCGAGGATCGAAAGCTTCACGTTCCTTCTCATTGACCTCAGCTTCGTCTCGAGTATCGAAGAAACCCTCTGCAGGTGCCTTCTCAAAGGGTATGTCCGCATTGTAGTCCATCTGCCCCTTCTTGCGGTATGTTATCTTGATGTTTATGCCAGCATTCTTGAGCTCACGACGTTTCTGCAGCAAAGCCAAGCGTCTTGACTCCTCCAGCTGTCGTTCACGGGCTTTCCGCTTAGCTTTTTTCCCTTGTGTATTGGCCAGACGCGCTCGAGCTTCACTAAGCATCTCTTTCTCATCTTCGTCGAGGTCGATTGTATCAGGGCGTGCAGGTTTCGATTCGGGGTCGGGATCCAACTCGCCGGGCCTCAGCTTGCGCACATCGTCCGCTGACGGCGCGGCAGTCTCTCCACCTTCTGGACCCCCCAAAGCTAGTTCATCGTTTTCGCGCGCCTCCGCTTCATCCAAGAGCTTCTGGTATCGTTCGAGACATTGTGTGGCAGTCCGGCCAACGATTGGTGCAATCGTCCGCCATTGTGTTGGCATCAACTTTGCGAGGTGTAGCAGTTTCTCGTCCTCTTCCTTGCTGAATTCTACCTTCCGTATATTTGGATCCAGCCATTCATGCCATCTTGCTTTGCATTGTTTCGGTGTTTTCCGTGCGAGGAGTGAGGATACACGTGCCCACTGATTCAGGCCATACTTCGATACACTGGCCTTGAGGATCTCATCCTCGATATTCGTCCACACACCTCCCTTTACGACAGGCATTGTGGAAGGTACTGCAAAGATGGTGCTATACAGTACGGCATATGCTATAAAGGAGTGAGGATAATGTGATGTCGAAGTCTAGATGGAAGAGAGCTGTTCACGCGCATTGACGGGCGACGTGAACTTTGGAAATCGCAGAAGGTACCAGCGCGACCTCCGAGGTTTACGCGATCCGGGTACCTTCATGCTGAGAAATGCTGAATGGGTTACGTAAAAGCCATCACGGGTCAGCCAGGGCTCATGAATTACTAGGTAATCACTCCATCAACATGACATACCAGCGCGCCTCTACGCAACCAAGACTTTGTCATCCAATGCTGAACCAATGATGGAAGAGCTATTTGACCCCTCTGATCACGAAAACATTCGAGTTTGCAGCTTCTATTCCTTAAAATCCAGCTCAAATGTTGTCCAGACGTGAGCATATACAATCCGAATCTATGCAATCTCAATCTGGGCCAAAATTTTGATAGAGAATACAAGCTCAATCTACGACTCAAAATGATTGCCAAGACGGTACAATCTTAATCTGATTGGTCAGATTAATTGTGTTAGATTAAATAAAGTGGGGTAAATAGCTGCGGGCCTAATATTAGGCCATATTTAGGCATTATTTCTACCTAAGGCCCAAAGTCTAGCCTAAGGCACTAATATGGCAGCCTTAGGCATAAATAATGCCTAAATATAGCCTAATATAGGGCCCCGGCTATACACCCACTTTAATTAATCTAACATAAGTAATCTTAATCCCTTAGCATAGATTCCAAGCTTAATCTATACTTTTAGGGTGACTAATCATACAATCCTAATCTAGTACTTCGGATTGTATCCGATTGTATATGCTCACGTCTGATGTTGTCTACTTACAGGAGTGTGGCGAAAGCTCGTCTTCTATCAAAGAGCAGCAGACATATCTACCGGTGTACGTCTACCACGACAACCATTGGACAGGAAACAAAGCAAGACAAAGTATATTCCTCCAAGAAAGGTGCTCTGTATTTTCACACTAAGTTCAATGTAGCACAGAACAGAAGCGGAAGCGGAAGCGGTCAACGCTAAGAAGAAAACCATAGCAGAAGTAGATGAAGAACTACGACTTAAAATGGCTGGGCTCGCCGGTGATGGAGGTGAAGCTGGTGTCGAACTTGAAGACGGCCAGCCCGTGTCCATGAAACGATCAGTTCGCGATAACATGTTTAGGTAAGTAGATGCTCCATAGCGACTTTGAGAGTTAGACTAACAGCATATCAGGTATATTTGAGCTTACCCTGAAGTATACCTATCAACATCTCCTTCGATGGTCTCTGATACTATATTTGGCTGTAATTTCGTAATTGTTTGTCCTGTCTGATCACAGGTCATATATGTCATTTATGCCCCTCTTGTCATAGGGCGTAGATTACGCTACCATACTTGCAGATCGGATCGGAAGCATGTAAGCTCCACCTCGCAACAGTCCCCACCTGAACACATCGCGGTGGGTCATCTTTTGTTCGATTCTCCATGATCGTAAAATCCATTTTTGCAACGTAACACGAAGTCATTTGCGCATTGTCTCTGCCCACGGCAGTAGTGGTCACATTGAAGGTCCTTCAATCCTCTCCCAGCCAAGCAAAGGCGTCAAATGGCTGGGCGACGCACCACTCGAGTACAGTCACTGACTGGAATCGGTGTCGACCGCGTGGGCGCACTGGCAGCTCAAAAGGAAGAAACGCCCGTCGCAACGCCCGATGTTGGAAAGCGGCATACCCGCCCGCTTCGGATGGAAAATCTAGACACTGACATTCCCCCTCGATCTATCGCCCTCGAAACCACGATTACGGCTATATCAAGTAGGGAAGACAACAGTTATCTACCATTCATTGGCCAACTAGGCCTTCGCAAGGCTGCAGCGTCTCATGTGTCTCGAATGACCGGAGGCGTTACTCAGTACTCTGGTGAGAACAATTGCGTTATCACAGCTGGTGGCCTCAGTGGGGTTCTAAACACGCTATTTTCAACTGTCGAGCCTGGCGAAGGTGTTCTGTTGACTGATCCCACTTACATCGGACTTATTAATCGTGTGAAGCTCGTCGGGGCTATACCAGTCCTCCTACCGCTAGAATTCCACTCAGGTAACCCGTGGAGATTCCCGCGTGAAACCTTGCTTGACTTCATCGAGTCCTCACAGGCTAAGGATAACATTCGGATCACTGCTATTTTATTGAGTTCACCAGCGATGCCGTCTGGGATGTACCTCAATGAGGAGGACTGGCGAGCCGTGGCAGATGTCTGCATTGCCCGTGATATGTTACTGATCTACGATGCTGCATTCGAACGACTTCTCTTTGACGACCGAACAGTCGTTCATCCCGCTTCATTCCATGGGATGGAGGAAAGGACTATTACCATTGGAAGTGCGTCAAAAGAGCTGCGCCTGATTGGATGGCGTGTGGGTTGGGTAGTTGGACCGACCTGGGTGATTGCTGATATACGGCTAGTGGGGATGGCAAATGTTGTCGTCCCTGTTGGGATCGCCCAGAAAGCAGCGAGGGTAGCCCTGGAAGATTCCGATAATGACTGTCTTGAGTTCACCAGGGAGTTGCAAGCCAGACGCGACCTATTGATAAAGGAGCTGAAGGGTCTCCCAATAGGTATCCCGGCTGGGGGATGGTCTTTTGTCCTTCAAGTTGAGAACGGGGCGGAAGCATCAAGAGCATTAATGGAAGCAGGAATATACGTCACTCCGATGAATGGCTGGGGAAATACTCATGGTAAAAATTTCATCAGATTCGTATTCTCGAATGAGCCGTGCCATCGACTGGAGGGTATTGGCATGAAGGTGAGAGCTGCGCTTAGACTCTCATACCAGTCTTACGACTCGGAGATCACAAGAAAGTGCTTTTTATGCAATGTTTGTTCACTCGTATAATGGGGCAGGCAGTCAGAATCCTCAACAGTGCATTGCCAAGAATATTGGATATCTGGTTGCCTTGAGGGCTGGATCTAAATCTCCACATGTTGGACTAGTCCCAACTATGCTTTTCGAATTGTTCTTATAGCAATGCGACATCGTAAGAAGGGCATGTATCAGCTCGACGATCAGACCATAAGGCCCTCCATCCTCATTCAGGTGAGGCTGCACATGGCACTGCCACTGCGCATCCATCGTCTCGTGGGGGCCTCAAAGAACAGTACCCACTGGCTGTGGCTGGTGTGCAGGCCTGTTTCTCATGGAGGACGCCAAAGGTTGATCGACGGCCACTCAAGCATCTTTTCGGATTAGACGAGTTCTATATTTATATAAACATAGGCAGGTCACAGGTGGTCGCACGGACCCCTGCAGATGAAGCTCAACTCCATAAATGTTTTTTTTTAAAATACTCGTTGGATTAGATGGTCGGAACACATCACCTGTTATGCCAACCAGTCTCAACACATCTTCAACTACCCAGCTACGATACCATCACGTTCGCGCACAAGTAAGAGTCTTAACAGTAGTAGCATCATCACCCGAACGAAGATGCAGAGCCGGTCAAAATTTTCATCTCCTATTGATCAGCATTTTCCATCCAGCGACCTCAAAGTGGCGGCTTAGCCATCATCGGCCGAGCGTTCTAGTCCCGCGCCAATAGATGGGTTGTTCCGTTATCTCCTACTTAGTCTTCTTTTCGCCACCTTAAATTCATTCTCGAATGCTGCCTTAGTTGTTGTGTATCAATTCTGCTACCTAGTTCCGGTGTGAAGAACCTAGGTAGTTGAGCGATGCCGTTGGGTCCGGTTGATAATGGCTCCAAACATAGAGCCCCTTCTACGACTCGCGAAAATGCTTCTTTAACCCCTGCCGAATCAACCTCGTATTCAGATGGCACTTCTACAAGCAGCTCAAGTTCCAAAGGGTCTAGGACATATGTCCATATTCAAAGCTCCATGGAAAGTCGACCGGCTCCAGAAGTTAAGCCACTTGATGGCGCCAGAGAACGGACACCTATGGGCGCACGAGTCCATCCTGTATATACGGCGCCAAAACCAGCATTACGCTTTGTCAACATCACAGACCCAAAGCAAACCAAGACAGACAGATTCAAGACGGATGTGCGCAGTCAGGCTATGACTAGTCACATGTGGAACAAAGGAACTCGTCCACAAGGAATCACGAAAAAGGACTCAGTGCCCGCGCCTGGCTCCTCTCTCGCCGCCCTCAAGAAGCGTATCCTCGAAGACGCCAAGGCTCTGCGCGAGTCCAATGATGATATTGAGGAAGTCGAGTCATACGGTAGCATACTACTTCGACGTGCTCCTGAGATGGACGGCTATAAGAACGACCCATTTGGTCTATTCCCCACCATCGAGGGCGATATTCATGTGAATGTTCCCCAATTGGTGCATCACGGTTGGTACTTTCAAGACTCTTTATCAATCGTAGCCCTAACTCGGCCAGGCATTCGAATGTATTCGACCGATCATATCGACATCCTATCATTTTGGACTCATTCAATTGACCCCCTGACCATTATTCCAAGTATGCTCGTCATCTCCGAGCACATTGACCTCCTCAATGGCTTGTCTCGTGACAGCAGGAGAACAGTCGCCTTACGATCGAAGTCCTTGTCACTTCTCAATGATCATCTACAGAACCCCGCAAGTATTGATGACGACTTGACGATAATGACGATAACGAAGATGTTGTCCTCGGAGCAAATCACTTATGGCGACGGCGTAAAGGTGCATCAGAGCGCGCTACAGGGCGTAGTAAATGGGAGAGGTGGTCTACTGGTGATGCAACAAAAGACACCATTCATGGGACCCTATGTTACAAGGTACGTGCATCCGTAGTTCACGGGGCTGATCTTTTTTTGCCCTGTTGACGTCTCGGTAGTGTTGTTCTCTATCATTGTGTGATACATGAAATACAACCAGCACCACACTGGACCAACTTCCCACCACATCAGTACCGGTTTGCCACCACGATAGCGCATCAAGGCGCAAAGCATGCAGACCTTCATGGAGATAGTTCAAGTGCAAGCGTCTATTCTCCTCACATGAAGCGTGGACCAAAAATGGGCTTCATTGGCCAATTGGTCGAGCCCTTCGCCGACCCCTCAGAGCTCGTTGAGTTCCTCCCTATCCGCCAAAGTAAATACTTCTCCAAACACGCACACGACCTGCTCATTACCCTCCGAAACACCATAAACATTTTTCTTGACCTCTCCGATGACGCTCGACAGTCCGACGCGCTACATCGAAAACCATCCACCATGGAGGACATCCAATCAGACCTCAAAGCTGTCCTCCTCCACACCCAGCTCTTGCCTTCGGCCGCAGATCTATCTTCACAGAACCCCGTCGCCGGAGACTGGCTGTATGAATGCTGCCGTCTGACCTGCCTCGTCGCATTCACATTCATGTATCTACGCATACCCTTCTCACAATCAAACCACCTTCTCGCCGAGCGCTACTCGTCCGTGCTCCCAACCACAGCCTTTGGCGCTGCGCTGCTACGAACCGATCTCACCAACCTCTGGAGCGATATGTCGGCGATTCTCACGTTTCTAGTCATTATCATGGCCGCAGCAGCGGCGAAGATCACGCCTGCGAGTAAAGAGCATGATTATAGAGCGCGCAAGTGGATCATCATGACGTATATGCGGTCCTGTATCACGCTGGGGTTTGAGCCGGGATGGGCATTCAATGGGTTGTTGAGGCTGCTTGTTGATGTTCAGGCTCAGCTCACAGAGGGCCAAGACGAGTTATGACGCTCCGGAGGGCGTTGCTTTGGACGTCGATTTCTGCTGTTACGCATAGTGATGCTTTCGATCTTTGTATACCCTTCCTTGTTGATATCCCATCCAACCCCTATCTCACCATCGCAAGACCTCTTCATAGCACCCTCGTCGCAATTGGCTTCCACTCCCCGATCCCACGATCCGTCGGCACAAGCCATACGACACCTCCCTCCCAGCCTCCCATCTGCCCTCTATCTCCCTCCTCCCTCTCCTCTCCCTCTTCAGCACCCAACTTCACACCCGCATCCCTCACACAAGCCTCTACCTTCGCAATCTTCCCCTCATCAACCTTCTCATCCGAACTACCCTGCGTCAGCTCCCGTCCGCCCATCCCCTCCCGTCCACCAGGAACGTGATAAAAATAAATGCACTCACTAAACCAAGCTCAAATGCGGCCTATACTCCTCCCGCACCCACTCGCGTGCTTTCTGTTCATCGCCGCCCAACACACCTTCTCGACGGGCGACTTGCGCTAGCTCTCTCAGCCCCCCGGCACTCGACCCATCACAGATCTTGATATAGCACCTCCGAAACACATAGTCCTCCGTACACACCCTGTCAAACCTCACGCTCACACCCACGCCCGCAGTCACACCTTCGTCTTGCTTCCCGTCACGCCTGCCCCCATGCGGCGGGAACGGCAGTGCATCGAGCCAGGCCTGCGGACCGGATGTTGCGTACAGTGAAGGCGGGATGTTGGATGTAAGGGTGATATGAGGTGCGAAGGGTGGGGCCGAGGGGTCGAGGCGGGGTGGGAGTGTTTGTGTGATGAGGGCTGTAAGGATTGGGGTGAGGGGATGAGATGGGGGCGGGATCAGCCAGAGGGATGAGCCTGGCATGGTGGGCTGTTGTGAGGTGGTTGGTGTTTACGTTGATGGACGGAGGGATGGAGACGGGGTTGAGTTCAGCTTTATGGACAGGGAGGGCTAGGTAGCTCGGAGCTATGTTCGGAAGATTTGGTTGGGGGGTGACACAAGGACCGCAGAGGTGGAGTGCTTTTATCTTGGGCTTGTTTAATCCAAGAGCAAGGGGAATGGAGTTGATGTTGTCTCTTTGCTGGTGGTATGTGGAGCTACGAATATTGAGAGCTCTAGAAGAGAATCATGGAAGGAAACTAGTTGTGTAGGAGATCAAGAATCTCAGGCACTTGTATAAAGGAGAGTATGCTCTTATAGTTACCACGAAGAGCTCAACATTGAGAGAATCACATCATGTGTCTCCAATACACGAAGACGACGATTTTGATATTGGTGCAATATTAAATGAATGGAACTGATGCTGATCCCCCGGACCGATACCGGCGCCAAGCTAGGCAAGTTAGCGCAGCCGAGAGCCGAAGCCGCCCCGCATCGATCTGGTTATCAGATGGATCGATCAGATAATGCACAGTCGGACCGCATCCATGAAGTCATCTCCAACATCTTCGGCCACAGCACACACACACATATGTCTGGCAACACCAACACAGACATCCTACTGGTAAGCCAATTACACCGCACACTCTGCTCTCCCCTCTTCTGCCCTCAAGCCGCATCAATTCACAGTCCTAATCACCCTCACAGGCCGGCGCAGTTGCAGCCTTCACAGTCGACCTCCTCGTCTACCCACTCGACACCATAAAAACACGCCTTCAAAGCCCGAACTATAAGACTCTCTTCACGAACAGCACAAATGGCACCGTCGACCGCGCTCTCTTCCGTGGCGTCTACCAGGGCATCGGCAGCGTCATTCTCGCGACTCTCCCCTCCTGTACGTCTCTTCCTCCCTCCCCAAACACTCGTCCTCCCTCCTTCCCATACACCAATAGACCATACTGACCCCCTATTCTTCCACGCCCAACAGCAGGCGCATTCTTCACCACCTACGAAGGCGCAAAGAGCATCTACACAACAACCCTAACCCGCTCCGGCACACAAACCACCCTCCTCCCCCTCCCCCTCATCCACGCCCTCGCCAGCGCAACAGCCGAGCTAATCTCCTGCGCAATCCTCACCCCAGCCGAAGTAATCAAGCAAAACGCCCAAATGGTCCAAAAACAACCCTCCCAAACACACAACACCACAAGTAAACCCCCCTCCACAAACGCCACCCTCTCCACCCTCCGCCGCTTCCAACACAACCCCCTCGCCCTCTGGCGCGGCTATGCCGCCCTCGCAGGCCGCAACCTGCCATTCACAGCACTCCAATTCCCGCTTTTCGAGCGGCTCAAGGAGCGCGGCAAGGCGTATCGGGATGAGCGTGGGACGCGCACCGGGTCTGTGCTGGAGACGGGGGTAATCACGGCGCTGAGTGCGGGGAGTGCGGGGAGTGTGGCGGCTGTGCTGACGACGCCGGTGGATGTGGTCAAGACGCGCATCATGCTGGGTGCGGTGGATGATGCTTCCGCTGCCACAGCGAGGAGTGCAGGGACGGAGGGGAGTGGTAATGGTAATGGTAATGGTAATGGTAATAGCGGCGGTAATAAGAGGACACAGGGGCGAAGTAATGGCACTACTACTGGCAACACGAGCGGCCTCGTCGACGCATTAGGTCAAAACATCAAACGAGGCGCTACAAGCGCAAAACAAATCGCAAGCACGGGGAGCAAAACACGCAAAAGCAGCCTCGCAATCGCAAAGGAAATCGTACGAGATCAGGGGTTCAAGGGCTTATGGCGAGGCGGTGCGCTCAGGGCCGTGTGGACCATGCTGGGCAGCGGCTTGTATCTGGGCGTGTACGAGAGCGGGAGGATATACCTGGCGAACCGGCGCGCGGAGGGATAATTAAACTAAAAAGTTGGTGATAGAATTTTTTCTGTATGTAAATATAAGAACAACTTGAATGGGGAACAAATGAAACCCAATATTATGACCGGCGGAAGTTAAACGACTGCGATCTAGACAATTTTTTAGACTTGGTACATGTATATATTAATCCAGGGATCAGTTATCCATGGAGGACAAAAGGTCTACTTTAATGCCAGGCTGCCAGCGACGTTGGAGCGAGTCAATAACCAGAGCATATATGCTAGAGACGCTGAATTCTTTACTATGAATGAATCAACACGCTGATGCAAATCAATGTCATTTTTTTTGGTTTCGCGACTCCTCAACCCCTCAGTACCCGATCTAGCAGGCCACACGCCGTCCCATCATTTGTCATATGCTTTGCGCCAACACACCCCTGCGCTCATGCTATATGCCCCCAGTCCCCCAGTCCATACACAGACACACATATACACCTGCATACGTGCGCCACGCTCCGCACAAAGTATCCAAATAGCGTGTCCGGCTTGACCGACTTCATCCATAAACACACACACACACAAGGACGCCGATGGTTGTGGTCATGAGTTGGAATGCTCCTGTCGACTAGGTTCCCACATCTAGCATCACCACCACTCGCCCCTACTCCCGAGCCATCAGCCGCGTCAGCCACCCCAAGTCCACCTATGCGACAATCATAAATAAGCCTTAGACTAATCTTTGCGTGCGTTTAATCAGACGAAATCTGCAGAGTACGAGAATCCGCGGAATTCCTCTTGCATTGCTTGCGACAAAACTGGGTTCAAGTCAGCGATAGCACATGGTGACTTGGGGGCATAGGAATACATACCACTCTGTACAGGTGTCAGCACCGGCGTTACGCTTGTGAACTCGCTATCAAAGTTGCTCGTATCTGTCGCGTTGGTGATGGTGGGCGTGAATGGTGGTGGGATGCGCTTGTTGTACACATCCTCCCAATTGATGTTACGGAAGAAGGCATGGCTCATGATCTCTTGCGCGTCTGTCGGACCACTGCCAAGACGCAGCTCTGGCTCGCGAGTAAGTAGCTTCTGGAGAATAGAGACCGAATCACGGGGCATGTGAATTGGGTAGAGAGGCTCGTCAGCCAGAATCGCATCGTAAATCTCGTCCTCGTCTTCACCACGGAATGGAGACTGTTGCAAAAGCATCTGGTAGATGAGCACACCAAAAGCCCACCAGTCGACAGCGCGGCCATATTTCTTGTCGAGGAGAATCTAGCAATGTCAACTGGGAACAATCACCGAGATGGGACTGCGATACCTACCTCGGGTGCCATGAACTCTGGTGTGCCACAGAAGGTGCTCGTAGTCGAGCCATACCACATATCTTCTTTGCAAAGACCGTAATCACCAATTTTGATGTGACCATCGAGAGTCAAGAGAATGTTGTCAAGCTTTAAGTCACGGTAAATGACTCCGTTCTCGTGGAAGTACTTCAATGCAAGACAGACTTCAGCCGCATAGAATCTAATCAAAATTAGCTTTGGACGAAGGTCGAGGAGGCTTGAAAACTCACTGGGCTCGTTTGGTTCCGAACTGTCCCCTCTGGATGTGCAACATCAGGTCACCTCCACTGATGTACTCCATGACAAAGTAGACACGAGTTTCGGTCTGGAAACAGGCGTGCAAGTTGAGAAGGAATGGGTGTCGCTCCTTGTTTGCAACCAGAAACACTCGCTTTTCTGACCGAGTGCTTTCGACCTCGTCATTCTCGATGATGAACTCCTTTTTCAAGACCTTGATAGCATAAAGCTGTTTGGATGCTTTAGTCTCAGCAAGCATCACCTTTCCGAAATTACCCTTCCCAAGTACTGCAAGGAAATTGAAGTGGTCCAAGCCGATCCGCCTTCCTGTTCCTTGCGTATTTGCGGATGGTATTGTTGGCTTAGATACCATCTGACCACCAGCCTTAGGAGGCTCTTGGGGTGGTGCTTGGGTTTGAGCTGGCTGCTGTGGAGGCTGTGGGATAGCGTACGATGTCTTGCCAGGGGGTGGCTGCTGTGGCTGCTGTGGTTGGTAAGGAGTATTCTCGTAACCATACCCAGTAAGGGTCGCATAGGCAGCAGGGTTGTATACTTGTTGAGGTGGTTGCTGCGTCGGTGGAGGATATCCTGTAGATGTGCGAGCACCTGAGGGTTGTGGATAATCCGAGGATGCCCTTTGAGGCCCACCCGGTTTCCCTGCCAGTGCAGCAGCTGCGGCAGCCGCAGCGGAAACACCCTGGGATGATGTTGTATGGCCCAGAGGCGGCCTTTCAGAAGTTGAAGGAGAGGTGGGCTGCAACCCAGCTTGATACGACGTTCTGGCTGCGTCAATAGATTGTCCTGATGGTTGAGGTCCATAGGACGGCTGTCTCGGCGGGACAGGCGCCCTAGGGGGGACACTCGATCTGGGAGGGGTTGCATACTGTTCTTTTCCGTACGAATGTGGCCGCTGATCTGCGACAGGTTGCTCCGACGGTCGCCCATACGATGGCTGCTGGTTGATTTGCGGGGCAGGATTGGAGGTCGGTCGCAGTGTCTCCTTCATCTTGCGTTCTTGGTGTGGCTGTGATGGTTGTGATGGCATTTGAGTATGGATCCCTGTTGATGTCTGTCGCTTCTTTGCATTCTTGATTTCCCACAAGATTTGGTTTGCGACTTCCATAGACATGCCGCAGAAGTCGGGTACGAAATGCACACAATTTGCGTGACATGTGAGATGACATTCTGCTTCGTGTCAGGCCAGATGACGACAGAATATAGAAAGGAAAAGTAGCCATACCTGTGCATTTCCTGCTTTGCTTCTTGCCCAAGGGAAGTATATAGCCACAATGGCAGCACCAATTGGCACCCACATTGGAAAACCCTTCGAACCTGTGGTGAATGCGATGATTGAGCTTTGCTTCGTCCGGATCGGTCTCGGCATTGGACTGGGTGATACACTTTGTCACGACTTTGCTATAGCATTTCTTGTGGCAAGTGTATTTGCAATCTGAGCACTGCATCCCAGCTGCATATTTCAAAAAGTCACCGCAGTACGCACATCGCATGATGTTATAGAACTGCTGCTGAACAAACTTGTGTCCATACTGCTCGTGAACTTCTTCTTTGCGCTGTCGAATTGCTCCTTTGCGTCCGAGACCGATGTCAAAGGGCTGCTTGTCCTTGGATTGTTTGACTTTGTGTATATTAGAACAATGTTATAAGCCGCCTAAGTGCAATTTGACTTACTGAAACTCATTGTGAGCTGGATGCGTCCCACAGGCTCCAAAGAGAACCATGCATCTATAGTGACAGGAGCTGTTTGAGGAGTCGGTGCCGATGCGCCCATGCCGGCGGGCCCAGGCCCCATGCCTGGTCCACCAATTGCTCCTGGGGTATAGTTTTGTCCTGGAGGAGGCTGGAATTGAGGTTGACCTCCCCCGACTTTCTCTGCATGTACCCAGTTCGAATTATTGAATTCGGACTCGATCTTTTTTCGTCTCATCTCCTCTGCAATGTCGGAAATTCTGATCCAGAGCATTCCAACTGGTAGAGGGCGCTCACTGCCGGTCTTGTCATATACAGTTAGCTCAATCTCGTTGGCTTTGTCAATATCAAGCTCATGAGCCTCTTCAGTCCACCGATCATTTCGAGAAGCCTTAGTTCTGCCTTTAATGAGATCTTCAACCTTCATGACAATAAAGGTTTCAGGGCCTCGGCTAAATCTACCGGATGCTGCGTGATCGATATCTTGAACGGCGTGAATCTTGATGGAAAGATGTCCGGTCAGGGGCTTCCGAGCACTGGGAACGTTGAGGCTGTCATCTGAAAGTTGTCAGCTGTGATGATTGTATGCTAGAGGACATGCTCACCGTCAGGACTATCTTGGCCCTCTATATCGACATGGAGATCTTCGTATCGTTTGAGGGCTTGCCGTAACAGTTGAATCTTTTGGTTACTTTCAATAAGACGGGCCTCTGCATCCATCTTACTCTTTCGATCGCCTTCAAGCTGGTATAGTCGAACCATTTTCTCGATGCCATCTTTGTATTGTTTCTCGACACTTAATTTGAATTCGAGCTGGGACAGCATGAGCTGGATTCGTGGACCGAGATGTGGGGTATCATATTTTATGAGGTCTAAACATTCTGTTAGCCTTTGAAGTATTGCGCTACATCTCATGTCTTACCGAGCTTGCTGAAGTTAGCACGAGCTTTGGCCGGGTTCATGCCAGGACCAGGAGGAGCATATGGTGCCTTTGGTGGCATCAACGGATTACCACTCATTTGACCATATCCAGAGCTCTCTGGTTGGCCATAGCCCCCTTCTTTTGGTGGAGGTGCTACTGGATTCCTACCACGTTGTCCACCCCCGGGCGATAGCGTACCCCCGCTGTTGTTATCGGACATCAGATTTCCCATATCATTATTCATCCTTCGCAACTGCAGCTCTTGTAGTTTCCCCTCGAAGAACTCGATGTTTCTTCTGCCTTCCCGGATCTGTGTTTCGATCCTAGAGAGTACGGCATCGTTGTTTGTGGACTGGCGCATGGCGTTCAGACCGGTAATGAGCGCCTTTTCGCGGTCGATTTTCCGCTGGATATTAGTGACCGCTTCATCTTCGTTCATGGTCACGGTATTTCGTCCTGTGGACGTGGTAGTGGATGTTTAAGGATAAAGAGCCAGCCGAGTGGGCGGGGCTGTTGACGCAAAAGACGCAGCTCCTGGCGTGCGCGTACGCGTTTGGTGACGAACCGGAGAGGAATGAAGATTTGTGACTGTAAATGGAAAGGGTTCGGTGGAGTCCTGAAGAGTGGGAAGGGGGTTCAGGGACGACCTTAAGTGTTAGGAGCTGTCGGTCTGCAAACTTTCGGAAGTCGGGCTCCTCTGGTGATGTCAAAAGCCAATAGTGCGACCTGCTGAGCCACACTGGGTAGAGCTGAGGTGGAGGCAGCGATTGGTTGGGCAGTCAAGGACTCAACAGGGGCGGCGGGCAGTCCAGACAATATTGTCGTCGCCGTCGCTACTCAGCGAGAAGATGTCGATATTGTTTGGCAGGTATTGAGAGTTGAGGGTGGTGCAGTTTGCAGTGTGCAGCCTTGTGAGTTGCTAGAGTAGTGGGGTTGTGTGTGTGCGGTTTTGGCGCGGGGAAGGAATCCATAGCGCTGGTGGGAGCGAGGTGAATGACTGGGAGCTCGGCAAAACCATATTATTAACGTGTCAGCGATTATAAGGCATTGTTACTTGGATATTTACATTGTATCTAGTACGTACATCCCAGTAGTGAGTTGTGGAGTAGCCATGTCAACCCACGTTGTTTATCATCAATTTGGTCGAGTCCAGTGTCTAGGGCACCCAAACATTCATCAGGTACCATCAGCATGGAACAACCTTGGGATTCATGAATATTCGTGTGCTGTCCGGCACCATCTACTGTCTACGCACGTGGATGACATGAAGTGCGGTGCCATTAAGCTGATGTCAGTCAGGCTCTACTCCTTTGATCAACAGACTGATAGTCGTTAACTGTGTTTCGATAGTAGTATCAAAACAGACGTCCAGTAGTGGTCAGCATCTAGGTGGTCCAACCCAGCATGAGGTCATGTACTTGGCATTTGATCGAAGCCACAGCACACACGTTGCTTGATGGCAAGCTTATACTGTGTTACAACAATGTCGACACGTAAATTACACGTAGGTTCCATATTGACCAGAAAACGCGTATATTACCTGGTTGAGCTTGTCGAAATATAGATGAATGGAAGCAACTGGAAGGTGTGGATATTGACTCGTACTGACGTGTAACTACTTCTTACTTATCGCTCGTCGCATGTATTAAGCCAGGTGGTGCTGCTCATCAGTTGTGGGGCATGGAGAAGAGAAAATGGAGAGTGATCCAAGAGAGCAGCTGTTTTTGTATTCTCCTCGCACAGATGAGAGAGATGGCAGTCGGCAGCGGAAAAAGAGGGAGCCGAGCAGCGGACTGGGCAATGGGATAAATCATAGCAAATCGGCGAGTTGGAGCAACAGGAGCTGGCCAGGTGGAGGTTTTGATCGTAGCGTCGGCCCGCAATTGCTTGGGTTCATCGGCTTCTGACTTGTGTAGTGTGATTAATTGGTCGGGATCCACTTGATACTTGTCCATGTCCTAGGAGAGATGGGAAATTTGCAAGCTTGGAAGAGAAAAACCCCCAGCAGCCCCGACCTTGAAATGCCTTAGATGCCTTAAATGCCTGAAATGCCTGAAATGATGCCTGAAAGGCAATGCCAAACCCTTGCCTGACGACCCTGTTGCCGCTGCCGCCGCCCCCTTGTTGCCTGCCCGTTGCTTGCTGCTTGTTGCCGGCTGCCGGCTGCCGTGGTCCCTGTGTCCCTGTCGCCCGCCCTGTCGTCTGTATACCATAACCATAGTAGACTCTACCTAGCCCTGCTCATTTTACCAGCTTTAATTTCATGAGCCTCTTCTTTCCAATTCAACAATCATCTGTCGATCTGACTGATGCTGAGTGTGCTTGTTGCAAAGTCACCTCTCTCCCATTGCATGTCAGCCGTCTTACGTGCTCGCTGCAGACCCCCACAGCTGCACACGCGCGTCCGTGAGAGCCCAAGCCGTGGCCGTAGTCTCACCACCACGGCGACAGACGATCAGCAACGCCATGCCGAGAATGAGGGGAGGACATCGGAAGAGACGGAATCCAAATAGCCACAAATTCCATCACGGCCTCCGTGTTTGCGCTGATCTGCTAGCCGGTCCCTGTCGCCATCTCGCCTGTATCCTATCCACATCTCGCCCGCCTACCTGCGCATCTGTTTCAACACTTCCTTCGCAGTACTATACTTCAACGCTCTGTAGCTTTCTTGCTCTCCCTTTGATCCACGTTGTTACCAGTTGTTCTGCCCGTCCGCTGTGTTCCGATCCTCCGGTCGTGTAGATTACGTCGTCCAGCACTATATCGTCGATATTGGCTAGCTCCATTGCTGCAAGTCCTCCCATTGGTCCACCAAAGTTCACGACCTGAGCTTCAACACGTCTCCGCACTGTCCGTTTCCCTGTCTCACCACCGAACTGAGCCTGAGGACGGTTGGATCCGTTCTCAGACTTTGTCAACCGTCAAGATTAATTCTAGTGCTCCGCTTGCCAACATCCTCGACTCCGGCCCACTGCCTCCCACCGTGAGCTCGAATGTCGAGCAATCTGCGCGCAATGTAGGAGGCTACCATTCATTGCACCATGGCGTCTCCCCCACTCAAGATGCTTCCTCCGCTCTACAGTCCTCACGTCCTGCTACACTGCCTGGTTCGAGGTTCGGTGCCTCGAATGCATCGCGTGCAGAAGAGCCTCGTATGCGAGGATTAAGGTCATCTATCGCTTGCGCCCGCTGCCGTCGAAGCAAAGTCAAGTGTGTGAACAACGGGGTCAATACCACTTGTAGGGCCTGTGAGACATCAGGGAGGCAATGTACATACCCTCCTCCTGCGACCGGTGGTGTTGCGGCTCGAAGAGAAGCTGCTTTAGGAGTTGCGAGTGCAGACAGTCTTGCTCCAGGCGATGTGAGTACGCGCATATCTGCTGCGTAGAGGCATAGCGTCAGCAGCTCTATAATGGAAATACGCTAATGTTAAACTCTCAGGGATCACGTCGACCACCACGCTCGAGGAAAGCCGGCAATAATCTCTCAGACGGCTATCCTGCGAAAGAATCGTCCAAACCATTTTTGGATGCTCTTGACCCCTCTATAATCACACCACAAACCTGGACAGAGCTCGTAAGAAAAAGGTGAATCATGAACAGATTCCAATCAGCTAATCAAGCTACAGTTCGACATCTTCCAGTTACATTATTCCACAGACCTACCCTTCTTGCATCCGCCTACGTTCCAGAAACCCCTCAGAAAGTCTGCACTTCATTCTCCAATCACAAACAACCCAGAAAAGGCGCCACCTTTGACACCTCCAGCCTCCTCGCTGCTGTTGCTTGCCTTTCTAGCCCTGACCTCCCGATTCCACTCCACCTTGATCGTACACCATTCTTCTTCGAAAAATCCTTTGGTAGCAGCTGAATACTATGCCTCAGCAGCCAAGGATAAGCTGAGTGGGATATATGGTGAAGATATGGGTAAGCCGGATCTTGAACGTATCCAAGCACTTCTCATGCTTGGCCTGCATGAATGGAGCATGTGCCGGGGTGCCAAGGCCTGGATCATGATCGGAGGAGCGGTACGAACAGCTCAGATACTTGGGCTTCAATTTGAGCAAGAGTTAGACGATCAGCCTTTATCAAGCTCAGTAGCCTTGAATGTTGAAGCTCATCACATCGGCATTCACCGAGACCGTGGAGGGATGACATCCCGAGGAGAAACCTTCACCGAGCAAGAAGTCCGGAGACGAACTTTTTGGAGTTGTTTCATTATGGATCGTTACCTGAGCAGTGGAAAATATAGACCACAGATGCTGGACGTCAAAGACTTAAGGATTCAGTTACCCAGTAGTGACCGTGCATTCTTATTCGGGGAAAAGGTTCGAACTGCTCTACTTGGCGACGAACTCAACCAAGGCAGTTCGCGCTCCGAGGTTCAGAACAATCGTCAGGCATCTTTGCAGCGTGTAGATCGCGGTAGGCAGTCATTCGACTCGCGTTCAAGTGATACCGAGAAAGGACGATGGGAAGTGAATCAAGACGAAGGAGTCTTGAGTCGCTTCATCAGGATCCTGGACCTTCATGGAAAAGTTGTCAAATGGTCATGTGCTGGAGGCCGACGGTAATGCACTCAACCGTTCTAGTCTCAGCTCGAGCTGACAATGTGACCGTAGGCAGGAACAACACCCACCTTGGGATCCTAGATGTACATGCTTCGAGCTTCGAAAGCTGCTAACAAATTTCAAGAATAGCTTACCTCGCGATCTTACACTGTCGCCCGCCAACATCTCAGCCCACATAACTTCCAGAACATCAACCCCATTCACGTTGATGCACACGCTATGCACACTGTCCAGTGTGATTCTACATCGCGAATATGTGCCGTTCATTCCGATCCGATCAGCCAAACCTCAAGGACCTCTTGATCCTCCAACATTTCCACCCGAGGAATATCAAACGCCGCCCGGATTTTGGGAAGAAAGCGCCAGGGAGATTTTCAAATCAGCTAGGGAGTTTGTTGATCTGATTCGGATGTGTCAAGAGTGGGAGGTATTGGTTGAAACGCCGATCATCGGGTTCGCAGCGTACACAGCAGCATTTTGTGGTGGGTACCGACCAGCCTCGTAATCTATCGCATAAGCTCAATTTCTACAGGTGTATATGCAATCAATTTCCCCTGGATGGATCCAGAAGGATACATGTGTAGCAGGAAAACCCAGGCAATGCCTGGAAATACGGGCAAAGAAGGTCTAGAAGCAGCCCGTAAAGCGTTGGAAGTTGTCGGCCAGTTGCGGATGCGGCTCAAGATGGCAGATGGATGGTTCAGAACCATCAAAAGGTGTCATCACTACTTTGTCCGTATGAAGAGGGACTTCAAGAAAAATTCGCAGGCATCAGAAACAGGCAGTGCCAATTCGACAGAATCTTACAGGCAGCTCAGCCTTCGTGAAGGAAGAGAAGGCGGTGGTCTGGAGGAATACAAGCTAATCGAAAATCTAATGAAAGAATTTGGCAGCACAGATGGCGAGGAATTGGAACTGATGGATGTCGATAGTGACCAAAGAAACATATTCGAGGGGACGAGCGAGAGCAGCGGCGCTAAAAGTGAAACCGATGGAAACGATGGTGCTATACAAAGTGCGTCTATACGTCAAGATCGGTGGAATGCCATCAACAATAGCCAATCACTGGTATCGAACAGCTATTCACAGGCCTATCAGGCCGAGCAAGGAAATCACCCCCAGGCCCGCGGCTCAATGATGCCCATGGCATCTAACAGACCACCTTATGATGCAACGACTTCCTACGAGCGTGGTCCATACACTGCTATAACGCAATCATATGCAGATGCAGGCCATCGATCATCCGCACCCTCGAATGACGTACAAGGGCAATCAGGACCATGGCCACCACCAGGACTTCGAGAGACCTGGCTGAACAACCTAGATACAAAATTTGGAGGTGATGATGTTGCAGCTTTCGTGGCAGGTAACACTTGGCAGGAGTTCTCTGGTATGGGCGGCTGGCTCGGAAATGTTTTCAGCAGCGCACCACCCACGACCACATCAAACATGTAAGACCATTGTAGGTAAATTCTTGTATTTGTACTAGGAATCGGCATAACACTGCTATTGCATGGCTGTAGGCGTTAAAAAGGATCCGCGTGGACATGAAATCACGATCGCAGGTTCCAAGGACGGCTGTTGGTATGGTAATATGACCATGGCGTAGACAAGCATTGAATGTATGGTACACAGTAGACACAAAAGCGAGAAAATGTTCTGCTCGTTCAGCAAACTAATTACTTCGCTATTGACTTGTGCATGAAAGCGGGAGCGCGAACCTAAAGCAGTCTATGCCGAAGTAACCTACCTAGACAGATGGTCCGTGCACATGATGAATGCGTTCCATCGTGTAACGTCCAAGATACAACAATAGCTACACCAAGGATGTCTATCAACCTAGCCACTCATTCGAACGGTAGAATTTTGAATTGAACAATAGCACTAACGATCACTGAATTCATGGCTACGACTCCATGTTCGGTCCCAACGAATTTCGACCCGCAATGCTGCCGAACGTTGCGCTCTGAACGACTTTCCGGATTCACTTCATGAATATCCCCAACCACCCGCCCAGCCATCTTTTCGCTACACGTAGTAACTAACACGCACCAAAAAACTCTGCGACTAAAAATCCTTGTCATCAACACCCACCGAAATCAAATATCCTCAAAATTCTGAAACATGCCGAAATCTCCACGAAGCTCGTACACGCCTCCGCCTCCGCGTCCACGGCGGCCCTCTAGAAGATACTCGCCAACCTTTGCCTCGACACCTCGAACGGATGACTCTGGTAGTCACTCCTCGAGTCAACCATTGAGATCCTCAAGATACAATGGATCTTCACACAGAAACTCCTTTGACAGCCCTTCGCGCCAGCTAATGGAAGAGTTTAGTCAAATGATGCTTGATGAAGACCGGACCTTTCAGGCATCTCTAGACAAATTCTTTCAAGAGCAAGAAGTTATCCATCGCGCGGCACTTGATGAGGTCGCATTGGAGCATGAGCGCGTTCGCAAGTCTGCAGAAGTAGCACGAGAGACGCATGACCTCCAGATCCAGAAAGAGATACGTCGTCGTGAAGAAGAAGCGCAAAAGAAATTGGAACGTGCACGCGCAGAAAAAGAAGAGGCTGAACATGCCCGCAAACTTGCAGAGCTGAGAAAGGAAGAGGAGGACCAGAAGAGGGCTGCCGCGAAAGCAAAAGAGCTTGCCGACGCTGCTAATCGCATCACTGAAGAGAAGTTGAAGCAGTCTGCCGAGGATGCCAGACAGAAATCAGAGAAGGAGGATTTGGACCGTAGAGTTAAGGCCGCGGCTGAGGCTGCTGCACAAGAGGCTGCTGCGAAAGAGGCTGCTGCGCAAGAAGAGGCTGCTAAAAAGTCCAAACTAGCACAGAAACCAACTCCTGGAGCAACAGAAAGTTCTACAGTTCTGGCATCATCACAGTCTGCTGCACAGCAGCTGCAGGTCCGAGATCCCACTAAGCAATGCGAGATCCAATCACCCTTCGTGACGAGCAATGCTGAGCGCGAAAGGATTCACCAAGAATATCTTGTCATCCACGGTCAATTGAAAGAGCTGCGGAAGCATGTCGCTGCGCTTGGAAAGGAAAACAAGGCGATTGGCGAGTTTCGGCGGAAGTTGAAGTCACGGGTCGGCCAGATCACAACTGACTCGAAATCAAATGTCGAAATTCGCAAACACATCATCGAAATTCTGAAGATGTCCATACAAGACTCTGGCAACGTTCCTCAAGTCGACATCCGGACTTTTGTATCCTCCTCTTCACCCATCTCCAAGAACCAATCTCCTTGCAACATGCCACTCCTCCTCATCTACTACCTCCATATGCTCTGCAAGTTCGTCTGCAAGCAGTTCTGCGCCGAATCAAACATGGCCGAGCCCATCATGATCCAGCTCGCCTTCATCTTCTCCGAACAAGACTTCTTCTGGGATGGCGCCTCGCTCATCGACATCCTCCTCGCCAAGTTCCACCGGGCCTGTCCCGTGCTCTTCGGTATTTACGGCAACGAAGCCACACTCGACGGCCGTACGCGCCTTGGCTGGCAACGCATAAGCGGCGCCTTCATCTCGGAAGCAGAGCACCGCCGTCGCATCACTGGCTATGCGGGCGGCTACGCCGCGATCTCACTACGCAACTTTTCAAAGTCATCAAGGAAGAACCCACTACCGAATTTCGAATACTGGAGGGCCATGTCGCGCATCGTAAACACGCCGGAAATCGACATCACGAAGACGCACCTGATTGTACTGCGCGGAATGCTGGAGAGGTACGCGGAGCGGTTCATCTTGATCTACGGCGAGATGGCCATTGTGGCGATGCGTCATGCTACCAGAGTCTTCCCGGCTCGTGCAGCTGAGCGCTTCCCTGATGCCGCAAAGGAGGTGTCGTTCTTGCCAGAGCACTTCAAAAAGGATATACGCTTGTCGCTGTAGCGGCTGGTCCACTACGATGATTGAACGGGTCTCTTTACGTAAGTTCCGATCTTGTCCACAGGTATACTCATATACTGCATAAGCGTCAATCAATGGCAGCGGCAGTCACAGCATGGCGTTTGTGGAAGGGGCCGGAAATAGGTACGATGCATGAATGAGTCCATGCCCCTCCATAGCGGAAATTCAATAACACATATTTGAACCTTTGATCTTCTGATGCTTTCCATTCGTGGTTCTTGATCTTACACTTGTCGCATGCTGGTCCAATTGACGTGAATTGCTTTCGTAACGATGCTGTCGACAGCCCTAATTCTCTCCCGTAATGTGCTCATCTCGATGATGCCGACCATTTCATCCTACCATACTTACCTAGATATATGTACACCCACTCTTACTACTCGCTCGAAATGAACTACCTTCTAAGAATCTCGATCGTATGCGCCTAGATAGTACTTGTTATCGTTAGTAAGCCATCAGGCTTACCTAAGCCTCCATTGTAACTACGTACTACCTAATAGTATATATAATTTTCTGAATTACTAGGGTATTTAATTATATCACTCAAAAGTTCATAAAGGTCGTACGATTATAGGCAGACGACGAATAAAAGAAAGGTCATAGATCCTCTGCTAGTCAGGGTCTCTAGAATCCTAAACAGGAATCTATTCCTTTTTTCATGCACATCCAATGATGCACTCACGTATCCGCCCAATTCTATCGTCTATACGGCGAAGTCCATTAAGGTCTATGTCTTCTTACGCTCCTGGATACGTTCTCACTGGCTCCCAATGGAACTACCGCATTGTAGACAAGGTCTCGGGAGATAACACGCACAAGTCTCTTACATTCAAAGCCGAAGTCATTCCCCGCGATGACGCTCCCAGTCCTCCACAATGGTCCGTTATTTTTTAGTTGAGATTTCTCTAGACTCTGCTGGAAGGCTGACTCTTTGATACAGGGCTCTTATCAAAGGAGCAGCCGTTAGCGATGCAATTGCCAGGGAAAACTTGGACCGAGAATGTGGAAACTACAGACTTCCTGGTGTCGCTGAGGCGGCGTGCTTCCGGAAGCTTTACGATGTGATCGATACTGCTGACAGCGAGAAGTATATCGCGTTGGAATGGCTGGATACTACGCTCGCACAGCTGACATACCGTCCTGATATGCGCACCTATACCATTATCAAGACATTCTTAGAGGCGGCGCTGAACAGCTGCGTCGTTCTAGAAGCCCAAAATCATGTCAACACAGGTACGTAAAATACCAATTTCTCTTGAAGAGCAAAGCAAACAAGAATCCGCTAAATCAACATGGATAGACATCAAACCGGCCAACATCCTACTCTCCAGCACCGAGACTGACACGATCACCGCCAAGATTGGAGATTTGGGTCTCGGTAAGCAAAATTTCAACAAACGACAACAACAAGCACGATTCTTCCACTAATTGCTACTCACAGTCTTCCCCGCAGGCCGCCGTTTCGAAGCCCAACCCTTCGCCATGCGCGCCCCCGAAGTCCTCCTCTGCGAACCCTGCACCGCCCCCTCGCAAGTCTGGGCCACCGCCGCCACGCTCCTCTCCTGGATCAAGCCCGGCATCCTAGGCGCCTTCGACAGCCCGCATTTCCTGCTTCACAAGGCGTGGTCCATGGCCAAGATCAAGCGGCTCTTTCCCGAGTGGTATATCCCGACGCCCGACGAGGTCGAGGGCCATTCGTTCAAGGCGACGGTCAAGTCTGCGGCGCGGATCAGTCGGGAGGAGCCTGAGATGCGGGCGATAGCGCCGTTGGAGGAGGAGTTGCGCGGGGTGGAGATGCTACCGCGGGAGATTGGGGAGGTTTTGCGGCTTGTGCTTGTGGTTGATCCGAGAAGGAGGCCTTCTGCCTCTGAGGTGCTGGCGTCGAAGGAGTTTCGAGCGCTGGAGACGTTTGTTGGCGTGTAGTTTGGTTGGGCGTCGAGATTCTATATCTGGTTCATTTGTTTCTGTATTATTAGTAGTTCTGAGATTGTAGAGTACTCACTCTCTTGTATACTAGCTTATGTATTCTAGCTCTACTCAATACTATTGTTAAACTCTTCTATAGGTGAAGAGTAATCCCAGGTCTATTACAGACACGCGTAGCAGACACGTAGTCACGTGTAGCTTATGAGTACACTCTATTGGCACCAGTAGGGCCGGCCAGTACATGGAGATAATTTGAAAAGAAAATTACATCTCAAAAGTGTACAAGTATCTTATGATATCTTCGAGAGAATGGATTTTCAGAGATAAAAAATCTACAGATTCTTAAGAAAGAGGGTGATGTATTTTACGCGCGCGACGCGTGCTAAAGAGGTGCGCCGAGAAAGTTGAAAACTAATTAATGAGGGTGCGTGGAAGCCTGCCAATACAATTCATCTATACCTGTATACGCACGCGTTCGCCTCTCTGTCCTTAGCATTAGCTCCAATGAAAACTGTCAATCAACCTCGGATGTCCGCCTCTGAGCGCCATCATTTGGTCACGGCAGGCAGCCATGCGCAGAAGTCGTGTATGGAGCCTGTTGAAGTGGCGAATACGTCCGACCTACTGTCTACAAAGCCCGTTGAAAGTGTAGACACTGTAAGCTCTAGCAGATATAGCATATATTTCATTCAGTCTCATCGAATCTCCCTGCTCCTGTCTGCTTTTCTGTTCAAGCTGTGGCCCTATTAACCGCTAGAAACACATGGCGCATCTTCCTACGGATCCGAGGGCGATACTCTCACATCTACTTTCTGCTATCACTGCACCGGAATCAAGACATTTCGATCGATATGGAGAGTTCAGTAGAAGGAATGAGGGAGACTTGGAGCAGCTACTTTACTCGTTCCTCCGACCTGAGTTGATCAGACTCTTCCAAACACGAAGAGTGAATCCCAGGACCCTACAAGCCCTCCAACCAAACACCGAATACCCAAAAACAGGCGTCTACTATCACAGCATCTTTGGCCGCGACCGTCACCATCGCGCCTACATCGGCCAGTCAACCGACATGCCCACCCGCATCAAGAAGCAACACATGTACTTCCGCTGGCGGCGCGACCACCCCTCGCTCCACTGCCACGCCTTAGAAGACTCCTCCTACGACACCTATATCATCATCGCAGTCATCCCAAACCCACAAGCTTACACCGCGTCGGATCTGAGCTTGCTCCTCAACTTACTCGAGATGTGGTGCTGTCTGCTCTTCCAAACGCTCCCGAAAGGTCTGCTCCGGGAGTATCTACCTGGGGAAACGGCTGTCGCTGCGCGGGATTTCGAACATCTGAATGTCGCTTTGCCGCTCGATCAAGGTGATACGGGTGTTTATCATGACGTTGAGGAATTAGCGAACTCGCACGATCGTCTCGTTCGCTCCTATTACCAGAGATGTCGCTCCAGTGTGCCGCCTGCGCAGCATGATGTCCCTGATACGATAGCTTCGCTGCCGAATTGGAATCGCGGCGTGTTGGCTGGAGGCTTGGTACTTGCCATTGCGATGTCGTTGCTTTTGCAAAGACGCACTCTCCGACCTTCTCGGTATGAGACTCCGTTTGGGAGAGGACTTGGCTCCCTCGGCAATTATCTCTTCCAGAGGTTCTGGCCTCTCAGGCCTTGACATTCCCCGTCCGGCAACATTACTTGCCTTCGCGTGCAGCAGCTTGCCCCGTCTGACCATATCTACGGCAACCCTGGATCCTGCAGCACGGCCAGCTGGAGCTATCTGCGGCAGATACTTTTGCAGTGTGTGCAACCTATTCGTACATGGGGAATGGTATGATATCATCGTTTCCAAGGTCCGGCTCTTGGTATTGGTATTGGGTCTTGACGACACATGATGGAAACAGGAGAAGATAGCGATATAACAGGAGTCGTATCTCATCCGCAAGACCGAGAACGGCATGTAGTTGCGGCTTTGCCAAGGTAGATGTAGCTCTCGTATGCGGCGTAGTGGCGTCACGGCGTTGGTTCTGTCGTTCGATCTCGCTGGTCTGTTTGAGCCAAGTTCGTGATAGCGAATTAGTTGGTAGTGGATAAGGTAAATGTACTCTGGAGCCTCTACTCACTTGTAGATTACTTGCTTATTTGGAGAAAGTAGTAGTTATTATGGGTCATCAGAAGTTAGATATGGTACAAATTGAGCCTAATTGTACAGACGTTATTACATATATGTTACACTAATCCCCCTCTGGCTGCGAAAGACTTTGATTTTTGATCGAGGGCAGAACTCGCAGCGAAATCTTTTACGACAGAACCTGTCCTTCTATCCTCCTCTCCTTCGTTTACTTCCTATGAATGACATCAATCGCCCCTTCATGCTGAAATCGATCGCCCAAAACAACTTTTGTAGGGAATCCAATAAGGTCCGCATCGCGCAATTTCCAAGCCACAGACTTGTGTGGCCGATCGTCAATGACCCAATCGACCCCGGACTTCGCCATAACATCATCATAGTACTTTCGAGCAGCATCCATGAACTCAGGCTTCGCTATAATCACGCCATGGAACGGCGCAATAGCTTCCGGCCATGTCAGACCTCGCTCGTCGTGGCAAGCAGCAGCAATCGCACCAATGAGGCGGCTGACTCCAATGCCGTGACAACCCATTTGCAGCGCCTGTGGTTTGCGCTCGCCTGGTAGGAGTACCCTTGCGGCGAAGGGTTCGCTGTAGCGTGTTCCCAGGTGGAATGTATGCCCGACTTCGATGGCCTGTTGGGTGCTTAGCTTCCCGTCTGAGCATTTGGGGCAGCTATCGCCGTCCCGGGCCCGGGTGAGATGAAGGGGTTTGTTGTCGTGAGACTCTAGAGAGAGTGTTGGGACGCGTATGGGAGGCTGTAAGGCCTGTGCGCGCATTGCTGCGACGCGGTAGTCGTAGATGTGGACGACTGAGCATTCGGATGCCTCGCTGTTCCACATCCTTTCTACGTTGGTGCTGGGATCAAGTGCGGTGTCGAGCTCTGGAAAGACGGACTTCACTGCGCGGAAGTCTATGTGGCTGTAGCTCGCTGGCGACTGATCAGATGGCTTCGTAGCTTCTTGTTGGCCTGGGCCAGGCACAAATACGTAGACGAGACTCTTCCTGTCACGGCTGATGCCAGTCCAGTGAGATATACTGGGAGGAGATGCCGTGTCGTGATCGCTTGATCGTGTCACCTTCTCCACCACTTCCTCGTTGGCTGTATATTCGCAATTGTTGCAGATGAACAGCTTATCTTCACCGTCCGGAGACAGCATGTGAAACTCATGGCTCAGTTTGCCGCCCATGTTACCAGAGTCAGCAAAAGCAGCGCGGTAGTCGAGGCCGAGCTCATTGAACAACGACTTATATGCTTCTACGACATCATTATACGTCGCCAATGCAGCAGCCTCGTTTGCATCGAACGTGTACAGGTCTTTCATGATGAACTCCTTGGCCCTAAGTAGTCCCTGACGCGGCCGCTTCTCGTCCCGATACTTTCTCGAGACTTGGTACAGACGCAGCGGAAAGTCCTTGTAGGACCGGCAAAGGTCCGATACCAGAGCCGTAATCTCCTCCTCATGAGTCGGCGCAAGCAGGAATTTCGAATCCCTATGATCCTTGATCTTGAAGAGCTCCGAACCGTCCTCGTAGCGTCCGCTCGTCTTCCATAATTTCTCCGTCGTGATGGACGATAGAGAGAGTTTGGACGCGCCAAGGCCGGTCATGTGCTTGTCGATGAGTCCCTCTAGCTTGCTTAGAACGCGGAGGCCGAGTGGTAAGAAATGGAAGAGACCGGAGCGGGCCTGTCGTATGAAGCCAGCTTTCACTAAGAGGGCAACGCCCTTTCCTTGCTTCTCGATGGCATCGTCTATGCCGCCGGTTGGAATGAAGAAATTTGATAATCGAGTACGGCCATCAGTCTAGATGCATATTAGGTAAGTCAGCGCCTCAAGCTTGTATGCGTACTGTGTAGCTTCTATGAGAGAAGCCTGTGACTTTTGTTATTATATTCGAATGCCTACGAGAACTCTGGAGGCATCTCAAAAGAAGTGTCATTATCTCCCATCCACCACAAAAACTCAGTAATAAATGATACAATGAAACATACGAAACAGAGGAAGAAGGTGAGAGTAGCGGTAGATGGGAAATTACTAAATGTATTCACACTACTTGCAGAGGATATAGGTGACTTATATTTGTTAGGGACAAATAGTGACTAGCGCAAACCATAGCCCTATCCATGTTCGTTAGAGAAATGAATCCATGCATGTCGTCCTACCGAAGTTCTACCGCAGGAAATTGACAAACGACGAAACTCTGTAGATAGATAACCTCACAAACGTTCGTCAATTCGCGCCAGCGGATTGTCGTTGATATGTTAGACATCCTTCCTGAGAAGATACATCCAATGCTAATCTGATCTCAGATACCCACCATGCCGCCACGAATACCTCTCAGTCCGCAATGCTCCCCTGTCGCCCGCACACGACTCCCATCAACACCACAAAGATGTCACTACGCATACCTCGCAATGCCAAAAGCACCCGAACTCTCCTTCGAGCAAATGGCACAATCCGTCTCCCCAACATCGCACTACCCGCCCACGCAACCCCCCTCCCACAAGCCCCCGGAGTACCGCAAATCCCAGCTCCTCCGCCAATACACCTCCCTCCTCCGGTCCACACCACTCATGCTCCTCTGGCAACACAACAACCTCCGCGCGATCGAATGGATGAGCATCCGCCGCGAGCTCAGCGTCGCCCTCGCCAAGGTCGACGCCCAGCTCTCCACCCCCGAGAACCCCATCTCCTACGCGCCCGCCATAAAGCTGCAGATCGTAAAGACAAACATGTTCAAGCCCGCGCTCAAAATCGTGCATTTCTACAAGCCCGACGCACTGGCAACGGACCCGGAGTTGGCCAGCTCGGCGCAGATGCCGCATGCCAGACTCCCGCCTGACGACCCGTCCTGGACACATTCGCTCTCGCGTAATGCGCATACGAAGACGTTCCGGAAGAAGTTGCCTCAGGGGATGGAGACACTGCTCACGGGCCCGGTTATGTTGACGAGCTTTCCAGCCGTGTCGCCGCAGCATCTTGCTGCGGTGCTGAGTGTGCTGTCTCCATCGAAAGACTTTCCGGCGCCGAAGAAGCGGACGCGGCCGTCGTACTATGATGCGCATGTGCAGTCTGGGCTGCAGAAGTTGTTCCTGCTAGCGGCGCGGGTGGATGGGAAAGTGTTTGACGAGGCGGGCGTGAAGTGGATTGGTGGCATTGAGGGTGGGCTTGATGGGCTGCGAGCGCAGCTTGTCGGGATGTTGACGAGTATTGGGTCGCAGCTTACGAACACGTTGGACAGTGCAGGGAGGAGCGTGTATATTACTATGGAGGGAAGGAGGATGGCGATGGAAGAGGAGCAGAAGGGAGGTAATGGAGAAGAAACAAGTTCGTCTTAGGTTGAGTGCAGGGCGTGGACTCAGCTTGTATCATATCATATACATAGACGACCTTATATGTACAAACTCGATTTATCGATCGAACAAATCTTTCACTAGGTATATTATTGTGTCAGAAGCTCGTGTTGACACTGTCTATAGTCCTGGGTATCATAAAAGCAGTACGCAAGCTGAGGCAGACATGCAGATAAACGCTATGAGCCAAATCATGGCCAAGAATTATGTGGCGTTTACCTACTTGTCATCTGCCCTCCTACGTTGCCGCGTCTTCTTTGCAACAGTGGCCGGTTCATCCTCCTCTTCGTCTCGTCCCTTTATTAGGTCGTCGTCTAAACCCCATTCCTCCTTGTCGTACCAGTCCTCGCCATCGCTCATTTCACCAATATGGCCCTCTGCTTTACACCAAGCAAGCACATCTTTCCTCATGCGATTTGCCTTGACTAAATCAGCATTTAGTTCTTCGGAGCATCTGACAATCTCTTCGTGTTTTTGCACAAAGATGAGTAGACATTGCCGTGTTTCTTCTGCTTCTTGGGGCGGTAGTCCGAAATCAGTATCAGGGAGTATATCTGTAGGGAAGTCGAAGAATGGATGTATGGCTGGAATCGAATTTGGCGTCGTAGGGGGTGAGGGATCCTCTACTTGCGCACGAGCGCGAGTAGTCATACGATGTGTAGGCTGTGAGCCGGAGTCGTCATCAGCATCGTCTGCGGGCGAAGCCTGATTACTGCCTTCTGGAGCAGTTGATTCTTGCGGTTGTTCACCATCGACAGCTGCTCCACTTATTGTCGAAGGAGTTTCCGTGACAGTGCCGTTGACGGTGTCCTCGCTCGTGAGCTTCACAACAACCATTCTGTCTGATGTAGCTGTCTTATGGTCATTCGGGGTCTCTACTCCTTTTACATCTGCCATGTCCACATCAACGATCGCATTGTGCACATGACCGTTGGTGGTCTGGGCAAGTCCCCGCTCGAGCCCATTTGATCGAATGGGTGCTGGCGAGTCCGATTTCCGTCGTATTGATCCATCTACGGAGCCTCGACCATTACGAAATTCGGTGCGCGTTCTTGACAAGTCACCGTATGGAGCATTCAAGAAAAGCTCATCGTAAGCGGTTCCAATCTCGCCGCATGGTATCCAGGTAATGTCGCCTCTTATTGTTTGTAGAGCATTCTTAGCTTCCCATAGCGAAGCATGTTCTCTGCGCATCAAGCGCTCAGATTCTTCGGTAAGTGTACTCAGGTGTTTCGAAGTGTAGGCTTCTGCCATGCTAGGATGGTCTGGTAGAGCGGCGGCAGACGTTAGGGGAGCGAGAAGATCTGGCAGATTCAGTGAGCGGCGATGAATCCTGCATAGTGCCTTGTGACATACGTTCTAACTTGATCTCGCCATATGGATTGTCTTCATTTGGCGACAAGTCCGGATCGCTCTCTTCATACTCGTCGTCTTCGACAACATCTCCATCGGCATCAAATTTGAGTGGATTTAAGCCCAAAACGTTTCGGTGATAGCCACCGTGTTCGATTTTCTGTTTGCGTGCTCATTAGCATTGAGGGATAATATTGCTAGAAACTAGAACACCCACTCTTTTCCAAGCCGGAGGACCGTCAATGCCAGCAGCACCAGGCTCTCGCGTGTACCGAGCTTTGCGTTTGAGATTATAAGAGCGTCCCATATCGGGCAGGTTGCCATCATCGGAGTCGGTAACTGTGAGGTGTAGCATTTAGCTGCGAACGCGGCAGGCCGAGAGACTTGACGTACGTTCTGCCTTTCTTCGAAGCGCAGATTTCAGACCCGAGATGGCGATAGCGAACTGCGCTTGTTGTGCAGCCATGTTGGACTGTGTGCATAGGAATATGCGAGAGGTGAAGGAGGTAGAGCGCAAGTGTTTGCTGGTGCAGTGTAGAGCTTTGAAGTAAAGTGAGTGTGGGAATGCGGAGAGAAGCCGGCACGCAGCTTCGCGACCGTCCATCCCGTGGAATAGGTGACCACATCCTTGTACCTCACTAAGCCAGTCTCGGCCTAGCGTCTCGGCCGTGATTCTTCAAGGTTTAGGGCAACTCTCAAACGCCTTTGCACGTGTACAGCATTGGAACCTCCTGCAGGCGGATATCATATTCGTGGTGCCTCCTCTATCAACAGACGCCGTCGATACGAAGAGCGTAGATTGCAGGACGTGACAAGGCGCAGATTCACTGTCTCAGGACTGCCGTGCCAAATGTTCGTTCTGCACCATATCGATTACCGGATACGCGTCAACTTCAGGGCAGACTCTGGAGAGGTCTCAAGCCGTTAATGGCTTAGAAGGCGCAACGACTCTGGGACAATGGAAGCATATCCAGATGATTATGTTGGGCATAACCTACCCCTGGTCGTGCTCTCGGGGTTAGGGACAGATTTGCCGGTAGAGGAGCATTCAAGCTCGTACGATTTCATGCTGGAGACCGCAACGCATATCAAGTCACCGACCGACATACCACCCATACAGGGCGAGCGAGCCGATCTGCTCTTGAGAGAGTTCATCAATGCAGATGGGCGCAGAGCGGCCTGGAATGCAAGGGCTCGTAATGCGAAGGGCGGGAGTGTCTGCACGCGGTTCAAGGCCATTGGGAGAGTATGTATACCTGAGTCTATACCGACTCTGCCTCCTATTAACAACCAAAAAGGAGTTTGTCTTACCTCCACACAAAGCCGCACCTCCTGAACTATCTGATGACCTGATTTTATCGACACATAATTCTCAAACCTCCTCATGGATCTTGCACTCACCTCTATCGCCTTTGTCTCCCAGCTCACCGCTTTATCCGGACGGTGTGATGAGCCCGGCATGGATTGCAAAGCATCAACATCACATTCCTGCTGTATTCGTTTCTTTTTTCAACTTCAAAACCTCTGACCCTAGTAAGAATGACTCGCACGATAAACAGCTAATCGATGAGATATCCGGGATCAAGTCTGTTCTTCTTGAATACAAGATCAGGTATGTGGTGGTCTTCCTCAGCGACACGACCATCATCCAGTCTCCGGAGATCGAGGACAGGTTAGCAAGTATTCGGAGAGCGAACAGTCTAGATCCGAAGAGCTCAATGTTCTTTATCCCCCCCAATACGTCTACGAACGAATTCCCAACGTTTGTCCAGACAGTACTCGTCACTTTACAACCACTATGCGTCGAGTACTACAGAGACTTGACGAAGCATGCTCGGCGGAAGAAGGGAAGGGGAAGTGTGCCTCCCCCAACCGTACCACCCACCCAAGGTACGTCTCGGACGCTCTCCAACCAGGGATGGGGAATGCGATATGACTTTAAGTTGGGGGTATTTGCCGAATTCCGCCAGGAAATGGATGCTGCGTCACGACATTACAATATTGCGCTAGACTCGGTTCTTGGTCCTGATGGCATTTTCGAAACTTTGCCTAGTTGGTCGCCAAGATGGGACGAGACTCGGATGCTTGGAGATGTGATTGCGGTCCGATTGATCCGGTGCTTACTGTGGAATGACCAGCCCACTTCAGCTGTCCAGGCGTGGTCGATGTACCGAAGAAGGATGCAAAGTCTGCTGGACAGAAGAGGAAAGGGAACTTCCAACTACGGCTGGGCTGCGTGGGAATCACGATGGGCATGTATCATGGCCGAGATTGTAGATCGGGCGGATTTGCCTGTCTTCATAGTGCGGGAGCCGAGAAGGGATGGCGGCGCCCCGGGTGCTCGTGTGAATGCGCTTTTCTCGCCTCCTGAGAAGGCCTTCCCGGTTGGTGAAAGGTTACAGCCTTGGCAACTGTTGCACCATCCGGGCTATTGGCTCAGACTTGCAGCAAACCATGCCAGACGGAGGAGAGATCTCTCAGAAGAGATGCCTGAAGAAGACAGGGTCTTGCCCAGCCAGGCGGCGGCGACAAAAGGGGCAGATCGCTACGCATCCTACGACCTATATCTCGTCCCACCGCCTCATATCGAACAACCTCTCGAGGGCAATGATGGTTACGACCATTGCAGTGAGATTTCTGAGCTTCTAAATCAAGCTATCAGCCAATACTTTGCTCGAGGACAGCAGAGATTTGTTGACCGATTGAACCTGGAACTGGGATGGGCTCTCCTTCATGGCAAGAGATACTCCGACGCCCTCAGTGTGCTGAAGCCATTATGGGAGGGAATGAGTTGGCGGACGGAGGGGTGGTGGCACCTTGCGTCTGCCGTGACCTGGGCCTTGAATGAAAGTGCATTCCACTGCCAGGAGGCCAATGTTCTCGTCTGCACAGAGTGGGAAATCTTGTCTAAAAGTAAGCCAGGATATTACGCGTTCCTTGTATCAGTTCATTGACAGTTTCTCAGCGTTACCCAGTCGGTCAGAGCGCACACACGACCTCATGAAGTGTCTTGACCCAATACTTTCGGCTTATCATGGTATTGAGAAGACTCGTATAACACTATCATCCTCGACCTCTGTCTCTCCGTGTAAGTTCTTCTGCCCCTTGCTGAACTGTTACTGAGAATAGTAGTGCATGTAAACTTTGCCTTTTCAGCTCTCGAGGGCCATGTTGGCGAGCCGCTGCTCGTGCAGTTAGTTCTGACTTCACACGCGCGCAATGGCTCGAAACCTTTGTTGCTTTCTGAGCTGTTCGTGTCTTTTAAAGGATGTATCAGCGAAGTCCGACTTACGCACTCGGCTGCATCTGACAGCACTGGTGCGTCTACGGTACAGCAGATAGTTCTCCAAGAAGCATCTGCGCAGCCCCGCCAGAGCTATTCGCACGTCTCGAAGTGGACTGGCGAGGCAGATCTGTCAATACATGCCGGCCAAGTCAAGGCTTTCAACTTCCCGTTAGTCTTCAGGGACGCCGGCGATGTCACAGTGACAGGGACTACACTAAACATCGACGCTGAGCAGTTTGTCCTCAGTTATAGCACAACGCCCAAAGAGAGCCATATACCCCCAGCATGGTGGATCAAAGGTGCTCGAGGAGTCCGGCCAAAACAGCCAAGTCGAGAAGTTGGCATATGGACACACATCCTCCCGAAGCCACCCAAGATGGACATCAACATATCCAACCTCCAGAAGCAATACTACACCGACGAGCCTGTCACGCTCGACATCGAACTCTTCAACCACGAGGACGAGGACACCGAAGCCGTGATTGAAGTCCGCCTCCTCGGCGGCGCAAAAGAAGCCCTTGAATTTACCTGGCTTGCGCAAGACACCACGACATCCCAACCTTCCGCAACTCCCAATGCAGTAGACCTCCCAGGACACCAAGTCGGCCGCCTCTCCATCAACGAACGCCGCACCGAACGCATCCACCTCGGCGCGCCCACCGAGCCGTCCGCGTACGCAATGGAGATCAAAGTCCTCTACCACCTCCTCTCCGACCTCTCCACGCCCGTCTCCAAGATCCTCACCGTAGACCTCGTCTTCGCCTCGCCCTTCGAAGCAAGCTACGACTTCCTCCCGCGCGTCCACCCAGACCCCTGGCCAAGCTACTTCGACCCATCAACAGCACGCTCCCCGCCTGACCTACCCACCACCCCCGAACCCGCAACCGGTATCCCCCAGGCATGGCTCCTGCACGCCCGCATCGCCTCCTTTGCCACATCCCCGCTCCTCATCATAAGCTCGTCCATCATCCCCAAGTCTATTCCCCCAGGAACAACCCTGCACACCCGCAGCACATCTCCAAGCGCCTCCACCGCCGACCCAGTTCCCATCGCCCCACACGAACTCACAAACCGCTCCTTTGCCCTCACGACCCGCAAACAAAGCCTCGACGAACGGCGTCCGGCGACGCTCGATCTCAGCCTCGCAATAACATGGCGCCGGCCTTCGTCGCCCGCAGATCATGCAATAACAACCACGCTCCCCATCCCCGCGTTTGCCCTCGCCGGCGCCGAGCCCCGCGTCCTGGCATCCGCACATCCAAGCCCTGTACCTACAGCCACAGCCACAAGCACAACCACCAGCACATCTACATCCACATTCCCAAATACAGCAAGCACAAGCACAAGCACCACAAGCACATCCACATCCCCAAATACAACAACAGCAAGCACCACAAGCACAAGCACAAGCACAAAAACACAGATAATCCACCTAACATACACGCTCGAAAACCCAACGGCACACTTCCTGACGTTTGAGCTCGGGATGGAGGCCAGCGAGGAGTTTGCGTTTGCGGGGCCCAAGGTGCGGCGGGTGGGGATTGTGCCGCTGAGTCGGCGGCGGGTTGTGTTTGCTTTGCTGCCTGTGCTTGGGAATATGGGGGTAGGTGCAGGTGTTGGGGATGGTGGAGACAAGGGCAGGTGGATTAATCCGGTGCTCAAGGTGACGGATAGTTATTTCCACAAGACGCTCAAGGTCGTTGCAGCAGAGGGGTGTAGGGGGGAGAAGAAGGGGGTTGGGGTGTGGGTGCCGGAGTGAGTGACATCTAAAGTGAGAGCAAGAGGGAGATGGAGATGACAATCTTATTCTTATCGCGATACATGCATGCATAGAAATCGGTCTATTTTGTTCCTGTAGCTGTTCTTGCTGCTGCTGCTGCTGCTGCTGCTGCTGCTGCGGCTACATCAAGTAGTGTGTCTAGACTGGCGTGGTATAATGCTACAACCCTTGCCCCAGTATATGCCCAAATCTCTTTTAATGTGTGTATAAATATCCAAGCATGTGCCAATTGCAAGTGCTAGGTCTATCATTCATATCGTCTTCTTCGATGCTCCGTTTCCGGCCTGCACTCTCCGCGGTATTCGCTCGACGAATGGCAGGCTTGTAATCAGGCGGGGCCAGTGCATCTCGTACTCGTCCTGCTTGCCGTTCAGGCAATGTCTCAGCCAGACGCCCCATGTAATGTAAAAGTATGCGCCCGTGCCAGTCATCAGATGCCACCAGCCGTGGCCCTCGAGCAGGATGCCCCAGGGAAGACCAATCTCATGCCTCCAGCTGCGTATTGTCGAGCAGAACTCGTTGTCCAGGTTCCAGATCGCAAAGCCCAAGAGGAAGATGAAGAGGCCGTATCCAACCATGGCCCACATTCGGATCAGAATATCCCTGTCCCTTACATCCCTCCGCTGTAGCTCTGCGGTCGGCTCGTGGCTCAGCTTTCCCATTTTTGATTCTATGTCTGCGAGGTCTCGTTTGCGCTTTGCGGAGGAAGGGCGGAGGGCTTGCTCCATGACGAACATGCTACGAATGAGGACGATGGCGGTCAGGATGGCGTATGCGTTCTGGTGAAAGTCTGGGTCTTGCAGATAGTGGTAGTAGAGGGTGATGAAAGCCGCGAGGGCGAACAGGGCTATTCCAAGCAGCACCTGGAAGCGTCGGCTGTGTCCGTGGCCGAAGCAGGCCCAAAACATGAGGCATGTCGTGTATATCATGGAGAGTTCATCGACGAGCTGCATTGGGTCTGAGAAGCGCGGGGTCATTATTGAGCATGGACAGTGCAGCGGCTATAGCGATCTTACATTTGAGCGTCGCGTGGAAGGCAAAGCTCCCGCTGCCCACAAGGAAATAGCCACAGAAGGTCACTAAGAATATGGTATCGTGGCCGTTTCTCAGACAGCTCCGAACGCCAAGTATAGCGAGATATATAAAGAGCAGGTTGGTCAGGGTGTTGACGATCTCAGCCGAGTATGGGGTAGCATAGTAGTCCTGTCAGCAATTAGTTTTGCGCGCTTCAAGACGGTGGATTGGGATCTCGCCTCTTCGCACCAGTTCAAAGTGGAGGTGACTGGAAGCCAGTATCCAGTCTTCGGAGCTGGGTATGGCACCGAAGGCAGCTTCTTGAACATGTCGAGTATCGCCATGGTTCTGGATATATATGTGGTGTCTCGGTCGAGAGATGGAAGAGAAGAGCGTCAGGTCAAGGAGACAGAGTTATTTCTAAGATTCGGAAGCTGCGGAAAGATGATGCGGTGCGGACCGTCGAACGAACGGGTACTGTACTGTAGTTGGGGTCAGGCACACGAAGGAAGTAATGAATAACAGGCTCAGCAGAGGTGGTCCGAGGTGGCCATGTCTGGATGGTAATAAGCGAGGTAATAGTGAAGATGAGGGAGTTTGACAGGAATGTGTGAGAGAAGGGTGAAAGGAAGGATTGATAGGAGTAATAGCAGACAGAGGTCACTGTTGTTGCTTCCGGTTCAGGCAGGGACAACTGGAGAACTTCACATGCAGGAAAGAATGGAAGGCGCCGGTGAGCCAAGTGACGTAACGTGGTCGCATCGCGCCTGCTGCAGCCAGGACCGACTTACCAGTAATTAATCAGGCAGCAACACAAATACCTCAATTACCTGTTAGCAGGCAGCAAGGCATCCATCGGCGGGGACCCTGAGGCACCCATTCCCCCACTCTCCCACGTGACTACCTCCGATCGCGCGTCTTGGCCGCGTTCGCCTCGCGTGGCCGTCAAAAGTCAAAATGTTGCATTTGACCATCCATCTCCTTTGTCATCTGTGCTTAATCGAACGTCAAGCAAGACATCATGGCCATCCCAAACCAAAAGCTCCAGCAGGTGAGTCGATGGGCCGCGCCACTACCCTGCTGCGTACTTTTTCTACATGCTGCTAACGTTCAGCCTTGTCGGGCGGGTGATTTAGCTGCTGGAAGAGATTGAGCAAAAGGCCATGTTCTCGCAGCAGCAGATCAACATTGTCAAGTCCCAGATGGCAGCCAAGAACCGGGAGAGTCGTATGGTGCAGCTGACGGCAACGGAGCTGAGCAGTCTGCCCAAGGACACGAACGTATACGAAGGCTGTGGCAAAATGTAAGGCTGAGGAGGAGCTACGCTGCTGCATCCCTTGCATGTATGTGGACGGGTGGAAGAAATAATTCTCACGCATGCCAGGTTTCTGTGGAGCCCGTCGGACGAAGTGAAGAAACGGCTTGCGACGGAGAACAGCGAGCTCAAGGCAGATGGCGAGAATCTGGGCAAGAAGCTGCACTATTTGGAGACGACGTACAAGAACAGTAAGGATGGGATCGAGAAACTGCTACGGGCTGGGCAAGGAGGGGCCTGAAGGGATGGACCATCACTCGTGCTTTGGCATCCATCTCTACAGTCTGCAGTCTACAGCAAGACAGCCATATGGATATGGAAGTTGGAGCAATCAGATAGAGCAGGAATGATATCCAGTCCAGTGAAAATGATGCGTCGACCGAAAAAAAAGAGACATTGGAAGGAGGCACAGTGAGCGACGAGAGACATGTAGTAGCAGTAGTAGTGTGCACGCGATGATTGATGTCAGAGGTATTGATGAGGCTGGGAAGAATGATAGGACGACATGGGCCAATCCTTGTGCTTGGGCATAAAACTGGCCCCCAGGCATGGATGCAGAGTGTAGTAGACGGCATCATCAGCTGGTGGAGGCCTCGATCGGGCACCAGCTTCATTCATTCGCAATTGCACGGCGACGTCAGTGTCTGGCGAGGTTGGGCAGGAGATTGCGCAACAGTGATATGGATTCCTCTCAGCATGTCCCAGCGTCAGTGCGATATGATGTCGATGTGGCTGGGAAGTGAGTGAAGGGTGCTAGGATGGTCCATGCTAGAAATAGCAGCACGACGCCCGCTAGCAGTAGCAGTAGCAGTAGTAGTAGTAGCAGTAGCAGCAAGCACCAACAGCCGCTCGGCAAGGCGACTGTGGACTCAAGCAGTGGAAATGCCAATGCCAATGCCCAAACCACCACCACCACCACCACCAACCAACATGAATCAATCTCTCACACTGTCCGTCTCATCAACCGCCAGTCCAGTACGTACTGCGTCTGCTCATGATGGTCGTATACTCGAATAGCCCAGCGCTTCAGGATGGATGAAGATGAATATGGGCTAGCAGCTAATTAGCTACAGCGCGCGCGCGAGAGAGAGAGAGACCTTGGGCTGCTGCGCCTGGGGACATGCGACATGACATCTGATGGATTCATCAATTAGTACTAATTAATGATTGATTCTCGAATCTTGGATCAGCAAACGGGGGCCAGACAGGGTGCACGTTGCTTTTTGTTTGTTTCTGACGGCTCTGGCCATGCATGATAGATAGATATAAAGGTCTGGCTCAGCCCTGGACTGACTTTTGGCTGATTGCCTATCGAGAGCATCCATCCGTCTTATAATTACACCGTTCACTGCACTGCACTGCACTGCACTCCTCAGCTGACTTTGCTGCGTCGTCGTCAGCTGCAAGACATTGACGCCCTCTCTTCTTGTTCTTGTTCTTGTTATTACCATTATTGCTGTTATATCATTTCATCCGCCGCCGCCCCATCGCTCTTCTCTCGTCTCTTCTGCTATTATTCATTAGCCATTAGCGCCACTCACTGTCTGGCCGCGAATCCTTCGTCGTTATCGTGTGCCCCACCATCCCACCAACGACCGAGAGAGCCATCAGCCGCACGACTCAAAACTGCTGCTATTTTCACCCTTCAAAACCTGTCCAAGCCCCCGTCTTCTTCTGATTCTTGTCGACTCTCCGAAAAACTCCTCTCACCTGTATTTCAGTCGTCTTGTTTACACATCACCCCCAAAACACCACAAACATGCCCGCTCCACCAGGCGCCTGGGACGAGGAAGACGAGTACTACAGCTCTGACCGCCACTGGGGTGCTCGCTATGTCAGACCGCCACCACCACCACCGCGACCGTCATATCTGGATCCTCGAGCTCCTGGAGGCTCGCGCGCCGACGTCTCATATGGTCTTCACCGTTCGCGCTCTCAAGGCCATGCCCCGGCTCCAAACGTGACCATCTACAACACCGTCGATGCCGACCAACAACCCTACATCGCCAACAGCCCTAGCGCCAGAAACACGTCTCGCGGACGACCTCAACCCGCATCGAGAGACTGGGAGCTCGAGGATCAGCTGGCCGAAATGCGCCTCGAGATGGCGCGCCAGAGGTCACGGTCACGTGGCCAGGCAGATCACTATCACGAACACCACCGCAGTGGCTCTCACTCCCCGACATACAACAAGCGGATCGAACTTGAGCTGGCCAAGGAGCGATTGCGGATGAAGGAGGAGGAGCTTGAGCGGGAGAAGCTGGAGGAGCAGATCAAGCGAGAGTACGAACTGCGGCGCGAAAAGGAGGCCCGGAAGCGCCAAGAACGCGAAACCGAAGAGGAAGCCGAGAGGAAACGCATCATTGCCGAAAACACAATGAAGCTCGAGAGAGCCGAGCAGGAGCAGAAGGCGGCACGGCAGCGGGCCATTGACGAGTGGTCCAGGAAGAAGGCTGAAGAAGAAGCGGCTGCCAAGGCGGCCCGCCAGAAGGCCATAGACGACTTCAACAAGAAGACGAGCGAGGAAGAAGCCGCAAGGAAGATTGAGCGCCAACGGGCCGTCGACGAGTTTGAGCGGAAGAAGCGCGAAAAGGCGGAAGAGGAACAGGCCGCCAAACAGCGCATCATCGACGACTACGAAGCCAAGAAGAGTCTCGACGCGAAGAAGCAAAAGGAGCAGGAAGAGGCTCTCCTGGCGAAGCTCAAGAAGCAGGAGGAGGAGAAGAAGGAGAAGGAGAAGAAGGAATGGGACGAGTTCCTGGCGAAGCAGAAGAAGCTCGAAGAGGAGGAAAAGGCCAAGAAGGAGGCGGCGGAGAAGGAGTTTGAGCAGAAGATGGCCGAGCGCCTCATGAAGTCCGGCTTCCAGCAAAACCAGATCGACGCCATCACCAAGCCGGAAAAGCAGCAGCACCTGCCTCCAGGCTTCCTGCCGAACAACCCTCTCCAAGCCCCTGCCCATGCCCATGCCCCTGCCTTGGCCCCGGGCCCGGGCCCGGCCCCCGGCGGCCACCAACCCACCTTCATCAAGGTCCACCGCGACCATCTCTCGATCGACACGCTAACCTACTTTAACATTCCATGGCGCTACGACGAGGTAAGCTTTCTCTCCCGCCATGAACTTGTATCCCAAACAATTGCTAACAACAAGGCACCCAGTACGACCGCAACTACTACATCATCCTGCGCGAAATGGACAACACGGAGACGGACATGCTGTTCGAGCATACCCGCCGTCTGCGCACACGCACCACCACCTCGCTGCTGATCGAGGAGCGCGATTCCCGCCGCGGCAAGCCCGAGTATGCCTTTGTCCGGCACAAGAGCAAGACGCGCGCCGTGTCGCCGAGTCCGGCCCGGCGGCGGAGGAGCTCGCCGAAGACGGTGGGCCTGCGCCTGTTCTGACTTCTGAGTGCGTCTTGTCTGGCCTGTGAATTGAACTATGGAAAAATAACTACGTCCCTTTTTTTTTTTCTTTGGCACTTGGAGCGAGCGTGTTTGGGCATCTCTCTTTGTCTCTGCTTTCTCGAGCGATCGATCATCCAAAGTCAGCGACCCGGGGGGGAAGGGATTTTTATATCCGATTTTTGGCTGTTTCATCATACTTGGAGACACGATTTGTTGGGTTGGGCATTTACATCTACATACATACAGTTTGACATGTATGTTCGGACGATTTTCTTGCACAGGTTGTCTGGGAGGGCGGGGAGGGGCAGCGGAAAGGGGGATCTAGGGGGTGCCAGGAAGGTCTCTCTAGCTGTCTTGTTTCCTCTCATACCTGTGTCTAGATAGCCAGGCAGGTGTGAATGGACGAGTAGTTTTTGTTTTAGGAAATCTATATATATATATACATGATACATGATACATTGATACACCCACACATGCACATGCACGTACGCGCGCGCTTCCTTCAGCGAGTCAGGTCGTGAGCCAGCAGAGAGTTTCCACAACAGCCCGGTAAAATAAACACCAAACGCCATGCTCACTCACACCATCTATTCACCCCCTCTCTTCACACACACACACACTCTCTCTCTCTCTCTCTCTCTCCCCCTACGAACCTCACCCAAATCACCCCTCCACCCTTCTGATAATCTCCTCATACACCGTCCACGCCAACGCACTACTCATCCCCTTGCGCACCACCCGAATCCCCACCCCCTCCATCAACACCCCCCACCCTTCCTCCCGCACCATGCGCGCCCCGGCTCCAAGCATATGCCCGTACACGCCCGGAAACAGCTGAATGCGCGTCTTGATGGCATCAAACGGATTCGTCGCCGCCGTCGCTCCCACGCTCGCCGCCACCGCGCTCGAGAAGTTTACCGCTGCGTGGCTTGTTGCGCCTGCTGTTCCTCTTCCTCCTCCTCCTCCCCCTGCTCCTCCTCCTCCTCCTCCTGCTCCACTGTCCGCATCCCCACGAGGGGAACCAAGAAACACACCCCCAAGCCTCTCCTTGCAAATCTCGTACCCGACGACGTAGAGCCCCGCATACGGCGCGTCGCGCACGGCCGTCGCGCCGAAGCCCGCGAAAAAGCCGCGGATGCCTTCCGTAGTGTAGATGTGCCGTGCTGCGCGCGTGAGGGAGGTGTAGGTCTGGGTGTAGACTGTGGATTCGAAGCGGACTTTGACGATGGTGATGGGCATCATGAGGAGGCCTGCCCAGGTGCGTGCTGCGGCGCCGGTGAGGAGGTTGAGGGTTGGGTTTGTGTTTTTGGTGCTACTACCACTTCTACTGCTGCTGCTGCTGCTACTGCCATTGTTGTTGTTATTGTTGTTGTTGTTGTTTGTGCTGGTGCTGGGACTCGGACGCGGACTCAGATTCCCAAACCCGACGCGCAGCGCGTTGAGCGCGGAAAAGTAGAGCGCGCTGCCGAGCCCCGTGCGGACGGCGGACGGGATCGTGCCGCGCCAGAAGTGGCGGATGGGCGTGGGGCCGGAGGCGATGGTGTGGATGGTGGAGAGGAGGGTTGTGGAGCGGGATTGTTGGACGCGGGTTTTGAGCAGGTCGGCGGGTTGGAGGAGGATGGCGGTTAGGATGCCGGAGGAGAGGCCTGCGAGGAAGTGGACTGTGGGGTTTGTGTGGTGGTTAGAGGGGTGGGTTGGGTGAGGGAGAGGGAGAGGGGGAGGAGGGAGACGTACAGGAGCCTGGGGCGTGGCGCTGGGGTTGGGTCGTCGACATTGTAGAGGTGGGTTATGTTGCTTTCATGGTGTTGAGGTTGGGAGGAGGTCGTTGCTTGGTAGGTCGAGAGGGTTGAGATGAGGTTGGAAGTTTGAGAGAGAATAAGAGAGAGCGCGCGTATGAGTCGTTGCGCGTGAATTCGGGTCAGATATATATGTGTGTGGTCGTGGCCGTGGATTGACCGTTCTTTTCGGGATTAGACGATGCTTTCGTGAGGTCATCCACTCATCCTTGCACGCACGGCTCGCTCCCCTAGGCTTCTTGTTCGCGTTCGTGCCAGGTTTTTCATGTGAGACGAGCTCTACGTAACGATCTTAGGGAACCAGGATATCAATTGACGTCGGCCTGGCGTCGTCGGTCGAGGCAGGTGTGCTGTCGAGTTCTTGTCAAAACGTTGGTCTGCGCTCCGGCTCCGAGCTCCGACGTTTTTCTACGCCCTGCATCCAGCACCAGTTTCTTTCGGGAATAGCTCACACCCGCCTCGACAAAAATTTCGGTTGCATTTACCAGTCAAGGCTCTCTACTAGCTAACCTATCGCACACCAAAGCACCCCAAAAATCAAAACGTTAGGTCCTACCCGGATTCGAACCGGGGTCACCGGAAGATTCAATTGCACTGGCATCAGAATCCGAAGTGCTAACCAGCTACACCATAAGACCGTTTGTGCAATCTTCGCTTATGCAATATATATTCATATTTTTGTGAAACTCCTGAGCCCTATCACACAACGGATACGAATGCGCGAGTTCTGACGCCTCATCTAACGTCGACCACGGACTACATCAGTAGTAATAGAGTACCTCGCCACCATCCCTCTACACCAAGGACCTAGACAGTGATATTACACTATATACCAATGTTCTTACGCCAGAGCCCGTCCGATGGCTGTGGCAAGGTTGCGACCCCACCCACCCCTCTCGTCGCAACAGTAGAAGCACGCAAGATGCAACACCCATGACGCATTCGTTGCTGTATATATGACAAGGTAGTGATCAGTCGTAGAATACTAACCTTCCAGCTTACTCCATCGCACTCCCAAGTCTACGTTCCACGTCCATTCGTCATCATGGCCACTGCACAAGTCGTCTCTCCTAGTCCTGCAGGCCAGCCTGATATTGGCTATGCACCCGACCAGGACAAGTATCTCGCACGTGTACAGCGCCGTCTCCAACAGGAGCGTGAAGAGACCCAGAACAAGTCGCTTCCCCCTGGCTTCCCGAGAGAGCTCAAATCAGACCTTGTCTGGGATGGCAAGGATCTCGAGACAAAGTACGATTGGACGTACGAGCTGAATGATCAGGAAGTAGAGGAGATTGAGGCTGCACTGCGGCACTTCAAGAGCCTAAACAAACCTTGGGGCTTCATTGACCAGACGACGTTCCCCTTACCGAAGCTGAACCCCGTACTTCGGGACATTTCTAGAGAAGTGCACAATGGACACGGATTCAAGGTCCTGAGAGGACTGCCAGTCAGTAAGCACACTCGAGAAGAGAACGTCATCATCTATGCAGGTGTATCGTCACATATCGCACCCATCCGTGGCCGTCAGGACCATCAATATGACGGCAAGCCAGCGGACGTCGTGCTCGCTCACATCAAAGATCTCAGCAAAGTCATCGATGCAAGCCAGATAGGCGCGCCAGCATACACTACCGAGAAGCAAGTCTTCCATACCGACGTGGGAGACGTGATAGCATTATTCTGTCTCCAGACTGCTGTTGAGGGGGGTCAGAGCAAGCTATCAAGCAGTTGGCGAGTCTACAACGAGATTGCCGCTACGCGACCAGACCTCATTCGTACATTGGCAGAGCCATGGGCCGCGGAAGACTTCAACAACAAGGAGAAACCGTACAATCTGCGGCCACTGCTCCACTACCAACCGCCCACCGAAAACAGCCCTGAGAGACTCATCATCCAGTACGCCCGCAGGACGTTCACAGGCTACTGGGGCCTGCCGCGATCAGCAGAGATTCCGCCAATCACCGAAGCTCAAGCTGAGGCTCTGGACACGCTGCACTACCTTGCGGAGAAGCATGCGGTGTCTCTGGACTTTCGCCAGGGCGATATCCAGTTTGCCAATAATTTGAGCATTTTTCACGCAAGGGACGGCTTCAAGGATACGCCTGAGCAGCAACGACATCTGATCCGGCTGTGGCTCAGGGATCCAGAGTATGCATGGGAGACACCGGCTGCGAATCAGCCACGATGGGACAAGCTGTACAAGGGGGTCACGCCGGAAGCTCAGGTGTTCCCGTTGGAGCCTCGTGTCAGGAGTGCGAGTTCTGGGAAGAAGCTGGAATGATATATTCTGGTAGCTCTGGTACTCTAGCTTATAGAATGAACAAGTTCTTCGAGATTCAGATGCATTTTGGTTCGAGACCAAATGAACCCCCTGGTTGCAGCACGGTTGTGGCTAGCGCCCTTTTGCTCCATCGGAATCCATACCACATAATCGACGACTCGTAACGTCAGACCATACGGAACTACACAACAATAATCCCAATGAGGCTTCGACCTAAGGGTGAGCATCGTATGATTGACAGGCAGGACATTCTCTTTTTCCCAATGTGAACCTCGGTAATGTTAGTAGTCTGCACCAATCGGCTAATGATGTCACTTGCTATGTTGCTTCAAGTTATGTTGCGATGACCGGACTTAATAACTCCATCCATCAACATAATAAGAAACATACACTTGGTTCAAATTATCAATCCGTCAGAGCACAATTCACGATGGCTCCAACCCCATACACAATATCAGTGCCCGACGAAGCCATCGACGACCTCAAGCAAAGACTAGCCCTGACCAAATTCCCAGACGAGCTGGACGCAGACGACCAGTGGGCATATGGCTCTCCGCTCGCCGACATCAAGAGACTAGCCGCGTACTGGAAGGACGGATTCGACTGGCGAAAAGCCGAAAGCAAACTGAACGAGCTCCCAAACTTCCGGACCACCGTCAACATCGACGGCTTCGGAGACATCGGAATCCACTTCATCCACGCCGTCAATCCATCCAGCAACGCCATCCCCCTCCTCTTCTGCCACGGCTGTAAGTCCCCCTCCCTCCCTTCCCTCCCCCATACACCCTGTATCCCCCCCCCGTGCCCACCACCAACCCACTCACCCACCCAGGGCCCGGCTCCTTCCTCGAAGTAACCAAACTCCTCCCCCTCCTCCACGGCACCCCCACCACCCCAGCCTTCACCATCATCGCCCCCTCCCTCCCCAACTACGGCTTCTCCGACCGCACCACCACCCCGGGCTTCGCCCTCGCCCAATACGCCGAAACATGCCACAAACTCATGCTCCAGCTCGGCTACCCGCACTACGCCACCCAAGGCGGCGACTGGGGCTTCTACATCACCCGCACCATGGGCGCCCTCTACCCCGCCTCCGTCCTCGCCTCCCACATCAACATGATCCGTCCCGCCGGGCCCCCAACCCTCACATCCAACCCCTTGCTCGCCCTCCAGCACGCTCTCACGCCCTACACCCCCGCCGAACACCGCGGTCTCGAGCGCAGCAAATGGTTCGAGCGCGAAGGCAGCGCGTATAACCGCCTTCAAGCCACGCGGCCGCAGACGCTCGGCTACGCGCTGTCCGATAGCCCCGTCGCGCTGCTGGCGTGGATATACGAGAAGCTGCATGACTGGACGGATGGGTACGCCTGGACGGACGAGGAGGTGCTGACGTGGATTGCGATATATTGGTTTAGTAGCGCGGGCCCGGCGGCGAATGTGCGGATTTATTATGAGGCTAGGCATACGGATCGGGCGGCGCGCGGGTCGCGGCAGAGGGCGCATGGGTATGTTGGTGGGGTGAAGTTGGGGTTGGCGTATTTTCCGAAGGAGTTGGGGTTGTGGCCGAGGACGTGGGGGAGGACGATGGGTGAGTTGGTGCTTATTTCTTTGGGGTGGGGGGCTTTTGTGTGTGTTTTTGGGTGACTGACTGACTGACTTTGGTGTAGGGCCTGTGGTGTATGAGAGCGAGAATGATAGTGGTGGTCACTTTGCGGCGTGGGAACGACCGCATGTCATTGCGACGGATCTGCAGAAAATGTTTGGCAAAGGGGGCCCATGCTATAAGCTTATCAAGGGGAGGAGTGGGTATGATAGCACGACGGCTAGAGCTAATCTATAAGGGAGGAATGTACATGTACATCTGCAGGTAGTATAAGCAATACAGGAGAACCGAACGACTGGTCTCTACGCTCTGTTGATGGTGAGTAACGCCGTATTCTGATGAAATCACATACAAATATGTGTCACCCCTAAAGTGTTCTCCCAACGGCCTGAGCTAATCTGTAAGGGAGAAATGAACATGTATATGTGCAGGTAGTATAAACAATACGGGAGAATCGAACGACTGGTCTCTACGCTCTGTTACCCGTGAGTAACACAGTATTCTGATGAATACACATACAGACATGTGTCACCCCTAAACTGTCCTTAGGGTGGTCCTTTATATCCAACGATAACTGCACACAATCGTAACAGGTCAGATGGCTCGGTGGTGAAGGATGTATCCACAACAAGGGGTTCCTAAGGACTTGGGCGGCAGAACGTCATGGGATCGATCCCCATGACATGTCGTTTTGTATTTTTTTCTTTTTTTTTTTGGCAAAATTCCCCCAATCCCACACAAAGTCTTATCATTGACACGAACGGTATGAGCACGAGGAAATCCTTGGCTGGGTACATCAGACCCACGAAGCTTCTCTATTAACGACCGCCAATCGCCCCATTCCATGCGGACAAAGTTGAATGCCCGCAACGCCTACGCTATGTTGAAATCTATGGCGATTACATGCACCACACCTCCGCCCCCCCTGAATCTCCACCCCACCTATCCCTTCAATCGCCTCCCGCAGCCTGCCCTTACTTCCATGCCACACTGGCTCACACCCCAACCCAACAACAGCCATCACGGCAACCCTACGCCCTCTTCTTCCCCGCCGCCCCCCGCCGCTCCTCCCTCTCCCTATAAATCCTCTCCGTAAACGGATCCTCAAACCGCCTGGCAAAGAAATACATAACCGCGACATGCACCGTCAGCAGCACGCCCGCCGGCTTCGCAAAATACAGCGCCGAGCCCAAAAAACTGAGCGTCGAGCCATGATACATGGGCGCAGGCGTGACGCTAAACGGGAAGCTCGTCACGGGCTCGTCCATGAGGATGCCAAAGTAGTCGCCCAGATAGGTGCCCGTGACGCCGAGCGCCCACATCGAGCTGAGCACGAGCACGTTGCCGGTCAGGAAGAGGCCCCAGGAGATGTATTGGACCGTGGCGGTCTGGAGGGCCGGGTCGCTCGGTTGGCTGCGCAGCGCGCGCTCGTACAGGATGTCGCGGAGGATGCCGAGGGAGAAGATTGTGATGGCGAGGGCGTAGCAGCCGTAGTGGCGGTTGCCGCCGAAGAGTTTGGTGAGGAGTTTGTGGTGGTATTCTGGAGTAATCGGGGTGGTTAGCTTGGTCTGGTGGGTTCGTGGTGTGGTGGAGTGCGGATTTGGGTCGAGAAGACAACTCACCATTGTACGCAACGATGCTGGCATGACGTGTCAGCTGTGTTGATATAGATACTTAGCAGGCAGATTGGCTTACTTCCAAAACACAGGATTGAACGCAATAGACGCCGCAGAGACTACAACAAGCTGATCAACGACCGACCGACACATACAAGAGCGATCTACTCAACCATACCCCAAAGCTCCGGCCGCGAGAAATCGAATAGCTTGTCCAAGTCCATGGTGACGAGTCGTTTTTGCCAATTATCGTGAGACTGTCTTGAGTATGAAGAGTGCACAAAGGCAGAACAGAAGCGAAGCAGGCAGGCTAGAGTAACGAACGCTGCCTTGTTGTCCACGAGGCTAAGGTAATGTTGTGTTGAAGCTAGGTAGCAGGGCACACCCACGACGTCACTTATGATTGGTGCCGAAGATTTTCGTGGGGTAGCTCGCCCCCGAAAGGCCCCTCAACGGGCAGCCAACATAGAGGCGGCACTATGGTACACAGTAGGGAAGACTTGTCCAGTAATCATGCGCCATGAGTAGGACGTATATCGATTACAATCACGCATAGTATATAGTATATAAATCCAAAACAATTCACGTTTCCAGAACTCGGGGATTTCGGCCCTCAAATCAAGCCTCTCAACAGACCCTGCGTCCAGCTGCAGGACTGTAGGCAGGTCCCAGGTACGGGCAAATGCAAGAGCAGGCAGGGTTCATCGCTTTTACTCACAAGATTACCTCCATTCATAAAGGACCTCAGACTTCTTGCCAACATCTACCGTCTCATCGGTTGTATGGTGTAGAGGTTAGCACACCGGATTTTGACAGTGTTAAATATTCCGGCGACCCCGGTTCGAGTCCGGGTACGACCTTTTTTGCCTTTTCCGGCCTGTCTTTCTTGGAGAAGATCTCGTCTTAGCATTGCGAGAGCGTGTATTTTGCATATATAATCTACGAGTTACATGGGTTCTATTATGCGTGATACTTACTTCGTTACTATATATCTTCCTACTCTTGAATTAAGACCATAATATAGTCAGTCCATAATAAGTGGATTCATGAAGATAACGAAGTAATATGATTGATTGATTGTCTGTTGGACTGTACGTATATAATAGGCACACGGGTGAAGAGAACAGATGTCATGGTCATGATCGAGACGTGGGACCTATAGCCTAGCGTCTCTATCCGACGAACATACCGGATGCACTACACACACACACACACACACACACACACACACACACACACACACACACACACACACGACGATGAGGGAAAAGGTAAATATCCATTTGCTATAAGAGGATGCGCAAAGCGGAATTTTTGCCTCTTCTCCGCTCTCGACTCACCGTCCTCTCCGGTCTCTCTCCAAAACAACCGCTCCATCATGGCTCATGCCCGGCTAGCTGAGCTCAGCTCATACTACTGCCTGACCTCCGCTCTGCCACTCTTTCTCAACGAGCTCCGCTTCTCCAGCCTGGGATAACTACAAATTGGTATATTAAGCAAAAAGGAAGCAGGATAGCACAGTTAAAGCTTTATAACACGATATGACAACGCGTCCGACGACGTCCATATCAACACAAAAGGGGAGGATCCGGCGGTCCACGACAATAAAACATGTTTTGAGAAATCGCTCATCCTGTCCAAGGGCGTGGCGGCGGGTCGGTTTGTGTCGGTATGTGAGGGGAAAGTCGATGCTTATCCAAACACCGCATGCTCCAAGTTCGCCAGGTATATAAATTCAAGTATGCAACATGTAACGTAGTAAAACAGGGAATGCTCTCGTTAGTCGCTGAGGGTCGACGTGTTGCATTCCAGCTGATTGAAACAAAAAGCGTTCAGGCGGTCGTGAAACGGGACTCGACAAGTCTGCGGACCTTGGGTCCCAACTTCTTCGCAACCGGTGTCAGCTCTCGCTGGTTCTCATGCTCTTCAGCAGCAGCAGCTTCGTCTTCATGTTCGATAATCTTGGTGGGAACGGCGGGTTCATCGTTCTTATAGTGCTGTAGACTATGACGGTCTGGAGTAGTCGAGCTGCTCATCATCGACATTGATGTGCTAGAGCGGTTGTGGACTAAATCTGGGGTGGGAGGAATGCTCGAGTGTCGGTGAGAGGAGGTGATGACAGAGTCACCGTCACCGTACTCGCTGTTCATGCTTTGGTCGTGTCCATCATCTGATGGCGGGGCCTGCACGCTGTCATTCTTCTCACTCCTCATATCCTCGTCATCTGCCTGTTGAGCGAGATGAAGACCCTCAACGGCCGCCGCACATTGTTCCGAGATATTGCGGATGATGTAAGCAATGGCGTCGGTCTTGTCGCGAAGATGCTTGTCTGCAACGTCAATCATACTTTGATTAGAGAAACGTTTGCGGTTGACGGGACTGGAGAGAAGGCGTCGCTCCATGTCGGGAGATACGTCTTCGTTCTCGTGACTTTGAAGGTCAATGGTGCTGCCCCGGCTGACGGTACGAGTGGATGGTCTTGAAGACTGTCGTGATACTTGGTGAGATGCACGATGGGCGTGGGACTTTTCGGATTCGTATTCCATCTGGCCTTCGGCTTGCACTTCACCGTCAGCATCCTCAATGAGGTCGTCGAAGCCTTCTTGGAGGAGCTCAGCCAATTCCGGAGCGTTGGCGAGAGACTTGACAATGTGTTGCATATGATGTGCTTGACCATCAATCAACGCGCGCAGATGGAGGACAACACGCTGAGCTTCCTCGCGTTGTCGCATGATGGTAAGGTTGGTGTGCTGAAGTGCAGACAACTCCTTGGCGTTGCGCTTCCTTTCGCGCTCGAGCTCCTCGGCGATCTCTTGCTGGAGCACCAATGCTTCGAGGGCGTCGTCACGTTGCTTCTCAGTTCCAGATAGGCGTACGGTGAGTCGTGCAGTATCGTCCTTCTGTTGGTCGATGAGACCAGTCAGACGGCGATTTTCCTTCTTGTGGGTTTCAATCTTGGTCTTGAGATCTTGGGTCTCCTTGGTGAGCTGTTCAGCGAATGCCTGGAACTTGAGGAACTGTTGCTTCCAGCTCTCAAGCTCTTCGACGAGGAAGTTGTTACGCTTCGTCACCTTTCCAAGCTCGGTGTCCATGCGGCCCTTGAGGTTGATAAAGTCTTGCCATGCCTCCATCGCGTCCCGAGAGTACTGGTTGCGCTCGCGAACGATTTCGTTGAGGTGGCGCATGGAGACCTTGGTCATCAAAGGCTTCTTGACAGAACCACCAAAGATGGCCTTCATACCAGTGTTGCGACCAAGCTTTTCACAGACATGGTCCATGACAGTCATGACTGAATCCTGGTTCCACCAATCGGGATCTTGGATGCTCTCAACCTCGCCTTTCATGACGATGATCGTGCCAGCCGGAATAAGCTTTCCCCCACCATAAGCAGAGCGGAGGTGTTGTGGCACACCGGAAGGAGCAACATCACCATTCAAAGCCTGAGTAAGGCGGTTGATCATCTTAGTCCTCTGGCCTTGGCTCAGAGCTGTTGGAGGATCCGAGGTTAGGACGAAGTTGCGGTCCAAGTCAACGACAAGGGCATCGCTGGGCGCAGTGAAAAGGGTGCGGCATTCCGCTGTAACGCCTAGAATGTACGGACCAGGCTCTTGAACCAATTCCTTTGCGTGACGAGCGTGGACTACAGGCACGTACAAGCCACTCCACTCGTAGATACGGACGCAGAATCTGACGGTCTCGGCGGCGACGGTTAACATTGCTGGATAGTGAGACACGAATATGATTCTCCGAGTAGGAGAGACTGCAGCTTCCATGACACCCACAATGTTCGGGATAGAGAGACATTCGAACAAGGGCCACATGGCGAAATTCTGGAATCCTGTAGGAGACGATGGGAATTGATAGCAAAGCGCGTAGTCCTTCATGTCGATGCGGACAAGATCGTTCAATCTTGGGGCTGGGAAGCTCAAGATCCTGGATACCTCCTCAGCATGGAAGAGGTTGGTAGCTTTGTTCCAGTGAATCCACATTCCACGAAGGTAATCGCCCAGCAGATCATAGAGAGGATATCTGGAGAGAAAGCTGAGACAGTATGGAATCCAGTATGTGTCATCTGGGCTGTCGAAGAAGTCGGACTCGGTGCGCTTGCGGAGATCGCGGATTGTCTCAGCTCTCTTCTCATCTGCACGGGACCAGACACGAAGAGCAATGCCATATAGGGTGTGAGAGGAGTCCTGCTGAAGGACGAAGGAATGATGGACGCAGTGCGGCTGGCTCCTGCCGGTACAGATCTCTACATCGTGAGGAAAGCATGCCTGTGTTTGTGATTAGAGCTTGATGTGACAAAGGGATGGATGCTGGAGTACTTACGCGCATAGCAGAGTGAAGAGACCTGGCAATCTCATTGTCCTGCTCCAACCTAGGGCTGCTTCCAAGAATCTCAGGAAGCCAGAAAGCGCCAATTGCACCTTTCATGTGTCCAATCTTTCCTTGGGTTGGAGTAGGAGCCTTGACCCACTGGGATGGCTCACGGCCAACACCACATACCATGTAGGCATGAGTGAGAGTCTTGGGCGAGCGCTGGCCAGGCTTGATGTTCAGGGTCGAGGGTAGTGGTTGAGTGATTCTTGAATGCAGAGAAGAGGTCCTGCTGGGGATGACCAGACTGGTGTCACCTGCATCACGGGTTGGAGGGCGTTCGCTCGTTCGCGGACGCAGACTCAGAGAGGGAGCCATTGCGTACGAGGTCAATTGAAGTCGGACGACACAATTGAAGCTTCACACTGCTTTGAGCAGATGTAGCTCGAAGACTGTGCGAGAGTTGTCGAGGCTTGGTGGAAGGAATCAAAGGAGAGTCATGAAGGTGAAGAGAAGAAGAAGAAGGTAAGGGGAGAGGAAGTAAGCAGTTTGGACGACAGAACGGCGCCACTTCCTAGCGAAGAGAGGTGATGGTAGTGGTGGTGGAGTAAGAGGAGGAGGAGGAGTAGGATGATTGAACGAGTTGTGTGAGGTGGAAAGGAGTCAAGGACAGGGCTTGAAGGGGGGGGGGGGGGGGGGGTTAGGTAAGTGCTAGCGTAATAGTAGCGGCAACAAGCAATGAATTAACGTATGGTCACAGCGACTGGCCTGGCACCAAAAGATGTGACAGGACAGCCTTGGAGGAAGGGCTTCTTCTTCTTCTGCTACGTCTGGGGTGCCTTGAGCTTAACATTATTCTTGTTCGGCGCGGTATTGCAAGAATGCCCAAAACAGCAAAGTAACCAAGTCAACCAGTACAGGTGAGCAAGGATGGATCGTCCAGCTTTGCATGACTTATTCCGCTTCCTCTGCTAGTGGCCAAGGTAATTAGTGGAGTACAGTAAGTAGACGGTAGCTTAGGTTAGCTGCTGCAGGTCGTAGTGTAGTAATTAGTGTCTGCGCCGGTTAATCGACTCGGGAGCCTTCCCCTGACCGTTGGCCTTGCTTTCTCCTCTAATACACTGTACCATTATCACCCCGTTACTCTTACGCTTCTTCTGTTCAATTTCACTTTCACTCTAATATCACCTACTTTCGCCGGTCCTCTAGGGAGTTTTTTGGCCCGCTCCTCGCCTTTCCTACTCTCTTCCCTTCTCTCTCACTCTCACGCCCTCTCGCCACTGGGGCCGTCCCAGCGAAATTAGGGACAGTGGATGTCTGTGCTCCTTTCCACGACTCCACTCCTGTTCCGTTGCCGCGGGTTTGATGCAGCAGCAGTAGCAGCATCTAATTCGACCTATGCAAACGAGCAGGTTCTTCCAGGCTCTGCGAGAGCCTCTAGGAACATGACACTAGCCAATAATAATACCTCAATCCATGAATGTGATTACTTGCACGCTCGTGCAGGCAGCACATCTCATTTCGCTCTTCTTCGTATCTATCACTCGTATATAATGTACTACTGATCTGTGACAGTCGAGACAAATCGTCTGTACTTCGGTCAGTATCATCATCTGCTTTGTTCTTGCTCAACGGCCAAATTCTCGCCTTGACCTGCAGGCCGATTTGTGCTTGTTCTGGCGCCCCCACTGTATATACCCAAAGGCGAGGGAGGTGGCTGCCCAGATGTGTTGGATGTCGGTATACGTTCCACGGCGCGATTCCCGCCCCGTTTTCGAATGCTGACAGCGACACTCTAGATAAGCAGCTCCCGCCTCCAGTCGATCTTATATGCCGCTCCATCTACACAGTATGATGGGATAAGTACGGGACCAGTACCGGTGGTGTCAATATGTCAGATCATGAACGTTATGTATGATTTGGCGATATGTTGTTATGGTAAATATGGTAGGGTATGGTCTATCACGTTGCACGTTGCACGTTGCACGTTGCACCACGGTCCACTTCTTCCTCTCATGAAACAAGTCTGTGCCTGCCTGGACTGCGTACCCACCACCGTACCTGCCTGCCTAGCTCCCGCCGTAAAGGAAGTCGCCCGCCTTGGCGATACATCATTGCCCACCCTGGGAAAGAGCCTTCGCTGAAACCGACCAATCATATCATAGAACGTGACTTGGCCGCGCTCCTTCCCCCCCTAATCTGTCTATTAGACCGCATCACAACGCCACAGTCTGCCTTCATCTCTTCAATCTGTACTATTACTGTATCTGCCGTCCTGGCGTGGTCGAGGACTCTCTAGATAAGACATGTGAATGCTGGACGTTGCGTTGCTAAACCTGATACATATACATATATATACGCGGCTCCCATTGAGGCTGACTCGGTTGCCAGTTAGTGCCTTTGCATGAGTCGATGGTCGACGCTCAAACAGCTGAGATGGTAATTATTGAGAAGAATCAGCGTTTTAATGGTTTGCACGTGCTTGCATGCACACTCACATTCGGGGACCACGGAAGTATAACCTGCCTGTACTGTAACTGTGTACTGCACATTATTACTTCGACGAAGCAAATGCTCCATAATTACTTCCACGAGACCCTGATCCAGAGTTTCTGGTAGATCGCCATGTTGCGGAAGGTTGTTCGTTGTTCATCAGGTGGTGGTCGAGCTGTAGGAATCATGAAAAGCCCGGGAAGCCGCGTGGCAGTCCTCCGTGGATCGCCCAGCACTGGCAACTGGAATACAATACCACTATTATAGCCCGACATCACGACTCACACACTCACCCACCACTCGTCACATTCTGCTCCGTCGCCGCCCGATGGGAAATTCTCCGATCCTCTGGATACATATCCCGGTACCCAATAATTTCAAAGCCTCTGAAACACACCATTTTGCGAGGGCCCCTGGTCGGCTAACCCCCGCGCGCGGATCGCACTCGCAATAACTTCTTTGTCACAGACTTATTACCATACTATGCATTGTACCCATAGTCTATATTCGCGTGCGTGTGCGCTTGGACGAGGGGAATCCTTCAGATCTGCCTGCCTGTCTGCCAGTCAGTAATATGATAGTCGTCTAAGATCGTCCCAGTTCCAATGCAAGGCACTCTCTTCCCTCCCGGCACGTTGTCGCTAATAATTACTGTGCCGTACATTGTGAACCTTCCAGAGAGTCTCTATAAGCTGTGCATCATGTCCATCCCTGCAAGCGTGTCTATCGCGTTTTGTTAGTCCGAGGCGCAGAGCGGATTTGTGCAGGCAGGAAAAAAACATCATGCGTGCCCTCTTCTTCTAGCTGCACCGCGTCTTCGACGACGCCAGTGATGTTGTACAACGTCTAGAGAAGGCAAGCCTGAAAGGAACCTGCCACGGGGTCAGCTCCTGCGCACTGCGCCTATCGATCAAAAAGGGCGCAGGGGACAACAGCGTAATCGCTCTAAGAGTCTAAGCAAAGTATAAACTCCATCCACGGATCCGGTTTGCTGTTGTTCCTGCGGGGATAAGGACCGGGTGGGTGAGTGGCGAAGGTGAGGCGAAAAAAGCACGCGCACGCCCGAGACCCAGATCTTGGGTTCACAGTCCACCACATCTACACGTCCAAATATATTCTACAAAAGTTGGAATAACTTCGGCTGTAATGGTCTTTACATAGAAGCCCTTCCAATCTCGTGTTTCACTCCAACTTTACAACCCCAACCCGGGCCCAGTTCGAATCCGATGGTGTCCGCCTCCACTCGCTTAGGTAACTAGCGACGCTGGACGGGCCTGAGCAATGAAGTCTACTGTCCAGGGAAGCAATTCTGCAGACGAGTCTTCACCATCGGATGGCGGCGCTGGACTACCCAGGTGGTGGTTTGGATTGTTCATGAGTGAGTGGTTGGGCGACTATGGCATCTCTCTTTTGCTCTATGTCGTGCGTGTGTTGTTGCTACGAGTTCTTTTGTCGTCACCGTCTTCGCCGTCACCAGACAATCTTCTTACCTACCATCCATCGTTTGGATCGTTTTTTATGTCTTGAACAACATTTATCGTCTATCATACGCACGCGCATCTATGTCAAACGCCTGCACTTCGACCTGTATCTAGACATACGCAATCTTCGCTCCTACCGAGTAGCACATGAGCCCATCCATATTTCATTATCACTATCTACGTTCTAGCGGCTGCATTCGTCGTCCGTATAATCGAACACGCATATATATTCACGCAGCACAGTTCACGAGTCATCCATCAATCAATACTAACGACGCCCGTATTGATTGTATCGCATACTCAATTAAATTATGCCACACTTCCAAGCCCTCCCTGCATTTTCTAGCCCTGTATCAATCACCATAGGGAAACCACAGCCTATCCCAACACAGCAATAATACATGTCCCCCATCAAATGCCACTAAACGCCCTCATGAACCGAAAGACGCAGAGAATTGCACCCAGGAATCGTGTCTTCATCTTGCACCCACTATAGACGTCAACCCATGGAGTATGGAAGAGAGAACGTATATGCTCGTGGTGGGTTTTTTTGCGTTTAGCACAATTGCGTGAAAGCATCACTTTCGCAAGAAAAAAAACATCCTGATAAAATCGTATTATTCGATTATGAAATGCGCACCTGCGCGGTGCGTGAGGGAGGGGTATCATCGGAAACGCCAGAATGTAGCCAAAAAATCACGCCCCTTGTCATAACGCCTTCTCATGCTATTTGTTTCTTTCTCTCTTTCTCTCTCTGTGTATGATCAAACTATGCAAAGTCAGCATGTACCAGCAGCAGCACCATTCGTTCAGTTCCATACCATTCAAGTAATCCGCCGCCATGAGCAGTTCAAGACACAGCTCCGGCGGAATATCCAGATCCGGCATATCCTTCGCATCCTTGTGCTTCTCATTATAATAGAGATACTCGCACACTTTATCCAGGACAAGACCACTAGAGCGAGCGAGCGCATGGTCAGTCAAGTTCTTCGAATCCACGCTATCCATTCCTGAAATCTAGAGAGTCACGGAAGACACATACTTGATATTCTCAAACTCGCACCGGCCAGTCAGACCCTCCTGGAACCGACCTAACATTGACGTCAATATCTGCATGAAGGGGAAGACAGGTGGTCGTTGGCGGAGACAACGGCGGACGGACGGACGTACTGTTAGGGTCGAGCATGTTCTTGATCGCGCCCGCGAGAATGGCGGCGGACCGCTTGATCTTGAATTCGAAGCCGTCGCAGGACACGAGGGTTACGTATTCGGTTTGTTTCTCCTCTGACATGGTGAGGTGTCTGGCATACAGTTCAAACAGTTGCGCATATATTATGTGAGAAAGCAAAGGGTTGGAGAAGGTGGGCAGAGGGGAATATGCAATACGTCGCGCTAATTAGCAGCAAAATTGAAAAAAGATGTGCCCACTAATCCGTATATCCATAGTTACATGGGAAAGCTTGGCGCCCGATGTTCGCCCGTGTCACCAACACACACGATTTAGTATAATCGACATTTTTATCTATTACCGCCGTATAATACTTATATAGTACTAAATATTACTAAATATTAGTTCTATATAATTCTTATTATATCTCTATAGCCTTTATATTACTTTATATTATCTATAATACCTCTAAAACTATAAAAAAAGAGTAGTTATATAGAGATATTCTTACGTCTAGCTAGATATATACCCCTATATTTAAAGGCGCTCTAGATAGATATAGGGGAGGTATTAGGGGTCTATAGTACTATATATTAGTTATACTACCTCTTTAATACTATACTATATAGTTATAGATACTATATAAGCGTAGTATAGTAGTAATAGATAAAAATATCGATTATACTAAATCGTGCGTGTTGGTGACACGGGCGAACATCGGGCGCCAAGCTTTCCCATGTAACTATGGATATACGGATTAGGCAGGGTACGTACTATAATACCGACGCGTGAGCACGGGACCTCGCGTTCTGCGATCCATACCTACAACCTCACCGCGCCCTCTAAGTAACCATCACCACTTCCCAAAGCCTAAATACAAAAAAATGCGACCACCCACTCTCCCACGCATCAAATCCCCCAGAATCCAAACCCACCACCACAACCACCTCCCCTCAAGCCGCACAATCCACACCCACCACCAACCCACCACCACACACCCCCTCCTCCCACTAACCCAGCGAAACTGCATCATCACCGGCGGCGCCGGCGCACTCGGCCACGCAATCGCCAAATCCCTCGTCGCAGCAGGCGCAACCGTCTGGCTCGTCGGCCGCACGCGCGCCACGCTCCACGACGCCGCGCTCGACATCCACCGTAGCACGCTTCCGCCAGACCAGGAGTTCGCTCCCGGTCCCAATACCAGCAACAGCAACAGCAACAGCAACAATCGCATAAACATCATAGAAGGCGACATCCTAGCCCAAGGATTCTGGCAGCGCGTCTTCGAGGACAACGAGGCGCGTCTGGCGAAGAACGTGGACGTGCTCGTGAACGCGGCCGGGGTGGCGCAGAACGGGTTCCTGTTCAGCTCGGACGAGGCGGGGTTGCGGGGCGTGCTGGATACGAATCTGGCGGGGTCGATGCTGGCGGCCAAATACGTGGGGCGGTACGGGATGATACGGGAGAGGCATGGGCGGGCGGGCAAGTGTATTGTCAATGTGGGCAGTTTGCTTGGGGAGCGTGGTGGGAAGGGGGCGGTGGCGTATGCGGCGAGTAAAGCTGGGATTCATGGTGTGTTTTGCATGGCCCTCCCTTCATGCTGTTAGGTATGCTAACGTGGCATATACAGGTCTGACACGAGCGCTCGCAGAAGAGCTCGCGGGATGGAACATCCGGGTCAATGCTGTGCAACCGGGCTACATTGAGTCGGACATGACCAAAGGTAACGACTCCCCGCTGTAGATGGGATTCTGTCGACTTCGCGTACAGTCCTATGATTCACCCGCCCAAGTTCCAATGCTCCTTTTGATTCTATCTTCAAAGTCTTGACGCTAATATACATCTTTCCAGGGCTTGAGAGACAATCGCTGCTAGAGAAAATCCCGGCAAAACGCTTCGGGCGACCCGACGAAGTTGCCGACGCAACCATGTTCCTCATAACGAATATGTATGCCAACAATTGCGTCATCAACCTGGATGGTGGTCTCAGCGCAACGGGTTTCCAATGAGGTATCCTGAACGCCATCGGTGCCGACTATAAGGTTACAGTAACGAGAAAGACGCCTAGAGGAGCTGGTGATAATGGCACTTGGATGCCATTTTCGGACAGCACCAAGTATATGGCACCACCACGTAAAACCCCGAACGACGTAGCTTGTAGATAATCCGGGTGACCAGACATAAGGCGCTCGAAGCTCGAAGCCGAATACGATACCGCAGAAAGAAGGTAAGGATCGTCGCATTCAAGCCTCAATCCAATAATATGGCACCATCGTCGTCTTCGATGGTGATAGGCCCACTCTCCTGGACTTTGCCCTTCTTACTCATCTTCCCGGCATCCTCCAGATCTGCCTCAGTAGCATCACGTTTCCGTTTCGTTCCATTCGTTGCGTTGGATCCATTCGACATACTTGGCTCGGGTTTGGCTTGAGGACGCTGAGGAATGACCACTGCTTCGGGAAGCTGAACAGCACCCTCATCAGCAGGTAGCGATCTTTTCTAAAGTCAATTCCACATCTTCTAGGACTATACGGGAGACTCACTTCTCTATCATAGACAGAATCAGGTTTGTTCGCGGGCAATCGTCAGCCTCATCTCGGACAGTAAGGAAAGTCTCCTTTCCAATACTGAGTTCTGAAAGCTTCTTCTCGAGATTGTCCTCCAGATCGGGTTCGAAGATGACACCGGCTTCGGTACTGACACTGAAGTCTTCGCTGTAGTTGAGCTTCGCCTTCAGTACCCCTTCCACAATGTCTTTTAACTTCGCGCGTGTGAAGTCTGTTACCAATTGCGCTTGTGCAACGCTGCAGGTTGGACAATAAGGATTTGGGGGTAACAAGGACTCGGAAGCTGTGACACCCGGACTATTCGACAATCTTGTCAAAAATACAGATCGAGCTTTGTCAAATTCCGGTGGATCTCGCAATATCTTGAAAGCTTCAAGCACAACGATGCCTGCAACAATCGCATTCGTAGTAGCGATTGCTGGAATGATATTACCAGCCATTTCTGCCTCAGCGTCAGCTTACATTTGACTGAGATATGGGTGATAGTAGCTTACGTTTAATATCGAATTTAGATTTTGAATCGATGCTGAATATATGTGATCGCAAGTTTGCGCTAGCGGCGACAAAGTCCAGAGTATCCTCGTCGTCTTTGTCGAACGTGAGAATGGGTGGTGTGCTACTGTTGCCGTTTGATGTCTCTTTCAGATCTTGGAATCGCTTACCCAGCCTGTCCAGACTGTCGTTGAAGACTACGAAGCTTTCCTGCAGAGTCCACTCCTTCTGGTCGCTCTGCGCTACAGAGCTAGCTATACCAGTAGTCTCTGCAACAAGCTTGTCGTATTGCAGAGGTTCGGGCGCTTTGCGCGTTTTCCAAGCATCTTCCATACTTCGCAGGCGGTCTATATCTTCATGGAAGACTTTGTCGAAAACGGACTTTTTGAAAGTTTCTTTGCCAATCAATTCACGGATCTTTTTCAGCGCTTGGCTTTCCTTTCGTAACTTCTCAATCTCGGACGCATTCTCTTGGTCTTCTGAATGGTCCAACTCCGGCGCATCGTCCTCGCTCGTCCCAAAGATCTCCGTGAAAAGGTAGCTCTTGGCCCATATGATGCAATGGATCGGTTGACTCGGTGTCGTTCGTATTGTGCAGACTGGGAAAGACTTGGGTGCTTCTTTGGGGTTGCAATCATAGCATTGCGAGACGCCCTGTTCATATGAGCTGTCGCGTCACCAAACCAAACATATCGGGATCTCCTCTACCTTCTTAATCACGGTCACAGATCCTTGCCAGCCCGTAGTTCCTGCATCGAGCAGTATCCTGTCCGCGGCCAGACACATCCGATTCACATGGCGCCGTGCTTCCAGATTGTCGAGCGCGTTGAAGACCAAGTCGAAGCTCTTGAACCATTCCACATCGAATTGCGGATCCTTTATGTTTGCGTGGTGTGCTACGATCTTGACCGCCGGGTTGAAGCGTGAGGCTGATTCTTTCGCTACCTAACATCCAGGTCAGTCATCCGTCCTCCATCCGCCAGCCCGTGGGACAAGACCCAAGGACGAACTCCTACGTACCAGTGCCTTGGACTTCTTGATATGCTCGTGCCGAAATAAGAACTGTCGATTGAGATTGCTAAGGTCGATTGTATCAAGGTCAACAATGTGGGTTTCGCCAAAGCCGGTGAGAACGAGATTCTTGAGAAGCTCGCAGCCAATGCCGCCCGCACCGACCATGAGAACCTTCGCCTGGAATGCTTGTTAGTTGGATCCTTCCTTATTGAGAGCGTAGTGACTGGCGTGCCTCATTGATGCGATTATACAAGCTTCCACCGAGCGACTGGCGCGTAAGCTTGTCGCGGCCCATTGCGAGTAAGGTAGCGGGGATTTGGTGATCTAGATCATAGAAGCCGAATAATGAGGGAACAGTCTGTATGGAGATAGCAAAGCGCGTCTCGGGACAAGTGAGTTTGTAAGTAGATTCAAGCTCCTCGCGACCATACTGTCGCAGTTGCAGCTGCAATGGGTAATCCTCGGAAGCTCTGATAGGCTCATCACACTCCAATGAACGACGTCAACGATGCTGGCTAGCCGAATGCGATAGGGCTGAACAAGTGTATGCAAACCTCCCAATCCGGCATATTCGGATGATCGAAAAGCAATTGGCGGTGTGAGCAACCACAATTTTCTGCCCAAATACCGGCTGCAGGCTTGGAGTGAGGATATATCACTGAAGTTTTTGTTGTTATAAATTGCGGTTGAAACCAAACATACCCCTGATTTGGTTGAAGATTTTAGTTCCTTCCTTGGACAAGAATCACAAGACACAACTCTTTCCTCAGCTCCGCCACAGGACGGCAATAGTCAGAGCACCCACTCCATACACACTTGAGCTCTACAAGGATCAACAATGTCAGACGACGAAGCAGATCCTGAGCTTCTGGCCTTGTTACGCCAATCTCTTGGCCTAGGTCCCCGATCGTCCACAGCACCGCCAGAAACCAAGGTTTTGGATCATGCTCGATACATCTACGACAACAGCATTGATGTTGCTCTAGATATGCGGAACACGCAAGCTGCAGCTCAATTGATATGGAGCCAGATGCAACAGAAGAAGTATAGTACGGAGAATTGGGCCAAGTATGAGTTGCATCCGAAAGCAAAGGATGAAAGTACTGTCAATTTTATTTTCACCATGGACTTGCTCAACTTTTCGTTCTGGTGTGACGAAGAGCCAGGGTATGAGGTAGAATGGCAGGGGAAGCGGTGGACTGGGTATTGGAGCATGGTAGCGGCTCTTCAAAGAGCACTTCACGAAGGTCGGTATCGGATCTGCGAAAGTAAACATGTGTACTGACTGTTTTCCAGGTATACCGATCACGGATCCGTCTTTCTGGATACCTGTATCAAAGGCCGAGGACGCTCTCGTGCCAGAAGAGGTTACGACTGTTGAGCAGACTGTGGACGAGCATCACGTGGAAACTGCACAGAAGGTGACCAGCGACACCACCAACGCAGAAATACCCTTGGCGGATGAAGCCAACGACATGACTCCGACTGAAACATCAAAGGCTGTATGTGAATCCCAGGACGAGTCCCAAGACGCAGGTATCCCAATCGTCGAACAGCCAGAAACCACAGAGCCAGAGGACATACCGCGAGAGAAAACAGACCCAGAGAACACACCACCAGAAGCCACAGACCCAGAAAACACACCACCCAAGCAAACAGACCCAGAACCCTCTCCCAAACCACCATCACCACCAAAACCAAAACCGACCCTCGACCTCCCAACAATGCAACACATCTTCCGCTCCACCACCAGCACCCCAATCCCCATGCTCGAAGAACGCCTCCAATGCCTCCACGAAGCCGGCACCGTCCTAGCCCACGACTTCGGCAGCAGCATCCCCGCCATGATTAAAAAGGCCAACCACTCCGCCGCCGCACTCGTCAACCTCCTGGCCGACCACTTCGCCTCCTTCCGCGACGAGGCGCGCTTCGAGCGCAAAACAGTCCGTCTGCTCAAGCGCGCCCAAATCTTCGTCGCGGACTTGTGGGCCGCGTTTAATGGGGAGGGGTACGGTGCGTTTGACGATATTGATAAGATTACGATGTTTGCTGGTATGTCCGCATGTTTATTCTTGCCCTTTTCCAATTTATACACCCACCCCCCCTGTCTTTCCAAATTAAGAACAAACCGTCCCTAACTCGCACGCCCAACAGACTACCGCATCCCCCAAGCCCTCCACCACCTCGGCTGCCTCTCCTACAGCCCCGTCCTCGAATCCCAGATCAAGAACCGTCGGCCCATCCCCGCGGGCCATAGCTGGGAGGTCCAGATCCGCGGCTGTTCGATTTGGTCTGTCGAGTTGATCCGTCGTGAGATTGTGGCCAAGCATCCCGGTGCGAAGGTTAATGCTGTTTTGCTGGACTTTTTCTTGTATGATACTGTTAAGGAGTTGGAGGGGGAGTTGGAGGGGGAGGAAGGGTTGATGCCGCATCATCGGACGAGGAGTGTTTGGTATTGATACTTGGGGAGGCTTGTGGCTGTGGGATGTGATGGCCGTTAGATGGTGGGTTCAGATTAGATTAGATTAGGTGGTTATGTCAACGTCCATGTCCAAGTCCATGTCCTCGACACCCTCAGCTTCAGCCTCCTCCTCCTCCTCCTCCTCCTCCAACTGCCTAACCCGCGCCATAATACCCCTCGACCACACCACGAAATCCTCCTTGCGCGCCTGTGACAAGTAATTCACCCTGCCATTCATCATCGTGCCCAGACCCCCCTGCAACATATCCTCCTCCTCTTCCTCATCCTCATCCTCCTCCCCTTTTCCCCCCACCCCAATCTCAACCCCCTCATCCCCTTCCTCCCCCTCACCACCCCCATCCTCCCCCTTAGGCACATTCCCAAACCACTCCAACCCCAACCACCCCTCCCGCGCCTCACGCACACACGCCTGAACATCATCAGCAATATCCCGCTGCGCTCGCCCCGCATCCTTGCCCATCGCAGCAAGCACCTTTATCGCACGATCGCGGTACTCGGCAAAGGCGGTTGCGGTCAGTGGCGTAGCTGTCATCTTGACATATGTGAATAGAAACACCGTGATTAAGATCGCGGGGACGTGGGAGGTAGTGGTATCGGTGTTCACTTCTGTGTTTGTGGCAGATGTGGTAGATGGTGCCGTACAACGCACCCGACTCTGGTTCCTTGTCCGCGTCGGTGTCGGTGCCGTCGACGAGGCAACATCCTTCATCCGCAGCACACTCGCCATACCAGCATAAATATGCGGCGCGGCACGTGCTTCGCCAAACGTCTTGCAGAGCTGCCGGATCGCGGGCATGATCCACTCCGGCACAAGGGCGTCGTCTACGACATCGACGCGAGCGTGTGCTGCGGGGGCGCGTTTGGAGGGCGTTACTGTTGGGCTGTGGCGGCGGCGGCGGGTTGGAGTGCGGGATTGTGCTGGGGAGGAGTGGGGTGCGGTAGACGGAGCATTGGCGGCGCGAGTACGCGATGGTGTCGTTGCTGATGGTGCGGAGGAACGGGTAGACGACGATGACGACGGAAGTGCAGAGTCGAAAAAAGCGTGGAGCTTCTTGTACACGCGTGGTGGGACGGGCGGACGGGGCATGATTTGTGGGAGGTTGAGGGGTTGTTTCAATCTTCCAATCCGATTAGCACATCAATGAGGAACTAAAATCGAATGTTTCCATCAAAAATCATGATGGAAAACTTACCGTTCGCACGCAATGTGTGCGCAGACATATGTCCTTGCGACTTCTTCGTCCTGCTTGAGGCTGGCCTTGGCGCGGGATTGGGAGAGCAGAGAGCGGGTGAGGTGGATGAGTTCGGGCGGGAGGTCGCCGTTGAGGGCGGGGAGGAGACCATGGAGGGTTTGGTCAAAGGTTTTGTCCATTGTGGTTCTATGTCTTTGAAGAAGATGGGTTAATGACCTAGATATAGGATTCGATGACAGCCAAGGAAGTGTTTGATAATGTCGATCGTCTTGGGTCAGCCTGGGCAAATTCGCTGCGCACACATGTCTAGAACAAAAGCAGCACTCCTTTGGACTTAATGTGAGAAAAGTGCCAGCGGTTACAGGTACAAATCAAAACAAAGTCCGTAGGTAGATGTTATAGTATCGTAACAACACCTGCGCAGAAGTCAGGTTGTCGTCAAATCAAGTCGCTTTAGTCCTGGTGCCAAGCTTCTGCTCCTTCAAGAGCACGTCCAAACAAATATCGAGGGCAATATAATGCGACATATTGTCGTAAATGTCTAAACATCACTTTTCGCATACTAGTGTCTATTACTGGACTGGAATGATTGGAGGAACGTGGTGGTATTGCGTTTAATTCATTGCCCTCATTGGCCAGGGCATAGTTGCTACAGTGTACATCTAATCGTGAAGATAGCCCACTTGCAAATATCATCTGGAAGCAGCAAACGCCTCCCAACAAGAATGCTTCAAATGTACATTCACCTAATGAAAACCTCTTTTTCCCTTTCCCTTCTTTACATACTGACTTCGACACGGCCCTCGTTGCCAGGTGCTCCACCTGCGAGGTTGGGGAGAAGGTAGGTGATCTGATTGACTCGTTAGTGGTTGAAGGGTGTTGATATATCAAGGCTGTACTCACGTCGTCCCATGGGTGACGGTACAAACCAGTCCGTAGTCTCTTCTGGTCGAGGAAATGCGCAATCAAACCGATGCTGCGTCCGAGAACGAACAGACCGTTCAACACACCCATCTTGAGGTAGTCCTCTGCCTCTTCGGGTGTGAAGGCACCACTGTGGCGGAGCAGGTCCACAAAGCAAACGGCGATACAGCCGTCAACGTTGAGGATCAAATTGTCTTTCTTGGACGTTGTGACAGTCTCTACAGCCAGCGCGTAGTCGAGGAGTTTGTAGGTGGGGAAGTTGTTCTTCACAAACTCCTTGACTAACTCGACACGCAGATCCGGGTTGTTTCTTGACTTGACTCTGTGTCCAATACCGGGAATGAGCTTGTTCTCCTTCCTCATGGTATCGACGAAGTCGCGCGGGCTCATGCCTTGGTCGTATGCCTTGGTGAACTCCTCTGCGGCGCCATCTAAAGCACCACCGAATCTTGAGCCAATTGTCAAGAGACCACTGACCAGTGCGCTTATCAGATCCTTGCCAGCTCTGGTGGTGATAATCGTGTTCATAGCACCAGACACAGCCGGACCGTGATCGGCAGTCATCATGAGAACCATCTCGAGGAACCTGCTAGCAAAGTCTGGCAGACGGCGACGGAACCACAACAGAGACATTACACCACCAATACCGATGTTCTCCTTGAAGACGTCGGAAATTGGCATACCGGCGTAGAGGAGCTCCTGGCCTCTGTCGTCGGAGATGGTGGAGATGAATGCAGCTGGCTTACGGATGAGGCCTAGTTCTTGCGCCCACGAGTAGTCAATTGGAATCTTGGGAACGATAGGCTCAGCGGCTGGCTTGATGATGCCCTTCTTCAGCAGTCCCTGGTAGACTTCAGCGAGCATGGCGGGCATGTCCTCGAAGGTCTCTGGAACAAAGATACCAGCTTCCTTCATAGACTTGTTCTTCATGTTGGCAGTCTCGAGTTGAGAGTTTGCAAAGGAACCGGCGTGACCGAACTGGACCTCAGTCTTCAGCATACCAGCGACAGTGCCGATTGCCCATGCGACGACTGGCTTCTTGATTTGGCCGGACTTGACGGCCTCGATCACGCGGTACTCCTCAACACCACCAACTTCACCCAACAACACGAGGATCTTGCAGTTCGGGTCTGCCTCGTAGCGGAGCAAGTGGTCGATGAAAGTGGTGCCGGGGTATCGGTCTCCTCCGATAGCCACACCCTCATAGACACCATCGGTGGTGTTGGCAATGATGTTGTTCAGCTCATTCGACATACCTCCCGACTTGGAGACGTATGCGACAGAGCCCGGGCGGTAGAGCTTAGAAGCAACGATGTTGTCCATCATACCACCCGTGTTACCAATCTTGTAGGCACCTGGCTTGATACCACCGACGGTGGCAGGACCAATAATGGTGATGCCCTTCTTCTTGGCGACGTGCAGGATCTCACGGGCACGCTGTAGAACTTGTTAGAAATTGAACATAAGCTGCCGGAGCGTTGATCACTGACCCTCTCTGGTACACCCTCTGCAATAATCGCAATTGACCTGATCTGAGGGTACTCCATCAGCTCCATGGTCGATTGGTAGACACTGCGGGAGGAGGCAAAGTTGACCACGGTGTCAACCTCGCTGTGCTTCGCGATGGCCTTCTCTACAGACTGGTAGACTGGTAGAAGAGTCTCGCTGGTTCCCCAGTACCTATTCCATAGAGGTCAGAATTACGTCGAGTATGCCAAGGCTGTTGTTGAGAAACGCACATTTTGCTGACGAATTGACCGCCAAAAGTGTAGATGATACCAGCGACAGAGGGAGTCTTGCGCTTGCAGATGAAGTCGAAATCCAACATGCCTTGCACAGCACGAGGTTGTAGACCGCTGTTGCCCGTGGTTAGCCATGTTCTTCCCCTCGAGCTCTATCGTCTTGTGCGGTATATTAACTTACTAGACGAAGCATCGAGTCTTGGAGTGGAAGAGAGTGTGGTCGTTGGGAGGAGTCAGAGATCGGCTAGGAGCTGTGAAGCGGCTGATTCTATCGTTGACAGAGAGGTTGTTCGACTCTCTGTTGGCCGCGGAGGGCGCACCAGAGGTGCTGTTGACGGCCGTAGGCATTGTGAGCTGTGTTTGTGGGCGAATATCAAGGTGCTAGAATTGTCTGCTGCACAACGGAGTGTTAGCTATCGGAGAGTCTGAATTCTTTATGGACAGTCGAGAAGTTCGTGGGTTCAGTAAAGTGAGGGATTCGTGAGGGTGTGGAGTGTGAGCAGAGGCCTCTGGAACTTTTTCAGGCCAGGTGGGTGGAGCTCTACCTCATGGCGTAGCTCGACGACAGGGCTGAAAGATTGGAAGCAATTGAGACGTACCTGTACGCAGTATATGGCGAGTAGCAAGAAAGTTGGGAGGTCGGAGTGAGTAGAGGTCGAACCGGCGTTGAGTAAGAAAAGATGTTTTGGAAAGATGCTTGTCGGAGAAAAGCAGTGAGCAAGACAGACCCTCCCTCCCGAGATTCGGTGTTGAGCGTTAGAGGCAGATCCCGCGCTTGTGTGTGTTGGGGAAGACCGAGCTTTGGGCGGTGAGAATTGGTGGGCTGAGATGATGGGGAGCCGGCGCCGTTGGCTGCAGGGCTACTACTAAGTATAGGTACAGACAGCTATACAACACTATGCGGCGGTGACCTGGACAATAATTGTTGAAGAGCAGATGCGACAGATGCTGGCAATGGTACAATCGTCTGGAGAGGACCGATTTTGATGCTGAGATGTCTCGATTGAATGCTGCTATTATTATGATTCACTCCATGCTGCGGATCTGCTCGGGGCTCACGGCACACACGGTGTTTTGTGGGCAGGAGAATAAATCCATCGATAATGCCCACCACAATACATCATATGGCGCCATGGTCCCCTAGAAGCTGCCCTGGAGGCAGCTGGCAGGGCTGGTATTTAGGCGGTGCTAGGCGGGTACTAGGCGGGTGTTAGGCTGGAACTGGCTGGAACTGGCTGGTACCGGCTGCTATTACTGGGCAGCACTGGGCGGAGGTCTGCGGGCGGTCCCAGCAGTTGGTAAGGGAGTGCTAGGGAGTGCTAGGGAGCAAAACCCGCGTACTGCTCACAGAATACCTTATTTTTTCTTTCTCTTTCTCTCCGTTGAGGGGTGGACCGCCCAATACGCCGCTATGATTGGTCAGACGGTCGCCGAAAGAGTGCTAGTGCCGTGGCCGAGTAGTCTGTACCCCAAAGAAAAAAGTCCCTGGCCCGGAGAGAAGGTGAGCTCGGACGCCCACCAGTGCCAGAAACTCACTTTTGATGAGCTTCACCTCCGAGACCGCCTTTTCTGCCACTACTCTTCCCTTTCTGCTCTTCCACGCTGTCGACTCTTGTTTCGTGACCTACTACTACATAGACATCTTGCCCTCAACAACACATCGTCGTCGCCAGTCTCAATCACATATTCTGGTCAGTCCAAGCTTTGCAATCCACCAGGTAAGCCGTGTGCTTTCATTCCCCGCTCAGCAATCCCCGAAGCCTCAGCGGAGTTTCCAAAGCCGTGCGGAATTGTTGGCTGTGCGACCTTTACTCCATTCCCGTAGTTTCTTTGGCCTCTCAGACCGTCTTTCTCTTTCTTGACGGACACTGTCTGTTCCCGCAAGATTTCTGTAAATTCTGCCACTCGCAGATTTGGCGGCCTCCACACCAGCATATGTCACTTTGAACGAACTTGACACTCACAATCGCTAGATCCCAACGCTCTCATATTCAAAATGTCTGCCAAGTCGATCCTCGAGGCTGATGGCAAGGCCATTCTCAACTACCACCTCACCAGAGCTCCCGTCATCAAGCCAACCCCATTGGCCAAATCTACAACCCACAACCCGCCAGCAAGACTCGCTTCTCTGCATTTCCCCGAGGATGCAAATGTTATGGATGTTTTGAACCAGGCCGAGGTCACATATCCCTGGCTGCTAGCAAAGGATGCCAAGTTCGTCGCAAAGCCAGATCAATTGATTAAGCGACGAGGGAAGAGTGGCCTGCTCGCCCTGAACAAGACATGGGCAGAGGCCAAGGAATGGATTGCGGCGCGAGCTGGCAAGGAGCAGCGTGTCGAGACAGTTGATGGTTATCTGAGGCAGTTCTTGGTCGAGCCATTCGTTCCTCACCCTGCCAACACCGAATACTACATCAACATCAACTCCGTGAGAGAGGTGAGTAGACTGCCAATTTCAATATCTCTTTTCTCTGCCTGAAAGAAGGACAACGCGAGTGCATGGTTTTGGACATGCAGAAACAGAGCTTAAAAGAGCGTCAAAAAGTATCCGGGTACGTGGACGAGGACGAAGTGCGCCTGTGGGTTTCGTCATCAAACGCCGACAGACAAAACGTCGCGCGGGCGAAAGAATGCACTCATCAAAGAGTGACCCACTAGGCAAGACTATCCAATTAAAATAACCACGTGCCTTGCATCTGATTATTGGCTATCAACATTATCGGCATTTGATTCGGTCATGATATTGCTTCTTGAAGCTCCTGTTGCGGTATTCCGTTGCACATTAGACGCGCCACCTCAATTGACACCGAACGACTGTCACGTGTGAACTCCGGCTAATTATCTCTCTCCCAGGGCGACTGGATTCTCTTCACCCACGAGGGTGGTGTTGACGTTGGTGATGTTGATGCCAAAGCAGAGAAGCTCCTCATCCCGGTCGATCTGTCAGAATATCCTTCAAATGATGAAATTGCGTCGACTCTTTTGAGCAAGGTTCCCAAGGGTGTACACAATGTCCTCGTCGACTTTATCTCAAGACTATACGCCGTCTACGTTGACTGCCAATTCACGTGAGTACAGTATATTTGTTGCCGAAGAGGACTATTCCTGACCTATCGTAGCTACCTCGAAATCAACCCTCTCGTTGTTATCCCCAACGCTGATGCCACGTCCGCCGAAGTTCACTTCTTGGATCTGGCTGCCAAGATTGACCAAACTGCAGAGTTTGAGTGTGGAAGCAAATGGGCCATCGCCCGCAGCCCTGCCGCTCTTGGTCTGACGAACGTAGCCGCGAAAGATGGCAAGGTCAACATCGACGCTGGCCCACCGATGGAGTTCCCCGCACCTTTTGGTCGTGAAATGAGCAAAGAGGAGGCCTATATCTCAGAGATGGATGCTAAGACTGGTGCCTCACTCAAGCTTACCATCCTCAACTCGCAAGGTCGCGTATGGACTCTTGTCGCTGGTGGTGGCGCTTCCGTCGTGTACGCTGATGCGATCGCTTCCGCTGGTTTTGCCAGCGAGCTTGCAAACTACGGCGAATACTCCGGTGCCCCGACGGAGACTCAGACTTACCACTACGCCCGTACCGTGCTTGATCTAATGCTTCGTGCTCCCATGAAGGAGGAAGGCAAGGTTCTATTCATCGGAGGCGGTATTGCCAACTTCACAAACGTCGCTTCGACTTTCAAGGGTGTCATTCGCGCTCTGCGCGAAGTCGCCCCCGTCTTAATCGAGCACAACACGTCAATCTGGGTGCGCCGTGCAGGTCCTAACTACCAGGAAGGACTGAAGAACATTAAGAATGTTGCTCAGGAGCTCAAGCTCAACATGCACGTGTATGGCCCTGAGATGCACGTATCCGGCATCGTTCCTCTCGCACTGCTCGGCAAGAAGAGCGACGTACAGGAATTCAGCGCTTAAGTGTAAAATACCATGTCCTCTTTCATGTTCATTACGACGGTGGTGTTATCGAATGGTCTAGCATGACTTGGGGAAAAGCAAAGGAATATAGACGTTTTGCAATGTGTCGCGTCTAATCCACCCGGCTATGGTTTGTCTTCCTCCTTGCTCTTCTTTTTGAGCAGGCTATTGCCATATTTTACTGCGCTGTTTGTCATACACACACACGTGCGCGCTATTAGCTGTCAAATAGAACGCTTTGATCTAGCCTATGACATGCCATGATATGATATGACATGATATGATACATTCCGCTTTGTGCTCGTGTGCAGTCGAACAAACGTTGCACCTTGCGTTAGTCCGTATGTCGGCAGGATAAGTACATCGAACTCGACATTCCGATTCATGCAAGGCGGCGCCGAACGAGCGAAAATGACCAATTAGGTATATGACTGTCACACTTTATTCTCATACAACTTCCACTTGAGTCGCACTCCTCCCCCCTCTCTCACAGCTCAACACTATTCAACACAATATAATCGAACTTACATGCGCAGTAGCTTCCCCCCTGCCCCTGCACCGGCTAGCTAGTCTTGGGCGCAAATAACATCAAGATCCTGGGTTGTCTTTGTTCTTTCTTCTTTTGGTCCTTTGTCCTACGTGAACGCGGTGTAGGCGCGAGGGGGGAGAGAGGGGGCGCTGCTGTGACTCGGGTTACTCGGGTCTCTGAACTCGGTGGGGAGGAGCTGAAGAGGCGGAAGCGGTGGAAGCGGTGGATTGTTATAATAATCCTGGGTAGTCTGTTAGGTTAGGTAGTCAGAGGGGCGATCTTGGTTCCTGCCTCACTTGGCAGTTGCCATTATAGCGGCAACTTCTGGAGTGACTCAATCCTCTCTCATACATCAACATTGCATTATGATATAGGTAAGTGTCTAGTCAGTATCCTCTCGGAGTTAAGCTTATGTGGTGATCTTTGCAGACTAGTTGAAGCAGACGAACATTTTCTGGCTATCGAGGTAGGTCTTTTCGGGAGACATTCACTCAGACAACACGACGCTAACCCAACCCGGCAATCCAAGAACCAACGACTACCATTCAGTATACAGGTCAAAACGAAAACATGTTTCTAGCTCGCACAGTTCCCCAAACCGAGCACATTCCAATATGATGATGAACCTCCGACGTCCTCTACCATATCTTGTGTCGTCATGCCGTCTCCGTGGCCGCCATGAACGCTAAGCTTAGCCGAGCTTCATGCTGAAGTGGGGAGCTCTACATTGGTTCTGCCGCGATTCAGATCCGTTCGCACGATGTTGTAGTGTGAGAGACTACCATAGACCGAGCGGATCCGGAATGTCTGCCTTGGTGATTGTACATGACTACAAGTCATTGCAATTCGTACTTTGGCTGCTTACTTCAGAGCACTCTTCAAAGTATCCTACCTGATATACATCGGAAAGATCAGAAGCTGTCGTTAGCCTCGTCGGAGTCATGATCCCACATCTCATGGATAATATCATGCTTCCCGTAAGGGATCATGTGCTTATATACTGCCTCGTCTCTCCTATACTGGCCATGGTCGTGTGGTCTGTGTATCAGACTTTCCTATCTCCCCTTTCGAGTGTGCCAGGCCCTTTCTGGGCGAAGTTCTCGAGGATATGGATTACATACCACGCTTATATTGGGGATATGCATCGCGTCATGATGGCCCTCCACAATGAGCATGGCGAATTGGTCAGAGTCGCGCCGAATGAACTGTACGTATTTACCCCTTTCAAATACACTGTACCTACTCCGACTGACAGAACTTAGGAGCACATCATCCCTCTCAGCAATCAAAACAATCTATGGTATCTTGCCTCCCTCCCTGCCTTCCCCCAGGTCTCCATAACAAAGAAAACCAACTAACACCCCTCAGGTCCGGGCTCTAAATTCCGCAAATCAGACTGGTACTCCGTCTGGCAAGGCCACCGCAAATTCGACCTCTTCGCCGAACGCTCCGAATCCGTCCACTCTACGCAACGTCGCTTCGTCGCACGCGCCTACGCCATGGAATCCCTCAAAGACTTCGGCCCCTACGTCGACGACGCAATCCGTGTCCTTCTCGCCCAACTGACCGCCCTGAACAAGCACCGCAATTCAATCGACCTGGGCCTCTGGATCCAACTCTTCGCCTTCGACATCATTGGCGAGATCACATTCTCCAAACGCTTCGGCTTCCTGGACGTCGGCGCCGACGATCATGATGGCAGTAGCTTCGCCCAGATCACAGCCGCCATGCGCAGCGCAAGCTGGATCGGCCAGTACCCGGCCCTGTTCTGGCTGCACGAGTACCTCGTCCAACCCGTGCTAGGCAACAAACTCGCTATCAACATGCGCCACGGCAGCATCCGCACATTCGCCCAGCGCGAGATCATCGCGCGCGCCGACCGCGGCAGTGATCATGCCGACATGCTAGACAAGCTCAACAAAGTCCACGTCGCGAAACCAAGACAGTTCAGCAGCGCAGATGTGGCAAGCATGGTAACGAGCAACATCTTCGCGGGCAGCGACACGACGGCGATCAGTGTGCGCAGCATCGTGTTCCATCTGCTCACGTACCCGGCGTGCAAGGCGCGGCTGATGGCGGAGATCGACGAGCGCAAGGGCGCGGGCGAGCTGAGCGATCCGGTGACGTTTGAGGAGGCAAGCGGGATGCCGTATTTGCAGGCTGTCATATACGAGGCTCTGCGGCTTCATCCTGCGATTGGGATGAATATGCCGCGGGTCGTTCCGCCTGGGGACGGGTTGACGATTGGACAGGTCTGTGTACCGCCTGGAGCGGTTGTTGGGGCGAATGCGTGGGTGACGGGGAGGGATAAGACTGTGTATGGCGAGGATGCAGATGAATTTCGACCGGAACGATGGATGGGTGAGGATACAGGGGATTTACATCGGTACTTTTTCGCGTTTGGGGGTGGGGCCCGGATGTGTATTGGGCGGAGTGAGTAGACTCAGGGGTAGTAGGGGCTTTCTTGGATCGAGCACAGGCTGACATGAGGAGCAGATGTATCGTGGTTGGAGATGTCGAAGCTGATTCCGACGCTGTTTCAGCACTTTGATATGGAGCTGGTCGAGCCTGATAAGCCGTTGACGGAGGTCTGTTGGTGGGTGGTGCCTCTCTGTAATTGTAGTGGAGTGTGAGCTGACAATTAGCTGTAGGTGGATGGTGATGCAATCGGGTCTGCATGTGCGACTACGCCCTAGACACGGTTAGTTTCTCAACCCACGGACGGAAGTCTGTGCAGTTGGCATTGATGAATGTTGTACCGTTATTCGAGCAAGAATCTTTGGTCAGCAGCATATCAGCCTACCGAAGACGACGTCTCACTCACATAACAATCAACCACGCGCAGTCATCGTTCACAGACAGGTACTGAACAAAATTTAGAACGAAGAGACGGGGTGGAACCTCAATCGCTTCAGGTATGTGTGTTTGTGTGTGTGTGTGTGTATATTTACTTCCAAAACCGCCCGGTCCAAGGAGACAGACAGTTATCTCCTGCTGCTAAAGGGGGGGGCGGACAGCATATCTGACAGAAGAATTCCGTCATTCATTCAACCAAAATCATCTCCCAACATGGCAGGACTGGCGCCGGGAGGGCCTCCACATCCTTCCTCCTCCTCCTCCTCCCAAAGCCAAAAAATCAATATGTAAGTATAGCGAACGATCGCCTACTGAGTAGTAACAACAGCACGCCGCTTTCCACCGCGTGCATACAGTCAAGTCGAGGTAAGTCAATTCAAATGGGCATGGCATCGTCAAGATCGCAAAAATGTGCGACCCGCTGCGTGTTTCGTAAAAAAAAGTCATGATCATCGGAATTCGATTGCGCCCACGCATCCATGATCTTCAACATGTTCCAGTTCCAGCTGTTGATACCTGAAGGTCAAGTCAGTCAGCATATGCTGGATGGGCGAAGATACAGGCATGTTTTCTTGAGGGGGCCACTTACTTTTCACTCTTTGCGTGAAAGTAGATCCCACTGACCGTCCCGGACACCTGATTGAAGCATATGTAGTAGAAGCCTTCGAAGCTCGCGCCAGATATCGTTCGGACCCGATGATCCGGCACCAGGAAGTATTCTTTCCACCTCATGAAGATGTTCTCTCGTTGGGCAAAGTTTTTGAAGTTGAAATCCGGTCGTTTCGCAGCTTTGGCAAGAGGCCTCCAGGCCGGGAATCGGCCCCAATGCTGCATGTCTGTCTTCTCATTGGAGCCCCATTCCGAATGTCGGGTCTGGAAAGTGTGTTTCGTGCCAATGATTTCGCCTTCGAAGTAGGTTGTCAAGGTAGGATGGTCTTGTGTGAGTCCTATGCTTGTTTAGTTTTCGAATGGTCCATGATGTAATATTATGGAGGGCTCCTACCCTGAATCCGGAGATAACCACACAAAAACGACTCCTCCATATCCACGTGCTTTATCTCGACTTGGACATGGTACGTCTGGCGATCGGACTTTTGCGTGCCTTTGAATTTGCTCCCATGGCGGAGGAATGAACAGGTGGAGTTAGGTGCGAACTGCAAAAGTGTACCAATTAGTCAATTTTATCACCAAGAAGGGCGTAGCTGGATAGAACGTACTCGATGCTTGGGGAATGGCGAATTGCTGACGGTTGGATATGTCGGCGAATTGGCTTCACCTGATGATGACGTGGATACAGGCGAGAGCTGTGCGCGCGTATCACAGTCCGATGAGTCTTCGACCGTGCTCAAGGGACTGGGTGCATCCTTGGTAGAGTCGTCTTGCTGCTCGGTGTCTGCATGCTTGTTGTGCGCGTGTTCTGCTTCTGTTTCTGTTTCTGCTGTTTCAGTTGTTGTTGCTGGAGACTCTAGTAGTAGAGCATCGTCAGTATCGGCGGGCGGAGGTGTTGGTTGTTGCAAAGGCGCGGTGCTCGAGGAATCATCATAGTCCTCGACAACGTCCGACTGAAGCGATTCTTCGGTCGATTGGGGAGTGTAGATGTGGACTTGCTCGGGCGGACATAGCGAGGATTGGCTTGCGCGTTCGGGCGGAGGCGTGAGCAGAGGCGAAATGCTCGGGACACTTGGTGTTGGCATCGTGTTGTGAGGTAGTTCGTCCTGTTGTGGGAGACTTTGTTGGGTGGTGGGTGGGGAAACGAAAACTACGACGAGCTGTACATATGGGAAGAAGGTGTGATAACAGGGGAATTAGACGGGGAAAGAATAGAACAATTACTGTAGTAGGTGAGAACAACACGGGAAGCAACAGAAAAGGTAATTTATACGTGCGCAAACAGAAGGGCGCGAAGCATGGCTTTTGGTGTGTGGTGTGGGGATTGTGAAAGAGTATGGATAGGTAGAGTAAAGACTGCTGCTGAGACTGAGCGGGCATGAAGGAAAGATGGCGAGCTAGGTAGGGTTTGCCGTTGCGGGTGGTGGAAGCTGATTGGCCACGGCCCCCCGACTTGTGGGGGAGGAAGGAGAGGAAGCCCGCTCACCACCAAATGGAATTCGTGGCCAGCGGTTCTGCATACTAATTAGATACATAAGCCCAGCAGCCAGCAACCAGCCAGCCAACAGCGCCCAGGTTTGCCAGCTCCTCCTGTGGCGATAATGCACGTGTGATTTCTCGATAGAATGGATGCACTCACCGCCCCCGCTCGTGACCTTCGCTTGCATTTCTCGTCATGCAAAAGATCTTCTTCATCTTCACCGGATGCCTCTCGCCACTTTTGTGTCAACTGTCCGTCGAATTGCGCATTCATACTCTTCCAAGTTAGTGTAAACACATATATCACAGCTTGGGCCTGATATGTCAGGAATGACACCTGTCATGGTCATTTGCATGGACCACTAGGCGATCGAATGACCAGCCAGCCCTACCGGTCGCATCCCGGCAGATGGACAGCCTTATGGGTATAGGTACGCTTAAAACATTCCGGGTCTGTGTCTATTGTCATTTCAACACTTGAACATCACTGTGACAGCTATACGATTAGGCGCCACTGGATCCGTCAATTGATTGACCTTGATTCAATATACATACATTTATCCATTGACTGCATAGCTGTGTGGCTTCGGTCCTGGCATTTATTCAGCGACTCCAAGTTAGGGTGCTGTTGTCTCATATAGAGAATGGAATAATAAAGTATTTGTTATGGATTGTTTCCTCGTCCTGTAATCATGGGACGCTGCTCCTCATATGACGCGTTCCTTCATCGCCCCTCAAATTGGTTTAATCTGCTCGACTTAGCACAAAGCGAAAACATGTACGTGCAGGGTCCAGAAATACCTTGAAGTGAAGAGATATCAGCGAGAAAACGAGCGCCTTAAGATCTTGTACCAAGTAGTAGAACACTCGTAGGCCTTCAGGATCCTGAGATTCTGTGACGTCGACTAGGGAGCCAATTTTGGCAGTCTAAAAATAATGAGCGACTTATGATCTGGTTTGACAGCCACAAGGCATTTCATACCTCGAAAGATATGTGCTCATTACCCATGCGTATTTCGAGCTCCTGGCGACCATCTTTGTTCTTCTGCGGCCATTTGGTGTCATCTTCCCTGAGAGAGAGTTAGCCTCGTGAAAGCAGCAAGTTCACATGGAACCTACTTCATGATTTCGCTGTCCTTGATAATACGCTTAATTTCAGCAATCATCAGAGAACTGACACACACTTGAGGAAGAATGTCAGTTCAGTTAATCGGAATCGGGTTTCTGCCATACTTTCTTTGCGGATTAGTGAGTCGTTTCGGTAGTTTGAATTGTTCGCGTATCTGGCGGATGCGCTTCGGCCATCGCCCAGGGCACGGAAATCGAATTCTGATATTGTCAACGGAAACTCTGATGGGACATGACGAATGTCTGTTACCAAGAAATTCATGACCGAATCGGCCTGAATGTCCAGAGCTGTGGGGATTTAGTGTGTAATCACGAGTATGTGCAAATACTGACTAGTATCTGACGTAAAAAGGCTCGCTGGATGCAGCCATAACTGCAAGCTGAGAGCAAGATCGTCAGGATGAGCTCGAGAGGTATTTATAAATCACACTGCTCCAGAACGTTGTTGGTCTAGACTGTAGAAGTTCGCAAACATCAACGCGGTCGTGCAGGCCGTTCTGCCAAGGCGGTGAACGCCAAAGGTGTTTAGCGAGACCTTTCTCCTGGGAACACCTGTAATGTTGTTTCATGGAGGCGCTGACGACCACTCTTTCATACAAAGGACTTCCTCGATATCCGTAATCATAGAGCCAATCCGCCTCCCTCCGTATTGACTGCCGCATATTCCTCCTCGCCCGCACGAAATACACCCTGAGCGTTCTCTGCCCCACCAATTGCAACGTTTCCAATTGCGGGCTGAGCTGCACCTCTGACCCAAATACATCCAGTGCCTCAGAGGGAGGCCGAAGACATACGTACCTGAATGAGTTTGGGCTAGCTGCTTCAGCCTTCCAGTTCGCAAGATGGCGACGTTCCTCGACAATGCATACAGCCTGGTCCACCAGGACAATTCGGCAGACCAGCCAACACAACAGGAGTTGAAGACGCAACTAGAAAAAGGCACAGATGAGACGAAGGTAGAAACAATGAAGCGCATATTGACAGTAATGTTGAATGGCGACCCGATGCCGAACCTATTGATGCATATAATCCGATTCGTCATGCCATCAAAGTCCAAACCTTTGAAGAAGCTCCTTTACCTATACTACGAGATATGTCCGAAGCATGATAGCAGTGGTAAGCTGAGACAGGAATGGATATTGGTTTGGTAAGTGACCATACCGTGGAGCGGCTTGCAATAATTGACTGGGATTAGTAACGGCATGCGATTCGATCTACAACATCCCAACGAATATGTTCGAGGAAGCACGCTCCGCTTCGTCACCAAGCTCAGAGATGCTGAGCTAGTGGAACCTCTCTTACAGCCAGCTCGTCAATGTCTCGAACATAGACACGCTTATGTGCGCAAGAACGCCGTGTACGCCATCGCTTCCATTTACCAACATCTCGAAGCTCTTATACCGGATGCGCCAGACATTCTGTTCAACTTTCTGGAAGAAGAGAACGATGCCACTTGTAAGAGGAATGCGTTTGCTGCACTTGTGTCAATCAGTCATGAAAAAGCATTGGAATATCTCAGCGGTGTATTTGACGGTATACCAAACGCAGATGAACTATTGCAATTGGCAGAACTAGAGTTTATCCGGAAAGATTCCGTCGCAAACCCTCAAAACAAGGCCAGGTACTTGAGACTCATCTTTGACCTTCTGGAGGCCAACACTGCCACTGTTGTGTACGAAGCGGCGTCTTCTTTGACAGCCTTGACAAATAACCCCGTTGCTGTAAAGGCTGCCGCTGCAAAATTCATCGATCTTGCGATTAAGGAGCCTGACAACAATGTAAAGTTGATTGTTCTTGAGAAAGTCAATCAGCTCAGGCAGAAGAATGAGGGTATCCTCGACGATTTGACCATGGAAATCCTTCGTGTTCTTTCAAGTCCTGATCTCGACGTGCGGCGGAAAGCTCTGTCTCTTGCTTTGGACATGGTGTCAAGCAAGAACGTCGAAGAGGTCATTCTGCTCTTGAAAAAGGAGTTGGCCAAGACCGTAGATGAGCAGTACGAAAAGAGCACTGAGTACCGCACCCTCCTCATTCATTCGATTCACCAGTGCGCAATCAAGTTCTCCGAGGTTGCTGCAAGTGTCGTCGACTCTCTCATGGACTTTATCGCCGATTTCAACAATGCTTCCGCTGTAGATGTTATCTCATTTGTCAAAGAAGTCGTGGAGCGATTTCCGAATCTTCGTGGAAATATTGTGGCGCGGTTAGTGTCGACTCTCAACGAGGTCCGAGCTGGCAAAGTCTACCGTGGAGCTCTTTGGATCGTCGGTGAATATTCCACAGAGGCGACCGACATTAGAGAAGCTTGGAAGTGCATTCGCTCTAGCCTTGGCGAGATTCCTATCCTTGCGTCAGAGCAACGGTTGCTTGAAGAAGTGCCTGACACCACCGAAAGCGAGCTGAAAGATCAGGTCAATGGCCATGCGAAGGGCTCCGCACCAACTGGATCCCGGAAGGTTCTCGCCGATGGTACCTATGCCACAGAGAGCGCTTTGACAAGCCAAGCTGCAGTGAAGGCTAAACTTGAAGCTGTTAAAGCTGCCCAGAAGCCTCCTCTTAGACAGCTCATTCTGGATGGCGATTATTATCTTGCGACCGTCCTCTCGTCGACGCTAACAAAGCTGGTCATGAGACATGCGGAGATCTCCAAAGACACTGCTCGCACGAATGCTCTCAAAGCTGAAGCTATGCTGATACTCATCTCAATAATCCGCGTCGGCCAATCTCAGTTCGTCAAGCAGCCTATCGATGAAGATTCTGTCGATCGTATCATGTCTTGTGTTCGTTCGCTAGCAGAATTCAGTCAACGTAAGGAGTTGGAGACGGTCTTCCTGGAGGATACCCGGAAGGCATTTCGTGCTATGGTGCAGACGGAGGAGAAGAAGCGTGCCGCAAAAGAGGCTGTGGAGAAAGCAAAGAGCGCAGTCCAAGTCGACGACGTTGTCAGTATTAGACAGTTGTCTAAGAAGAACACCATGGACGGTGGCGATGAGATTGACTTGGATCTTGAGAAAGCTACTGGTGGAGACAGTGCCACGGAAGATCTGACCTCGAAACTGAGCAGGGTAGTACAGTTGACCGGATTCTCTGACCCCGTCTACGCCGAGGCCTATGTCAAGGTGCACCAGTTTGACATTGTCCTCGATGTATTGCTTGTCAATCAGACCTCCGAGACTCTCCAGAATCTTTCGGTCGAATTTGCAACTCTCGGCGATCTCAAGGTTGTCGAGAGACCCACGACCCAAAATCTTAGCGCACACGATTTCTTAAACGTACAAGCTACGATCAAAGTATCTTCCACTGACACCGGTGTCATCTTTGGAAACGTTGTCTATGACGGCGCAAGTTCCACAGAGAGCAATGTTGTCATTCTGAACGATGTCCATGTCGATATCATGGACTACATCCAGCCTGCCCAATGCACAGAGACGCAATTCAGGACAATGTGGACCGAATTTGAATGGGAAAACAAGGTCAACATCAATTCCAAGGTAAAGACGTTACGTGAATTCCTAAAACAGCTAATGGCGAGCACGAATATGAGCTGCCTCACTCCCGAGGCGTCCATGAAAGGAGACTGCCAATTTCTAAGTGCAAATCTATATGCTAGGAGCGTCTTCGGTGAGTTATGTTTAGTTTCCTATTGGTCGCATTTCACTAACTGCTACCGTAGGCGAGGATGCACTGGCGAATTTAAGTATTGAGAAGGAAGGTGATGATGGTCCGATTACTGGCTTCGTACGAATTCGAAGTCGCTCACAAGGCCTGGCCTTGAGCCTTGGGTCATTGAAGGGGCTGAACAAGGTTGGAACAACATGATATGTGAAAATTAATGATCAGAAAGCAAAAATGTCAACGAGCCACCACGTCAGCTACTCTGATGGACTGCCGCTCGGCTACCTATGGTGTTTATAGAGCGACACGACGGCTTCCGGAGTGCTACATGTTTTTGGTACTGATGGAATCTATCCGAGGGACGTGTAGGCCCGCTCCAAGTCTAGAATTCCAAAATGGTCGTCTGGAGTGCAGTAATACCAGCATGATGGGTACAGAATCGACGAATGCTGAATAGTTGTGATGTATAGGTGCGACACGTGACCCCGCCGTCAACGCCTTGTAGAAAGCGGCACCGTGTATGAATAAGTATCTCACTACACCGAACTGGAAACATGGCATGCGACTCGGTTGAATGCCTCGGCCAGCCCACTGCAGGGACGTGTACATTATGCTGCATCAAGCATATTAATTATTGGCTTACTTGTTAATGCTACCTTGACCTGGGACGCCTGTACGCCACCCGAGATTCCCGTTCCCGTCTCGCTTGCTTCCGATAGAGAGAGGTACGCGCGGTACTTCCAGGTTGTGACTCTACTCCCCTTCCCTCCTTCCATCTTACATTATGTCTTCACGGTGAACCCTTGGCTCTGCCTTGTGGATATTTCTTTGTATACCTACTACGCGCCGTCATGTCCGAGATTGCCGAAACATCCAACCCTTTCAACGATTCAGACGGTCTCGCCAATGCGACACTCCCGGTTGGGCGCAATGTCTCGCTGACGCTGGGTACTGACGCTCTCGTCGTGCTTGGTAATGACCCACGTAAATGTTCCTTCGAACAAATGCTGAAGTAACTAGATGAAGCATTTGGGGACAAGCAGAGCTGGAATTGCTTTGGCTTGCTTTCGAGCAGTAAGCTCTCTCACGTCACCCCGCAGGACCTCATCCCAAGCTTATACGTCTTGCAGGAAACAAAACTACCCGTTCTATTCCATTCTTTAATGTCCTCTGGGCCGAAGCAACCGAATTCGACATCACTATCACTTATGCCCACAACGTGTCGAAGAAGACAGCCCGTCCGAGCAATATACACTATCTGATTGAGAAGACCGACCATGCACGAGCGGTAGCCTGGGTTGCGCGTTTACTGGACCGCGCATATGGAGCGGCTCAGAAGCGCAAACGTATAAAGGTTCTGGTCAATCCTTTCGGCGGCCAGGGCGGCGCTGAGAAATACTATTTACGCGATATCGAGCCGATACTTGCGGCAGCGCGGTGCGAGATCGACGTTGAGAAGACACAATACGGAGGTCATGCTGTAGATTTGGTCGAGAAGCTGGACATCGATCAATGGGATGTCATCGCATGCTGCTCAGGCGATGGTGTGCCCCATGAAGTGTTCAACGGCCTAGCGAAGAAGAAGAACGCTGCTCGTGCCTTACACCAAGTTGCCGTTGTGCAATTCCCATGCGGATCTGGAAACGCAATGAGCATCAACTTGAATGGAACAAACTCGCCTAGCCTCGCCGCTATTGCCGTTGTCAAAGGCCTCCGTACCCCCCTCGATCTCATATCCGTCACTCAGGACGACAAGCGCATTCTCTCCTTTCTCTCTCAATCCGCCGGCATGGTCGCCGAATGTGATCTTGGCACCGAGAACCTTCGTTGGCTTGGTAGTGCGCGTTTCGACGTTGGTTTTCTCTTGCGTGTTCTTAGTGGCCGAGTCATGTATCCCGCCGACGTTGCAATCGCCCTCGAAGATGACTCGAAAACATCCATTCGGGAGACGTACCGTCGCGAACATTCGCGCAGCCCACCCGCCAGTGACTCTCGAATCCCCCCAGCTGTAGACTCATCACTTCCACCGCTGGAGTTTGGAACCGTGAATGACCCTTTACCATCTGGGTGGGCACTCATACCGTACGACACCCTCAGCACCTTTTACGTGGGCAACATGACGTACATGGCTCCCAATGCGCCCTTCTTCCCAATGGCATTGCCAACAGATGGCTGCGCAGACTTTATCACAGTCCCTGGTACTGTACCAAAGCTAGAGTCGTTGAGCATTGGCATTGCGGTGGAGAAGGGGACCTTCGTGGACAAGGATTACGTGGCATATAAGAAGATTCGTGCATACCGTTTCATTCCACGGAGGATACCTCATCGCAAAGGCGAAAAGGAGAATGGATATATAAGTATTGATGGCGAAAGCGTACCATTTCGGCCTTTCCAGGCCGAAGTGCATCCTGGGCTGGGAACTGTTCTCAGCCGGAGCGGGCACATCTACGAAAAACAACGGTAAGGCATGAAGGCAATGCTGTTTGTCCTTTTCCTTTCTTTTCTTTTTCTTTGGATGATCGGAGATGGGGCGAAACGAGAGTAGAGCAGCACTACGGCACCTAGTCTCAGCATTTGCAGGCGATTTCTTCCCCTTGTTTATACCCACTTGTACGCTAGCACAGCACCATACATTTTCGAATTTGGCCACATTGTATTTTTTTTTCTCGTTGTAAGAAGAAATTCTTGTCTGGACGGATCTCGGGCATTGGCGTTTTTTGTTTCGTATAGGATCGTGGTGTGGACTGCATACATGTATTTATTCGGGTATGTATCTCGAGAGTAGTGAAGGTATAAAGGTTTACTTGATTGTCAATCACCATTGTCATACTCCTTTCTCTTGCTGTGGTTCTCTTACGCTTTCGAATTGCATGATGTGTTCTCGTCGCGCACTCGTTCGTCGTCTCTGGGGTGGACGAGGACGCTCTGCTGTATCACGTCGGGTCGTGAGATCGATCGCAGTGGTCAGATCGACGTGCTCGTGATCTCAGGTTCTGGCATTGGGTTTTGTCTGTTGGGGGACAGGGAGCGTGTGCTGGGCAGACGAGATTATAGAGTTGATGGCTTGGCAGAGGAGGAGAAGGGTGGACTGCGATACGGACGTCCAGAGTTCAATTGCATGTCGTGAAATAGGGAGAGGGACAGCGTAGATAGAATAAGGAGAATAAACGTGGGTTTGTGGGGGAATAAAGGGTGAAGTAGAGGACCAATATGATTCTTATATCATTGGATTGATAGCATACCGTTGCTGTCGTGACAAAGCTCTTATGAAGACATATACCGTAGATTACACCCATCGCAAAATGCAGCGCCAGCGTGAGTAAATGTCGTATATCGAAGCCGTAGATCCATATGATCCACAGGCTCCCTTCAACATCAATAGATGGTCCCTCCCATTCCTCATACTCCAAGTACGCCATGCTTTCAAAACCCCCATAACGCACCACACAAATCAATGCTCCATACCCAGAATACCACAACCCCATATTCCATCATCACACACGGTGTCTCCACCCGGTATTAGCCTGCCTCACATATCCTCTCCTATTCGGCCCACCAGCATAATACCGATCAGCATTCTCCCGCAGCGCCTCCCCCTCGCCCATCCACGCCCCCACCGCCGCACTAACATCCTCCACCGTCCCCTCCAGCCCACGCGCATACACATACAGCGCCGCAACCGCAATCCCGACATACAGCGCTGCCTTGAACGCGAATCGCACCCAGAACAGCACCGCGCTGACGAGCATCTGGAGCAGGTAGAAGGAGGCGAAGAGGATGATGACGAGGACGCCGAGGCTGAAGAGGTCGGGGGCGGTGGTCAGGCGGGCGATTAGGGGCAGGGCGAGCGTGCGGAGGATGTGGAGGGTGTGGAAGATGGGGGTGAGGATGGATGGGTAGGTTGTGAGGAGGAGGGTGAGGTAGGCTGGATTGGTGAGGTTAGCTTTGGGTGGGAAGGAAGGGGGGAAGGGGGTGGTACTTTTTATGGTGTCTGGGAGGATGTTGAGCATGTCCATTGTTGTGGTTTGTGGTGTGTTGGATAAGAGGAGGTGAGGTTCTGGAATGGAGACAGAAGTGCGGAGATGCGGGAGTGAGGTGGTGGCGTGGCGTAGAGGTGTGTAGTCGAGATGGAGAGTGGACTGGGTATATGTTTTGCGATTTGGAGGGCGATAGGACACGTGTACTGTTAGCGAGCGCGCGTCGGTAGGTATGGTCTGTGAAAGCTGGAGATGTTTTCGGTTGAGGTTGTTTGCATGACAATGGGTGAAGCTCCACAGCGCACGGTCCAACTGCGGTATTTGCTAGTGAACGCGAGTGACGGGTTGAATGTTCGGCTGTGTAGAGTGAGGGTCGTGTCTCTTGCCTTTCTGACTACATGCTGAATATTCTGAAGCTAGGCATATTTATAATTGCTATACGCGCTCCTGAGACGTGCTGCATTGTAGTCTTCTTTGTCTTTACTTTCTGATATCTGTCTGCTTGATTCACTTCCGGACCCGGCGACTTAAGTACTATCTCATTCCGTACTTCTCTTAATGTTCATCTTTCTATTTTATTCTGCGTTCTCGTCTTTTCCCTAGTCCCAATGCTTGGTATTATGTCACACCGATCTGCCAACAAAACCCCCCTTTCGACACTCTCACGCCAATAGTCCCATTGCCATCATCTCCTCTCCATTCCTCCTGGACCCCCGCTCCTCCCTTCAATAGCAGCCTGCTCCGCCCTCGCAATCTCCAAATGCATCATTTCATCGATCTTCTGCCTCAAATCGCGGAACCTCGCGTCATACCTCGCACCTCGATCATCATCCGCGTAGTTGTAAAAGGTGTATCCATTCACATCGCCCGGCTTGTACGCTTGGCCCTTGGCCAGCAGAATCAGTCTCTCTCTGCTCTGCCCATCCTGACGGATGTCCTGTGCAATGATGGCAGCGTATGACGCGTAGCCTTGAGCATGTGTGTGGCAGCAGGTGACGAACTGGATTGTGTTGATGTAGGAGCGAAAGAGCCAGTAGATGTTGTCTAAGAGGTGTTAGAGGAGGTAATTTGAGGGAAATTATGGGGGGAAGAGCATACTGATGAACTGATCTAGCTCGCTCGCGTTACTGATGACACCACGGGGGACTTTGGAGCGCAGCATATTCAACGCATCTTCGGTGCGCGCGCTGATTGTGTCTTCGTGTGGCGGCTCGCGGAAGGAAGCCCGAGACATATCGGACGGTGAGAGCAGTATCGAGCAGTGTTGTTGTTCATCGTCGAGCTGCGATTGCACTTCTGGGTCGCGATCGGGCTCATGAAAAGGGGTCTGTGGCGACATCTTGTGTCGAAACGGTTTCACCAGATCATATTTAGCGGCGGTGGAGTACTCCAGTGCAGTTCGTGAAGACCGAAGCAAGGGATGAGGCTGTTGTACACTTCACATGTGTTGAGTGTGAGAGCTGTACAACATACGACCTCGACCAAGGTGTAAATGTTCCTATCGTTATTTTTCTAGATATCTTCTGCGTAGGAATGATTTTGATCTTGAAAATGGGGTTTCAAACAGCTCATGGGCCTGAGACAGACGTGATATATTTTTGAAAGTAGCATCATATACAGACTAAACTCCAGGTTATCTTCACCATTACAGCTGAGGTTGCTCTGATCCAACTGAAGGCTGTCAAGAGTCCCCTCATTGATGATTGCTCTGATCCTCCAATTGAAGGTAGACCTGCTCTTCTGAAAGAAGGCTGATCTGATATCGAAGGAGGCTGAAAAATGCGCCTTAACTGACTTAGTTAGTGCCCGAACCCGGACTGGGACGCCCGCGCCCGCGCCGGAGGGTTGACAGGTGCAGATAGTGCGCAGCGCCCGGCGATTCAACGTCGGTGGCTGCCTGCGATCTCACGTTATTCATCCTGCCTCGGTACACAAAGAAGTAATTAAAATAGGATAAGAACCTTGTTTTTGCAGTCCCGTAGTGCTGATGGTGCGATGAATTTCGCAGAGACATCCACTCTGTCTAGGATGTCCTGGTCTGTATAGATGCGCGGAGACAGCAATTAGCCAGCCTAGCCCTGTACGGTGACAAGGGTCTGGTTGGCCTCAGGCAGGTCGGGCGTCGGAGTTTTGGTTGGTTGCTGGGGCGGCAGGTCGTCCCAGCGCTTCACCAAACAACAAAGACGGCCTATTTCATGGCCACAGCTGCATATCTCTATCGACAGCTCGCCGCTTTGGGCTGGTCGGACCTTTTCTGTTCTCCGAAATAACTCTGCATGACCTTCTTCTGCAACTCTCTTTGCCGCCACAATCTCGCACTGAAATAACCAGCACTTCGCAGTATCAGACTGTTGTTTACTTGCTCCCACCTTTCCCCGCATTGAAGTCTGGTTCTTGCTTCCACCTTTTCACGTTTCTCGATTGCAAGGACGACCAAAGATGATCAGATCTAGGAGCAAAGATGGCTTCAGTGCACAGCCCGGTCCCGTGTACATGTCCTCCGAGCAAAAGGGTGGGTCAAATCTCTCCATTGATATTGCCTTCTCATTTATCCTTTGCGTCTTCTTCTTCTGTATTGCATAGTCTGACTGAAACTTTCACCACAGCCAAATACTTGCTCGAGTTGAGAACCAATCGACCTCAAAGACCAACGGGCGCGCGCCCTGCTCCAACATCTTACTTCTCCACGCGGGATACAACCAACAGAATAATACCAACGGAAGACAGCAGCTCGAGCTCGGTTTCAAGCCCCACGGGATCAGATAGCAGTCCGACTGAATCCCAAGAACCGTTTCCCAGATCTTCAAGCGCCTTATCAAAACGGATGTCCCGCTCAGAGACTCCAACGTCAGTATCCAGCGATCGTGGGCGGCCAGTTGCACAACCACTACGTCGTAATGCGTCAGGTGGAACTATGAAAAGTGTAAATTCCATTACTAGCTGTACAGGCACGTACAAAGAGAGCGGAAAGAGGTCGATGGAGAAGATGGAGGTAAACACCTTGCGGAAAGCAATGGAAGACTTGGATATGGACGAGGAGCAGAAACTATTCAAAGATGCCCAAGATGAAGCAGCCGATCTCGTCTGGCGACATCGGAATCCAAATGCTCCATATCCGAATCCGGATGCGCCATACAAGTACCCAGGGCTGTCAAGAAAAGACCACGGACGAAGCCAAAGCTTTGGGGGAGCGGAGGGCATGCAACGGACAGGTTCAAAAGCAAAGCACAGATACTCTTACGCTGCTGGTATCAGCGTGCAAGTCAATGCAGATTCAGTTGCATCACAGAAGATTGATAAAAGCTCGCCTCTTAAGGACGCGCTCAACCAGGAAGGTCAGCTGAATTCGGAGAAAGAAAAGGAGACGCAGGAGGCCAATCGAGAGAAGCCGCACGCACGGAATGACTCTGGGCACGACATCATTCAAGACTTCAAAAGCCGGAGGCGAACTAGCGGTAATAAACGGACTCCAAGTGGTAGCCTGTTCCGTAATCCGGAGGACAAAATATATGAAGAACCTGAAGAGCTCTCATCCCCTAATCGCAAGTCTGAGGAGACTCCAAAGCCAGCACCAATGCCCCTTCAGGTACGACGGAATCCTTTTGCAAGAGTGAAATTTGCTGTTGACCAGCTTCCACGCTCACACACCGATCCGACCAGCAACGGAAAGCTGGACAAGTTCGAGATTCACAAGAATCCACCAAGCCAATCGCGAAACGCCGGATACACTTCGAATAATTCCGCTGCAACACCATTAAAACCGAAATCATCGGACAGTGACGAAGTAAAACTCAAAGACGGTAAAGAAGTCCGTGGTGATGACATTCGAGCGGCGACAAGTCTGAGGTTGAGAGATAGGAGTCCGAGACTTCCCACGCCAACAGTCGTCAGCGATAGACCGGGTAGGCCGATCGTTAGCTTCAAGGACGACTGGAAGCCCAAAGAGGTTGAGTTGAAGGAAGAGAAGTCCAACGCTTCTGCGAAAGCCGACACCATTCGATCGTCTACATCGAAGATGTCGGCTTCACCCCTGAAGGCAATATCTGCGCCCGCTGTTCCCACTCTCCATTCAGATAACAGCAAACCTGTGAAGTCCAAGGAGCCAGCACTACCCCCAATAAAAACTTTTCCTAAGTACGACCATACAAAGTCACACTCCTCTTCAGTACCCACTATTGGTGAGATGCCACCGATTCCCGTCATTTGTGCGCCTGACGACATGCCAACTCGAACAATTTCGACGCCAGAAGACAAACTTCCGCCATCTTTAACAATTGGTATTGACAGCAGTGGTCCATCGCCTGCATCCAGTACAGTCAACTCCGTTCCAACCTTCTCCTTCGATCAATCACCTTCCAAGCCGTCTACGAAAACTAGTGGTCCAGGATCCGTCAAGTCACCCGTACGGCCACTACCAGTACCATCCCAGGCTACTAAGGCTTCCTCGTGGGGTCCCAATAATACATCGCGCTCACACTGGACGCCTACAACAGTGCGAACAGGCGTTCTCTGCAACTCCTGTGCCCTTCCCATCTCCGGTCGTATCGTCTCTGCCGCCGGCCAACGCTTCCACCCCGAATGCTTCAGCTGTCACCACTGCGCTGAAAAACTTGAGTGCGTGGCATTCTACCCGGAACCCACCGCAGCCCGTGACGAACGTCTCGCACGCATCCACGCCCGCCAGCAGGGCTACGACACCCCAACCTCCTGGCCAAGCCCATCTCAGGACGGTGACGAGAGCATGCGTTTCTACTGCCACCTTGACTTCCACGAATTCTTCAGCCCGCGCTGTAAGAGCTGCAAGACTCCTATTGAGGGCGAGGTCGTGGTCGCATGTGGTGCGGAGTGGCATGTCGGTCACTTCTTCTGCGCGCAGTGTGGCGATCCGTTTGATGCGAGTACGCCATTTGTCGAAAAGGAGGGCTATGCATGGTGTGTCGGATGCCACACGAATCGATATAGTGCGAAGTGTCGGGGATGTCGGAAACCGATTACGGAGGTTGTTGTTAAAGCCTTGGGGAGTGAGTGGCATGATACGTGCTTCGTTTGTGTGGTAAGTACAGTCTCATACTTATTAACAAGTTATATGCTAATGTCGTGATAGGAATGTAAAGGTCCGTTCGACGATGGCCGGTATTTCCTACGTGGTGAGGAGCAGGACCCAGTTTGTGTGCGCTGCGAGGAGCGAAGGCTCAAAGCGTAACCGTGTCCCTTGTTAATCTGCTTTATATGGTGCGTGTATTTGACTCTACTATCCGGTCTCTGGATATTTCCTTTGTGTACATCATTTCTAGGCGCATCACGACTCGGTTGAGTCGACATACGAGAGTGACACGAACAGCGTCAATGATCTTCTTTTGTCTCATTGGGCATTGAGCTGGCGCTGGTGGTGTTTCTATGTTGTACGTATAGTTGGTCTAGATAATACAGCTTGTGTAACTTATTCAGTGTTTCCTATGACGGCGATCTGCGTGGTTTTGCTCTGATATAAGTTCTCATGGTGCAAATCAATATATCACTCTGCTGAATGCTTCTTTCGTCTCTGTGTTCTCTGTCTCTTTCGACACTGTTTCTCGTTCGCTTCGCACATCTGACAACAACACTTACGGGTGTCGTTTTTGGCCCCCTGCGCTAGCCTATGGTATTGATTCGTGAACGGTCCAATACACAATTCACAATTGTTCGTTCACGGTGAATTGACTTGCCTCGCTGCTCCGTCCGCCAGGAGCGGGCTCCGCGAGTAGGCCGATAGGGGTTCTTTACGGGTACTTATTTATATACCTAGCTGACCATCGTCAACTATATTCTGTTCTACTACCATCACCAATCAAATATTCGATATCACATCTTTCATCATGAGTTCGGATCTCCGTGCACTGCGTGCACATCTGGCAGCTTATCGACATTTCCATGATCCACAAGTCATCAGGAACTTAGCTCGTGAGAGAAATTCTGAGACTCCCATCGAGACTCCAGCAGAGACCCAATCCGAGACTGCCACTGGCACTGCCACCGAGATTTCAACTGAGACTTCAGCTGATGCCAAAGCAATTCAAGCCTACAAATCCCTCCGCACCATCGAAAACTGCTCCAAGATTGTCAACACCCGCATCCCACCCAGAAGCCTCAGCAATCGCGGCCGCGATCAGCTTGCCAGTAAGTCCTTTCCTGGCAGAACAACGCAATACCTGAACTGTCTAACCCGACCTAGCCGCGCTGTTCTGCCTCTTCAGAGACGACATCCCGAATATCTACTTCCCGATCGTCTACCAGAAGCCGGACGATACATGCAAGCTCTCTTACGCGGCGGCAATCGTGGTCGAGGATGATGGCACCAGGCGTGTCCTCCTCCGCGGAGCACCAAGCATCACGCCCCCTCTAGAAGAAGGTCTTTACGATGACAAGCGCTTTCAGGACCTCCTGATGGAGGCACAACGTAAGACCGCTGTCGTGATCGGTTGGCTTTAGTATGGTGTGCTGAGTGCATGTCGATGATGGTATTATTGGACCTGAGCATGTCGAAACTATACTGACCGACTGAATGTGTTCACTGATCAGCGCTGAACTGGCCGATGCAATTGCAACGGATAGACTTCTCTCTATGCCTCTTAGAATCAGCGTTGGGCAATGACTGCACGGACGGAATGGTCCACTTATTACAATCTCAGTTTATACAACAAGTCGTGCTATCTCTCCTTGTTCGTATATGTCACTCCAACTATCAAGCCCCCATCAGATTCCCCCAATGTCTCTCCATTCGCTGCCCCTGATAAGCTTACGTTTTTGCTCCGAAACTATGCTTGCTATATCACAAGTCTACAGATAATAGACTATTTAGTTCCGTACAGTACAGATGTCGTGGCACTTTATTGCGCGTTGTTGCCTTGTCGGCTTGGTTCCCTGTTTATGCTACGCTCTGGTTTAGCTCCAGAGCCAGGTAGAAAGTTGTGCATTATTTGTTCTCATACTCAGGGGACATGAAAGAGGATGAAAGCTATGTCGGAGACCGTTGGCCTTGAATCCGGGTTCAAAAGGGGGAGTTACACTCGCAATAAATATGATTGATGGGTAAGGAGACTTCGAAGGTTTGTTGAAGATCAAAGGTCAAGTCATTAGTTCTAGGATCCCTGTGATTAGATCAAGAATCCACAGGACCACTCTTGAAAGCAAAACCGTATCCGAATGAATCTCTTCCCGAGCGGCCCACAGCATATCTTTCCACACTGTTACATATGAAAACTCACATTTCCAACTCACAGAACGCACTGATCTATCGCATCTAAAGAGACCTCATGACGCTCCCTTCCAAGACGACGTTCTATACCGTGGTCAGTGCTTTTCAATTGCGTTCTTCACACATGCCCGAGAGAATGTTGACGGTGCGACGCCCGTGCTGTTCAAGAGGTCATTGTTCGGGAGACGAAATACAATTCCTTGGAATTATAAACGTAGCTCAGCGTAGGATGTGTCTGGTTGCTGTTTGCTAAGGAATTGGAGGTGCAGGCTTGATTACCTTGAGTTGTGATGGTGGGAATAGCATGTTGTTTCCGCTGTATGCTTTATGGGGACACGATAATAGCACGGCTACAGCTCTATGCGAGATGTTGGATGAGTAGCTTCTTCACATACTCATAAGAGAACGTAATTACGGCGGTTAGACGTATCTCCTAGTCATTGTATAGTATCTCGCTGCGCGGGTTTGTGCACCTACCCTGGTTACACCGTCGCAAAGTTTGTATCGAGAAAATCGGCATAACGAGATGATATGAGGGAACCCATAGACAATTGAAAAAAAAATGATGACTGATTTCAATGGTACGAAACCCCCTGAGCCCGCGGCCTCGCAACATGGCCGCATGGTAGGCAGCGGTTATAAATGCTCAGCCTCGGTGGCAACTCTGCTAGAACTATTTAAACCACAGCCGCCCTCGAAAGTCTCTTTCTTTCCTTCTTTCCTTCTTTCCTCTCAAAATCACCTTCGTTAAAATCATCTTTGTGGAAATCATCTTCGGGCAAATTATCTTTGTATAAATCACCTTCGTGCAAACCATCCTCGAGTAAACTATCTTCGTGCGAATCACCTTCGTGTAAATCACCTTCGTGTAAATCACCTTCCTGTAAACCATCTTCGAGTAAACCACCCTCGAGTAAACCATCTTCGTGCAAACCATTCTCGATTAAACTATCTTCGTGCAAACCATCCTCGATTAAACTATCTTCGTGCAAACCATCTTCGATTAAACTATCTTCGTGCAAACCATCCTCGATTAAACCATCTTCGTGTAAACCATCTTCGTGTAAACCATCTTCGTGTAAACCATCTTCGTGTAAACCACCCTCGTGTAAACCACGAGTAAATCATCCTCGATTAAACGACCTTCGTGTAAATCACCTTCGAGCAAGCCATCTTCGTGTGAACCTTCTTCGTGCGTACACTATCTTCGAGTAAGCCATCTTCGAATAAACCAGCTTCGAGTAAATCATCTTCGTGCATACCATCTCCGAGTAAACCATCTTCGAGCAACCCTCCCATAGAAACGTGACTTCGTTATACTAGTCATGGAAGAATCTTCATCACAACCCTCAAAATCGAGCCAAAAGAGCAATCAGCCTACACAGGGTGTCTTCCCCACGCCAGATAATACTACGTTCCATGCCACGAAGCCTTACAAGGCCCTTGATCGATCAAGGAAGGAGACTCGACTACTCAGAGTTGATATCCGCAGCAGCGAGTTGACTGAATTAGAGTGCGAGCTGGTACAGAACGTATCGCTCTATGACTGGGATGGGAAATACATTGCGCTTTCCTACTCAGCTGGTTCGGCTTCCAATACTTGTGATATTATCGTAGACGACATTAGATTCCAGGCATTTGCCAACCTTGAACATGCACTGAGGCAAGTTTGCACCTACTGGAAGGCGAGTCAGGATTATGAGGCTACAAAGGGGCTGTTGGTCTGGGCGGATCAAGTTTGCATCAATCAGTATGATTATATAGAGAAAGGTCATCAAGTTGGTACGATGACGGACATCTATCACTTGGCCGAACGAGTGGTCATCTGCCTATCGGCCGCCGATAGAGATCCATTGTCGGAGGACACAAGATGGCCACGTACTTGGGACGACGAGGAAGCCAAAACGAGCTTTTATGTGGCGAATGAGGGCATTCAATGGATGATGAAAGTGGGACTAGATGTTCCTGTGGCACAATATCACGCACAAAGTGGATCACAAGCCCTGACATTGGACCAGCTCAAAGCAAGCATGTTCAGAGACATCGACATTGATAACATCCGTAGACTCGATTCTATCCCCAACTTCATGGATCATCAAAGACTATTAGCATACTGGGATGAACATGTGACAAGGACCACTCACAATGCACCACCTTTCGGTCTCTGGGATTTGTTGGAGATTTTAAGAAGTTCTTGGTGGAGTAGAGCATGGGTTACGCAGGAGTTTCTCACCGCAAAACGAGCGGACTTTATTTTCCAGAATCATTCCTTCTCGTGGGAACGTCATCTACATATATTTTGCCCACCGGTCGAGGTATTACGACAGGTTACAGCCTATGATAGCGAACTCTATCATAAGTACAAGAACTTCGAAGCAACAGGATGCATGGATGACAATCGGGATTTACGTAGCGTGCATCTCACTTGCGTTACGAAATTGCTATGGGACCAGAGGAACAAAGCGGATTTGAAGCAATTTTTGGTCCAGTCATGGCGCTGCAAGGCATCTGATCAGCGAGACTTGGTCTATGCTTTTCTTGGGCTGTCTCGAGATATCACTATTGAGCCGAATTATTCGCCACAGAACAGCCTATCAGCTGTACTTACAACAACAGCAAAAGACATAATCACAGCTGGGAATAGCTTAGACTTCCTCCATTATGCCCCCCAAACCTCTTGGTTCATCGAATGGCACTTGCCTGGCCCGCATTTACGATTCGATCATTTCGATGGCACATCGATTCCAAGGGGTACACGGATACCAAAGTCTACTCCCAACTGTTACGGATGTAATAGATTCATTGATCTCCACTATTACATCTGTGTGACTTGTACGGACTACACCGTATGTAAATGGTGCATGCCTTTAAATGTTTGCTTTAGAGACAAACACCATGAATTCTTATCAAGTGTTGTACCATGGCGTCAGGTTATGAATTTCCCGATCCCGTCGTGGGCATTCAACTGTACGGAATACCAGCACAGACAATTGAGCTACAGTCGAAAGTTCGAAAGCAAGGAGACCGGTGGGAGTAAAGCAGATGCATCTTTCAAGTTTCACCGTCTCAGAGCATATCCTAGCGCGTTTCCAGCCATGGAGGTATTGGGCATGCTAATAGCTCCGCTATTTGACTCTCAATCTGGGCAGTGGAACCTAAGACTCCGTTTTGATAATAGCCAGTATGAGAAATTCAAGGATATCAACGGGCCATGTTCTCGGGACGGTGAGATGAATCCGTATGCGGGTAAACGTAAACGACCACGGAGTGATCCACTCTGGTATTGGCCGGCTGAGCTCAAGCCGAACAAATCCACGGCAGACGATCACCTGTTCGAGATTAAATCATGCCGCCTGATCGAGAAGAGTGACCAAATGTGGTTGCTTTATGGGTCAGGAGCTCCATTTATTCTGCGGAAGATCGAGGATGTATACCATCTTGTTGCATCTGTGGAAGTTATACGCGAAAACAAAGACGGCTCGTTCTCTCCACATCCTTCCATCAAGCTGTTGGGGCCGGAGTGGCATGAAAACCCAGTAAGGAGACGTATTACGTTGATCTAGCATGAACGATATATAGTAGACTGAGTCGGCTGCAGTTGGATGTAAGAGAATGCGGTATAGATCATTGGAATTCTAATCTTCCATACTTATAAGGCTATCAAGACGCCATTTCCCCTATCTATGTCTATAAGCTCTAGTTGTTAACGCCATATAAAAAATATCATCAATTACCCCTAACCTTGGTCTTCTTCAGTCTAGGTCGGCGTACTGCTACGCTCATCGCACACGAAGCTCCGCCGTCAGCACGTTCCAGATGCGTTGCTCGAGACCTGTGGATTCATGATTGTTGTTCCATCGCTCGTGAGTAGATGATGGCATTTGGTGCGCAAGATCTCGCCATAACTGCCCCAGTACTTATGTGCTCGAACATCGGCCTCATCCTTTATGACACCGTGACCAAGAGTCACGCACCACATACCTTGGACAAGTGCATTGTGAGCGCTTGGCTCACCGTCCTCCTCCAGTAGAAGGGAGTAGATCACGCCCGTATACGCATCAATCTCGCACCCGGAGTCTTCATGTGGAAATATCCACTTGCTCTGGCTTTGCTCGCCAAAGTATGCAATAGGATGCCAAGGAGTGATAAGTAGGCCAGAATTCCGGTATCTGCGGATCTTTATCTTCTCAACAGGAGTGGGGACAATACCCTTGACCTCACGGAAGCCAGCTTGCGTGCGTACGCGGTCACCAACTTCAAGCGAAGAAGTAGGAATGGCGCCTCTTTTCTCGGTCTCGATCGTACATTGCCCAGCCCAGCAAGACCTATCCAGCTGATTCAACTCGGACATGAACTTGAGTTTCCCTGGCCCCTTATACCTTCCATAAAACGTATCAAATTCTTGCTTACAGTCCAGGAACAGCGGCGATCTGATTCCATAGCGTAGGGGGCCTGCATCTTTGAACGTGTTTCGGCGTTGCATGGCGTGTGCGAAGAGCATAGATCGCATAAAGTGCGCGCCCCAGCGTTTGTACTCTAGCTCTTGTTCGATGCCTCTTTCAGTGGCTACGTTAATGGATGTTTCGATGGCTTCCCAGAGCTGACTTCCGTCTTTGACATCGAGTAAAATGCTTTGATTGTCAGGATCAGAATGATTGCGAGATTCAATGAGGCGCGCGAGTTGAGCTCGTCTCTTCCGAATATCGACTAGGTGTAACATCTCCTCCTCGACATGCCACGGACTCGCACTGGGACGACAAATGTCTTGGATTAGGGCGCACAACCGCCCCCGGTAATCATGGTAGTATTCCTCTGTCTCGGTGGCAGGTTCTAATTTTGAGAGGTCGTATGTAACGATGAGCTCTTGAGGAGATCCGTTGTGGGATAAACAAGACGTGTAGCGTAACTTGATCTGAATGGAACCTTGAGTAGGACGCTGCGCATATCGGAAGATGAAGTCTCGCGATTGTCCATACTGTAGACTCCCGAGGTGTAGGGTCGTACTCGTATTGTAGGAGGCTATCGTATCCTCTCCATTCGTTCCCAGGAGGTCTGTGGGGCAGCGTAGGACAGCGCAGCCGGGCGGCAGAACCATCGAGAGTTCAGTGTTAGTAGCAAATGATGACATAACGTTAGATACTGCACTGCTGAAAACGTTGCAGGCATTATTGAGGTCCGAAATGTAGGCAAAGCTTCCTTTTCCTATGTTTGCAAGGAGATGCAGAAGTCCCGAATCAACGTGCTGTCCAAATCCGATAGTGTGGAGAGTTGGCGAGAACTTGTTATTCTTGCGACTTTTGCAGAGGATCTCTTTGATCGAGCTCTCTCAAGAACTTGGATTCTCCTCATTTGCTACGCCGTCTGTCAAGACAAAGATGACCTTCACGGCGTTCCTGTCCATCTCGGGTTCTTCATCGTAGAGACCATAACCAGCTTTAATCCCACCAAAAAGGTTTGTGCGTCCGTTGGCCATGATCTTGTCCACTTCCTCCTTGATTGCTTGTTTTTTTTCCCTGGTAGCCCGTACCAAGGACTGTTTTATTTTAACTTCGGAAGAAAACGTGACGATACCGATTCGATCATTATCTCCGAGCATATCTACGATTGATTTGGCGGCGGTTTTAATGACACGCTTGGGTTTGCAGGATTGCGGTTTGCCAATTAGTTCGCCGGGTCCTGATCTCCTGTCCAGTTTGTAGGATCTTGTTCCTGCGGGGGAATTCTGTTCCCACTTAGGTATCTTGGCTGGTAACTGCATGCTCTCGGAACTATCCAATACTAGTACGATATCACATGGTACGTGATTTATGTCGATCTTCGGCTTCTTTGGCGGTAGAACTGAGACTAGTATACCATCATGGTGGACAAGGGAGTGTGCTTTGATACGAAGATCCATAGCGCTGGGTTGGATGGTTGCAGCATGATTCTGTTCCACCGACGACAGAAGTTGAGATGCTTGGATAAGCCGCGATTCTACGTCGATATCTCGTCGAATGACTTCCATGTAGAGCTCGTCATCACCAAGCTCCGTATCAGGGGTAAATCGGCCGTTAACAAAGTCATATTCATCATCAGACATCGCATCGGATTCTGGATTATGAATCTTTCGTCGAGAAACTATTTCTTTGTCTTTTCTACGTTGCTCTTGTGCATACTCGTCCGGTGCTTCATAGGTGTAGTGTGAACGGTAATTCATACCTGCAGGGTTCAGTCGTTCCATCTGCAGCGTGGTGGTGACTTAACACGTCGGTTTGGAAGCTTGATGCGGGAGGATTTTGCGACTTTGTTTGATGTAGGAAGCGGATGCTGTTGAATCTGAAATGTGTCGTTGGTCAAATGCTCCCTTATATAGCGACGTCAGAGTGGCAGTGAAATACAATGCTGTTGCCTGTGAGTGCATATTTGCTTCACAATGCTCTCCTGTGGCAATTGGGTGAGATACGCCTCACTGCGCCAGTATTACACTACAAAGCTTGTTTCAATCTTAGGTCCTGAGTAGTATCTCCGCAACGTGAATGATGTATTTGTGTATCATGAAAGACATCGACAGAAAAGAGCCTGAGCAATCTTTGAAACGTGCTCGATGTCGGCTTGTCAAATTTACGTCTCCGTGGTAAATGATAGTCTTGAGCATTCCAGGAATATCCAGTGGCATGTTCGAAGCATTGTTTAGAGACATAGGGATGGGTCTCTAGCCTGCAAGGCACAACTGGGTAGCGGCGAATGAAAGCACACGCCTTCGCTGCTCACAGGGGGGACGTTTAGACATTTTTCAAGCACTTTCGTTGGTCCAAGCCTTGTTGAACGATCATATTTTTGAATGCGCCATATTACCTGGCAGCCTTTAGTGGTTGAGGGTGTGTCGTTGATGCCTGCGGTACCTCAAGCGCTCCGCTTAACGCTACCACCAACCACAGCCACAGCACAGCCACAAATCTTTGTTAGGGACTAATTAGGGTTCACAAGTTCAATTCGTGATATTGTTTTTGCCAACTTGGCAAAAACAAAAACGATACATCAACATGTCAGAACACCGAGAAGGAAGCAAAAAACGCAAGCACTATCGAGCAAGCTTGAGCAAAGAAGATAATGGACTGACGCTTCCAAAGAAGAAGTTCTTTCGCCAGCGAGCTCATGCGAACCCATTCTCTGATCATGCTCTGACATAGTGAGCTTGAGACAATACAAGTGTGCACAACCCTGAATTCTAATCAGACTTACATAGTCCTTCGGCTCCAGACCACATGGACTGGTCGTTATACTATCCCGCATATCTATCAGGCTCTACACAACCTTCAATTGTGAATGGCCCCAACAGTGATCGTGCCCAAGGCACACCGCGCACAGCCGAATCAACGAAAGTGACTATTGCGGACATCGGGTGTGGCTTTGGAGGCCTCCTCTTCGCGCTATCTCCTCAGATTCCAGATTCACTCGTTCTTGGTACGGTTCCCCACTAGACACATCACACAGTCTCTTGCAAAATGCTTACTTCACTAGGCCTCGAGATCCGTACCTCAGTGACGGAATATGTCCAGGAGAAGATCAAGGCACTACGTCTGCAGCAGGCAGATTCCAAGGCATATCAGAATGTCGCGTGCCTAAGAGCAAACACAATGAAGTTTCTGCCTAACTTCTTCCATAAGGGTCAGTTGGAAAAGATCTTTCTGTGCTTCCCGGATCCACATTTCAAGGCTAGAAAGCACAAAGCACGCATTGTTTCATCGACACTGAATTCGGAGTATGCATATGTCATGAAGCCAGGTGCTTGGGTCTACACAATTACTGATGTCAAGGACCTGCATGAGTGGATGGTAGAGCACTTTGAGAAACATGCTAGCTTCGAAAGGGTCCGTGAGGAGGACCTGAAAGCTGACAAGTGTGTCGAGCTTATGATAAGGGAGACTGAGGAGGGCAAGAAAGTGGAGAGGAATGATGGCGAAAAGTTGGTGGCATGCTTTCGAAGGCTCGAAGATCCCCCTTGGCCCTGAGGCATATTGTACATTGCAGGCTCATTGGGCTCACCCTGTGCAACCATGTACAGCCAAATATGCCAAGACAAATGCAAAATACGGGTATATGCCAAACGCCGATACTTCTATGACACAAAGCAACCAAGCACAGGTTTCGACCGAGACATGTTCATTCGTCGATTCCAGCCCATTCTTCCTCATCGCTCTCCACTGCCAACTCAGCCCCGGAAGATGATGGCTTCTCCTGACCAGTGCCATTCCAGTCTTGTAGTCTCTCGTCCTCCAAAGCCTCTTTCACACGTTCACGCACTGGTTTCGTCGGGCTCTTTGTGCCGAGTTCCTTCAGCGGCTCCAGCATTGTATTTAGTGGCATGTGCCCTTGCCTTTCCTCATCAACCCTGTCCAATTCGTCAATAAATATATCCGCAACGTGTAGTCGTAGTCCATTCGGTATTTTGCTGTCGTAGATATTCAACGGCGTTGTTTGGAGGACCTCCGCGTGTGCGGTGATGTCGGAAGTGTTCTTCCAATTGTCATGCGAGAGAAATTTGAAGGAGGTATGGAGGTAGCGGCGTATGAGGAGTAGGAACTTGTCCATGCTAAGGAGGTGCGGTTTAGCGAAGTCCTATCCTGCAAACCGCTCTGTGGGAACAAGAGAAAGACATACCGTAACCGATCTATCTCACTCCACTGTGCCGCCATTGTTTTCCAGAATGCACTTAGGAAAGGCAGTACCGTCTCGTGTGGTAGTATGTCAACAAGGCTTGCAAGATCGTTGGCTAGACGTTGCTGCACCGGTCGCTTATCGCTCATCCACATGCCTTCAATCATCAGCGCCAGGGCAAGTGCGCATCGGAATGGCACACTAACAGTAAAAGAGTCCTTTCCAAAGCTTCAAGAGCTCAATATCGTTCAGCCCTTTCCGGGATCCGAGATATACTCTTAGACTCTGTAGTGCCTCATCGCGGGCATGTCGGTCTGCAGATAAGAATAATGGTCAGCAAGTGACTCGTGCGAGGTATCATAGAATCGACGAACCGCTCGATGCGAGTTGCTTTACGAATGGACTGCTTTGCGCTTTTAGATCCATATGTGAAAGTTGTTCTCGAAGTTTTCTGAAAGTGAAGTAGTTTCTGCTCTGTGCAAATACCATAAAAGAAAAACGTTATCGATAAGACAGTGACAGCAGCAAGGTTTAGCTAAATACACTATATTGTTATATTTCCTACTAGTAATATAGCTTATACATTATAAATATAATATAGAATACTCTAATTAGAATAGAAGACGGGATTTTACTTTTTCTTCTATCCTTATTAGTTAAAAGAATAATTATCTATTTATTCTAGTTATATTTTACTTAGTAAGCTAGAATACCTCGGACTATCGTCGGGTATTATAGCTAGCGCTAAGTAGATCTATAAGTTCTAAGAGTAGTTCTATAGTTCTTCTCTATCTAAAAAGGTAGTAAATTTTCTAGGGAAAAGATACTATCTTCATTTAACTTTCTAAGGTTATATAGTAAGTTTTACTTTCTTTCTTTACTATCTTATCTTTCTTTTAGAGTTTATTATTAATATTAAAGTCTAGAATAAGAAAAATAACCTTAGAAGCTAGAAAGAAGTATGTTATCTAGTTCTACCTTTACTTATACTAATAATTCCTTATATATATGTTATCTTAGTAAGTAACACTAACTAGAAGGTTTATATAGATGCGTAAGTATAATGAGCCTTTACCAACACGGCAATCAAGGTCAGGAACACGCGATAGTACGCGAAGCAAACAACCACCGAGAAAATTCCGGATATCAAAGGTAGATCCTATCTAATTGCTACGAATATTGAATCCCTATAGAATACTAACTCTGCCATCTGCTAGATACATAGTATCGTTTCATACCGGAGTAATCCATTTACTGAGGTAGGCACAACAGTAATGACGTCATTGGTTGGCTCAGAACTCTGATTTGACCAGGAATCGGAGTATCTGCTTCGGTGGATCACACCGAAGAATGCATGGGCACAAGAACACCCGCCATTATCATGGCATACGCTGGAACAACTGTCGTCGTGTCTCAGCATATTACAGGACTATCTACAGCGCCAAGTCGACATTCAATCGGCTAGCAGTAGAAAAATCTCGCCTACCGCAGAATTGCATCACAGCGTCGCGATTTACAATGGAGAGTTTGTAGAAATATCTGAACAGGTACACTGTATATCATCTCAGGTAATTGTCGCCCGCTGTCCTAATGTATTTCGCAAGCTGATACCAGGCCGAAGTCACCTGATGTGTCCACTTTAGAATTGAGGAATATTCCCCCTCCACAAGAACTCACAATACTCCATCGTCGACAAGCGGAATTGGCAATCAGGGCAGAGTTTCAACGCCGTCTCAAGCAGATCCGAGGCCCACCAATTACGATCAGTAACACGGTAGATGCGACAACACCGTCCCTAAAGTTTGAATTCATAGAAGAATACAAGATTCGGCCCGGTGTCCATCGCGCAGATGAAGCGACTATAACAGGTTGCCAAAGCTGTTCGCCCAAGATGGGTAGAGGTATCGGGTGCGAATACACTAAGAAGTGTGAATGCCTGGAATACGCCCTCGTCAACGAGAAGAACTTGGACGATAAGCAGCGGGAGTTATATGCAAAGATCCAGGAAACGCGTGAGGGTAGCACAATGGGCATGCCGAAGAAGTTTCCTTACTATGTTACTGGATCGTACAGGAACGGGTGCCTCGTTAGCTTCTATTTAGACAGTCGACACCCGATTTATGAATGTAATCAGAACTGTGCCTGCGGCCCGGGTTGCAAAAATCGTAAAGTTCAACATGGTCGCAAGGTGCGCCTAGAGATCTTCAAGACGGAGACTCGGGGCTGGGGGTTACGGGCTCTAGAAAAGCTGGTTCGCGGTACTTTCATCGATACATACCGTGGAGAGGTCATCACGGATAAAGTAGCCTCGGCGCGCGAAGCGAAAGGAGACCGATCGAAAGCGAGCTATCTATATGAACTAGACAAGTTCAAAGAAAGCCAAGGCATCCCTCAAGAAGATATATATGTTGTAGATGGGCAATTCTTCAGTGGGCCGACCCGTTTCATGAATCACTCTTGCGAGCCGAATTGCAAGCAGTACACGGTCTCTTACAATAAGCATGATTATCGCATATACGACATCGCTCTCTTTGCGTATAGAGATATTGAGCCTCTCGAAGAGCTCACATTCGACTACCAAGACAAAGACGAGGAGGAAGAAGAAGACGATGAAATGGACATCGAATTCTCACAGGCAGAGTCTGAAGAGAAAGTTCCCTGCAACTGTGGTGCAAAGAAGTGCAGGAAGTGGTTGTGGATCTAAGCAATATGAGTGACCTACTCTTATCAGCAGGGACTGCGAATGTGTCAATAGGTTCGAGGAAGAACGCTAAGAGGAAGTATGCTCGGAGGAAGAATCCAAGCCCAGATCTTGGCTTTCAAACGTGGACAAGATATAGCACGATTGGGATCGGTCCGATAACTTCCTGTCATCTCAGGTCAGTCGGCAAAGTGCGTGTCGTCCAGCATGTTTAGCCTTCTTCGCAAACCCGAATGTTAGCTGACGCCTGATCGTCTTACGGATGCATCCAAACTATGAATCCACGTACCACGTGCACACTGCATCTTGATTTGCGCAGCAGTCAGCATGCTTCTGATTCAGGGTGAAGGGGGCTACCGGGAAGCAGTTATAGGTAATCAATATTGCTATAGATTCTATGTTACTGTGGAACATACCTGCAGTCGTCTTTCAAAGAGCAACGATACAGTCACGGACTTGTAAATACTTCACTCATAGATTATCTATAAATTTATGTGTCGTATAAGTATCCCCATCATGGCCTACAAGAACCTCGATGAGGATCAGGCAAACAACCTGATGTGATGTCGTATATCGCGAGAGGCCAGGGGAGTAGGGTCCTAGATCCCCATGCTCTACCTAAAAAATTATGCTAATAGCTTCGACCGCAATACGTCTGAAGATTGTCGATCTTCTAATACAGCGTTTTTGTGACGAACTATCAAGAGATACAGGCCAAGAAAATTTCGCATGAGAATGTTATTCGGTCGAAATAGTAACCTCCCTAGGAGGGGCAAAGACATACTCAATTGGAAAAAGCAAATATGCACACCTTTATAAGAGACTTGCGATAGTATACATAGGCGCATACTGTTTGAATAGTACAGAATCATAAACCCACAGAAAGGGAAATAAGATTCGAAGAAGCGATCACAATGCAGCTGCGGAAGAGCTTCATTGCTTGATACTCGCTTTAGTCTCAGAGTATTATCAACCAACACAAAGAAAGTCTTCCAAGACTGTTACGTGAATGTGTCTGTTATTGATACCCCATCTTATTTGCCATATGCTCCAAGCCACTTTCAAAATGCGTTCTAAAGCACCGTAACACCAAGACGCCCGGATCTACCAGGAGTCATGTTGCTGACACCTCCGCGTGTGCTTTCCGTGCCCTGAATTCATATATATGCAGAGTTCCCTCCACTGGTGTAAATGGTGTAGAGTCTGGACAATGATGCCTGCCTCAGAAGGACAGTTCTATACACCTCGCGATTACAAACAATAACTTATCTACCCATAGTGTTGCACCCGAGAAGCTTGATATATGCCCTTCCGTCTATCCAGAGTCCTCAACTCAACATAGGGCCGCCGGATCAAAACAATATCGCTATCTCGGTTGACCTCAAAATGAAAGTCGAAGTCAAGTCCAGAGACATGAAACCTTAAAATGCGATCAAGGACAAAGAGGGCGTTGACACGCTGAACTTTTCCGGAGCTTGCGGGAAGTCTAGTCCAGCTGAGATCACCCTGGTCAGAAAACTGGATCTCTGAATTATGCCTGCCTTCTGCCTTACGTACTGGCTGAGCTTTCTCGTGAGCCCCTGTCCATCACTTTCCAAATTACCGACTACTGACTCAAAACCAAGACCACAATGCCATTGATCTCGCAGGGCTCAATACTCTGGGTGAGGACCTGGATCTAGCAGACTCCCGGAAGTTAGGAAACTTAGATCATCGAGTGTACGCTGATGCATCAGGACACTGGCTCGTGTGTCTATCCGTTTGATAGCTTATACACTAGGCTAAGTTCCTTCCAATTTATTCTTTACACGTAAGAAGCCAGGCCATCATATGGCTGGCTGTATAGCACTTGACGCTGTGGTCTCAGAAGTGACTACACTTGCCCAAGACTACGAGTGTCCCCTCCTATGCGTTTCTCCCTTGGTGTGACTGAAGCACTATATTACCACAGAGCTTTTTGCGTGCTTTCGATATTATATACTTGCAAGGAGATTGCGACCAGAATGTTGATCTTATATACCAGCTATACCTATGCAATCGTATTCACGGGCTTGATCGCTGGGGATTTATGAAAGTGTTGAGCAAGTTGCCGTAATAGCTACGAGGCAAAGGCTTTTCATGTCACATCGTGGTGTAATGTTCGTAATCGCAATGATTCAGCATCTAATCTCCCTGATGACCCACTGATCAATCATTCGCTCACACCAGATGAAAAGCTGAGGACAGCTGCAGTAGAAGTTAGGGATCAGATTGTGATTTCAGATGATGGAATCTGAGTAGCAGATCGTTCTGGGATAGATGATGTACAGGAGGAGGTTACAGTCATTGTTGTTGTGACGGTAGGGTTAGATTTTAGGCGCTAGACTATCTCAAGACGCTGAGATATACTTCTGACCATGGGTCGTGTTTGGGACCTCGGATCTGCGAGCTATCAAAGAAAACCTGATGGCGCTGCTAGTGTAAGTCGAATGGATTGGACGTGGGATTCATATTATCTGCAGCACTACGCCTGGGTGTCATGCGGCAAGGCTCTTGGTGGGACAATGTCCGAGAAAACGGGGCAGATCAGAACCCTATTTCATGAAGGAAGGTGTGGCAGACCCGCTGAGTGGTCACAAGGCATGGTTTGAGAGTGTGTGAGCAATTGCCTGGTATGCATTCGGTAAAGTTGAGAAGACTGGGTTTAGGCCAGAGGAGAAATTTTTGCTTTAAGGAGAAGGAATCTAGGAGCTTAGAAGCTATAGATACTATTACTAACGTAATTAATCTACTGGGCATGTGTATCAGAGTCTTGTCTGCATAATGCACTGCTTAGAAAGAAGGATGACATTTGCTTACACCGTCAAGAGGTTTGGACACCTGCTCCAGGATACTGAATGCTATGGTTCTTCCGATACTCGACAGCAAGATACGTGGCAATCTGCGGACTGCAGATCGAAGCAATGTCTAACAAAGAATCACGAACCTCTAACAGCACCATTTGGGGTGTAGGAGGACTATGTGAAAGGTCTCATCATGCGATTGTCCCCAGGGATGTTTCCATTGTTCGATCTTCAGATACTGATAACCAATACATGCATTGACTATTCTGAAGAAATTGCCAAACTATATACATAGTGTCATACGCTCATAGGTGAGTATACTTTCGACATTCTGTAGTGATTATACTCACCATCAAACGACACAGTCCCCTTGTGACAATGGAGATGCTGGCACCACTCCTCTTTAGACTTGGAGAGCCATGAGAGTGGCAGTGTCGTTTGAGATCGCATAGTTGTATGAGACGAAGCGGTGAGTACTGGTTTGCACTGGCATAGTCATGAATCTGGCTTTGGAAGTGGGCGGATCCAGTTCACAATGAACTTGCTGCATCCTTTGCCTTGGTAGCGCGCCCCTTGTCAGGAGAGACTGGAGGTTGTCGTATCCCCACCGTTATGTCGAGAAACAGGCTGTAGCGACGGTCATCCTTTGGTTCCAAGTAGGCTGGTCTTCTGACTGCAGTAGACGCAAGATATCTGCGCGCATACAACCGCTTCAAAATGCCCGTCCAATCTCCGAAGGATGTCCCCCATACCGCGAGTCATCGTGATCCGAAACAGCCTTGACCGAAACTATACTTATATCTTTCTCTCCATAGATGCCTAGCGCTTCGTCCCCTATCATGGTCAGATCTCTCGACTCCTTCTTCTGCTTCGACAAGATGACGATGAATGCGACAACAATGGCCACGACAGCTACAGCCAGTCCGACTCCGAGTCCGATGTATAGCTCTGTGGAGAAATGTATTCCGCCGGATGGGTCAGCTGTGACTGGTTGTGGTGGTGCGACTCTTGGAAGATTCTCCACCTGGGCGTTGTTGCGTGCTATTACGGTTGACTTGTAGACAGTGGTCTCGAATAGTCCTCGCATGTTGTTGTGTGCGAACCACTGTGCGCAGGGAGGCATTTTCTTTCAACTGCTCTTCCCTAAACGATTGTGTTATGTTTTTGTTGATGCCTTCTCAGTTGTTAGCGAGAAGCCAGTACGTCCGTCAATCACAAGAGATGGATCCCTGTGGAGTGAGACATACTGTGAAAAGAGTGACGATACTGAGACCAGCTGTTTTTCAAAGCCTTGTAACATGAGGGAATAAGAAGCAGACAATCGAAATGCACAAGCGATTCCTATACAATTTGATCTCTACGAAAAGACCCTTACACGTGCCATTCGCGCAGCGTTGTGGGGATCCTAGCCCAGCCATCGATAACAGGATCAATTTCCCGAAAAATTGTCGCAGTCATTGGCCCGAATGCTATGATCGACATATTAGAAAACAACATAATGGATTAGTATCCATTGATCTAAAGATGCCCCTGCACTAACTGCCGTACCGGCATGTACGACGGTTGCACTAGAGTCTCGGCGCACGACATGATCTACGTGGGTCGATTGAAAGGAATAGAGCCGACTCGTAGTGTTGTAACCTGCAATAGCTTCGGATACAAGAGAGATTATTTGAAATGTGAGGATCAGGTTTAGAATTTACTGAGCTCGCAAGGCTTCCTATATTCCCTGAAAGGGCGAGCGAATGATTTCAATAAGCGCGCATAAGAACGGAGATTATAGGACAATAGTGTGCATTTCGGACTATTATATGGGAGCTGAGTAACGGTATAGACAGCTATTTGACAGAACAGAATAGTTTGAGCGTACATTGTGTAAGCATGCGAAATATCGAAGAATAACATGCAAGTGGAATAGCTCCACGAAGCCCTGAATAATCCAAGTCTCATGGAAGCCCTCGTCCAGTGTTGATTGCATCTGCAAGTTGACTAGTGTTTGGTCTGTTCTCGGCGTATCTTTCATAGCTGTCTAGATATAGATCATCGGTACTGGTCGTTGCTTGAACAGCTTTATGATGCTCGATAGCATCAACCCATCTAGCATATCGAGTTCCAGGCTCTGGGTCTGGCCAACCTCGATATGGACTCAGCACTCGCCTCATTCGTATGACCCATGGGGCAACCTGTACATCGACAAAAGAGATCTCAGGGCCCAGGAAAAAAGGGCCATGCTGATCAGCGGCGTCGACCAAAGTTATGACTGTTTCTTTGAATTCTTTGGCGTATTGAATCTGCTTCTCACCATCTTGCTCCTGAAGGTAGCGGTAGAAAGCTGGTATAATCTTACTATGGACGTGTAAAGTCCAAAGTCTCGAATGCGCTTTCTGCTGGGGTGTGCTCGGAAGAAGAGGCGTCCCTTGGCCTAGGTCCTCGAGATATTCCATAATGATGGCGCTGTCGTTAATCGACCACTCTGGGCCATGGCGGATAGCTGGTACTAGCCCTTTGGGACTAATATCGAGTAATGATTGTGGCTTCTTATACGGATCAACCTCAATATACTGGTATGGCACACGCTTAATTTCCAATGCGATCCATGCTCGTTGTACAAAGGGGCTGTCGCATATCAGCAAGTGACACTCGGAGGCTGTGAAATGGATACCGAAGAGGGAGAAACACGCAGCCCCTTGTAATGATACGTAATAGATGAACAAATCGCGTAAAGAAAAGGGTGAGATACCAAAAGCAAGCGCCATATAGCTTCAGCGCAGTTTCTGAGGAGTGCGACTGGACCGTACTCAAAGCCTCCCCGGTTGCTTTCTGAGCATATGTCTTCTTCTGCTGCATGCCATGATTAGCGTCAGACATATTGCGGATCAGTGTGCGAAGTGTGATTGTAATGTCACAATAGCTTTGGATAGACCTGGCAAGCAAAATAGGAAAACGAACTGAGCCGAGAAGCCGGGCAGCGAAGAACGGGGTGAGCTATTTCGTAAAGCGTTCACATTGGGTTCGCACAAGTTCCCTTGTCAGAGCTCGGTAAAGGCTCGGAATGACGTCAAACCAAGCTCTTGACTACTGAACTCTGGAAATGCTATCCCTGATTCCTATCGGCAATAGGAAACTGGTGTTGCACTCTTGGAAAGGGTTTACACTATCTTCAGGAGAAAAAAAATCACTATGTGACGGCCTCTGGAGAACACAAGACCTGTATTCGATACACGAATACGATAGAGCGCCGTATGGTTCAGGACAATTGCGCAGACACTTACATGAGTGGATCTCCTAGACTTTCCATTCTTTGATACGAGTAACCTGAAGACTGAGTTTTTCTTGATTCGATCACTCTCTTCAATCGAATGTTTGTGAGGTCCAGGTACACTATCAGTATTCCCATTCTCCTTCTTACCGTTGATTCTTTGTATAGAGAACCATTTTGATACTGAAGTGTCTTGTGGACCATATACGGGCGATGGCGTCATCCATATGCCGGTGTGAGATTGAACCAAGCCAGGAAATGCACTTGCCATATCACGTGACACTGTTTGGTGCCCCAGACATTTGTGCTGCTGTTCTAGTTCTTGAGGAATAGTTCCTCGATCATACTCCACGATTTTGATCTTCACGCCACACAAATCTCTTTCTCTGGCTACACGCCTGCGTTTCTTTCTGGCCGGATCCAGGGATTTGGCCGTACCAGGCGGGCGTCCTTTCAATCGACAATTCCAGTAGTGAGACACAAACGGCTTCAGTTTGTATGTTTGAGTTGAACGGTGAGAATATACATTGTCGACATGAGGGAAATACGTTTGAAACCTGAGAATAGAATGAGCCATCCCAGTCAGTTCCCAGTGGTGTACACATACTCGTCCTCAGTGAGGAAAATAGGCTCATCAACATTAAACAATCTCTCGCGCCAAGTCTGCAGATCCGGTGGATTTTCAATAAGCTTCATTGGGCTTTCAAATTTGAGTTGATATGTCTCGATCTCATCTAGCTGAGGAGTCTCAGCCAGAGCTTGCACTTGATGAACATTACTGTTAGATACTGGATGAGAATGGTGGTGCATAGAAGTCTGTATTCGTGGACTTATAGACGACGGTTGCGGTATATGGCTCGCGACAGATGAGAAGGTAGGTATTTGTTCAGCGGGTTGCAGGTGGTCGGTCTGATAGAAGGTTGGACGTGCTGCAAGGCCATGACTTTTAGAAGCACTGGCTGAGTGTTGTGGGAGCTTGAAGGTTTCTGCAAGAATGCATGGATTGTACTGCTGCTGTTGCTGTGCGGGTTGCTGATGGAGCTGCTGGTACACAGCTGAGTGCAGAGTAATCGAAGAACCAAGAAGATTAGATGTATCCGTATCCATCACTCGCTAATAATGATCAAAACAGATGTTGCTGCTTTAACATCCAGGTACCTTGCAGGACGAGGGTCTTACAACTTGCCGATCGGTTTCGATTACCGGGTCAGGCTACGAATTAATGCCTTAGGCATACCTAAAAGCCCCTCTCCCAATTTCACAACCACACAAACCATGAACTCTTGGCATTGCGAAATTCGTTCCACTGCTACCAAGCGAACCTTAACGTCGACCAAAGAATATACCTTCCAATATACAATCATACTGCACTATGGCTGACGCTGTAAAAGAGCCGTCGCTTCGTGCGGTCCAGATCGAAGCCCTTGTACGTCTAGGAAATATACAGAGTTTATGACAAATGAAGGCCCTCGCTGACACGCTCAAAGGTGGTCATGAAGATCATAAAACACTCCTCCCAATCGTTCCCGACGACGGCGACAGGATCGCTACTTGGTATGGATGTGAACGGAACTCTGCAAGTGACAAACTGCTTCCCATTTCCTACGATCGATGCCCCTGCGCAGGATGGTCATCAACAAGATTCCTCTTCGAATGTCGCTGCTGCCGCGCCACGCGCAAAAGCCAATACCGCTTACCAGAACGAGATGATCAAGTATCTCAGGGAGGTCAATGTAGACGCGCAGAATGTGGGATGGTATACGAGTACCAGCATGGGAAATTTCGTGAACCTGAACACGATCGAGAACCAATATTTCTACCAGAAGGAAATGAATGAGAGGACTGTAGCATTGGTGCACGATGTCAGTAGGACATCGCAAGGAAGCCTGAGCCTGCGGGCGTATCGCTTGTCGCCAGCATTCATGACAGCATACAAGGAGGGCAAGTTCAACACGGAGAGGTATGTTACTATAACTTGGTCTGTCAAATATGCGTTTGCTAATCGATGATCAAGTCTCCAAAAGAGCGGCCTCCGCTACCAAGACATCCTCGTCGAACTCCCTCTCACAATTCATAACTCCCATCTCTTGACATCACTACTACACCAACTCCCTTCACAGCCACCCAAGGAGGAGCTCAAATTCCCACCGAATCTTGCTGCACTCAACCATGACCTCAATACCTCCGAACCTCCTTTGTTTCCGAACTTCGAGTCTCTAGATCTTTCAATTGATCCATTCCTCGAGAAGACATGCGACTTACTACTGGAAAGCATAGAGAACCACCATACCGAGCTCAACAACCACCAGTACTACCAAAGGTCCCTTGCCCGTGAGCAAGCCAAGATTACTGCATGGCAACAAAAGCGCAAGGCAGAGAACCTGGCCCGTGCGGCTTCGAAGCAACCACTACTACCGGAGGATGAGTATCAGAGGCTGTTCAAGTTGCCTACCGAGCCCAGCCGGTTAGAAGTGCTTTTGAATTCGAGGCAGATTGAGCAGTATGCCCGCCAGGTCGATGGCTTTACCGCGACGGTAGATGCAAAGATGTTCGCAGTGAAAAACAACTTGCACCCTGGAGAATAGATGTATCAGGCATGGGACAGATGAGTAATGCTGAGAGATTGGCATGGGACATGGCGTTCTGTGTGAGGGTGGGCTTCGTTCGAAGTAACACATCGGGTCTCGGTAGATGCCAGTAATTCAAATTCATGAACAAGCTGCGTCTCTCGACACAATTTGGCACAGACCTTTGCGCAGATTGACGTGCCAAGTGACATAGCGAGACTGCGAGCGGAGTTGAATGTCATAGTGTTTGTGAGACTTGGCATCATATTGAGCCAAAGGTTGTGGTATCGGTTGAGGCACGGTCATACAATTCGGCGCTAGTCTTGGATGATATTGAAGGTTATTGAACAATAAACTCCGAAGGATACGGGGCTATCAAAGATATATCACAAAACATCCTGGCCTTGAACTCTAACCGATGAGCGTAATGGAACCCGCTGAGACCTGCCCTTATACTCGGGGTTCCACCCTGCGACACTGTTGATATCAACATCGGAGTGATTTTACATGGGCTGTCGACGGTGCACTATTGTTATTAATCAATTACTCATACCAGGTTAAAGACCGAATGAAATGGCTAAAGTACGCATGAATAGGTAATTATTGGCCGAATGAATAGTATGAAAAGTGGTGGAGGTGGGGTTATCCTTGTACAAAACAGCATTCGACGGTTCCTGACCGAAGCGGAAACGGCTTCGATCAAACCTCGCGATTGGTCTCTACCGGGGAAAACAGAGGATGATCGGCTGGCGTTCCTGCGACCTGACTGGCAGCTGATCACATGCGCTTCAGTCTAGTTTCAGTCTCGAGGCACTCCCATAGACCATACACGGCGGGAGAGAGATCTGTATCAAGACCCGCCCGCGTATGACGAAAGAGGCCCTTGCCAACGAGCACTTTCGGGAAAGCGGCCTGATTCGGGCTCGGCCTTGTGGCATCCGGCCGCCGTAGGGTTGGTTGGTTGGCATGGATGTGAATGGATCGATCCTTCTCTATATACGCATGCCACTGCCGCCATGGTGGCTGCACTGCCTCAAGTCGCTGTCTCTCCTGTGTCTCACTCTCATTCTTCCCTCTGTTGTTCTTCTGTCCCAAGCAACTGTGCCAACGTCTCGCTTCAGCATCAATTGTGAACCGTATTGCCATCATGCCTATTCGTAATCCATTCAAGAAGACATTGGGCGAAGTTGAGGTCCGGGACGAGAACCAACCCTTCCAGCGCAGAGGGCCAGACGGTGGTTTTCAGAGCACATATGTCACTGGCGCAAAGCCAATCGAGATCAAGGAACCGACAGAATACAAGCTTAGTGGTATGCATCGCCATCCAACCCTGATAGCGTTACTGCATAAGCGCATTTACGTTGCTGCGAATGCTGACCCTTTGCAGAAATCAACGACAGCGGGGTATTCCTACCTGTATGCGCCTTCTGATCTTCTGTCCAGCACCAGATCTACTTACACATACATTATAGCCGTCGCCAACAGAGAAGAAGAGTTTCTGGGGTAGCCGATCAAACACCTCGACCACATCGTCATCAAATCATCGAAGCTTGCTGAATGAAAATGAGCCGTTCAACATCTCGAGGGAGTCTTTCGATTCGTACAGGCGGTCTTTTGTATGTTGAAATGGCAAGGTACACATAATCATGCTAATTGCCAAATAGGACATCTCCGCTCGATCTCCGATAAGTGAAGTTGAACCGCGCTTAAGTAGAGAGTATGGTCGCCAAAGTCTTGATGCGCGCCGCGCCATCGCCCGTCCCTCCCGATCCTCCTTTGATCACCGCATCGACAGACCGGAAGCCATGCCAGAGGAAGGATTTGAAGAGGTCGGGCTGAACGATGAGGTCAAGCCAAAGAAACGTGGCTTGTTCTCGCGCTTCGGCGATTCGTCCGACTCAAATCATGCTAATCATTCGTCGGACAGCAGACCGTCCTCGAGCCACCATGGATTCCACTTGCTCCCGGGAAGAAAGCGAGGCCAAAGCGGACAAGGCTCAGAGCTTCGACCCATGGCGAACAGCACACCGGAGATCAAAGTCGACTCGTAATTTCAGTCTCGCCATATATATTGATACATAATAATGATAATGGGGTCGGCTTGGACGGTGGTATCTCTCCATGGGGAATTCGGCGTTGAAACATATCTTGATGGTTGGATACGACTTCATGTCAATACATTACTACGATTGTTAGCGCTGCCTTGTGAGAATGATGCAGCGAAGTATGCCAGAGACGATAGATTCTCATGAACGGCAGACACGGGCTTCACGGAAGCGCCATACGTAGATAGTCAAGGGTCTCAGAAGATGGCACAATAGCAGATGAAACCAATGAAATGGCTAATCAAATCTTACACCGCCGTGCCTTCAGCTTTTTGTAGTGTTTTTAGTACCCACATGGAAGTTGAGACATATATCTCAAGACGTATATCATGTCGAACGAACCCTGCCCGAAGACAAGAACCGTTATCGATAACAACTATGTGGACCCGAACTAGTCACGTGGTGGAAATCTTGGCTCCATTAATTTTTTGGGTCCATCCGAAGAGACAGTTGCGAAAATTTAGGTGCACCTTGTTCAGCATAGCACCACTCCATTATGGCAGGAATAAAGCGAAAACAAGTTTCTGACACGCCGACCGTCATTCCGAATGAGGGCAAAGTAAAGAAGGTCAAGAAATCTACTCCTTCAGTACCTACGGCATCCGGCGTACCTGCCAAGTCCAAGCCGTCCACGGGCAAGAACACGAATTCGACGTCGAAGAAGAGGACGGCCGAGACCAAAGCCCCGGCCCCAGCATCTGAGAGCGATTCGGACGTTGATGAGCTCGAGGAGAGCGACACAAGCGAGCAAGAGAATGGGTTCTACGGCTTCTCCGCCGCAGGGCAGGGTGCCGCAGAGGAAGACTCAAGTGAGGATGACGAGGCAGATGGAGACGGTGATATAGAAATGTCTGAACCTAAGCCTAAGTCCAAGACTGGAGAGACCTCCGAGAAGGCGCGGGAGAAAAAGAGTGACAATGCTCGTGAGAGAAGCCTTTTAGCATCATAGCCTCGAAGAAATTGCTAACAAGAGAAAGTGAACCCCACGTCGTCGCGAGAGGCTCATGCGAAACAGAAAGCCGAGAAGAAAGAGCGCAAGGCTGCAAAGCCCAATGCCGACAGCATCGCCCGGGCCAAAAAGTTATGGGAACGACTACGTATAAAGTCTGCTGTGGAGCCCGAGGAACGGAAGAAGCTTGTCGAGGAGCTGTTCGACATTGTATCTGGCCGCGTCAAGGAGTTTGTCTTCAAGCACGACGCTGTGCGACCTGTTCAATGCGCGCTCAAGTATGCGAGCGCAGAACAACGATTGATGATTACAAAAGAGTTGAAGGGCGATTTCAGACATTTGGCCGAGAGCAGATATGCCAAATTTTTGATTGCAAAGCTTCTGTCGGATGGGTAAGAGGGTGTGGTTATATGAGTGTTTAATGTGCTAATATGGATTACAGAGACGACACCATTCGAGACTTGATCATTACAGACTTCTACGGCCATGTCCGTCGACTGATAAACCACCCCGAGGCTTCTTGGATTCTCGACGATGCGTACCGGGGTGCAGCAACGCGCAAACAGAAGGATGTGCTGTTACGGGAGTGGTACGGACCAGATTTTGCGCTGTTCAAGTCTGCGAACAAAGACGACCTCACGTCTAATCTTTCTAAGATTCTCGAGAGCGCACCGGAGAAGCGGAAACCTATCATGGACTACCTGCAGAAACTCATCAATCAGCTCATCCAGAAGAAGCTGGTCGGCTTCACTATGCTGCATGACGCCATGCTGCAGTACCATCTGAATTTGAAGCCGGAGAGTGAGGAAGCTACGGAGTTCTACGAACTCATCAAGGGCGATGAAGGGGGCGACTTGATCAAGAATCTGTCCTTCACCAAGTCTGGTTCGAGGCTCGTATGCCACTTGCTGGCGTACAGCGACGCCAAGGGGCGTCGAAACCTGCTCAAGCTCTTCAAGGATACAGTTGAGGCGCTTGCCTACGACAAGCACGGACATCACGTTTTGCTCACGGCGTACGAGGTCATCGACGACACAAAGACGCTGTCTAAAGCGATATTTCCAGAGCTCTTCGGGGATGGGACGAACGAAAGTGCACAGCAAGATAAGATTGTCGCATTGGTCCACGATCTGACTGGGCGCAAGTCTGTCCTGTCGCTTCTGTCCAACCACGCCAAATGGCTATATGTGCAGGATGACAAGGACATGCTTGCGGAAGTCCAAGAGATTCGCAGCAAGACATCGAAGAAAGATCCCGAGATCCGCAGGAAAGAGCTTGTTGGTTATCTTTCACCGGCTGTCATCAACACACTACAGCATCGCGCCGTTGACCTTTCAGCGACGTCATATGGGTTCCAATTCATTACAGAGGCGTTGATGGCCATCCCAAGCCCCGCAGCTGAAGCTCTTGCGGGCATAGCCGCATTGGCAGAGGGTGATCCAAAAGCTGAGAATCACATCAGTCAGTCTGCTGCCGGAGGCCGGATGCTCAAGACGCTGGTCGGCGATGGGCGTTTCAATCCGGAGACGAAGGCTCTCGTTCCGCTCGAAAGTCCCCTAGGTTTCGCAGATCTCCTGTACGCGCGCATCAAGGACCACATCGTGGACTGGGCCACGGGACCCGGGTCTTGGGTCGTGGTAGCAATGCTAGAGAACGCCAACTTCAGCCACAAGAGTGAGCTTGAAAAGACACTCAGAAAGAACAAGAAGCACCTAGACACCGCCGCGTCGTCGGAGACGGCGGAGCAGAAGGCTCGGCGGGAAGAAAAGGAGAAGATTGCGCAGGGCGACAAGGGGGCGGCGAAAGGGCAGAAGAAGAAGAAGTTGGTGCAGGCGGAAGTCAAGGTTGGGAATGCCGGGTCGAAGGCGTTGTTGGAGAAGATGTAGGGCATATGTGCATGATGCATGGTGCATGAATCAGGCGTCCAAAACGGGGCAGGCAGTGGTGGTAGGTAGTCATGAGTATCATATGCTCTTGAGTTTTTCTCTTGATTATCGTCCTGTTTCCTTTTTTGTTTTGTCATGACGTTATGTGTGACCCGTCCGTTTCTATTGACATTGTTCGACAATTCTCGTTCCCCGTGACCGCAGAATGGGATTCTTCTTATTCCTTCAAGGCACCCAATACCGAGTATCTCGAGGTCGTCTAGCCGTTTGTCGGGCAACCGAAAGGCATACAGAATCCCGTTCCCCATCAAGACACGACACACGTCGCCCCACATTTTCTCTCGCATTCACTTCACCTCGCCTCCCCTGAATCCCGAAGATTCCTTAAACGGGCGGCAAAACACACGCTATTCACCAATCTGCTATTGACGATTAACCGATTGACGACGCATTGTGTTACCTATTCCTACTCTATTCAAGCGAGGACCAGGGGGGGTCCACACATTGATTATATTCTTTCTCAATAGCCCTTTCCCCCGCCTACCTTCGTCTCTGTCAATCGCACACTTTCTGAAGAAGACAGATTTCTCCTCTTTTCGGCACTTTCGATTGTGCTATTTACTATAGACGGCTGGCTATTGTGTGATTCTCTGGGCTGGATCTGCTTAAATACCTCGTTGGCAGCGCACATTTCTGGGATTCTCCAGTCTGTCCACCTACAAGTTTCCGTCTTCCCTCTCGAGCCGCACGCTGATTTCGCCTCCAAGAAACACCATTTTTCCGACGCAGCAAGCCATACAAAACCACCTTTTCCTCCACTTCCTATCTCAAAAACGACCTCTTTCTCCCTCATCACCACCGAAACCGCAAAAATGCCACCAAACCAATCCCGCCCATCATCCCACCAAAACACCACAAGACCTGCTGGCCAGGCACCACCACCACCACCAATCCGCCCATCGGGCATCGAGTCCCCGCCAACCCTCTCCTCCCTCGCCACCGCCATCTCCTCGCTCCGCCGCGAAAACACGGAGCTGCGCAACAGGGTCGCAGCCCTATACCCCAACACCACGCACGACCTGCGGCACGCCCAGCTCAGCAACGTCGTGGCCGCCGTCCGAGCCAGCATAACGCAGCAAATCCGCATGCAGGAGGCGGCCATCTCGGCGCGGCAGCGCCGGCAGGAGGAGGCGTTCAACAGGACGATGAAGGACGTGCAGGCGCACTTCACGCGGCGGGTGGAGGGGAGTGTGCAGATGTTGGAGAGGCGGTTTGCGGAGCGGGTGGGGGACGAGTTGCGGAGTGGGCCGGGGAGACTGGCGGTTGATGAGGCGGCCACGAGGGCGGCGGAGAGGGTGTGTAGGGAGTATGGGGAGCGGGCGGAGGAGAGTGCGGGGATGTTGGCGGGGGCGGTGGAGGATGCTGTGAGCAGGGCGGTGAGGGAGGGGAGGGAGAGTGTGGAGGAGGGGTTGCGGGAGATGAAGAGGGAGGTTGGGGAGCGGATGGCGGCGGTGGAGGAGGTGCTTGCGCGGGTTGTTGCTGGGGAGGCGAGCGGGGGGGAGGGGAGTGGTGGTGGTGGTGAGGAGGAGGAGGTTGTGGAGAGGGAGGGAGAAGGGGGTGGTGAGGCGGAGGGGAGCCGGAAGAGGGCTCGTGAGGAGGAGGGAGAGGCGGAGGTGGTGGAGGAGAGGCCGGCGCCGAAAAAGGCGCGGAGGACGGCAAAGGGGCGTTCGGCGAAGGGGAAGGAGCGTGTGGAGGTGCGGAGGACGGGGCGGAAGAGGGTTGCGAGGACCTTCTATGAGCCGTGAGGGCCGGGGAGAGGGGAGGTGGAGGGGGGAGATGTCGAGTTGAAGCAGTCGTTTTTCGGATAGCCAGCACGGCGGGACCGTGTTGTCTGGTCTGGCTGGAACGACGAGATGGCGGCGAGAGTGTATTACTAGATAGGCGTTCAAAAGCGGCTTTTTCTTTTTCCAATATCAAAAAAGCGTTTGATTTCTGACTATCAAGATCAAGGTTGTTAGTAAGCTTTTCTTAGGTGCATCAGCCTCGTCATCGCCACATGGCTCAGCCACACCTCACGGACTTCCAGACAGGCCTGCCTCGTGTGGTGGAAATCTCGCCATGTGGGAAAGAAAAAAGCCCAAAAAACGTCTCTCCCCCCCAAAAACAAATCGCTCTCACAGCAACGTGTCGCTGTGGATACAAAAAGTGACAACACCACAGCCGCCGAAAAGGCTGGCGCACGAAGGTACCCGAGTACACACACACACACACAGCCCACAACATCCCACCTCCCATCCTTCAGACCCTTACCACCGGGTACGGTACGTCGACGATGATGTATGTATGTATGTATGTTGATGAGGGCATGTTATTAGCTGGCCGAACCATCTGACATCTGATTGCTGCAAAGCCAGCGGAAAGATCCATCAGCCCGTCTTAGCCCTCCTCCCATACCCTACCAATTGCACAACGCACGCACGCACGCACATATACACACAAACACGCACGCGGGCGTTTACTATTCCCGGCCGTGAAAGGGGGGGGTGGGTTTGGGAGGGACCGCCCGACCGACCAACCGACCGACCGACCGGACCCAACAGACAGGATACACCTATGACTGTTTCTGCTTCCCAAGAAAAATTTAAAAATAAAAACGAGGAGGGGGGGAATACGTAGCACGCATGATGAGTTGTCACTTCTTCCTGACCGACTGACTGTGCGCCTTTTGACTGGGCGTGGATGAGTGTTTATGTGAGGGAGGGAGCGATAGAGTGAGTGAGAGAGGGCGAGGACACCGAGGACTGCGATGGTACTTACGTCTCTCGTCTGGAAATTTGAGCAGAGAATGGAAAAACTTGGCTCTTTCGCACGCCTCTCTGTGTGTGCGTGTGTGCGTGCGGCCCCCAGTGCCTGTTAGCGAGGGCAACTTACCTACCTACCTACCAGCCCCCCCTCCCCTGCCTGGTCCTCTTCCTCCAAGGACGCCACGGACGAAAGTCTGAAGAGCGGACGGATCCAATGAGGGAGGAAGGTTGAAGGATTACATCGAGCGAGTGAGTGAGTGAGTGGGCAGGAGGACCGCAGGGAGAAGAAGTGAGTCTTCATGCGCGCGGCGCGCTATCTTGGCAACAGTCCTCTTGCATTCAGTGCTTGCTTGATTGCTTTACAAAAGACTTTTTCACAGGACGACTTTTGTTGTTTCGGTGAAGCGGACGCGTGCTGATTCGTTGCCGACGCAGCACCGGCGGACCAGACCAGGCTTGCGGCAACAAGGTGTCACCGACTTTCTTTGCTCGTCCCAGCCAAGCGCTCGGAAGAACGAAAGATCGAAAGAAAGAAAGAAAAAAAAAAAACTTGGAATGATTACTGGGATGAGAGTCTACCGTTTCGGAATCACAGCTGTGCGGTGTGAAGGCGGTGGACGTGGTGGTGGTGGTGGTGGCCAATGTTATTGCAAGGACCGCACTGTCAGATGGAAGCTGGAACGGACGGAGGAGGGCACTGGGCAGTCTGTACTCGATAGGCAGCAGCATCAACAACGAAAGGTCAGCGAAATGATGGAATAATTAATATTCGAGCGCGAGTGTGTGCGTGTGTGTGTTGTGGGCGGAGATGACGAGCGAGCCGAAATTAAAGATTCGGTATGCTTTGTGGCGGTGATGGGGACGCCGGCCAGTAGGTGGTAGTAGAGCAGTGGGAGGTAGTCAACAAGTCGTAATGTTATTATGATTATTCTTAGTGTGAGTGGTGGTGTGTTGCGGCTCGTGTGGTGCAGGCAAACGGTCTGATCTGGGAATACAAGGGGGAGGGGAGGGAGGGGGGGGGGATCCTGGTGAGTTCGCGGGAGAAGCGTCCGTGCCAGAGAATGCCTCTCTCCCTTTCTTTCCGTGTTTCCCCCCCCAAGTGCCCGTCCAGTGTTTCGGACGGAGGTTGGACGAGTCACCAGTGGTGTGGATTGGACTGATCTGAGAGAGTGGAGAGTGTCTGGATGCGTGCTGGATGGATGCTGAATGCTGCTGAAAAGACAGCTCGAATATCAATCGTCAGCCTGTGGCCACTGGTGACATGCTGCCTCTACTGGACCTGAGACCTTGAGACCTGAGACCGACCGGCGCACCCTTACCACCTTACGCCTTTGGACGAACACATTCCAATACTAATTAACTAGCTAGCTAGCAAAAGGGCAAATGGACTATATTCCCAGGGCATTGGGCGCGTGTAGCCACCACGGGCTGGACTCTGCTCAAATGGCAGCAGCACGCACAGAGTACAGTGTAGTCCAAAGGAGAAAAAAAGAGACTCTGTGTATGTGTGTGTGTGTGTTTGATGCAATGCAGCATCGAGCGGTAGGGTGCGCCACCGTGCCAGTGCCTCGGGAATAACCTAATACACTTGCAATCTGCACGAATGCCCATCTCATCAAGTGCGTGCAGCGTCGTCGTCACAGTCACACACACACACACACACACACACACACACACACATAATCAGCGGGAGCGTCGCCATGTAGATAACTTTAGATGATGATGGTTGATGATAGCAACGTGCCGGATGATGAGAGAGTGCCAGTCAGTGCTGCTCGGAGAATAACACCAGACATGTTCTATGACTGCGTCTATGGCGAAGATGAAGTCCTCCATGTTCCATGTGCAAGAGCAGTAATCGGCGAAATGAAGGGCAAATATCAAAAAGTCAAGTTGGGCATCGAAGCATCCAAGCATCCCAAGCGCGGACTCATACGTGAATAGAGCAGATTAGCAGGAGGATTACCAATCCCTGGGTAGACGTGAGTCGCCCTCCTCGACACGACTGTGACTCTCGAGCCTTATATTCTCCTTCGACGAAACGCAGGGAGAGGGCAAAGCTTAAATGTGCATCAATCGTACGTGTGTGTGTGTGTTTGCCTACGAGGTTAAGCAGCGCGTGCAGCCCTGCGCCGGACGTGTAGAGCTAAACTGTCCGTCCAGTTTCATGAGTTGGTGACTACTACGTACGGCAAGGCTGAAGCACGACGGACTGGAGGCTCCATCTGTGTGTGTAGTGTAGTGTTGCTTGCTTGCGTGTGCGTGTTTGCTTTGCCTTCAGAGGAGGCTGGAGGGAGTAGGGAATAATTAATTAGGGAGTAAAGTAATACCCAGGTCCAGGCTCACTCGGTCGTATTTTATGATTTCATCAGAGACAACAGAGCCCTGTCACTCTCGCATAAGCCGTCCAACGCTCTGTGTCATCATGGAACATCATCACTGTTGGGGCCTGGAGTGTCGTCGTCGTCGTCGTCGTTGTCGTTGTCGTAGCAGTAGTAGTGGCAGTTCGACTGCAGACAGCCGCAGTCACGAGTCGTCACTATGTCATTCATTCAGTATCACGAAGACTGGGAAAGAAAGGCAAAAAGAGAGTGTAATTAATCAATGATAATGTTATAATTATTCTTATTCTTATTCCTATTATTACCATTACTGCGACCGGGACGGGGACGGGTCGACAGGTTCCACCGCCGCCCAGCACTCAACCAACTTTCTTCCCTTGCCTTGGCTGCCGCGCGAAGTTGTCTAAGCCACAAAACCCACTACGATCCACTTCCCTCTCCCCTAACTCTCCTTCATCATCACACATACCCCCCCCCCTCCCTCTTCGCCATCTCCCACGGCCGGGCGCTGGCTCTCTCGCAAGTTTATGAGCGACAGGGGTCGTTTAGGAGTCGTCGATTAGTCGATTCCACTCGATACCCCCCGACCTGCTGCAACTACTTCTAGGCCTGTCCGCCCATTCTCAGCACGTCTCTGGTGCTTTTCCCCTACCAAGCCTTTTTGCTATTCACACACTGTGTGTAAAAACTATTCCAACATTCCACCACTTCTTCTCAATTATCAATCAGGATCTCTCCTCTTCGAGATCCTTTGTTCCAGCATCTTCTAGCCGGATCCAGCAACACATAGCCAATGTCGAGAGCAGGACTGCCAACCACCTCCCTCCTCTTCTCCACTCGTCCTCCACACAACAACAGGAACAACGACATCTTCTGCGACACAAGATACATTCAAGATTTTGGCCAGCATTCGCCACGGTGAGGTGACGGGCTTATAACTCGCTCCTCTCACGCCTCCCAAACAAATCCTATTCCTCCGACCGACCATACTCTTTCATCTTTTTTCGAGAAAAAAAAGACGCGCGCTCGTTAAAAGCGCACATTGTTTGCATCCATGTATGCGACACCGCAGTATCCACCGGGCTACACCCACTACGACTACTACCGAACCCCTCCAGTGTCGCCGTCGCCAAACCCTCAATACTACTCCCCGCGATACTCGACCCACAATGCCTCCCCGTCCCCGCGAGCCTCTCCCTCCGTAAAGGGCCACAGCCGACGCGCGAGCCACCACGACCCTCCACAATACACGGCCTATGCCTCACCTCGTCCATCTTACTATGGTCGGTATGCCTCGCCGCAACATCAGGCATACTACGCGTCGCACAATACCACGTCGCGACGCGAATCCGACTATGTAAGTAACGATCATTTCTACCGCTCAAAGGCACGGCGCTACACCGGTACGGACGCATATCCAGACCGCGACGCCCGTACTTCACACTACGCCGGCCGGACGTATGTTGTCTTTGACGACAGCGACGACTATCCGTACGACCACAACAGCCGCACGCCACCTCCTCCCTACGAGGAATATTATCACCATTACCGCTATGCGCAGCCCGCTGATCATTCTCATCGCGATCAGGTCCCCGTATACACAGGTACAGATAGTGTGCCCCAGCAGCCCCCGCGTGCTCGACGACACTCCAACAACACCACCACCCGTCCCACACAACCGCAGCCAAAGTCAAAGCACCCACCCAAGCCCTCGCACCCCGCTGCCACCGAAGAAGACGCCCGCCGCGCACAGATACCTGCTGGCTACAACACCAAGAACTGGGACCCCGCCGAAGAGCCCATCCTCCTTCTCGGCAGTGTCTTTGACGCCAACAGTCTCGGTCGGTGGATTTACGACTGGACTGCCTTTGTCCACCCGCGCGCCTCCCCCCTTGCCGAGATGGCCGGCGACCTGTGGATCCTCCTCATCAAGCTGGCCGGCAACGTCAAGCGCGCCGAGGAAGTCAGCCCGCTCGTCCGGTGCAAAGAGTCGCGCGAGATTGTCGAGGACTTTCTCGAGTCCGGCGAGCGGCTGTGGACCCGGTTCGGCAAGCTGCTAAAGGTGTGCGAGGAGTACATGTGGAAGCCTTCAAAAGACGGCAAGTCAGGGCGGGCGGAGAAGCCGGCCGTCATGGGCCGCGACAGCGGTGTCGAGTTTGTCGACAGCATGTTTGGCCGTGACCGCGAGCTGGAGCGCACGGAGAAGCTGATGACGGCGATGCGACTGTGGGACATTCGCTTCGAGGCCAACTGCAAGGACATCCTGAAGCACCCCGACCTTTGAAGGATGACTTTGTCCGTCTGTCTTGTGCTCTCTCTCTACGGGATATTAACTGGGTTTTTCCTATATGATTCTGCTGTTTATCTGCTTTCGCGCACGATATACCCATTTCCTTTTTATCTCCATATATTGTAATATACCAACCAACCATCCATCCAACCCTCCATCTATCCCACTTCTCCTTCCCTCCTTCCTGTCTCAGTCTCTTGGTTTTTCTTTCCCTTGTCGGACGCGAACAAAAAAGAGTTTCGGGGAGGGGTCTGGGCCTGTACAACTAGAACATGGTGCATTTTCCAACGGCGCTGCTTTTACTCAACGCTTGTTTCCTTTTCTTCGTCTTTTTCTTTTTCCGGTCGGTCTTGGCTAGCTTTGTTGGTGTGAGTTCCGCATTTACACCCCGGGGGCTGCTTGGGGGGGTTTTTTTTGGGGGGGGGATGGGAGGGGATACCCAAAAGAAAAAAGTTTCATCGATTTATACCATGGATCAGTCTTTTTTTGGCGGGGGATTTGAGGGGCTTTAACTAGAGGCGGGGAGGAAACAGGAATTGGAATCGTGCGAACGAATGACTTGGATTGACTGAAGCGAGACGTATGTTTCTTTTTTTTAGTAGTAGTAGATTTTTAGATGTTTAGATTTGTGGTTTGGGAGGGGATGATGGGAAGGGGGAAGGCCGCGCGAGCGGTAGTAGTTTTAGTTTGAGATATGCTGTTATAGTTTATACCCCTTTTTAATGCTTGTGTTTGGTTTGGGATTTTGTTGTTGGTTTTGGGGTTTGTGTTTGTGTGTTTGTGTATTAGTGTGTGTATCGTCTATCTACATCCATCCAGAGACACCGGACTAGTTGCAGTTGCATGCCCTGAGCGTACACATACATACACATACAGAGACAGAGACAGATACACATACACATACACCCGTCCGTCCCGTCGCCACCATCATCGCCACCCGTTGTGGCGCTGCACAGACAATATATGCTCGTATGAACATCTGCGGGATCCATTCCAGACTGTACTGTACTGTACTGTACCGTACCGTACTGCAGGACACGATATACCAGACGCGCCGGACCTCGTACCGTGGCGAATATGTATGTATGCATGTCACGTCGCGTTGTGTCGACGGCTTGCGGTGGTATCTTGTGCTGTGTTTGATGTCCGGTGTATGGGTTTGTATGGGTTTGTATGGGTTTGTATGTATGTATGTGTTTGTATGTATGTATTTGTGCTTTTGCTGCGTGCGTGCGTGCGTGTGTGCGTGCGTGTGTGCGTGCATGCAGTATATATGTGTAGTATATGTATATGTACATGTACAGTGGTATATACTAGATCCGAAGATTGGACTGGACTGGCCTGGGCTGGACTAATTAGGCTTGTTATGTGTGTATGTATGTACCGTTGCTAGGATGTGCAAGGATGCACTTGTACTTGGTGTATGGGAGATGGATGTGGGTACTCGGGTGAGTGAGTGACTGACTGACATGTACGGTCTGCTTTGAGGGCAGTACGTGAAGTTTGCATGTATGTATGTATGTATGTATGTATGTATGTATACATGATACGCGAGTCATGGACGAGTCATGGACGAGTCATGTACGAGTCATGGACGCGAGTATGTAGTGCTCGTCGTGTTTGATGCCTTGGATAGACTGGACTGGATGGGGATAGGAGAGGTCTGGAGGGCGCGATACTGATATCGATACTGTGAATATACATATACGTCTATCGAGTCCATTCACTAATTACTCATGATCTTCTGCGATTTCGAGTTGGACTTGACTTCAGAAGCGGGAGAATGGAGTATGGCTGGCGTATATATCAGTACTGTAGGCACCTAATACGAATACCGTCTACCGGTCGGCAAGTATTAGGTAGGAGGTAATTGATATAAGCATAAACACGCCCCCCCTTAGCCTTGGGATGACTCACTTCTCTCACTTCGCTCTCGCCAACCACGCCTCACGTCTGATGCCCGTGGTGGTGGTGGTGGTGGTGGTGGTCAGCGTCAGACATGGCAACAGCAATCTAAGTCATCTATTAAGAGTCATAAATTAGTGGTTAGTTAGTTAAAGGGGGGGTGGGCTGCCCTCGAATGGAATGCATAGCAAGGTTAGGCAATGGATGGATGGATGGATGGATGAATGGGATGAAATGGGCAGCATCGCGTAATGGATTAATTAACGCTGACACGACAGTCATCGTTGTTCTCCTCACATCAGCGTGGCCTGGGTCGGCATATACATTCAGCATACAGCATACAGCATACCTCGCGTGGGGAGGATGGCACTCACTTGTTAATCATCTCATACACCATCCCATACACCATCTCATCCCCTTACACACATCTATCTCATCTCATCTCATCTCATCCCATCCCTCCCTCCCCTACAAAACTCCCCTTAGCCCACCTATCCAGTCGAGCCGATCCCAGCCCAGTCCATCCCCGCGCCGCAGCACAACATGGATGCCACCTAATTACCTCCTCCCCTTACGTGCTAATTACCCACTGTACTGTACCGTAGTAAGCAACGCTGCAGCCAACCTCAGGCTGAACCTATCTTAGCCTCCTGCACGTCGTTCTTTTTATACTACGCGCTTTGCTTGCTCGTCGATGTTTGCTGTCGTACTGTGCGCGCTTGACTGCTTGATTGATTGCCTTGCTTTTGGGTTGGGAATGGTTTGCCTGGATTTAGGATGGTTTGCTTTGTCCTGCCCTGCATTAGTTTGCTTCTTCGCCTTACTTTACTTTGCTGCGAGGGAAGGCGAAGAGGGACGGGGATGGTGAGGGTGAGAGGAAGGTATGTGCTTATGACGTTCCGCGATGAGCCATGTAGATGTCCCGTTATCGGATGTACAAGACGACAGAAAGGAAAAGTAAGGCAGAAGCAAGGCAGAAGCAAGGCAGAAAAACAAACCCTCCAACGACAAAAACAACAAATCAGCCAAAAACAAACAAATAAAAGCCAATAGCAAAACAACGATCAGATAGCAATAATCAAAAACGAAACAATCGGATAATACGCCAAACGTAGATCGCAGATCGTCAAAAACGTAGAAACGCGCAACAAAAAGCCATGATGAAAACCCCCCAAACAAAAAACACCCGGAACTCCTAACATAATCACCGTCGAAACGTCCCGCTAACACCACCAAGGAGGAAAAATCATATAGATCTACTTCTACACCTGCATCGACGCACCAACACCTACATAATACAAAAACCAAGCCAACGAAATGTCCGAAAACACCATCTCCAGCACCCGCAGCCGTCGACCCTGCCTGCCCTGCGCTACGCATCGTTCGCATTTAACAGTTAGTTAGTTCTCTGCGTTCGTTCTTGCATCGGCAGGATTCTCATCCGTCCCGCCCTGCCTGCCTACCTAGGTGTTTCGCACGTTTCTACTGCAACTCTGCTGCTGTGTAATCAAGATTCATCCGTCCCCTGTTGGGTGTGTCTGTCCTCATTGGGTGTGACTGCGCTGCACAGCGGGGGCCTGTGGCAGCTAAACTTAGGCTGTAGTGGGCTTAGACTTAGACCTTAGGCTAAGATGTGCGTTTGCAGTGGGTTTTTGCGATATGCTGTGCTTTGCAAAGCAAACACGGGGGAGGATCTGATGTCTGGGCTTGGTGCTGGTGTTGGGGGGTATGGGAATGGTGGACTTGGGTGTTGTTTTATATACGTGATTTGAGAAGGTGGTTTGGTGTAGCAGTCGCAGTGGACGTGGGTTGTGGTGGGTGATGCTGTGTATTAGTGAGGCCGTATGTGCGGAGCAGCGAGCGCGGTGGATTATGATAGCTCTACAGGAAAGGTGACATTTCGTTGTCAGTTGTTAGGCTGCTGTTCTGCTGCTACCTGTCTGGGATATCTAGATATTATACTTATAGCTATTCTTCGATGTTATATATAGATGTATACAGGATGCGGTAGGCTATGTATACATTGACTTGTATACGTTCATAAACTCCAAGCTTTTCTCTTCCAGGTCGCTAGTATTAATACCCTCTCCTCACGCTATCATTAGCTACGTGATAATATAGTAATCTTAATCCCTCGATCGAGACAGTAGTGCGATATGTCATATACGAGAGACATTGCGCCTGGAGCCGCGCGGTCATGTGCTACACCGTCTGAGAGACATCCAACTCACCGTTCGAAGCCCGCAGAACCTCACTCTATATACACTCTATATATACGCTCTACGTCGTACCTGTGTATTGCTCAGTGATCCTTTCTGCATGCTTCAATACTGATCATAATGCCTAACAATCGCATACGTACGCTATACGCCGACACTGCCCTCTTGGTGGTACGTCAGGATGTATACCACCGACTGCGTAGTCGATCGTAGACTTCGCTCTGCTATACCTCGCAGACTATCTATATCCAGTGATTGCAGGATCTACCGCAGGATGTATCGCGACACGATGCTCTTAGACAATTCAGCCTCCTATGCGCAGCAGGCTATGCGTACTCGCGATCTTCCTCGAGGCAGACAATGGGATGCGATATACGCATGTTTGAGTTATAATTAGAGGAGCATACTTTTATCTATACTCCTGTTCAAGTATATAGGGAGTTAGACCGCATCTGCAAACTCACAGTAACAACTCTCGAGCATTCAGCACTGCTAAACATCAAGACTTTCACCAACCTACCACAGACCCTCCATAAGCACAACTCAAGACCTACAATCATGCATTTGACGCCCACCATCGTCGCCGTCCTGACTTCAGTCTCCCTCGCCAGAGCGACAGGCTGCTACTCCAAGGGCAGCGCATACTGGGGCAGCGGAGACAACATCGAGCGAGCCAAGGAGAACGCAAACAGGGCCTGTCACGGCAACCTGGGCGGCCGTGACTTCAACGCCGGCGAGGAGCGCAAGGCGTGTTTCAACATCGCGGACAACAAGCGCGTCAACTTCATCATGTCGTACAAGCAGAATGATCCGAAGAGACATATGAGCACTGCCGACTGTAATCGTCACCTTGGCGATCTCATCACTCGTTGCGATCGCGGTGGAGATGGGGATGATGGCAAGTGGTACTATAGGTGAGTCGAGTCTGCCGCAGGCTGGGCATGGCTAATCCGTTGCGAGCAGGTCGGATCCGAATGACGGCCGCTGCTAGGAGTCTTGAGGATATACAGATACGCTCCTTTCGAGACAGACGTTGAGATGATCGCTGGTCAGAGGAGGATTTGCTTTTCATGTACCTACAAGCGTTAGCCCAGCACACAAATGGGAGAAACCAGTTCGGAATAGCTTGTCGTGCATCCCTGCGCTCTCCGCAAGATACACCAACTGGTCCCGCGCATGATCCAGCAGTAGTACTAATTACCTGAGCATAGTATGCATATCGTCGTCTCGTCTGTCAAGAACTGTCCGGACGGCCACCAACAGATCCCTGCCTGCGCAAGGTAATTCCCGTGCCGAGTGGCTGGCACGCGTGAGGGGTATTGCAGCATCGCACTCGTATGACACCCAGCCTCTTCCTTGCGAGGAGGTTGGGAAGTGGATCTGACAATCCCTTCTTCTCCACTCTGGCCCCCCGACCGTTTGCCGTTGATTCGTCATGTGTTGGTTGGCTGCAGAATTGCTGACAGGAGTTCGTGCCTTGCCTTAGGCCGTTCATCCATCCGCGGGGGCCTCGGTTGCGTGGCCTCCTCCCGGGTGGAGCGCAGTGTAATCATGATGCATTTGCGGATCCGCTTCTCCAACTCGAAGCCCGTATCGGCGCCGCCATCATCATGGCATAAACCTTAGGAAACGTCGCCGACGTCACCCAAGACCATGCGCATTCCGTCTTGAACAGCGGCACCCGCGCCATGTTCCAGACGTGAACCTCTTCGGGCAGTCGGTCCACGCCGCTATTATGAATAGCAATCCTACACCTGTTACCTGTATGACTGTCAGGTCGCCATGCCCGAAGGTACGCATGCATGAGGTTGAAACGAAACAGTTCCGTCCACTCACGGCCCTGCCTACCCCTCCCTTCTGCCACTCCGATCCTGCATGAATCCATGCCCTTCTGCAATGCCCAGCATATCATTCTCGCACGCTGACATGCCCATGTCATCCTGTAAGCCCCTCATTCCTATCCACCAGTGCGCGCGCAGGCCCTACCGGTCGCAGATACGGTCACAAGGAACCTCCTCATGCCCGCAAACTGCAGCGATGTCACCGCATCATCCAATGGCCGGCGTCTCCAGCACTGCGTAAGCGCCCGTCCAAATGCCAGTGGCCCTTGAGGGTGTGGTGCTGCAGGCGAACTCCCTCGCCCGCGCTTGCGGCAGCCACTCAGTCCCTGAGCTGGACCCCCTGGCACGCAGCGGATATGGCCGCCACGATGGATTTGACTGGCTGTCTGCTTCCACGTGTGCGCCGGGAGGCGCGGACGGACTACGGATCGGGGTAAGTGGGGTTGTAGGGGAGGGCCGACTGGGTCAGCGTCGGTGGGCTCCGGGAGGGAGGAAGGGAGGGAGGGGCTCGCTCTGATTGTCGTTGGAAAAAGTTTCGAGACGGAGATGTAAAGGAAGGTTTCGTTACGAAGGTGGTATAAAGGATGGGTGGCTTTGGGTTGGTACAGGGACGTGGTCGTCCGTCGGAACGGAAAGGTGATTGGAAAATTGTTTTCCGCTTTAAACTTCACGTGATGGTTAAAATGCTCTACTGGGTCATGCCTGAAGATGAATATGCGGCGCCACAATACCAACCCGAAATGTTCATGTACAGAGGCTCAACTGTAGAGACTGCCGTACCAATACTTGAATTCGCGGGTTTAAGTTGTCATTGAACAGCCCCACGATGTTTGAGATGAGCTTGTGGAATCGACGCTCCACTCATCCGACGGACACTCGGCCGATTACACAATGTTGCAAACATTCAGCGTCTAGAATCGTAGCAGTGACGGAGAATGTTGGCAGTCTATATCGAGTCAGAATTGGTGGCATTAAAATTCACACCAGCAGGCTAGTCGATCAACCAAAGGGCTAAGCTTTCGTGCTGTAATGATATCTAATGCATTCCCGATACTAAAGAAGACTGTAATGCCCATCAACGGCGAGAAATACGACGAGAAGAGGCGGAAATGCAACCTCAAGAGTTGAACGTTATCACACATAGAGACCAGATTCGCATCGAAAGAATGTCTTGGATTATGACTGAGCAATAGCATTTCAGGAGTTTGTACCAAAATTCCAATCAAGAGGGCGACTGACGGCAAACTCCTAATCTACAAGCCTCGCAGAGGTCATTCATGTGTGGTAGTGTAGTCCTATGTTGGAAGACTGGTTGCTCCATCGGTACGCCTGCCCACTTCATAAGCCTGTACGCGACGCGATCAATATATGACTGCTCATCCAGCGAGAAAATCCCCAAATAGTTACAAAACTTGCATCGCTGACCGAACACCATCGCGTTATATCCGTCGCCCGCGTACCCCCTAATCGAAATGGCTATCATTCCACTGCCCCAACAGGATGAACGGCAGGATTGGTTCTGGCACCTGAACCCGCCCCTGACGTATGTCGCAAAATTCTTGTCGCTGAGATTTCCCTCGTCGTCTTCTGCTTGCCACCAGATGGATGGAAGATGTTCGATCGTCGCTCTTGCAACTTGTGGATGAAGTAGCGGATACATGTACGTTGATGACGCTTCGACAGACGGTTCGACAAATCCGTCCAAGGAAGTGTGTGCGCTATCTCGAAGCCTGTGTCGACTTCGTAGATGCTTGCTCAGCACATCTGGGCTACCAAAGCCCCGATTACAGAGGTCGCATTCAAAGAAAGTTCTATGCGCCGATGAAACCTTCACATGCTCGCTGAGTGCATGTCGACTGTCGAAGGACATATCGCAAGCGTCACACCTAACATTATGTGCTGGCGAGTCGCGGATATGCTGGTCGAGCGCATCTTCGCTGCCAAAAGACCGATCGCACGTGTCACACTCGAAAGTCTGAATATGTGCTGGAGAGTCTCGGACATGCTGGGCAAGTGCATCTTCGCTGCCAAAAGACCGATCGCAGGTGTCACACTCGAAAGTCTGAATATGTGCTGGAGAGTCGCGGATATGCTGGGCAAGTGCATCTTCGCTGCCAAAAGACCGATTACAGATGGCACAATGAGCAGCCATTGGGACTCAGATTCAGATAGTACTGCGAGTGTGACTGCACATCTCACCGCTCATGAGGCTGGCTATAAGTACTATTGCTCCATACAATCAGCCACATATAGCATGGATGGGCGACAAGGTATAATTGGACAGACAAAAGCATCAGGTATCTTTGCCAAAACTCGGTCCTTGTTGCAGCTGTCCCACATGCACACGCACGAAAACGTGTATCGTCTATCTCAGACTGAAAATGAATATTGCTTTGTGAGTGGTCATGCACGAAAACATGTCACATAGACAGACAGGTATTGTGCACGTAGAATGCGCGACCACCTTTTCGCTCAGGGTATGATGAGACAAGCATGACCGACTCATTGACGTGGCAGCCTTGCTGCAGTCCCTCATCCCTACGCTTGAGAAGTCCACTACATACTTCCACCGAAACCATGCCTTCTCAGAGCTTCAGAGTCTCGATGATCGAGGCTATATATCATCATCTCGATCACTCATGAGGAAGTCTTCTCAGATGCACACAAGGCTGGTGGGTTTATGACCTGACGGCAATGGTACGTCATGTGTCACAGCCTTGCATCTGCACACCGTGTTCATGCGTCCTGTAGAACTGATCAAGCGGATGCGCATCCACAGAAGATATTCCTGTGAGTGAAGTGCGTGTTTTTGTGGTCCAGAGACTGGCTGACTACGGCTACATTCTGAGCTGACGGGACACTCCTAGCATTATGGGCTGGATGTGCAAGAGCAATGGCACAAACGTATCTATGAAGCCTCTAGTCACGAATGATACTATTTTCAGACCTGTGAAGTCCTCTTTGAATTGTACTGTTAACTTTCTAGACATTTTGGACCACTAAATGAACTCTAATCATTTGTCCTCCCGCCTGTAACAAATGATAGTTGAAGAGGTTAACTATCCACCATCATCGCATCCTCCAGATCAAGGGGCTTTGAGTTGGTACCTGCCCACCCAATCGAATGCGATTCGCATCTGTGTAATCGAAATGTCAGCTTTTTCATGTCGTAACTGGATTATCATCACAGTCGAACATGATGTCTCAGCTTTACCCTCAATGTCAATAGACCTGATCATAATGTCTCCTTCCTCCTTCAGTGTAGATGAGAACGCCAGCATGCTTGATGATCTAATGCCCTCGCAAACACATGTCTTGTATCTTGAGTTTCATAGTCGTGTGAGTTCAAGAGGGATACCCCTTTACCTCGCCTACCTTCCATCACTTCAGCTGAAGAGGTCGTAGTGAGACGATTATGTACTTTTCGTACGTAGAAGCAAATACATCAGAGTCAGAGCTCTATTAAGGGAAGCTTCCACATCCTTGCAAAGGAGTCAGCCGCCGCCTCGATATTTCCAGAGCACTACTGTACTTACTCTATCCATCGCGGAGAATTTGCCCCTTTTCATGATGTACTCCGTGGCTAAACGTGTAGGAGCGTGGTGACTGTTCTGGACTTTAGCGGAGCAATCAATTCCAGGCTTAATCAAAGGCCGGACGGTATACCGAAATCTTGTTATGGTTATGGTTGGACCATTTACGTAAATAATGTTGACTTGAGGGCAGTCTCACTGGGCTGAGACAGCATGGACGACTGTACTAGGAGAATAAAACTTGTAAAATAATATGTTGATGCACACCACGTCGTTTTCTCATGATGTATGACTCTATTATGTCTCTTGATTTCTGCTTTAGTCGCAGAACTGCCCGGGGAATCCAACAAGCCTTCAACACATTGAGGTGGTTGGCGGTACTTGCCCTTATAAATTGTGCTGCTGGAGCTTGACAAAGTCGGATACTGAAATGCGGGATCCAGTCTAGCTCAGGACACCTTGTATCGCAAGAGAGAGATTCAGAATAGTCTATTGTTTTGGCCTGCTGTCCGATCAACGCTGATTCTCATCGTGTTTGGCTGGATAAACTGTTTGGACGGCGTGGAAGTGAATGAATTATCAATGGAACAGTGTGTGTGACTACCAGCCAGGCAAGCCAGGCAATGCTCAACAGCCAACAATCAAACGAAGAAAGCTAATGCTGCCTGTGTTTTCGACTGCTCGAGCTACCCCCTCACAAGTAAACCGAGAGACTACTTCACAGCAGAACCCACTATGTCAAAAATCCAGCCGCCTCCCTTTCCTCCCGGCCATCAACCCACCAACAACACCACCCAACTCAACATGCCGTCTGAATCAAAGCCGATCACCATCAAGCTCACCGATAAGATCGTCGAGATTCGCTTCGTGGCCTTCAACGATGTTCCGTTCGAGTCTATCTTCGCAACATATTGCGAAGAGCAGAAGAAGTCGTTCGATGAGCTCTGTTTCGTGTTCGACCGCTTATGCATTCGGGGCCATGAGACGCCAGCTAGTGTAAGATCATCACCTCTAGAATAGGTTCTGATGAGATACTGATGGGTGTGCTATTTAGGTTAAGATGCCTAGCGGTGCGAAGGTGATGGTTTTCCAGTTGATGGACTCTAGTCCGCAGCCGGCGCCGTCTTCAACTAAAGCCACACCGAGCTTCGCTGGCAAAATTTGTCTCAGGATCGTCAGCAACAACTTCATAGAACAGTATTATGAATTCGCGCCTAGTGCCACTGTGTCTGAGCTCTACGATGCGTATGCAAAGGACATTAACGTAGACGTTGATGATTTCACCCTGGACGAGGAACTTTGCGGGCCTTCAGAGAACGTTCTGATTCGGGATGGCACTGCTCTACTAGTAAGCACACTGGGGGCTAGATCATGGTGCATCATACTAACATACATCAGGACTATTTCGATGCCGGACTAAATTACGTCAATGTGATCTTAGCCATCTTTAAACCTTGATATCTCAAAGGACTGGCTTGATCAAGCAATATTGCAGTGAAGAGATCTGCTAGCAGGAATGGACCAACAAGACACCATCTTACATCAAGACATAACAAGACTGCGACGAGACACAAGAAGGAAAGAAAAGGGAGGGAGCCCCTGATCAGGCAACGCTCTTGATAAAGAGTTACATAGATAGCTGGAAGCCTTCTATCATTATTTACGCTTGGCTATTATTCCAGCTCGTGACCTACTAAGCCTTCAACCGGACCAGCATTCTGACCTCGTCGCCCTCAACCCAAGTGCCTACCAACCTCGTACCCGCGACAAGCTCTACCACCCGTTGAACCCTCTCCTGATCGTCTCCGTCTTCATCTTCTGCCTCAGAATCCCAGTCTTCTTCCTCGAGCCCCTGATCCTTCGAAACCACATCCCACTCGCCCGTTTCCCAAAACAGCCTCAACGACAGAGGCGGTAGACACAGCTCCTTCCCAATCAGACCCAGCGTCGAGTATATCGTATACGACTTGGGTACTTTGCTTATGAACTCGCGATCCTTCAGTATCCTCTCAAGTCTGGCAGCTTTCGACTCAGGCCCAACATATAAGCCCAACGGTTCCGCTTCTCCGCCCTCCGTTTCAAGTTTCGCAAGAACATCATCTGCGAGCCGGAATCTGATCGTCAACAGCCTCGCTGCCAGAGAGTTTGGGTTGACCTTGGGTGCACTACTCGCAACTTCTGGCGCGCCGTACTCCTCACACAGCTCGGCGTACCGAGGGTGGGCATCGATGATGTCTTGCCGCTTCCCCGGCAGGGCAGAGCTGAGCTCGGATGTGATGAGGGAGAGGTAGTACGACTCGGCGTTGAGACGCTCTTTGGCACTAATGTTACCGAAATTGATTGACTTCAGGTTTGCTAGCCGGGCTGTCGTTAGGAGATAGCCGGTGTCTGTACTCAGGGGCTTTCCGTCGGGTGCGACGAGAGATGCATATAACGGGTTGTGCGAGACGCGCAGGGAGGTGAGACCGGGGAAGACTTTTGGGAGGGCGTTGATGAGGTCCCAGGAGGCGATTTGGTTGTAGGAGAGGTCGAGATCGGTAAGGGTGGCGGAGAAGGCCAGAGGTTGTGATGGAGTTGATGGGGAGTGGACGGAGGATATCAGGTTGAATTTGAGGACTAGACGCCGAAGGACTGGGAGACTTGTCACAGGGGCGAGATCTGCGAGGGACTGGAACTCGTTGTCTTCGAGTATAAGTTCAGTGATGGAGTTCGGAAGGGAGAGGTCAGTGAAATCCAGGTGTTTGAGGATATTGTTGGAGGCCGAGAGAGATGTCAACTTGGCAAACGTGGTGCTCAGCTGGACCACTTCCGACCACGAGAGCATTATATCGTTGCATGTAAACGTTGTAATACCACTTAATGCTTCAGTGTAGCGCGTGAGTTCGTCGTTGCTCAACTGTATATCTCGCAACCGATTGCCACTGCGCAGCATACTTAGCACTAGATCTTGCACACAGTGGTGGGCTCAGGACCAAAATCATACTTTATTCGTAGACCTCTCAATCTAGGTAGCTCCTCACATATCTGCACAACCTCCCTCCACTCCTCGAAAAGGTTCCTGCTCAGATCAAGCTCACCAATCTTCGGACTAGTCTCTTTAATCGTACCAGCTGGTGCTCTCTCCCGTACAGTTTCGCCATTGCACATGCGCAGCCCGTCGAGAATTACAATGACTAGTTCGTGCAAATGCGCCAAACGTCGCGCAATCTTCTCGAAACCTACCTCTTCAACCTCCTTACCGCTGATCCGGATCGCCTTGGGCAGTTGCGGCAGCGGAGCATTCTTAGGCACATGCAACAAGCCGCTGTCTTGTAATACGTCTGATGCATACTTGTGCTTCAGGGCTTCTACGAATGTGCGAGGCGCGTCGGGAACGCGACTTGGGCGCACAAAGGATGCTGCTGTGGGAGAATCACGGAGACCTAGGAGCGTTAGTATGCTGTGATCTTGATGCGCTGCCTGAACTGGTCTTACAAGTAAAATATTTCTTTCTACCATGCTGCCCAGAATGCTTTCCGCGCGTTGGATCGTCCCATTCGACACCTAGCCAATCTCCCTTTGTGCCCTCTACATCGCCAATGTAGCGCACTGTACATAGAGCATCTGAGAACGAAAGTCGTTGACCTACATGATTCTGCGACATGGTTGTAGGATGTATACGTCGTAATACACTGTGAAATAAAGGTGGGGTCAGATGTTTGCATAGAGCTGCTCGTGGAAAGTAAGCAGTCTAGCCTATAGAGGTTAGCTGCCGCTGTGGATCCTGGTCTGGCGCGAAATCTTGGCCGACAGAAAAAATAATGGCCCATAGACTTCTTGGTAGACGAATTGCCACCACGTTGATGAATCCAGCTATCCTGTCGGCGCATATATCACACGATGGTGCCGCAAAAGAGTCGTAAGCGCAAGGCTGAAGTTGCGAAAGCCCCCACTCCTGAGTTCGAATCGGAAGACGAGCTGGAGAATGGCGAGCTTGACGGCATATTGTCTCAGAGCGACGACGAGTCAATCGACAGTGACGATGAGCTCACAGGGAGCGGAGAGGAAGAGGATGAGACGGATGAAAGCGAACTTGACGAGGAAGACGTGTCAGAAGACGATGAAGAGGATATAAGAGAGCAAATGCGCAATTTGAAGACTTCGAGCGAACCCATACTTCGGCGAAAGAAGAGCAAGACGAGCGATACAATCCCGAATGGCACTGAGGAGCCAGCGAACGACGAGAACGGAACATCATCAACATTAGGAGACGCTGATACCGAGGAACGTTTCGGCAGTCTTACATCAAATTACACTGTCACAACGGATGCAAATGGCAATGAGAGATATATATACAAGGAAATCGATCCTGTGTACGACTCTGACGACTCAGACGCTCCTGCAACCACGAACACCATCGGCAATATTCCCCTCTCATTCTACGATTCTTACCCACACATTGGCTACGATATCGATGGCAAGAAGGTCATGCGGCCAGCGAAGGGCGATGCGCTGGATTCTCTTTTGGATAGCATCGACATACCCAAGGGTTGGACGGGTCTCACGGACCCGGCGACTGGCAAGCCGCTCGAGCTGAGCCGAGAAGAGCTAGAAGTCCTGAAGAAGCTCACGCGAAACGAGCTACCTGAAGAAGGCTACGATCCATATCCTCAAATGGTAGAATACTTCTCAAGCAAGACGGAAATCATGCCGCTCAGCTCAGCGCCTGAGCCGAAGAGGCGGTTCATCCCATCCAAACATGAAGCCAAGCGGGTCATGAAGATCGTAAAGGCGATCAAGGAGGGTCGGATACAGCCATATAGGCCACCAGGAGAGCGTGTGGAAGATACCGACCCCGACGTCAAGCGCTACGATATTTGGGCAGATGAAGCGCCCCGCCCAGATAATGTTCACCATATACCGGCACCTAAATTACCTCCTCCGGGATATGAAGAGAGCTACCATCCACCTCCTGAATATCTTCCCGATAAAGACGAAAAGGAGACTTGGGATAAGACGGACGAGGAAGACAGAGAACGAGATTATCTACCCAAAGATCACGATGCTCTACGCAAAGTCCCTGGCTACGACAAGTTCGTCAAGGAGAAGTTTGAGCGCTGTCTTGATTTGTATCTCGCACCGAGAGTACGAAGAAGAAAACTTGATATCGACCCTGAATCGCTACTACCAAAACTTCCTAGCCCTGACGAGCTAAGACCATTCCCTAGCACCTGTGCGACTATTTTCCGTGGCCATGAAGGACGAGTGCGCAGTCTAGCAGTGGACCCGAGAGGGATCTTCCTTGCTAGTGGTGGTGATGACGGATTCGTGAGAATATGGGAACTCATGACTGGACGTCAAATATGGAGTGCCAGACTGTCCACCGAGGATGCCGTAGACACTGTTCGATGGAGGCCAGGTAGAGACACATGCATAGTGGGAGCGGGTGCCGGCGAATCTGTATACTTGATAGTGCCGTTTGCTATCATGTCACCTGAAACAGAAGATGCTAGTCGAGAGATCCTCGACGCGGGATGGGGCTACGCAGCTTCAAGGCCGACCGCAACAGACGGCAAAGAGCCAGCGGCCAAATGGGCCCGGCCAGGAACGAAACTAGAGGACAAGGGCGTCCTCGTGAAGGTCACGGTCCGGTCAGCAGTCAAAGTAATCAATTGGCATCGGCGTGGGGAATACTTTGCGACAACCTCGCCCCGTGGCCAAAGCAGTGCAGTCGCTATTCACACACTTTCAAAGCATCTGACGCAGTTGCCGTTCAGAAGACTGAAGGGCATGGCGCAGGTGGCACTGTTCCACCCTTCGAAGCCGGTGTTCTTCGTTGCTACGAAGAACACTATACGGAGTTACGATCTCTCCCGACAGGAGCTACTTCAAATACTGCAGCCGGGAGCCAAGTGGATCTCGTCGGTCGACGTGCACCCTGGGGGAGATAATCTGATAGTGGGAACATATGACCGGAGGCTGCTATGGCACGACCTGGACCTGTCAACAAAGCCCTACAAGACGCTGCGGTATCACCAGCAAGCAATTCGAGCAGTGCGTTTCCATCAGGGCGGCCTTCCATTGTTCGCAGATGCTTCGGACGATGGCAGCTTGCAGATCTTCCACGGGAAAGTGGTTGGTGATCTCATGGAGAACGCTACAATTGTACCCCTCAAGGTGCTGCGCGGCCATCAGGTCAAGAGCAGACTCGGTGTGATGGACATTGATTGGCACACACGGGAGCCCTGGTGCGTCAGTGCCGGTGCAGACGGAACGAGTAGGCTATGGTGTTAGGTGATCTTGTAGAGCTACTTTGTGCGTGAGCATGAATCAATCGAATGAAAGGGCGTATACAAAGAACGGCGCATCTAAGAAGAGTTTAGACCGACGGCATCTTTGAGACGGGCGCATAGCATATCAGCATGCTATGGAGTCATTGCGTGATAAGGGACTCAATGCGACCAGCCTAAGCCTCTCGATCACCATCCTCGTCATCAACTTGGTGCGTATCAGACATAAAGTGAGAGGGAGAGGGAGAGTGGTGCGCACTTGAAGTGAGTTAGTAGTGGAGACTGCGGAGTGCAGTGGTAGCTGTGAATGCAACCTAATTACCCTTAATACCCTTGTCCTTACCTTTTTTCCCCCACGTTCCGTGCTGCAGCCAATCACATCATTCCCTGGCGACCACGTTCCTCACGCGACACCTCACTGGGGATGCTCATTGCAACTCAGCGTAAACGCCCGTTAAAATGCTGCTCTCCCACATGCCCTGCTATCCGAAGAGGATTCTGCTTCTCTCTTTCAAGACCTCGTCTGTTGCATTCAGACGTGCTGTGAATGTCGTCCCTCGTTGCAAACATGCCTCGACCAGCTGCTCTCCCTACGCCTCAACCGTCGACTGAGATCGCCAGCAAGAGTGATGGTCACACTACCACTTTTGATGCCTCCTTCAGTCTCGGCCCCGCAGCGTTGCGCGAAGGTACTACGTCCTCAACAACGTCGAATAGTTCAGATTCGTCTTACAATCCGGCATCGCCCAATCTAAACTCAAAGCCGTCACCTCCCAATCCTCGCAAGCGTCCCAGTGCTTCGTTACAATCAGCCACAGTTCAAGATGGGTACACATTACCACCACCACCAACCAGATCACGTAAGATCATTCAAATGAAGCCACAGGCCAAGCAGCAGCAGCAGCAGCAGCCACAGGACGTAGAACACCAGACGAAACCCACAGAACCGCCAACGCCGACCAGTGCTAATGGCAAGTCGACAGGAGGGGGAAAGAAGAAGCAAGGTAGCGGAAATACCGCAGCCGGTCGAAAGATGGCACGCAAGACTGCACACAGTCTGATCGAGCGGCGGAGGAGGTCTAAGATGAATGAGGAGTTTGGAGTCCTAAAAGACATGATCCCTGCCTGTGCGGGGCAGGAGATGCATAAATTGGCGATTCTGCAGGTACGCACTGTGCGGTGTATTTGCCTATTGGAAGAAGGCAGAGTACGACTCAGGAAGCTGACAATAATGGTACCCGCAGGCAAGCATAGAGTATATGCGCTATCTCGAGCAATGCCTCACCGATCTCAAGGCCTCAACGGGCCACGGCAACTCCATTTCATCTTCAGCGAAGCCCACTCCTCGCGAATCCACGAATGCGACCCCACAGCCTAGCAGAAACCTCGATGAGTCTTCAGACGAGGATGAGGACGAGGCTATGGAAGACGATGCAATCTCCCCCACCACCCTGCCGACGATGCGCCATACTTTCCCGCCACTTCCTCCTTCCTCGGCGACATCACCAATCCTATATGCTAATCGCTCAAACCCGCACTCCACAACCACGTCACCCAATATGGTACCAACAACAGACCCAAGACACTACAGCATAACATCGTCCATCCGCTCTACAGTGACATCGCCTTCCATCCTACCTTCTCCAGCTTTCAGCTCCAGTGGCCATACCGCTCCACCTTTCCCACCTACTGGACACAGCACTTCAGCACGATTCGCTCTGCTTACCAGCCCGGCGCTGCATCCGCAGACGGGCAATTCTGTGCAGAGCACGAATAGTAATGTTAATGATCACGGCAAACCCGGACTGCAGCGAGATCAGAGGATGAGCGAAGACCAAGAAGCTACTGCTGCGTTATTAATGTTGAATTCAGACCGCCGGAATTGGCATAATGGGGCTCGAGGAATGAGCGTACGAGACCTGCTGAGCGGGTAGATGAGTGATGGCGCGTAACGGTATTTTACGTTTGGTTTTCGGAATATGTACGGACGATGATGGTATAGTAGGACTACCGGTTGGGAGGCTTTTTCGTTGATTTCAAACATACCAGGAGGTCTTCAGTGAGCGTAGATTCGCCAGTTTTGTGTGTTTTGTTACCCCCTTTTTGTTCATCACGTGCTCATGAGCGACGGATGTAATGATGAATGCTCCTGGTGTTTCCCGGGGTATGAGCGTATAGCGAGGGCACCTTGTTCTTGCGCCGCAGCTAGAAATATATATGAAAAGTGCTTTCAAGCGGAACACTTGCAGCTCTGATATATCAAACTATGTTTGATAGAGGACGAATGGAAGCATAGCTTCAGGTCACTAATTTCTAACGAGGACAGTACGGATGTCAATACAATCTCGAATGTACAATGTTCGTAATGGTGGTATATTCTGTAAACGCCAGTAACGCCATGCGATACTCCCTCATAATGCTATCCTTACACGTCTCCCAGAGGTTTAAAAATTTCCATCTCCTCCATGACCCAAAACCTCTATGCGTCTACTCAGCATCTAAAAGTCCTTCCGAGCATGCTTGCTCATCTTCCGCAACCTCTCACCATAAAAGTACAACGCAAACGGAATCGGAATGAACGCAATGCCCAAAAACGCAAGCAGACTGCTCGCCCACCCAACACCAAGCCTATTATACATCGCACTCGCAAACAGCGGGAACCCCGCACCGAAACTCGACCGGAACAAATCGTTTCCCGCAAGCACAGACGCCGCATGCTCCGGGTATGCATCGGACAAGTAGTTCAACACGCTGTTGAACAGCAGCACCGCGCCCACGCTGAAGAACGCACTGCCGATAATCGGCATGATCCAGTGTATGCTCTCGCGCGCACTCCACCCGAACCAGAACAGACAGATCGGGATGCAGACTGCGCCGACAAAGGACGGCGGGATGCGCTTCTCGGGTTTGAGCTCGCCGTTCGCGTTGAATTGCGGCTCGAGGTAGCGGTGCAGGTACCAGAAGAACGGCGGGATAGTGAGCAATGCACCGACGAAGATACCCAGGAACGCGACGCCTTCAAGGCCCAGGCTAAAGCCGTAGATCTCGACAAAGACGATGGGAAAGGACTCAAACCAGATGTACAGCAGGCCGTACACGAGCGCGATATACAAGTTCAGCAGAAACACCATCGGCTCCGTGAAATTGAGCGTGAACGGCCGGACAAGCGTCATGACGGCAATGTCCCGAGTCGTCATGTTCTCGGCCATGAGCTCGGGCTCGCAGATGAGTTTAGCGTCGCCGGTGAGGCGGCGGAGACGGCGCGTGCGCCGGTACAGGATGTTGTTTGCCGATGTCTCGGGCAGGAAGATGAAGCAGACCACCAGGCAGAAGCCGGACAGCCACATGAGCTCCCAGATCGTCCATGTCCAGCCCTCGGCCTCGGCCGCGAAGCCACCGACCAGAGGCCCGAGGACAGGCCCGCATACGGCGGCGATGCCCCAGACGCCCATTGCATACGCGCGCTTACGCGGGGAGAAGATATCGCCGATGCTGGCGCCGCCGGTGGCGAGCACGGGGGATCCGAAGAAGCCGGTTAGGAAGCGGAAGGCGAGGAGCATTCCGAAGTTTGATGCCAGAGCGGTGGGGATCTGGAAGAGGACGAAGATGAAGAGTGTGCCGATGTAGATTGGGTTGCGGCCGAATTGGGGGATTTCGGAGAGGGGGCTCCAGATCATGGGCCCTAGGCCGTAGCCTGCGACGAAGAGGGTGAGGCCGAGCGTGGCGGCGACTTGGCTGACGCCGAAGACGCGGACGACGTCGGTGATGCCGGCGGTGAAGATGGCGGAGCCGATGTAGACGCTGAAGGTGAGGAGGCAGATGAGGAATGTGACGAAGCATTTTTTGAAGAGGGACCAGTTTTGGGGGTTCTGTGTATTGTCATGTTAGCTTTGCGAGATGGGGACTTTGATGATGTACAATTGACATACCTCAGGATCATCATCTCCAAACCACGAAACAAGATGTATATCCTTCCCCTTCTCCGGGTCGACCTTGACTCCACTAACATGGTTCACATCTCCATCGACAGAAGTCTTCTCGCTAGCATCAGAGTCCCTATTTCCATTCGCACGGCGCTCGTCGCGTGTCCTCACTCCACCAATACCATTGACTTCTTCCTCACCCTCTGGCGGCTCCGTACTGCCATGAAACGCCGCATACCCAGATTTCTTCTCGTCGATATATCGCTTCCAGAGACTGGGATCCCGCTCTTCAGAAAACTTGAGATACTTGCCGCGCGAGACGAAGCGGATGGTATGCCCGAAGAGCGTGTCGCGGATGAGCTCAGTCATGGCTCACGACTACTAGAGCAAAGAACAAGGACTTGGGGAGACAGGAACGTGTAAGACAAGCAACAGCCAGATTTCCCCATGGCGCGCGCGCAAAGTGGATATAAACAAACGCCCTCGACACGAACGCTCCAGCCCTACACTGGTCATCCATCAAAAGTCATCTACATCATCGACATGCAATAGTATGAGAAAGCGGCTCACAAACAGTTAGCACGCACGCCGCACGCGACAAAGTAAAGCCGTGCGCAGAGCTGGCTGGTCATATTACTAGTGAACCCGGCGAATTGGGTGGTGGACGAGATGGAGAAAAAGATGGCGATTGGAGATCGATGACGTCTAAATTAGAAAAAAAAATGCGATTGTCTGCACAGATCTCCATCATGATCTACCGATCGGCGGCCGCGGGAGCTAGTGGAGCCTCGGTGCGTGAGCCGTCCGGTTAAAAGCCGAGTGATTAGGAGACATGACGGTTATTTTGCAGTTATGCCTGTGCCAGAAGGTTATTTTGACAGCACGACTCGACGTCACTCTATATGGTGGCGCTGTAGAGATATTGAATGTGTATGCACTTTTTAAGACACCTTCTCCACTCGCCTTACTGCCAAGACTTATCTGGGGAATCTTTTTTTCGTCATTACTTTGGTTTGTTTAAACGGTCATATTGGCTACCTATTTAAAAGAACTGTGAGGAGACCTCACTGAGTCTACTCGTATTTACAAGATCATTGCGCCCTTTCATGTCCGAGTCTTCATCGAGACCGAAGGTGTTGCTGGGCCAGGCGTATATGTACAAGTGCCATAATGGAGCGGAGTGGGACCTGAAGTACATTTGCATCAAGATGTCAGATATCTCATATCTTCGCCAAGATTTGGTTGATCGCGAGCCTTGCGGTTGTGCACGTATATCGGCTCTTTTCATCGTCATTCGTCATACCGAAAATCAATCTCTCCACTTCACAGTCCTTGTCTTTGATTTGATCTGAGAAGTCCTCTGGTAGTAGTCCAAGCTTTAAACGCCTCAATGTCTCGTGTCTCTCCATCTTCGTTCCAAAGGAATAGACCAGCTCGAATAGAATGATGCCCAAGGAAAAAACGTCGAGCTTTGCGCTAGGTATGGGCGATGCCGTGTGTGGCCGGTAGAACTCTGTGCCTACGGCTTTCGCTGTAGCGGACAATCGCGAGCCTTCTGGGCGAGCGATGGCTGTAACAAGGCCAAAATCACCGATGCGCAGCCCGATATGACCACGACCGGGAGCTTTGTTGAGTGCGCATGTGTCGCAGTCAGAGAGGTTGACGCAGCCGGCGGGAACCACGGGTTCGGTGAAAGGCGAGAGGAAGATGTTAGACGGTTTCAGGTCGCGATGAATCACGTCCGCGGAGTGGAGATATTCTACGCCGTCCATGACAGACAATATGATGCGAAGAGATGCCTTAACGTGGAAGCAATGTCGGAGGCCTGATGCGGTATTTGCGATATGAGCACTGGGCGGTGGACTGAGGAAATCGGCGAGTGTCATTGGATGGACACCCATTTGTATATGTAACGTGAGCTGAGGGGCAAGCGTTTTGTTGTCTGACGCTTCGTGCCTAGAAGAGGTCACATAGGAGTCCTGTAGGGACGTTGAAGGCTCATGTGCGATGGAAGTACGTGGAATTATCTCATCGACTTCGTGGCCCCAGCTATCATCTCCCCTGGCACTATGCACCGTGCTCTTCTTCGATCGGATTGAAGAGACGGTGGCATTGCTTTGACGACGCTGTGCTGGGGTTTCCTTCGAGATGAGCTCGTTTGGACTGTAGTCGACTTCCTCCGGAACGGACCCGGCTGTGTCGTCTCCGAAGACAACATTAGGCTCTTCGTAAAGGTTTTTTCCGTTACGGATTTCGGCCAACTCTGAAACAGATGAAGCAACGAGATCAGATGCAGACCGAGAGCTCTCTCCCTTGGCAGGCCCCTCGATCATATTCCTCCGAGACTGGATAGAGGGGTATGCGGGCGGTGCCTCCACTGGAGCCATCTCTAACCACCCACCATAGTAGCGTACTATATTTGGGTGGTCGAGACGCGCGATTGTGCGTATTTCTGCAAGAATATGATTCAATTCAGTCTCTCCTCGATCCTGAATCTGCTGCACTTTTCCAGGGCTAAGGACAATCTGTTTGATCGCATAATCCATACCATCAAGTTTGTGGCGGCATTTAAACACCTTACCATAGCCACCCTTGCCAAGCACAGCAATCTGCTCAAAGTCTTTTTCGTATCTGGATGTCTCCCAGACCCGGTGAGACACAAGCAAGCGTTGGAGTGGGAGTGGCATGAGATCATTGTTCGGAATAGTCATAGAGTACTGCATGAAGGGGTTATGGGCGAAAGCCAATCTACCAAGGGTGGCAGAAAGGTCGGCGTGGCCCTGAGCGCTGGGTAAAGCGCCAGAAATGCTTCCATCAGACAGGTCAAGACCGGCGTCTTGTGACTGTAAGAGTGAGTCCAAACCTTGTCTATACCGATCACGTAGCGGCCGTAGTGATTCCTCAGACCCGGAGCCTAGAACACCTAGGGACGATAGTTGAGTAGCCATAGACTGATACTTCGACTTTGCTAGCGCCTTGACCTCGGAATCGCTCGCGGAGTAGACATGGCCATGAGGTCGATCCCCCGCATTATTGAGCGACTGCAGTGCGTTCGCCAAAGCTTTCTCCTCCAGGAGCGAGTGAAGTAGGAGATCTTTGTGCTGGTGCTGTTGATTGGGGAGGTCTTTTGAGGTTGACAGGGCTTGCTCTCGGTCGGATGTGTCGGTGGAGAGAGTTTGGATCCTTGAAATGACGCCAGAGGCATCAACGCCACGCTCATGTTCAACAGACGTCGAGATTTCCGCATCAGTAGTATCGTCAGTTGTCGAACTGGTTACATCGTTTGGTGACCGAAAAAAAGAGCTCATGATAAACAGCTGGCGGGTTTAGCAAAGTGCGACACATCGGACATATGTGTTAGCGAAACTGGCGTAGCTGTAAGTCCATAGCTACAGAAAGCCAGGGAGCAGCCTATTCTAGGATTCGTGACAAGTTAAGAAGCTTGAGGGCGGATAGTTGACATCGAAAGCATGGATGGTGTAAGGACAGATTGAAGTATCTGCCTGGCCTACACAAGCGACTCCTATGATGGCTGCCTGAGTCGAAGAAGATGTGCAGCAGACACACATATACCAGTCATAGGGCGCGATGTACATGGGCAATGCTGTTTTCGGACATCCAAAACATTCCAAGAGGTTCTATAATGTACACGAAAGCATGATGCATATGGTCACGAGTTTTCGTGTGACGCGATTCTGTCGAGACGCCTCTTGGCATATTAGATGAAGCGCGTCCACGCTACGACCTCAAATGTCATCTTAACACCACTCAGACGGCTAGTCATAACCCTACCGGCCAACTCGACATTTGGACCTCCTTATCCTCAGACTGCCAGTCATGTAACGAGAATGCCTCGCCAGCTACCATGGGCGACGGACAAGAACAGCGGGCCTGAGAAGGTGCCTCCACCATTGAAGTGCCCCGCAGTCGCTACTTATCATACCGATGACGATATTGAAACAGAACGGCGCAATACAGGACTTGGTATAGACATATTCGCCTTACTGCGCACATAGTATAACTAATGTAACGTAGTCCGAGCCGCATCAAGCTCACCAGTACCACCTCCGTCGCCATTAGAAGAGGAGTCAGCCTTACGTTAAGCGAAATTGCTTCACAGGCTTACACAAGACAGGTTTATGAAAGAGGGTCTTGCTGCTGATGATATATGGATCATGGTTGAAGACGAGTTTCTGGATACAGCCAAGCTCTTCACGCGACATCTACACCGTGCGGAATATCAGCGACTGAAGAACCTCGCGAAGCTCGAAACCGCGCGCAGGACGAACAATCTCTCCCGACCCTCTGTGAATGAAGATGCGGCAAGCGCAGATATCACACGTATGGAAAAGAGCCGAAAGCGAGACCAGACACAGCAGGCCGCCGTTGCCGGGTTGGCTGCAACCGCGCATGATATTTCTTCAGACGATGATGCTCCATGGATGTTCGAACCACATCTGGGCAAGCTCATGAGGCGACCGCCCCCGATATCCAAGAATCTGGCTTCAGCAGCCGGTATCAAATCAAAGAGTCGTGCTGCGGCAGGTTACAAGAAAGCTAGATTATCGCCTCCTCATAGAACCACAAAGCCCAGCGCTGTCTCCTCGTCTGCGGACTACAATAGCATGGCTGGACTTGCGCAAGAGATTGGGGCGGTGAAGGAGAGACTGTTATCGGAGGACGAGAATGACCTTGATGCCCCGGCTCCGGCGCGATTCTCGCGAAGGCCTGAAGCGAATCGTGATGATAGAGTTCCTGCTGCACATTCAGTATCCGTTAAGCAGAAGGCATCACACAACGCATCTGATATTCAGAAACCATCAGAGCGAGTATCATTAGGCAAGTCATCAATAGCACAAGGTTCCACGCAGGCATCGACCTCCACTCGCGGATCCAAGCCGACGCCGAAGTCAGACTCGACTACGCGGAGGTCTTTCTACACTGAGCGATCAGTTCCAAAGGCCTCTTCCGTAGCAGATGAAGATGACTGGTCTATGAAATCCTCGACCTCGTTAAAGACTCGTGAGCTTCTAAACCGACGTCGAGCTGAGCGAGCAAAGAAACAGAAGGAGGAAGAAAAACAGCAGAATAACAAGTCGTATTCGTTAGATGAGATACCCACGTTTCTGTTTTGATGCAGCATTGAACATTATTCTCAGCGAAGCGTTGACAGATTTTCGTTTACTCTTATGACTCCCTTGCTCACCTTTCAGCCGCTGGCTTGATTCTTAGTTCATGGTAATTCATGGTATAACTCGCCACCGAGCACCGAGGTGTTGAGCTTGCTAAGGGGCACTTGAACGGTGCTATCGTCTTACCCCTGTTGCAGCAACCGAGCGGTATCATCCATGTGGAGCGGTACAGCCAAGCACAGTCCCTCGCATGCCAAGTGTCGAAAATTCCACTCACATAGTGCACGGCGCAGACACGACCCTTCGCTCAGCCAGCCGGCAAGAATTACCCCAAGGCGTGTAGGAGAGAGATGATGTAGCTCGTGTGATTACTGTATAGATCCTTTCTGGCGTTGGACCATGCGCTGCATAGATGCCGCATCGCCATCGCCATGGATCGCCAAGACCTATATAAGTTGACATACGGGAACCACTCTACTAGCCTCGAGCGGGGAATACAGGACTAATACGTCACAAACTGCATCTCCACTTTTTGCCAATGACAAAAAGTGCTCAATAGGTCGGCATGATGCGGGCGCACGATTAGCTACGTCCCGATATTTACGGCCTGTCGTACAGATGGAAATGGTAACGTCTCCAAGCCTCAAAGGCGATAGTTATTCTCGCCTGAGTCCCGAGGTCGTTCCTATTGGAGAATGTTGGCCTAAAGTCGCGCGGGGTTTTCATGCAGGTGGTTGGGAGTGTGTGGGAGGACTGCGAAACTAGAATACCGGTTGCTCCCTTGCATACGTCGGCCGAAGGAAGAGCAGCCAGCAATGAGTGAATGAGTTGGGTGGGCTAGGAGGAGTTTGAAAGCCGTTACCTGCTAAGGTACCATATTAGTTGAAAGAAAGGATAATTAATGGATGCGACTACTGCACGTTATCAGTTCTTGGCATCCTTTGACCTGAATGAAGAGGTTGCTGCGCCCGATCTGTGTGGCCCGGCTTTCCCACTTCTCTGGCTAGATATTTCTTGGCCGTCTCTCTTGGGGGTACCCTTTCAAGCTTGGCCGGTCCGACTTCTAGATTCCTCTCGTTGGATGATAGCTGGATAGATAGATAGCTACATGGCATTCGTGGCCGAGTTCTTCAGTCTACTTCTCAAATCTCTTCTCTAGTGGGAAAGCGCATTTCAATTCGCAATATCCCATCTCGCCTTTGCGCCGCGGGCTTCTTACACCTCATGGCCTCTACGAGTGTCGATTACGGCACAAAGCCAGCGTCGATTGTTGATGCTAGAGGCTCGCCGGGCAGTGAGAAGGCTTGCGATCCCGAACGTCGAGCGTCGATTCGATCGTCTAACGATCAAGCTGCTGTATCTCACGATTCCACGCACCGGAAGTTGAAGCCTCGTCATATTCAACTGATTGGCATTGGCGGTACGATTGGCACGGCGCTCTATGTGCAGATTGGTCGTCCGTTGATTCAAGGCGGCCCGGCAAGTCTGTTTATTGCGTACACGATATGGTGAGTTGGTTCATTCCCAATGCCAGAACAGAACGTCGGTAGGACATGCCCATGGATGCAGTCTTTCAGACTATCACTCCAGGTGTATGCCATCATGGATCATGAATATACACGCATACAGAAAGCATTCAGAACAGAGCCTTATATGAATGTGTCAAATAGGTGTGGATTCGTCTTATGCGTAACACTGTGTATGCAATTCCATTTCTCTTCCTTGTCCACAGCACTATGCCTCCGAGAAACACACGCCCACAAGCAGTTTCCATACCCCCGGAAATATCTCCCATAGCGCCTGATCCAATCGCACAGTCCAACATTCGACCATTACTGAGACTGTCGTCATGTAGGCATGGCTGAGATGGCCACATATCTCCCCATATCCTCGCCCTTCATTCGCTTCGCTGGCAGGTTTGTCGATGGTAAGTAAGATTGTAAAAGACACTGGAAGAATGCTAAAGTATTTGTAGAAGCGTTTGGATTCGCAGCGGGTTGGGTAATTATATCTCACTCGGAGTATCACAGAGTCACGTAGACTGAGTATCCCGCAGAACTTCTTCGTATTCCAAGCCGCTCTGGTACCATTCGAAATTGTAGCCTGCAACCTCATCATTCATTTCTGGAGCGACGCCGTGCACGCCGGGGTCATTATCACTATCGTCATAGCACTCTACGCGTAAGTCAACACCAGAATATGTTGCACCTCATCATCCTAAGTACCACCCAGCCTCATCAACCTCTTAGCCGTAAAATGGTACGGCGAAACCGAATTCTGGGCCGCTCTGGGCAAGGTCCTTCTAATCGTCGGTCTTATCATCTTCACCTTCATAGCCATGCTAGGCGGCAACCCCCTAGGCGACCGTTTCGGCTTCCGATACTGGCGCGATCCAGGGGCATTCACATCTCCGCCCGCATTCTCATACACGGGCGACACGGGCCGCTGGCTCGGCTTCTTCCAGTGCCTGATCCAAGCTGCTTTCGCCATCGCCGGACCAGATTACGTCTCCATGGCCGCCGGCGAGGCAGAGAACCCGCGCGTCATAATGCCGCGCGCGTACAAAGCCGTCTTCTACCGCCTGACGGCGTTCTTCGTGCTGGGCAGTCTGTGTGTCGGTATTCTGGTGCCGTACAACGACCAGGACATGATTCGGGCGTTTGAGGACGGCGAGCCGGGCGCGGCGGCGAGTCCGTATGTTGTCGCGATGAATAGGCTGCAGATCAGGGTCTTGCCGCATATCGTCAATGCGATGGTGCTTGCATCCGCATTCTCTGCTGGAAATAGCTACGTGTACTGCGCGAGCCGCAGTCTCTTCGGTTTGGCTCTCGAGGGGAAAGCGCCGAAGTTTCTTACTATCTGCAATCGCAACGGCGTGCCGTACTACTCCGTCGGGATCGTCCTTCTCATCGCGCTGCTTTCGTTCCTCCAGCTTTCTGAAAACACTGCTGTTGTGCTGAGTTGGTTTGTCAGTCTTGTGACGGCGTCTCAGCTGCTCAATTTCAGTGTCATGTGCTTCACTTTCCTGCGATTCAAGAAGGCGTGTGAGGCACAGGGTCTGAATCGCAATACACTGCCGTTCCGCGCGCTCTTCCAGCCGTATATCGCGTATATCGGGCTTACGGGCACGCTGCTGATGGCGATTGTGGGTGGCTATGCGGTGTTTTTGCCCGGGCAGTGGGACGTGCCGACGTTTTTGTTCTCGTGAGTTTCAAGCCCTCTGATCCATGAATAGATCTGCTAGATTCATATGGACTGTATACGAAAACGAGTGACTGCTGACTTTTGTTTCCCCCAGGTACTTTATGATTGGCGCCTTTCCCGTGCTGTATATTGGATGGAAGGTCATTCACAAGACGAAATTCAAGGCCCCGAGCGAGGTCGATTTGTATAGGGATGTGGCTGAAATTGAGGAGTATCAGCGGACCTATGTGCCTGAACCACCGAAGTGAGTATGCGAGATGTTGGTTTAGTAGATGCTGTTGCTGACATTCAGGTAGAAACACGGTTGACAAGTGGTTCAACAAGATTTTTAGCTGAGATGTTGGAGAGGTATGCAGCAATGTGGTACGGCATGCCGGGACAAGTAGATGTAGCTGTGAGCAGGCCTCATAGCTCCCATAGACTGTAGGGCAATTAGACAGAATGAGCTGCAGCTGTTATATTGAAACTTCATGACGATCACGTGCTCGAAGTGAGACGAGTGTGGTGAACCTACCACATGAGCCACTGAGCTAACCCGATAAAGCTAGTGCCTGCCACCCAACAACGCGGTTCTTGAACGTGGAGTCAGATGAAACTTTCAGTACAGTAGAACGCCACAATGACACGAGCTGTGGCTTGTTTCTTCAGCCACCAACGTGGATATTACACACTTATACTTGCTGTACACCACTGATATGCTAATGCTTATGCTCTATGCTTTTGCGTCTCACAGCGATCGTCCAGCTTTTATCTCTTCACCGTTGCGTGCGACAGATGCTTCACAGGCTGTGCTTTTTGAAAAAGCACACGAAACTCTACACCTACCGTGCGTGCACCTAAATACCTCTGTATCGGGAGCACAGACGGCCGAACGCCATGTGAATAACGCGCCTCGGTCCGGCGTCCGCATCGGCGTTTGACTTTTCAGCGTCCGTTTCCCAAACATATGAATTGGCGCGGCTCAAGCCTACTGCGTGGGAAAGGGTTTATGGCGAAGACACCAGCACGCTTTCTGTTGACTATCTGACCGTTTCGTTCCCCAACCTGGGGTCCGTAGTGTGGGCGTCATTAGACCTCGGCATCTCCCTCTCTTCCTCTAGTGGCGGTGGTGAGTCGTCGTCGTGACGGAGACTCGAGAGGGGGGGAATGGATTGTCCCCCCCTGCAGCACGCACACAGAATGTCCGGACTAGGGGGCCCATAATACAAGACCATTCATCCATGCCCCATACGTGCCTCGGTCGGTTTCTTCCCACTGCACAGAGTCCTCCACGAGCAGAGAGAGGCTTGAGACAAAAAGAGGAGAAAGCATAGGGCCTGTTGTATATAATATTAGAGACGCCCCCCTGGCCCTGGACCGTGTCCGTTCCTTGTCGCACATCAACTTTCCTTTCCCCACTATTAAACTTTTGTATATTGCCGGTACGACGCACAAAGTTGTTTCCTGCACGACGCGTTATATTTTTCGTCGTGTCTGTTGAAACGTCTTGCTGGAGTATTGCCTTGCACCACCTGTGAGACGTCACGGACAATATCATGGGGTCTATTCAGCCGCCGTCGTCGGTGTCTACCGAGAGCGTTGATGTCCTGGTTGTGGGCGCTGGTGTTTCTGGTATCAACGCTGGGTACCGCATCCAGACCGAACTCCCACACTTCACATACAAGATCGTTGAATCTCGTGGTGCCATCGGTGGTACATGGGATCTTTTCCGCTACCCTGGTATCCGGTCTGACTCGGATTTGCACACTTTCGGCTTCCCGTGGCGTCTATGGGCTCACAGCAAGAGTATTGTAGACGGTACCTCGATCCGAAACTACATCCGGGAGTCTGCAGAGGAGTTTGGCATCGACAAGAAAATCGAGTTCAAGCACAAAGTCCTGTCCAGCGACTGGTCGTCCCAGGAGCAAAACTGGAACGTCATTGTTGATAATGAGGGCACTGAGAAGAGGTACAAGGCGCGCTTCTTGCTCTTCAGCACCGGCTACTACGACTATGATACGCCGCTCCAAACACAGATTCCTGGCCTGGATAACTTCCAGGGCCAGCGGATTCACCCGCAGTTCTGGCCCGAGGATCTCGACTACACCAACAAGAACGTAGTCATCATCGGATCCGGTGCCACGGCTGTAACCCTCCTCCCGAACATGACCGACAAAGCCGCAAAAGTCACCATGCTGCAGCGCAGTCCCAGTAAGACCCTCCTCCCCCTTCTTCAATCTCAAACTTCAGACTCACAGCTAACCCCCCAAACAGCATACATCATCCCCCAACCCGCCAAAGACCCCCTCGGCTCCATCTGGCACCGCACCCTCCCCACCTGGCTCTCCTCCCGCCTCACCCGCTGGAAATTCCTCATCCTCCCCCTCATCTTCTTCCACTTCTGCCGCACCTTCCCCAACGCCGCCCGCGGCGCCATCCGCCTCGTCACAAAGCGACAACTCAAGGGCTCCCACCTCCCGCAAGACCCACACTTCCAACCAACCTACAACCCCTGGGAGCAACGCCTCTGCGTCACCCCCGACGCAGACTTCTTCCAAGCCATCCGCGCCGGCAAAGGCACCGTCGTCACCGACACCATCAAGCTCGTCAAGAAAGACGGCATCCAGACCACCGCCGGCACCTGGATCCCCGCCGACATCATCGTCACGGCGACAGGCCTCAAGGTCCACCTCGCCGGCGGGTCCCGCATCGCCGTCGACGGCCAGCCCTTCTCCTTCTACGAGCAATTCCAGTGGCGCGGCGCCCTGATGTCGCGCCTTCCCAACGCCGCCTTTGTCCTCGGCTACACGAATGCCTCGTGGACGCTCGGCGCAGACTGCACCGCTCTGCTCTTCACGCGCATCATGAAGTACATGGAGGCTCAGGGGTATGCGTCCATCACGCCGACGCTCACGCCCGAGGATCTCGAGGGCCCGGCGGCGCTGAAGCCGAGCAGTCCGATGAATTTGAATAGTACGTATTTGGAGAAGGCGAAGGGCTTGTTGCCGTCGGCTGGGGATCGGGGCCCGTGGAAGGTGCGGAAGAATTATATTTTGGATCGCTGGGCGGCGGTGCATTGTGATGTTACTGAGGGGACGGTGTTTCGGAGGGGGGAGACGAAGAAGGTTGCTTAGAGGTGTGGTTTGTGGGTGTGTGATTCGTTGTTGTGTGGATGGTTTCAGACGATGGGGGAGGACTAGGCGTTGGGAATTGTGTGGGTGGGCCGTTTGAGGCTGCGTTGCAAGAGTGCTACATAGAGTGCTGCGTGATATACCTCGCTTTTAAAATATAATCAATCTTCCTGTCCAACGTACTCGGTCTATTGCTGTTCTATGTTTGATGTGCCATCACAATTTTTGCACATTATTCATCGTCTTTAATAGACGGGCCAGCTAAGATTCGGATGAGAGCGCTTCGTTACTGTGATACGTTGCAAGAGGTCAATGACAAACCTGATTTGTGTGGAGGGTGCGTCTTCAGTGTTCTAGTCCTAGTAGAGAGGGGATCTGGGATAGGGTGTAGATGTGTAGGTATGCGTTGTCGTTCCCTTAACGTCTTGATTCGAGTATCACAGTGCACGAGTCCTCGTATCTTTGAACACTGATACGAGGACCCCTATCCAATCACAACAACACAGCTCCGAATGGAAATCAGTATGAGAGGCGATTCGTCTTCAATTCCACGCTTTTTACAAGTCTAAATCTTGATATACTACATTACAGGGGGCGGTGAAGAGGTGGTGGTGACCGATATGAGAAGTCGTGAGGAGGGCTACGCTGATGCAAGGGCGGTCGTGGCCGGATTAGGTACAATGCCCCCAAGAATTGCGACGCGCCGCGACGACGCCTCTGTTACGCATTGACGACGCCGACAAATATATGTATACATGAATTTCGAGAGAACACATCGTTTTTGTTTCAGAGAGCGCATGTGCTTATTCGTTGATCTTTGCAAGGAGCTCGTGGTCGCGGAACAGGGAATATTCCTCCTCGCCGACCTTGATCGGGCTGCCGCCATACTAGGAACAGATGTTAGGATTATGACTGAATTCAGACCATGGAGATGGATTTTCTCACCTGTGGAATCAAGACCTTGTCGCCGGGTGCGACGCTGGGTGTCATGCGCTTGCCATCCTTATCGAAACCGCCGGGGCCGACGGCCAGGACCTTGGCCTCGTTGAGTTCCTTGACCGCGGACTCTGGGAGGAAGATGCCACCGGCAGTCTTTGTTTGGGCCTTGATTCTCTGCACGAGGACGCGGTCGAGGAGAGGAGCGAGGGATTTGATGGACTTGAGGGCGGTAGTCTAGATTCCGTGTTAGCCATGATCATCGAGCTTTGTGCACTAGGGCGAAGCACAACGCACCATTGTGATGGATTGAGTAGATGAATCTGATCGCGACGACAAAGATGCAATTGAGAGATGATAGTTTGAAGTTTGTTGTTCTTGTATTGCGGCGGAGGCGGAGATGACGAGAGGAAAATGGTCGACTCCGGGAAAATTCCAGAACCTCATATACGCACGGACCAATCGATTGTTTGAGCTCTCTCTCCACCGAGGTTGTCCAAGAGCTGGCTGCATGGTCTCCATCGCACTGCCTACAACACGCCCTGGCCGAGTAGGGTCGGGTATGAGCAGTGTGGTATGGTATACACACCAGTTTCAGTGGCAGAGTTTGCAAAGGCGTTCCTCTCAATATGGAGACCACAAGGACAGTCATGCCGCTTGGGTGAGTTGGGCCCTTCTCTGACAATGAGGTTGATATCTGCTAACGATCATCGCAGCACTTGGTATCAGTGGTGGAGTAGATTCCATGGCTCTAGCATACCTCGTCAAACAGTTGCCCCCTGAGTTTGGCTTTCAACCAATCGCCTTCATCGTCGACCATCAGATCCGCCCCGAAAGTTCAAAAGAGGCTCAAAAGGTGGCGGATTGGCTTGCTCGTGAAGGTATGATATATATCTCCATTGGAAATTAGCCCGCTCTAATCATATTTCTCAGTCGGTATAGAGCCTGAGATCTTAACAACCTCCGTTCCCAACACGGGCAAGGGACCTAATCCAAAAATCGAAACATATGCCAGAAAAGCAAGATATCAAGCCCTCGGACGTGCATGCGGGCATCACGGCAGTGACAGGCTCATGTTAGCCCACCATCAGGATGACCGGATCGAATCAATGCTCATGAACATCATCTCTGGGAGATTGACGCGGCGGCCGATGAATTCCGTGGCGGGGATACCTGAATGTGAAGGTCTTCATGGCGTGTATGAAAGCGGTGGTAGAACCCCATCAGATGCCCGATTCAAAATGTGGGAGTCCCGCAGATGGTTCGTCTCTCCTGCGCGCGATTGTGAGACAGGGGGTGTTCAGATACTGAGGCCACTCCTATCCTTTCCCAAGGGGCGGCTGCGTGCTACCTGTGAGGCCAACGGAGTTCCGTGGGTAGAGGATTCTACAAACCACGATCCGACATATACTGTACGCAATACAGTCCGACATTTACTGAAGTCCGAACGGCTGCCTCTTGCTCTTCAACCCAAATCTATTGCCGGTCACATAGATCGCCTCGTCAAGCGGTACTCGCAGATAGACCGCGAAGTGGAATCGCTCCTTGAACAATGTAAAATGAAATTTGAGCCGCGTATCGGCTCACTGCGTGTCCAGTTTCCACCAGACGAGATCATGTGCAATTCTGCTGGGCAACACCTCGTCCGCAAAATTCTATCGATGGTATCCCCCTTGCACAAAGTTGAGCTTGCGCAAATACGCAACGCCATGTCGAGCTTGTTCCCGTGGTTTACTTCGTCCAATGACGCGGAGATAGCAGCCGCCACGCCTATCCGTTCTTTTACAACATCTGGAGTCTTGGTATCGGCCGCTTCACCTCTTCCTCATTGGGATATACATCGCTCCGCATATCTGTTCACTCGCGAGAAGCCACCAAGTACTTCTTCGGCCCCGCTGATGCTAATTCCTCCCGTCGACCCCGACCACGACGCAGGACCAGTGCACACTCAATGGACGCTATGGGACGGCCGGTACTGGATAAAGGTCAAGAACCCCCTGACAGAGCCGCTCGTGATCCGCCCATTGTACGAGGAAGAACTTGGGGATCTCTACCGTTATTCCGGGCTAAGGGGTCCCGACATCGAGAAGCTCAAACGATTGATCAAAAGCGTGGTCCATAAAAGGGGATGGCATAGCCTACCGGTGATAGCTCAAGTGAGCAATCCACACGCCATAATTGCACATCGGAAGCTTTTAACCCACTTGAACGCCCATCCAGGCTCCCAGGAATACAACTGGGCTCCGGGCAAGAATGGATGTGCGGACGTTATCGACGCAACAGTGAAGAACAAGTGTATAGACGCCAGGTGCTCTGTGACCATAGAACGTGACCGTGGCCGCGTAGTTGCATTGCCGAGTCTTGGCTGGGTCAACGCCAGATTTATGACGCGGGGACTTCGATGGGATATCAGATACAAGAAGCTGGATCCGTGGCTTGAGTCGCGTTTGGCTGTAGAAAAGCTGATGGGAAAGTCTTGAAGAGACACGGAAGGTCCGGAAAACCATTTCTACTCGGTGACTCACTGATCAAACTGATCTGGTCTCAAAACACTACCTCTAGGCCTTGATTCCTCGCAGGTTGTCGGCCATAGCTGCGCTAGGAGGACTGAACGATGCGGACATCGACGTAGGACGATGTATCGGCCAGCATATTGTCATATCTCATATGACGCTCTATGTTCTCAATCAGGTCGCATTATATCCTGGCTAAACGTTCGACTATCCACTGGAGTGGATGGGCTGGCGCAAAGAAACTACGTCTTTGTGTGGCTGGTAATCAGGTCCCAAAGTGCTTGATGTGAAGGTATAGCCATTTCCACTAGTGAAATGACCCAGAATCAATTGATAACAGGCCTTAGATTACAGTGATGCCTGGCTTCTCAAAGTCAAATTTACCGATGAGATAGCGTTCCTGGTCTTTAGTGATACGTTAGTGGTCGAGTGAGAAAGTATATATGTACTATACCAGGAATATTGCTTATATACGAACACGAGAATACCTTTTACCAATTACCTGTACTGATGTTGGAGGGCTGTTCAACTGCCCGATTCATTACATTCTGATGGCTACAGGACAGTAACTGACGGGTTTTCGTGCATAGAATGCACGTGTGGTCTGGAATATGCAACGATGGAGAAGATTGACGATATTGACGGCTATACAACACTGCCCTGTCCTTATAATTTTCGTGAGCCGCAGTCGATCAAAATGCTTACATGGTCAAATTCCACGGCTTATCCGCAATACATATCTAATGGCTAGTCTTTCGCATAATGCAGATTCATCTAAGTCGCAAAACTCCTCTTTCCATGTTTTCAAGTCTCTTCTGCTAACAGATCGGCTAAGTAGGTCTCGTTTGCACCTTCCAGAAGCAAGCAATCCACTCTCACACTATGATTTGCTATCTTGCATAGACCGAGCCCTGAACATTCACGGTCCTGAATATCATCGATACGAACTGCGGTTCTGATTACGCCATGCCTGGTCTTTCTTTTTGCTTTCACTGAACGTCACTCCTTCATACTCTGTCTCCCTATGAGTCTTTCTTCCGCTTCCCCCTACGAATTATACCACTGCCAGCATTCTGTTCGAAGCTGATCTCCTGTTGCTATAATGGGCGATACCTTCTTCCTAGACTGGGCGTTATGGCAGAAGTTGACCTTGGTAGGTCGACGTCATTCATGCATAGGAAGAGCATTTACTGATCACGATCTATAGATCTTAGCCGGGGGAATAGTAAGCTACAACTCATTCGAGCAGCCAGGGATCCCACTGACTAGCCAGGCCCTTACTCTCAGCATCGGATTCTGGAAGCTCTGGTACGACACGAAAAGGCTGCGGGCATATGCAGAAATCGCAGACAAGAACGCCATAACGACTAGGAACGTCGAAGCACAGTACGACACAATTGTCAATGAGAAGGGTGATGAGGTTCCGTTTGGACTCCGTGCCTTGGAGCATGGGCTTGAAGCTGTTGGTGTATGGAACTCGGTTTCCGCGACTCCAGTCTCTGGAAGTCCTCGTAGCTCTTGCTCGGGTTCGCTTTCTCTGTCCAAGACAAATTCTTCTTCAGGAGTCGACATGTCCACTTTGGGTCTTCCTGGGCCAGCACATCACGGCACTTATCTCGAGAGCTCACAAGGAATCTCTTCTATGCGGCCTCATGGACCGTCACTATTTCCGAATGTAGGTTCCTTCGCAAGTCAACAGTCCTCCGCTTCTACAGATAATACTCGTCTGGACTCTCCCTTTGACTGGAATTCAAGGGTTGCGCATACTCTGAGAAACACCAGCATGAATGGTGCTGGCTCGTATGCCTCAAGCGATGATGGTAAGTGGAGTTCTTTAGCTTCAGGTAACTTCTCCCTAACGTCTCGGGTTCAGAACATTCAATCTATTACAGTTCCAGGTCGTCGGTGGATCTAAGCTCTTGTGTAGACCCCTGCATTCGCCTGCAAGTATCTCCCCTGTCAGGATCGCACTCAGAGAGTCTTGCGGCTGCACTCGACATGTTACAGGCCCACCGACTCTCTCATGTGGCAGAGACTGGCCAACTCACTCCTAGGATCCGTCGCCTTAGGGAGAACAATGGAAGTGACAGTGTATCTGATATGTCTGGACACTCTGCCAATTTTTCCTGGTTCAGGTCTCCTACGCCGAGCTCGACCGAATCCTTGGCCAATATTTCCAATCCTTTCTTGAGCCAGATGTCTGACTTGAGAAGCTCCAGAAGCTCCCCGGAAACACCACCGACATCTCCGGATAACACAGACGCCCGTCTACGTAGATTTTCGTTGGTGGCAGACTCTAAACCGCCGAGACACTCGTTGCGTCCGTCCGACACGCGTACAAGCCTACCTCCACCATCCGATACAATTATGTCAAATGGCCATAGAAGTCGTAAACGTTTGTCTCAAATGTTTCGAAAACTCCATCCAAAGATTGTATCCCCTCCCAGGGGTTCTGAAGGCACTGGTCTCGAGAAAGTGCCTGGAATTGCCAAGAATCTCCAGTTCAATCAGCTACACAAGAGGTGTTCCGGAAGTACACAGGTCTCTCAAAGCAGAATTCATAGCTTCACTACTCGAAGCAGCGCTTCATGACCGGTTCTTTTATGTTTTGATACTATGCTTTATGTCAAGCCGAGTAAAGTACTGTCGGTACGGAAAGACATAAGAATGGACCTTGACCTTTCCTCCCACCTATCTTTGCAGCCAAAGTACATTAGTTTGGATCCTCCCGACCAAACTGAGTGCTGGTCTTGGCTTCCTTTTCAACCCTTTTGTAGCGCAGCACTCCATATTGGGCATACTTGCATATGGTCACGAACATGTTGACATCCTTAGTCACAAATACTCTTCCATAGTCGTTTGTAGATCCAAAAAATATAACATAATGGACTTGACATAGATTGACAACTTTGACACCTTGCAGTGGAAAGGGTTGTGGGGATTTTGACTCGAGCACGTGATATCGCGTTCGCGCTAAAACAAAGCGCGTCACCAGTATCGACCTTGGCGCGTCTGAATGATGATTCCGCCACTCGACCCAACAGCCTCTTCTCCTCGCCCTTCGCATTCGAATCGTACTACAGCTGTTATCTCCAACGTCGAAATGAGCGCCGAAGAAGAATATGAGGATGCTGGTATGGGAGGACCTGGAGCGCCTACCCCTCTGTCTGCGCTAGAGGTATGTCACGACCTATCACAGTAGTAGAGTCGCCGAATTGATTGTGTTCCTATTAGGGTGTAAACGGCCTCACGGCACGCGATATCAAGCTTATAGTCGACGGTGGGTATAATACTGTCGAATCCGTCGCATATACACCACGAAGACAACTCGAGCAGATCAAGGGTATATCTGAGCAGAAAGCCACGAAGATCCTGGCTGAAGGTACGGATCATGGAATGAGACTCAATATATAGATAGACTAATGGCGATACTTACAGCTTCAAAATTGGTCCCCATGGGATTCACCACCGCGACGGAAATGCACCAGCGTCGCAGCGAGCTCATAAGTATAACGACAGGATCAAAACAGTTGGATACACTTTTAGCCGGTGGTATAGAGACTGGCTCTGTGACTGAGATATTCGGAGAGTTCAGGACGGGAAAGAGTCAGATATGTCACACTTTAGCTGTTACATGTCAGTTACCATTTGATATGGGTGGTGGCGAAGGCAAATGTCTGTACATTGACACCGAAGGGACCTTCAGGTACGTTTTACAAGGACATTTCTCCACCATTGTCTGATCAGCATGCTTTTAGGCCTGTTCGGCTACTTGCTGTTGCCAATCGCTACGGGCTCTCGGGTGAAGAGGTACTCGACAACGTCGCATACGCACGAGCGTACAATTCAGATCACCAGCTTCAACTGCTCAATCAAGCAGCACAGATGATGACAGAGACTCGCTTTTCTCTTCTGGTAGTCGACTCTGCGACATCGCTTTACAGGACTGACTTTGCGGGTCGTGGAGAGCTATCAGCCAGACAAGTCCACTTGGCAAAGTTCATGCGTACATTACAACGGCTCGCTGATGAGTTCGGCATCGCAGTCGTCATAACGAATCAAGTTGTTGCTCAAGTGGACGGCGGGCCAAGCGCAATGTTCAATCCTGATCCGAAGAAGCCTATCGGAGGCAACATCATTGCCCATGCTAGTACGACTCGCTTGAGTTTGAAGAAAGGGCGGGGCGAAACAAGGATATGTAAGATCTATGACAGTCCGTGTCTACCTGAAAGCGATTGCATGTTCGCGATCAACGAAGATGGAATTGGAGATCCTAGCCCCAAGGATCTAGAGAAGGATTAGAGCTTGGTCGTTCGTACGCGTGTGATGAGCCGAGTATGATAACGCAAAAGTGTATGAGACTCAGCATTGGATGTTTATGACAGCGCATAGCATTTTCCGGCATAAGGGTACTGGGGCAAGGCTGGCGTAGGAGTCGGTGGCATTTCGTAATTTAATCAAGCACGACTAAATGATACACATATTTTCAGTTGCCGAATTGAAAGCTCATGGTCCAGGCAGGTAAATAACCTACGGCGAAGGGCCGTTCAGCCTTACGAAGCTTAGCGTTGGCGCGGACCCTCGCGCGACAACCTTGAATCTCAAGCTCGAGAGCTTGCCCAAGACAACATATTCCATGCGACAACTCGCGTCGCTCCTAACGCAAGAACTCTTGCCAGCTTGGATGGGTTGGTCATGTCTACTACACCTGCATCCCATCTCTACAAAGAGATTCGACTAGACCTCGAACAATTTCAGCGCCATAGTACGATTGCGATAACCCTACCTTCATCGAACGCGGCCTCATTTCTCTCGCGATCTCAACACAAGCGCACTATCTTGAACGAGAACTTTGTGGAACAGGATGAGAATGCTTTTGCTCGAAGGCATCTGGCAAGCGAAGGCTCTGTCTTCTTTCGATCCTTGAACAAATATCCTCGGAGTTTTCTATGGCGCTTGCTGGACGATCGCAAAGTATTGGAAATTCGGTCAGTTGACCCTACTAGAGACATAAGCAGAGCCAAGAGTAGAGAAAAAGAAGGAACGCATCCTGAAGCATTCTTGACGTTCCTTTTGGCCTTTCCTACTGCGATCAAGCCATTCGGAATCGCATTGGCGGATTTGGAAGATCGCGATGCAATCGCAGTTTTTGCAATCACAACTTCGAATGAGATATACACAATCACGCTTGCAAAGACGTTCTTCTCAAAACCAGAGGCTTCGGAGCAAGACCCTTCCGAGTGGTGCAAAATCCATACCCCGACTAGCTTTAGCTTTCGGTATCCGTATCGCTTAGTTGCAGTCAGCGCCCTGGAGCTCTGGGTATCACTACACGATGGAGGACTACTACGGCTGACGCGAAAGCCTGGAGACGACGGCACCGTGTGGGTTGAAACACCATTTGGCGAAAAGGGCTGGGGATCTTCCTTTCGAGGATTAATACCGTGGAAGAGCGAGAGCACCATCAAATTTGGCACCCATGATCTGATCGGCAACTCTGCCGCTGATCTTGCGGTGTCGCCAGACAAGGACCACCTGTGGACTGTCTGCCTGAATCACACGCTGAAAGCGTGGAACCTGAACACGGGTAAGGTTGGCGTCCAGGCAGATCTGCTCGACGAAGATCTCAAAGAACTGCAAAAGACGGGACAGTACATGTTTGGAGCAACTCAACCGCAGCTTCTCCAGGTCATCTCTGTCCCCGCACCACAAGGCAGTGACCTGTACTATGTGGTAACATACTCTCCTAAGCAACATCGATTCAAATTCTGGGGCGTGATGAATGCAGACAACCCAGAACTGGGCCTCCGGGACATTCAACCAGAGTTCAGCTTCATACCGCCTGTTGATGAACTCATGAATACGACTGTCTGGAATCTGGAGGAGTTCCACGTTGAAGCGTCTACTGGATGGCTAAACGCTCGGATCTGGATCCGAGCTAGATCCGGCCCAAGCAGCAAGGCATACACAACTACATTCAATCTATTCGCTCCATCTAGAGAGCTACAGGAAAGTTGGCATGATGAGTGGGCGACTGTCGATCCTGGCCCATTGACAGCATCGAATCTCAGGCTGAACCCTACCATTCCGTCGAATGCGGCATCAAAACACTTGAACTCGACGTTTGGCTGCTCAGATCGGTGGACAGACTTCCTGTTGTTTCCTGGACGCTACTCATTGCCAACCCTGGAGACAGCGCTTTGCATCTATCGATCTGGTATCGCTCATTCCGACTCAGGCAATGGAAGCTCTAATGTCAAGCACCCCCTGAAAGAACGCATGTGTCGAGCTGTAGCTTCAGCAGTCACTTTCAAGAAAGACGTTGAAGGTACATCCGATTATGCAACGTTCGAGCACGACCTGGACTTGCAATGGCACACTTTCTTCGATCTTGTGCAGGACCTACATAAACGCAGGGGAGAGTGTCTTAGACTCTCGTACGATACAGCGACTTCATCGCCCTGGCTAGTACTCTCTGACTACGTCGCACCAATTCGGTTGAATAGCAAGGTTGAAATCCTCATTGAAAACACACGACTATTACGTCTAGCTAGCGAATCTCGCAAGCCTCCTCCGGACTCTCTCAATAGCGCCTTGGACGATGTGGACTCTATAAGGATGTCAATGCTCCTTGCTGCAGCCGCAAGATTTCGCAGAAGGCTCCCGGCCCAATTTCAGTCGCGTCTCAGGACTGCAGTGGACAGAGAGGTTCACGAACAGCCGTTTCTCTCTATCACTGAGAGGCTACAGGCTTTTGAGGCGTTGTGTGAGCTCGACCCAGAGATCAACGACGATGATGCGTTGCAGCTTGAGCAAAGCCTGTCTTTCTTAGGAGATCAGAAGCCTGAATTCTACAGCCAAGTTCTTACTCTATTCTCAGAAAGCCAAACAGGAGAGCTTCGGGGCAAAGCAGTCAATCAGACTGGGATGAAGCTACTTCTCCGTGTTTCTCAGGAGATGGTAGAAACGCAGATCGAAATTCTCCTGGACCTTCTTGTACTCACAATGTACATGGCCTACTACTGGGAACCGGAAGATATTCCTGGCTTCGATGCCAACTATGTATTTGCCTCGATCCTGACCATTTTTCGCGAGCACGTTTTGCTGAGATGGCTCTATAAGACTACAATCGTGGACCCATCTTCGAACGCGGTCGAGTCCAATCTGATGTGGTTGCAGATGAGTTCAGGTGCTTTCGACATCCGCATACCACCCGGTGACCCTCTTCAACACATATCGTATTGGGCACGTGTGTGGACGTTTGACCCCTTTGGTACCTTTGAGTTCACAGACCTCACGGAAGATGTCATGGTGCAATTGCTCCGCGCTAAGCAGTATGATCACGCTGCGACTTTTCAGAAGTTCTTGGGATGTTCCCCCTGGTCGTTCTACTTGCGGGGAAAACTTTTACTTTCGGCTGGAAGCTACACGCTGGCGGCGGTTAACTTCAAGAAAGCTGCCCCTGGTCTTTCTAATCAACAGCTTAGTATTGGAACATTTGATCGCATGGGCATGATTCCTGTCAGTGATCGCGGTCTGTTCTGTCACGGTATGCTCCAGTTCACAGCGCATCTCATGAACCTTTTCGAGGCTGCTAAGGCCTATTCCTTTGTTGTCGACTTTGCGAAGATTGCACTGCAACAACCGCCCGTTCTACCAACTAATGATACTCACGGTGACCGAGCTGGAATCTTATCAAGACTCTTTACTGCATCAATCAAGACATCTTGCTTTGAAGATGCTTACTCTGCCCTTGTGCGGCAGAAAGATCCTGCACTGTAAGTCACGGCCAAGACAATTCAACACGCGAATGCTAATGAATATCTAGGCGCAAAGCGAATTTGACTACACTTGTCACAAGTATGACAACGCAAAGTCAATCCGCTGCGCTTCTACGCCTTCCGCTCGCTACATTATCCACAGAGGTCGATACAGTCTTAGAAAGCCTATGCCATAAGACGCTCAATATTTCAAGCGGACCGCCTTACCATAAAATTCTGTACGCATATCGTATCTCTCGCGATGACTTCCGCGGCGCAGCATCAATTCTTTACGAACGACTTCAGCGATTGCAATCATCGTCTACTTCCACCGATGAAGCTCTGACTCAGGGCTACCTCATCCTCATAAACACCCTTGCATCGGTCAGTCCCGACCAGGCATGGATATTTGCCGAGGGCAAGGTGGAAGACGGCGGCATTTTTGGTGGTGGCTCAGCCCGGTTAGGCAAGGCGAGGGAGGCGCCAAAGAGGAGAATTCTGACCCTCGATGACATACGGAGAGAGTATGAGGCTGAACTGGATCGCCAGAGTGCGCTGGAAAACGGGCGTTTCGCGTTTGGCGAGGAACCCGAGCCCATGGAATTGATGTAATTGGTGTACTTGTACGTATAGATAGCAGCATCGCGGCAGCATGGCGTTCAGCGGTGGTACTGAAAAGCAAAGATCGCGAAATAGGGGGAGAGCGCTTGTTGTTCTGGGAACAGAGTAATACAAGATTCATTGCCTTCTGGGCTTATACTGATATAGAGTAAGGGATGGACTACCTCATTCAACTGCACTGGTGGTGCTCTCAAGCTCACAACGAGACGGGGCCTGTTGTACTATAGTCGTTGACGTTGACGTCGTGCTTGTAAACACTATGCCAACAAATCTTCAGACGACCCGCTGTCTACCCATGTGCCAAAGTGGTGGCGGTAGTGGTGGTGAATGACGACCCCGACAACCATTGGCCTCACGAGGCCCCCTCTTACAGAAGAGGTAATTCATAGATTAACCTAGTCGTGGTACTTCGTGGTCGATTTGTCGCGGGGGGAAAAGCGGGGCTTCTGTGTTTAAAGAAAGAAGTGAAGTGAACTAGATTATTTCTCTGTTGCCGATCACGTGCCTTGTCGCGTCGCGTCGGTAATAATCGGAGTTTAGATGCATTGGCGCCCCGCCAACGGCACTAATTAAGTGCACGCATTCGTGGACGCGTCTGTGTTTCAACGAAGTTGTGAAGCCTCAGGCTCAGTACCTAACACTTATGCAACCACAGAATACGAACCTACGAAAGTCCATATCTCGATACGCCATCTGCTAACCTGTACGAATAAGAGAGAATTGGAGGTCATTTGTTTTGTTATCCCCATGCAGGCTTCTACGCAATGGTAAACAATAAGCGCTCGGCATACATTCGCGTCAATATGGCTCTGACAGTTGATAGAATTCGAAGTCCATCCGTCGCCTCGCTGCGGACCATGCATCTCTACATACTCTCGGTCTCCCCCCTAATTATCTCTTCCCGACTCAAGCCTCAAATTCCCATTCTTCATGCTGCGACGACTTGAGCATCCTCAATGTCCTCCTCGCAGGCCCCGAGGGAACAGCCTACCAAGATGGCATATTCAGTCTACATCTCAGCATGCCCAGGGATTACCCTAATTCGCCTCCAACCGCTACCTTCAAGACCAAGATATGGCACCCGAACGTGGACGAAAGAGGAAGTATCTGCGTGGACACGTTAAAATCGGGTTGGAATGCGGGACTGAGTCTGCGAGATGTGCTCATAACAGTCAGCTGTCTCCTGATTCAACCGAATCCCGCAAGTGCTCTCAATGCAGAGGCTGGCATGCTTATTCAGAATGGGGAGTGGGCCGCCTTTGAGAAAAGAGCAAAGGTCATGTGTGGAGTCTACGCCGCCATCCCGGACACCCTCAGGAAGGAGGTTGAGGATGCGAGGCGGAGAGGTGAGGAGCAAAACAAGGACGCAGAAGCGATAACAAAGAAGGGTAAAGGAACAGCAAGGCTCGGGAAGGAAAAACCATCGGTGAAAGTCCAAGAGGTATCAGAGGGGTATACGGAGATTACTACAACTCTCACTAAAATCACCGCCCCTGAGACGCCATTAAAAAATGAGGATGTTCGGGCAGAAAAGCCGGAAACAAGACCACTTGACCCTGGAACTGACAATATAGCGGGCACTCGAGCTAAATCGACATCGAAGACAAAGCTTTATGTGCCTGAGCATGCCATAAATCCGGGCACGCCTTTACCAACCGTCGTTCGTCAACAGGATGTATCAGCCATAGATTTTGGACAGCCCTCAACACCGGCTCCAAAGCCCCTCACTGGCACAGCGGCTATTCCTACGGCGAACACACTATCTAATACGGTTACACTAACGCCGACAGACGTCATCGTCACCACTCAAGGCTCTCAAGCAACGCCAGGAAGCTCACCACGCGATGGCCCCAGCTTCCACTTTTCGTGGATGCCATCCCGCCGAAGTCCAGGGGGCAAGGGTAGCTCGCCGCAACGTTCACCGGAGACCCTTAGGCGAGAAAAGCATGAGCTCCGAAAATTAAAGGCGGCTGGGTACTCCATTGCAAGATATAACAGGGGCCAATTTGGTCCACGCAAGGGGCTGTTGCGTTTGTAAACAGTCTTGTTCATGTTTCAGAGTAGAATGCCTTTGATCGAGCATAGCGGTGGCGTTCGTGAGCATGCGTCCAGGGGGAGAGGGCCCTTGGAAGTTTTTCCAGAAGTTTCATTGCACCGTGTTTAGATACCATGACTTTACAGAGACACAGTAGGCATCATTTCACCATTTCGTCCAATCTCTGTCTTGGCCCCATAGTGCGCTGGCATATACCTCGTTCTGTCATGGCCACTTTTTTTTCAAGTGAAAGTTCTTCGTTCCACCTGTTGGGTAGGTAGGTCATGACACACGTAATTTTCAGTATTCCTACCGTTCGCTGGCGTCTCAATACGATTGACCCACGTGGAGAGCTGGTATACAAACTGGTCATTGGTTCTCTAGGCAACTCCCTTACTTGATAAGTTTGATTCTGAGTTCCATATTTGCCAGAGTCTCGCCTTCACCAGTTCAACGTTCTCTTCCAAATCCTTGTCACTACAGAGGACTACCACTTACTTTCGTTTCTTCTTTGACCAAGATCTTTCTACTCCATCTGCGCTCTTGTCAACTCATCATTCTTGCGGCTTACTACGATCGTGAACTTCACCTTCAGTAAGAAATGCCGAGACAAGTCATGAAGAGGGGTGGTACCTCACGGATCACTCAGGCTGCAACAGCTACCAAAGGTGAACCTGCCAAGCAAACCAAACTCCTTGCTCTCTGGGTAAGCAACCACAAAACTTTCTCACAGCAAGAATAAGCTGATCTTCAAAAGGAGCACGAAGGAGAGATTCCTGAAGGCTACTACGACCACTTGACCATGGATCAGATGTACGTGCAAGGACTCGTCCTCCGCCCCGGCGAAATAGACGCCACAGAGGCATCCACAATCCATAAGCTCACGAAGGAGCTGGAGAGCAAGACCCAGGAAGGCAAGAGCCTGAACGGAACCATCGCAAAGATGAAGAAAGAATCGACCAAGAACCAGAAACTGATCCTTCGTGCCCTCGACAGCATGGAAAAGTCGCGCAAGTTCAAGGCCCAGATCATGGAGGCGGCCGTGCCGATCATGGTTGTGCAGATGACGTATCGTTGGGCGCTCGAGCGTGACGATCTGGACGGCGGACCTGCGGCCGGTACTGAGCTTGAGATGACGTTTTCGGATCAGTTGAAGGATGCGTTTGAGGAGCAGGAGTGGCTTACTATCGAACAAGATGCGAAGAAGCAGTTTGATGAGCTCGTGTGCGAGACGAAGGATGCTGATACGCGTATGGAGAGTGACGACGAGGACGCTGAGAGTAATGCTACATTCGAGTCGGCGCAGGAAGGTGAAGACAGTACGCTGGTGGCCGATGATGCTCAGGATGGTGAGTAGTTGAAGCCTTCATATGTGGATTATGAGCTTAAATTGGACAGATGCTCTTCTGCTCGAGCATGAGGACCTCGACGGAGAAAATGTAGATGAGCACGACTCTGTGGAAATCGAGAACCTAGAGTCCAAGGAGAAACCGGCACCCAGTTCAGCAGAGAACATCTCGGGTCCCGCAACTTCAGACGTAGAACCCCTAGCTAAAGACTCAAGCATGGGACGCGACACAGAAATGTCTGACGTAACCTCGTCCAAGAGACCAGCCTCTGAGATGGAGTTGAGTGCCACCGATGGAGCTAGGACTAGAGCCAAGTCAGCTCGTCTCAGCAGCATGGGTAAGAAAATCGTAGACAGCCCGGAGAATACTCAAGCCAAAGCGGCGACTCCTACACATCTCAAAACACCAGACATCGCAGGTGACGTACACCAGACGACTCCACACCGACCAATGAGCGAAGAGGAAGTCGAGCAAGCACTCTCTGCAGACCGCTTTACCTTCCTCCCCATCCCGACCGGCATGCTGTCCACCGAAAAGAGCGACGGCTACCCCATGTCCGACGGTATCCTCCTCGGCACCATCGTGCACAAGGGCAAGTCGGAGAGGATCTACGTCCACTACGTTGACGCCAAGAAGCTACTGATGAAGTATCGCACCGAGAGCGGCCAGAGTGTCAGCATGGAGAAGAATCTGTGCAAGGTCACCTGGGTGCAGCCTTGGTCTGTGTTCGTCGGCGAAGATATCACTGGCAATACCACTATGACCATGTTCCGTGCTGTGGCGCTGGAGGTCTTTATGAGGAGGGACAAGTCGAAGAAGAAGCTGCTCAACACCGATTCCATGCGGAGACAGTTCCAGAAGGACTTGCTCTGTGCGAAGAAGAAGCTGGAGTGTGGGTCGGGTAGGATTCGTGATTGGTGAAGAAAGCTCGCTGTCAAGCGGATCTGTTGCTTGGCTACACAAGAATCGTTAAGGATTTGGGAAATTGACCTCTCTATGAAATATGATTATGAAGGACTCTCCGGCGGTCTACTGACTCACGCTATTTGTTACTATCCTTCTACTTTCGTTTAAATTCTATAAGAAGGAGATAAGGACTTGGTTCTAGTTGATTGTTAACTCCATTGACGTTCTATGATATACAAATTTGGTGTATGGAACTCATCTAACTCTACTTCTAACTACATATCTAGTTTTATGAAGGTGGTAATGTATTCTGGAAGACTATATCCAACTACCCAGCCCGTCCTGTCACTGACTAGGACGCTAGATTTTCTGGGATTAACAAGGCCATACTCCATACTTATATACTAGAGAGTCTTAGTCGCTCCATCTCTGGCTATAATATTGGATTGTCCAAAAGTAGTAACTGCGCCAAGATTAGAAAACTTAGACGACTTCTAAAAGCGTGTTTTTACACCGTATTACACGTTTATACTACGACGACCATTGCCGCTCTGCTTCCTTAAGCATAACTGAATTGTCACCTCTCGATAAACACCATGTCTTAAACCTAGCAACAGAGTGCGCTCAAGGCAGCTTCTGTCATAAATTGATTCAACTGTGTTTGATTTCTTTCAAATTATCAAGCTAGACTTCTTTGACAAGAATGATTGGTTCTGATGAAGGCTTGTGTATTCCACAAGATTTACATTCTAGTACGTTGGATACTCCAAGAAAGCATCGACTTTCCACCGACGACTACAGGTACTCGCGCCGGTCACTTCACATGTGGTCCTACAACAGCGTCCGTAATGCGTATTCGGTCGGGCCGATACATGAGTACATGCCGGAGCATCATTACAAAGTCCAAAGAAGTTAGGAATGTCTTAACCTACAGTCAGTGATGATATACCTCACAGTACAATATCCTCGAGCTCTTCATCGAGTAGGGTCCGTACACGGTGCCGTACTGAGACCTCAGATCTGTTCGTCAGAAGAACTCGCAATTTGAGCCTCTCCAGTGATCGAAGTTGGGTTAAAGGCCTTACAGCCCTAACAACAGGGAGACGGGTTCTGAGAGCGGAATAGAAGTATACATACTGATGCAGCCCAGATCAAGACACTCATGGCTGGCTGAACATGCTAAAGTCTGCAAATTCTGCAACGAAGACGACATATGTTTGATAAATTTTGACTCTTTGTTAATGGTCTGTGATCACTGAGCCACTTAGACTTCCATACACAGTTGCATACCCGTAAGCTCCGTGGCTTCTCTACCCGGGCCTATACCTCAACGTGTTATTTATAGCATCCTCCTTCAGAGTAACTGCTTCAAGGCCTCCGCCGCGACCTGCACAATTCCCGCATCTCTTGTCCTTTTCACTACCCCTTTCAGGACTTCCACACCCCCATTATCCCTCACAGCTCCCTTGCCCCTCTCCCCAAGCTCCCCAGGCGCACTCACAATATGGCCCACACAAACAGAAGCCCGATGTCTTACGCCCTCATCCTCATCACCACAAAGGTCCAGCAACACATTTACACCCTTTTCTCGAGCCAAAATACCGCTGACAGTGCCCTCCCATTCCGTGGCCATGGCCAATGCACCACCAGCCGCACGGCGCGTGGCAACGTCTTCGACATCTGCGAGCGCAAGGAGGACATGGAGACGCTGACTAGCCGCCGGGGAGCCGTCGGAGAATTTACCCGCACAGACAGGAGAGGGCATGAGGTTGCACAGCAACTCAACGGCGGCCCGGCGCACCATCGTGTTATTATGCAGCAGTAAACTCGTCTCGAGGGTCGTCCAGGCGAGACGAAGAATAGTGTCACGTGGAGTTGTATCGTCCATGGATGCTAGGTTTGTCAGTGCGAGGAGGGCCTCGAATGTAGGGAGGAGGTCTTTTGTCCCTTCGCCAGCCGCGTCTTCGTCGAGGAGGGAGAGAAGGGGACGGACGGCGTTGCTTGGTGGGATGCCAGCGAGGAAAATGTGTGCTGGGTTGATGGAGATCAGGATCCGCGCGAGGGTGTGTGCGCAGGCGTGATTGCTTGCTGGGCTGTAGGAGACGGGCATGGGATGGGTGTCCTTGTGGAGTTCGTCCCAGACTTGCAATAGGAGTCTTACAGCACCTTGCTGTGCCATTGTGGGTCGATGTTTCTGCTCTTTACTAAGTGCGAGGAGGATCTGGAGCATCTGACTGCGTACGGCGGGCGAGGCGCGCTTAGAGCATGCCACAAGGAGGGGCACAATATTGGATTGTAGGACTTGTTTGCAGCGGCGTGAGACGTGGTCATCATCATCAAGAGGGTCATCTTTTGTAGGTTTTTTGGCAGCTGCGCCAGCGGCGGCGTACGTGCGTATATCGGCCATGCGCTTTTCTTCTTCGGATCTTCGAGGCAGGTAGGCAGTGATATTGACGAATATAGTGAGACCACCGAACATAATGGGTTTGACATTCGTGGAGTCGAACATGGTCTCTATAAGTCGGCGGAGAAAGACCGGATCTTTCGCAAGTTGCTCTTTGATGTTAGATTGTAGAGATGCATATGCAAGACCTTCAACTGAGTCTTGTTTCATATGGTTGTCGGACCCGAGCACGATCCTTTTGAAGCGCGCGACAAGTTCATCTTGAGGTTTCGGTTGGTCAATCTCCTCGACAGGGGATGTGGGAACCTGGGCGACAAGTTCATCTTGGATCTTCATCAAGATCAGGGAAGCCAGAGTGCTTTTCTTTGCATCCATAGCTGCCTCGGCAATGCCTTGGATCCATTGACGGCAGTGTTTGCTAATCGCTTCACGACAGGTCTTCTCGACGCAGGCCGCACTCAGGAGTTCCAATGCCGCTCGATCCAGAGTTTGACTGCGTCTTTCTTGCACTAGGTTCACGAAGCTGCTCATGAACCCCTCGGTCAGAAACAGTGTCGCCGCAACACTCGGCACGATTGGAAATATGGCAGCCGCAGCTGAGAAAGCAACGACCAAGGCATCTGGATTCGGTTTCTTGACCCTCCCTGTCACGAATTGTGTTATGAGCTTTTGACTCGTATCCGGGCTCAATTCGATCAATTTTGCTGTTGCGAGTGTCGCTTGACCACGTAGCATATTCGACAATCTGATATCCAGGCTTGACAGTATGACATCAAACGAGTCAGCATCGATGATACCCGTCAAATGTGGTGCTTCTGCCGCAAGGCTCCGCGCAATCACTCTCATCGCACGCTCCGGATGATCCAGGCCAGCTCTCATCATGGCAGCGAGACTGAGTTGGAACACATCTCTCTGCGCCGCGATCTGACTTTTCTCATCAAGCCAAGCCTTATCATCAAGGCATGTAATCACAATTGCATCTGCCGAGTCATCGCCACGATCGAAGAAAGTATTGAACGTCGGTGTTGGACTCTTCAGAACCTTCTCTGCGAGCCACTTACGTGCGCCTGGGTGCTTCATCAATTCACCTGTGACTTGGTCTGCCACATCATCGTCGGGCTCCAGATCCATCATGATGTCCAGGACCTGGCGAACGAACTGTTCATTCATGCTCGGAACGGATGTCCTCACAGCGTCGAGGACCTTACCGCCATCTGTCTCACTCTTTGAGTGCACCCACGTCCGACACAGTCCAATCAGAGGATTCTTCTGTTCTTCCTTACCAAGAGACTTCCACCCAGCTGCCACACTCTCGTCGCCTGGTACGAGATGCGCGGCTTCGCGCAAGGCATGCGCAGCATCTTGGAAGCGGCCTTCCTTTGCTAGAACCGTGGAATGATGCACGAGTTCATTTGCACGAGCTTGCGCTCCATAAACGTGGGGTGACGAAGTTGTCGGTGCGTGTTCAGGTAAAGTGACAGTGGGCTTTGCGAGAAGGTTGGCAGACTCGGAGGCTGACGGAGTCATGTGACCTAAGTCTGGTTCTGATAGAGCGGAGTCCATATTCGTGGTGACTGGTGAAGGTTGGCCCTGGCTGGTTGCACTCGGTGTCGACGAGCTTTGTTGCTCTCTTGACGCTTCGTCAACGGCAGCCGGACCGCTGGCGTATTCGGGACTCATCCCGAATCTTATGAGTGAACTCCGGGGGGCCCCGCTGTGTCCCGGTCGTAAGATCCGTGTCTTGAAAACGATGAATCGGTAGCACTAGCACCAACTTGCTTGAAAGTCGTTTGCCCTATTCGAATTGAGGTTATGAGGATAGGAGAGAAGGGGTATTTTAGGCCAACCCGGAAACATGAATCGAGAGAATCGGAGTTGATGTTGAACTAAGGTTTCCACCCGTGGCAGACCACCTCACCTGCCCGCCTGCAGTACCCCGAGCTAGCCATATTAGGCAAAAATGTGTTAGCGTCAGTCATGGGTCTCCGTAAGGCTTCTGAGGCAGGTACAAGACCAATGCGGATATTGTACGCGATCCTCTACCTTACCTTACTCAATATGTCTGATGGATGATGGCTACAACGTCTGTATGTATTGCTACAATCATCTCTATCTCGTACTTGCAACATGGACATAATCCGCTTGACTATAAAACAGCTATTCCAGGAACGCCCTTCGTGTGCTGTAGCGATAATCCACCAACGCCAGGCTATGCACAAAACATTGCGACGAGAAAGGATGCGAGGACTCCAGCCGCGACCGATCGACGGTGTCGATGGTCATAAATGGGCTAACATGAACGCCTCGACAATGCAACTTTGTTTCAGATACTGACATACCCCTCCTCTTCCACTACCGGTGCATCCTCCCAGCCGGCTTCCGTAACACCGTGCCCGACAGATCGCTGACCTACTGCCAGACTCATACCCTCACCCTCACCTCTTTCGACCCATTGCTTTTCGTTTATTTCTTCCCAGATGCGCTGGAAGTACATGCGGAGACTGCGAAGTCCACGCAAATAGCCGCGGTCAATGCCATTCGGGTCCTGTGGTGGACAGGAAACATCCTCCGGGAATTTGTCCTCTGCTGTGACACAATTTGCAAAGTCGACAATTTTGAGCTTAATATCTGCACCACTTCTTGGCATGCCGTTCGATGCCATTGTCTCTTGGCCCTCCGTGCCTAATGTCTGCCCATCCTCAGGTGGTAGACTTCCATCATCGCGGTCGTAGAGCATAAGCAGGCTACTTGCATAGAATCTGTAACTCGGAAGTCTTCTTATCATCCTTTCTAAACGATCAATCTTCTCCAGAATGACGGGGATATGTCTGCTGGCGCTAATATATCCGATTCCGTCATAGAAGAAGCGTTTGAGCGCATCCTGGAATTCTTTGCCCGCCTTTAAGTCGCGTCCAAAATACTTGTCCTCGAACAAATATGACTGTGTCTTGATGTTGTAGACCTGCATTCCGCAGACGCGCACACCTAGTTCCCTGGAAGTCGTCATCTTACATTTGCGACGTTGGGATCGTTGCTTCTTTTCGTCTGCTTCGACGCCATATTGACGTGTGCCCATCTTGAGGTCAAGAACACATGGTTTGTTCATCCCACTCGTCAAGTCTTCCAACAGCAAAAAGTGTTCAACTCTTTCATCCGACTGTGTTTGAGCCTGGTCTGGGTTCATTGGTTCATTGCCGCTAAGGTTCCACCCCCCTGGTATGGTAACATCGCTTTTGACTCCCGTCAGATTCTGTCCCACCCCTGCCGATCTGTGCTTGCTATGGTCCTTCGAACTCGGTCCGCTCCTTATATTTCCCGGGGTGGGTGATTCTTTTTCCATTGGGAAAACATCGTCTTCACAATCTGCCCGGTATGCGTCCTCGTCGGTATCTTGCTCGTGAAATTCTAGATGACTCCTTTTGCCTGTCTCGACATCTATGGCTCGTCTTCGAAGCCCTCCACCAGAGTGGCGCCTTCTGGGGTATTTGCGAGGTGATGAAGAATCTGACCGATCTGGTATGTCCATACCAATTCGCTCGTAATAAGACTCTGCGTAATGCGACGCTTCTTCAATAGGATGCTGTAGCTCTGTTTCACCAGCTCTCTCCATGGCCTGCTGGGCTGCTGCGTTCATGGCTTGCCTTCTCGTTGATTCGTCACGAAACGCTGTTTGCAGTAATGATACGTCTGCACTGTTTCTCCTGCCTGAAGGCGCAGATCCCGCGATGGCCCTGCTCAATCGTCGATTAGGAAGACTGCCATGATGGTTACGCTCACTCTTGTAGTGGTGGTGGATTGTAGGAGGGGTAAAAACCTCGCGAAGGACCTGCTCTTGGAGTTTTCTGTTCACTGTAGTCGCGCCCCAGCTAGAATGATGTCTCACTGGAGGGCGAGTGATAGATCGATGCGGGCTGTCTGGATGATCTGACCCACCGGGGCCCACATCGCTCGCGTTGCGCTTATGCATGGATGCTAGCAGGCTCGGATCAGAGAGCTGACTTCTTGGAGGCATGGTCCGTGGTGGTACACGAAAAAGATCGGCAGGTATTATGTGGCGGTTGTTCTCAAACACCACCTGTGGTACAGAATCTTTGCGTTGTGACTGAGAATGACTGACTATCCGAGCCGACGAGGTATCATCAGCAGATCTGTTGTCGCTTGCATCTTGTTGCAACGTCGCATCTGAGTTTCTTCCTCCGGAGGATGTGGTCCCTTCAACCTTCCTCTCATTCCGCGCACTCTTCTTTCGTCTAGCCCGACGACGATAGGTTACATTCAAGACACCAATATACCTATATCACATGACATGTCAGTAGATTTCGGAGGATGATGATTGCCCTCGAATCATGAGAATTTACTGGGATTCAGCTGAATAGATAGAAAGTGCTTCGAGATAGGCTTACCTTGGCATGAATTCCAACAACTCAGCATGAAAGCGCTCCACGGTTTCATAGAACTCGTTTTCGCGATTGTTAAGTTGTTTACATACAGCTCGGCGAGAGAAGCGATAGATTGTCGTATGGCCTCCGACTTGATGATCAAACGGCTTCAGCTCAACAGCTCCGATGGGTGCCGGTGGGTGCGGGCCTTTCTGTACCTTATGCTCGGTTACTAGAGCGCTGGCTTTTGGTGTAGTACTGAGATCATCTGTTGCGCTAGATTCGTATCCGCGTGGTGAACCTACTGAATCACCATACAGATCTTGCTCGGAATCTGAAGCAGAGGCAGTATCATTCGTGTATGCATCATCCTCTGCATCTGGAGTCAGGGTCGCTATATCGCCATGGAGTACCTGCTCGTCTGCTTGTGACTTCAATGCGATTTCGATCTCATCAGCTGTTGGGTTCTCAGGTATTGAAAGCTCTGATACTGAGCGTTCCTTCGTATTCGGTGGCACTGTTGCCTGGCGTGCAAGGTCCGGAGCAACCATGAGAGCATCACCATCTCTGGTATCTTGCTCGGTCTTGTCGGGGGAAATCTGACGGTGTGGATAGTATAACGCCGACGATATTTGCTCATGTTCCGACTCTTCATCCTCACTCGCAGTCAGACTGATATGTGGGCCTTGCACTATCGGCGGAAAGTAGCCTTTATCTGATTCTCGTGGCCTTCGTTGATCTGAACGCAATGTCGACCTCTTGCTGCGTTCAGTAACAGTAGTTGGGAGACTGCGGGAAAAGGATGTGCCGCGCTCTGCTCCTGGTGTAATATTATGATGGTTACGAATCTCTTCGAGGAGTCGGATGGGGAATGAGGGCGTGGATTCAACCACAGGGGGTTGTGTCACGCTGTTCGGAGACGCGACAGCACTAAGCACCGAGTCTTTCTCACCACTGGGACTTCGCACGAGTGTAGGACGATCGCAATGGAGCATCTGAGCATCAGATGTAGACACTTCATGAGCAGGAGATAGTGATTGAACATGATCCAAAGCAATATTGTCTTGGCCTTTGTTTTTGGGGGACACATTTTTCTCGTATAAAGACCGACCATCTTTTCTGTCTTCCACGGACCGCTCTTTTAGTCTCTCTTCGCGCCTTTTCTGCTCTTCTTGACCCTGCTCACCCTTGAACAGGCCTAGGTAATGACTGGCTTTCCTGCTGCGTGCCTGCATGACCGGCTGATCTGGCTTGGGTAAAGCAGCTTCAATTTTTCTAGCAACGACAGCTTTAACGCTGCTGGTGGGCTTTAAAGCTGTGCTGAGTGTTGCTTTGCCCTCCCGCCACGAACGGTATTTCAAACGCTCCTCATTATCTTCTAATATTCGTGCAGAATGAGGGGAACCCGGTGGTGGAGAGGGAGGAGAATCGAAGGGAGAGTGATTAGAGCCGAAGAGAGAAGATAAGTCAGAGCTGCTCTCTTCGAAAGTTTTTTGAATATGTATGTTGTTTGGTAGAGATTGATCGTCGCGAGGTGGTGAGAACATGTAGCCCTTTTGATCGTGGCGTCCAAGGGCATCATTGAGGAGTCGCCGCTCAAGCTGGATCGGAATGGAAGAAGGAGGAGAAGGGGGATGGCGCTGGTAGTTGCGTAGGAGGGACGGCTCGACCAGTCTCCGCATGGACGGCATGGTGGCGGCTTCTATGTCTGGTATGTTTGACATACTACCTTCATATGTGAAGCTCTCTGTTGGTCTCAAGTCTGGAGAAGTAGACGGACTGTTGGTATGTATATAATTGGTTGCGAAAATGCTATCTCTTTCTGAGAGTTGTGGTTGTGTAGGAGACATCCAGAGGGTATCAATATTTAATGGGACAGTTCGTGACCTTCCAGTCTGTGACAAGCTCTTCGGCGTCACCTCGTTTCCATGTTGCGCAGGAGCCCTGAGCTGCGCAGGAGATTTACCTGGCGCATGTCTGGAAGTTGATGAACGCTTCTCAGCAAAGGGAGGAGAGGAATGGTCGGGAGCGGCGGAGGCAGCGGACATGGAGTTGACATTGGTGTTGGGTCTGAGCGCGTGGACTAGATCAATGGCAGATAGTCTCTAGAATGATCAACGTTACAGGAGATCCCGAAGTGATGTACAGGTACCGAAGGCGAGAATGATTTAATTCGCAAAGGCACTAGAGAAGCTTGACTGGTCCCTTGTTGGCGCGCCCAATCAAGAAGGCCACGTTCCAGGTGATCTGTGCTGGTTTGCGCAACGCGACGGAAATAAATTGAAGAGGAGAGTATTGTTGCGGTGTGGAATGTACGTGCGTGGTAGGCGACGCATGATCGGTGAAGTCACGGAGGCGTGCAGCAGTGGACGGGGTAGAGGGCTGGTAGAGCGATTCATGAAGGACCGGGGGTTGTGCTGGTACCGACCCCAGGCGACCTGACGGTACTCTAATTATCTCACTATTATCATGCTCTATAAAGATAATGAAATGCGCGCTATCTGAGTAATGATTGGCTGACAGCAGGATATGCCCCATAACTTTCCGGCTTCCGCGAAGACTACTGTTATCCGGAAGATGTTGCTCGTCATCCATCTGGTGGCTACACCATCTATTATTGTAATACGATACGACACACTGATAAAGAGGCCTTTATGTATCGTATTGTATCTAATTAGCAGCCTCCAACTTCAGCTAGAACTATGAAAGGCATGTGCCGCACTCTATGACAATTCTCGAGGTATCTGCAAATTGACCTGGGCAAAGCTTCGTGTCGCACATTATCGTCTCTCGCAGTTACGTGTTATGCTAGAAGTGTTGAGGATAAGCTTATCATTTAGAGCAACTGGTCAAGGTCTTTTGCTATTGACCTATGACAATCGACCCTACCCTCTCCAATCACCTTGTCCAGCGCGACAACGTGGTCACAACCTTCACATCTATTGCGGTGAGACAACCTGCAAAGAGCTTGTCGGACACGGGAAATATCAGACGGCGTCAGGGGATGTACAACGCGTCCTATACTATGCTCGCTAAATGATACTAGAACAACGGGTGGAAGAGCGGGAGCGCACGTCTTGCCTCCCATAAATATTTTGTGGCACGGTCGAATAACAATTGGGAAGCATGTGACTTGTTCTCCGTGTTTATATGAAAATTCGTTGTCATTCTACTCTGTCGTGATCATGTACCAATGCTACTGCCTGACATATTATATATTTCTGGCAGCAGAACTTTTACTAGCTGATGGTGACTCGTGGACATCCCAACTGTCTAGCATTTCATCCATAAAGTCAAATGCTTCAGATGTGTTGACGACGCTTGCATCCAGAAGTCGCTGGCCAGCCTCGTAGCTAAGCATTGTCCGAGCCTGTCGATTTGCAGATTGCAGTGACCAGGGTGTTTCCTGCTCTCTTTCTTGTAGAGAGGTCTTTGGTGTGCATAATGTAGCAAAGGATGCTGCAGCATTCGGAGACTTGAGTGTCACTTTCTGGCTGGTGTTACAAGAGTCTTCATGACTTCCAGACTTCGGGTTCCTCAAGATCGCCCGTGTGGGCTCTGGGGGAATGCGGTCATGTGAAATGATCGGGGTACACCTCAGAGGACTACCAAGAGTGCTATGGTACACTCCATCCAATTGCTCAGATACTTTCTCGGGTGTGTACCCTCGAACGAAGGGCGAGGTGGCTGCCAGCAGAGCCTGTGTATCGAGAGGTATTCTGCTCCTCGCGTGCGACGGGTCTCCTAAATGGAAGCTGGACGTAGACCGTAAATGAAAATCTTTGAAGGGTGTCACAGTCTCGACAACATCCGGGATATCTCTGGTGGGTGTTTGGGCCCCATGACGAAGTGCTTGACGATGATCTGGCCCCGGTGATTGGAATGCGTCTTGGAATGCTCCGTGTACTTCTTCCATTGCAGCTTGTGTAGAGAAGTCACCATTTGAGATCTGGACAAAGCGCGCATCCTGAGCGTTCTGAACATCAGATAAATTGGTACAGACAGTAGTAGTATTCGTGTCTTGATTCAATGGTATTTCTCCTTTCTTAATGGCTGACAAGGCCATATTCTGCGATCCCACAGCTACATGGCCGTGGGACTCTGGACGGTCTTCAACGCTCATGGCTCTATGTTCGGGGGTAGCGGTGCCATTTTTGCATACCATTTCATTAGAGAAACTTCCCTTCAAGCTTCTGTCCTTCCTGGAAGGGGTGTCAGACTTAACAGGCTGCGGTCCCTCTACACACACGCGAGTCTTTCTTTTCGTTTGGACAGCATCGGACATCCCGCCTCGAGTCAGGTTGCTCGGGGCCAGGGTAGACGCCGTGCGACGAAACCACGGAGTGGAAACACAAGCGGTTGTATCTTTGACGTTGATCCTAGTATGTGCAGCTCTTTGCGGTATTCTCCGACCACTTTCGCTTCCCGCTTCGAGAGCATTCGATGCAGATATCGGAGGTGAATCTGGGTGGATGTTGTTCGGCTGTTTTGCAGCTCTATCCACAGCCAGTCCGGTTGCTGTTGTGTGGTTGTCGTCGACACTGCTAGTTGGTTCCTGTTTACTATCGCCATCTTCTTCACTTGCGATACTCTTCGCCATCGGTTGCGGTGTTTGCTGCTTAGTAGCAGGCGGACTCGTCTGAGATAATCGAATCGGAAACGCTTTGGTATGGGCATCTAGACCCGAAACCGTGATATCGACGGTCAGGTCTACAGGGAACTCATCTGATCTACCCAAGCCATCTGTCTGTAACTGGGTCGCTTTTTCTATTCGTGCCCTACGTTCGGCCCGGCGTTGTCTCCTCTTTCCTGATCGCTCCGTCGCTAGGTCTTCGCGTAGACACCTCAGCTTTGCACTTACCTCAGTGGCAGAAAGTGTGTACCCAGATGCCCATCTTTCGTCCCATGGATTTTCTTCCAAGTTGGTACCAAGCGTGAGTGACGCCGTTAGTATCGTTGGTACGTTCTTCCCGTTCGTATAAGCATTAGCGATGGCAGCAACCCTTTGCCTCTTTGAGTTCCGTTCGGCGTAATCCACTGATTGTTCTCGATAGCTTAGATGTATGCGTTCAGGAGGAGGAACATAGTACTCTTCCACATCCTCTGCAGCCAGTAGTGAATAGAATGTGCGCTTGAAACCGTGCAGGCTATGGTTTCTTCCGGCATAACGGCCTTGTATTATGCAGTCTGTTCGTCTAGCGTTGTATCGACGGATCTCTAATCTGCGAAGCTCTTCCGGATATCTGGTACAGGAGCTCGGGGCCATGAGTCTGAGGAGTCGAGGGGCTGCGGCTTGACTTGATTTCTAGGCTGATGTGCGAGATGGTGTCATAGGTGACGGTCAATGGGTGTAAAGGAGCGAGAGAGAGAGACTGCTGGAATTAGCGATGAGGAAATGGTACGACTGGTTGTGCTGAATGGAACCACAGGTTTGCAAAGCACATATTGCAAAGCGGACTCTCTACAGAGTGCAACTAAAGGTTCATGAGGCAACAGCCGCCAGTCGTTGCCAGGTCAGGTATCTGCGCAGGCGAAGGACAAATGATGACGCAGCTGTACAAGTGTTCTCATGATTGGAGCCATCCATTTGACTGCAAGGTACACTAGTGTACAAATATCAACTGGTAATGTCCAGGGGGAGTAGCCATTTGGCAGCAGGACTTTACTTGAGACAGGAATTCATCATACATGAGATATGAGGCAGTTCTGCCTGCCGTCCTGAGGCTTAGGCACCTGCCTAGCGAGCCGTCGCCGCCCTTAAATGTGGCGGTGTCGTCGGTCGAACGTGGGGTGCCGCCACGCTAATGGTAAACTACGAGGTGGAAACAGTGCAGGGATCGGCGTGTTGGAAAACGTTCTTGGTAGGAGTAACGAGTTTCAGATCATAACAAGACGCGGTACAGCTCAACCTCATTTACACCTCTGCCACAACCTTCTCATCTTCAGGCTACCTGAACCTACTCTCGTCCTCCCTCGATATCACACTCGCTCTTGCCACTCGACTCCATCCCTGGGCACATATGATGTCCGGATACCTACCAACACTACTCCGTTACATGTAAACAAACCCATCGTCTTCCGTCACTGCATGCGACAGCAGGCCACCGCTAGCATCACGATACCTGATGGCTTCCAATGCATGGCTGGATGATCTATCAGAAGATTGGATACCACAGCCTCGCTCTTCATCCTCAACTGCACCATCTTCTCCTCTGCCCAACTCGACGACTCACAATGCGGTTGACTTACCCACGCAGAACCGAAGCCGAATACCGCGATTAAGGACTTCTTCGGGCGCTCTCATCGCCAAAAAAACATCTACTCCTTCTAGTAAATGTCCTACGGGTGCAATACGCCGAAAAAGCGCGCTTGCGGAGAGGAGTCTTAGTGAGGACAACATACAACTAGAGCCCTCCTCCGATTTGACAGATACGAACGCGGATCAAAACCGACAGGCATCCCGATCTTATTCTGCGGCATCAATATCATCAGTTCTGCGCAATGGTACGGTAGAGCAGAAATCAGTAACAAGACCTCTGGGTAGATCGGGAAAGCTCCAGGACACACCCGAATGGCGAAGAAGACTTCTGAAGGGCGAAATGGGATATGGAGACCAGAAGGACCTCTTCAGTCCTATGGGAATTGAGAAAATATTCGACCCCACAAAATCGGCTGAAAAAGCACTGCCCGTGACAAGACGTAGACCGGATTATTTCAACTCCAGCGCCATACCTTCGAGCCCACCCCCATGGCCTTCACGTCCTTCCAAACCACAGCGTCCAACTGCTGTCCAACTAGCGCAATCGAACGAGGAATGTGAGCACGAGTCAAGTGGTCATATCCTTGAGGGTGAAATTGAAAAGGAGGACTTTACTCATGATGTGCATGAAGCTATTGGGGAGCAAAGCCTGTCTGAGTTAATGCAGAAGGTAGGAAGAAAAGAGCTACCATCGTTGCTTGACTCTGGAATTTCAAGCACTGCTTCTGGTGATATCGAACTGCGCAATGAGGAGTTCAGCCCAGTATATTTATCCAAGAACAACACGATCGACGATCGCTTGCAACATGGCGGGTTCGAAAATGCAAACTCACAACTCACGGATAGTCTTGGGCAGCTCCAGTCCGATCGTATAGAGTTCGAAGCAACTCATTCCGATGCAGCCAGATACCAAGAGAGCATGGAAGGGTCTTCGTTGGCGAAGATACAAAATATGACACTCCCGGAAGATCTACCTGTAGGGACTCCTGAGGTTGCTAAGGCCCTGGGCAACTTTGTGACTACCAGGAGAGGAGGCTATTCCGCAGATGGCTCCTTTGCTCGTCGACCGCTAAGCTCCACACCACCTCTTTCGAATACGAATTCTCGAATGGAAGAAAGCCGCCAGCTAACCACTGCTTTGGCACAAACACCTCGACCAAGCTCGGGGAAGACGTCGGTCCAAAAGTCTGTCCCACCGCGCGCACCTAGTCCTCCTTCGACAGTTTGCAGTCCTCGCCGTGACTCTCAGCGTGATGATCCTAGCGCAAACCAAAGTCGAACCTCGGGAAGTCCTCTGAAACTGTTTGGGGACCACGATACATTCACAGCTAACAGATTGCATCGACGTCTTAGTCAGCTCGAGCTTGGTGCAGACTCTCGAGGTCCACAACAAAGCTTGCATGCATCTCTTCCGAAACTAGGCGTTCCTTCGCGTCTCACTTCAGTAGAGGAAATGAGCTTCAGTCGTGAAGATGCCACAAGTCCTGATATGTCAACCAAAGCAGCACGAAGTCACTTTGAGTCCAGATTGACTTCTTTTGGTACAGGGGTACTCGAAGGCTATGAATTTCCTGGAGAGATATCGATTATGTCGGAAAGCTATCAAGACGACTTAGACGATAGCCACAGCTCATCTCCCAGCGCAACGGTAGCACCACCTGGATCACAACCGCAGTTTCGATTTCGCCTCGACGGAAGCTTCACGCATGGATCGAACGCACAAGGAAAACGCATAATATCGCAAGGAAGTTCCAGAGTTGATACGACTTCGATGAAACAGCTGAGGCAGCTGAGGTCTCCGAAATTACGGTCTTGCGTTCTTGAGCAAGTCGAGCATCTTGTCGGACACAAAGAAGACAATCGAAATACAGACGGCAAGCGGCCACCAACATCACCAGCTAAGAATCCCACTCCGAAACGGCGAAGAACATTGCACAACGCAGAGCTTCCAGAAGTCTCGGACGCTGTGACAGAGGGCGTCCTGGAGAAGAGTGCAGTGATCCAAAGCGTCATTGGTAAGAGAAAGGATGCACGGCGAGGGTTGGAAAATAATGTGGCAGACCCAAATATACTGGCCAAGCGTCACATACTACGGCCTCGTAATCCAACGCCAAGTCAAAAACGGCGTGACGAAATACAAGCAGAAGTACTTGAAGCTACTGAAGCATTCCTGCAAAGCTCTCCCACACAGCTTCAGGCGATCTGCGAAGACATAGATGCGTCAGAGCTGCAGGGTAGTGGCTCAGACCAGATTACCGCAGTAGCTGTGGCTAATGAAGTCGCTTCCTTTACGCTGAACGTACAGGCCGCAAATGACAATTGTCGAAAACGCTCGGTGACTACTCAGGACTTTCTGGATGAGGCTATGCAGATCATGGAATTCATTCGTACTAAAGGCAGGCCGATGAGTGGCCTGGGAAGCCTTGAAGAGTCCGAGTCCGAACATGCAGGTGACGACGGAACAGAGCTGAAGATGCCAGGCTCGCCGCTGACATTCTCCCGACCTGCCAGCCGGAATGGACCTCAAGGTGCATGGCGAAATCCTCAAGCACATGTATATGACCAACACACTCTTAGTCACCTGCGCAGGTACAAAGAAGGAAGTTCCGAATTCATGCCGGCTTCAATCCAGTCCTTTCAGAATCAAGGAAACAACTCCAACACAACCCAGGAGAACACTCTAGAGAATATTCAGCAAGGCAACATCAGAATACGCGAACCCTTGAAATCACAGGGCGCCCACGAATCTGGGGTCTTAACACAGAATTCGCAGTCATTTCAGAATACTGTGCCATCATATGATTCCTCGGCGGGTGGTAGGAGTGTTGCTACAACCACTTCCAAGCGGTCTGAGATGGTCGCGACGCTTGCACCACAAGCAGTCGCACATCTCATTCCGGAAGAAGTAGCAGGTATGACATACGACAGAGAGCGCGGCGTATGGGTCAAGAAGAGAACACATGCTACAGAAAGACCCAGCGAGGTTAGCATAGAAAGCGAGGAAGACCCGTTCAAGAACATACCTGATTTGACAGTCGATGAAATCAGAGAGATACAAAACGTTTCAGGCAGTAGACCTGACGACCTGAGATTTCTATCTGGTGTGTCCGGTAAAGACTTCATACATTCCTCGACCGAGGATGCGTCACAAGAGGAAAGTCGAGTCCAGACGATACGCGCGGTCCATGTCGCCCTTTCAGCGTCGTCCAGCACCGTCAACTCCAAGCCTGTCTTTTTTTCGTCCAGCACAGACCCAATCGAGACACGAGCCACGTCGTGGAGTGAACAAGAAATGATCAATCAAGCTCGCAAGCAGGCCGGGGCGCTACCAATGGACCCAACGTATAACGTTCGCACGGAAGATTTTGAGCACGAGATTCGCATAGACGAAGGCCGGAACGAGTCTCCGAGGCGTATGAACGGACAAAGGCTTCGGGACGTAACAATCACTTTTACCTCGCCAGTCGTCTCTCAAATTCCGACTAACAGCTATCTTGCACCGGAAAGTGAACGGAGAAATCGCTTTGGCCTATCGCAGCACTACAAGCAGGCCTCGGCTCAAACACTTACTCGCAAGTCCTTCAACCATATCCAGAGACAATGCGAACCTATGCCCGCAGAAGACGGATATAGCGAAGTGTCTTTTCTTGCTGATCGATCGGATCCTCGTCGAACTTTGTTCTCGCTTAATGTTTCCAATACTCTTGCTCGTCGTCAGCATGCTTTAATGCCCCCTCCCAGTTCACCTAGCCGAGCAGATGTCACGTTCTTGCTTAGTGATCTTCCGGAGTTCTCTTTAAATCAGGTCGATGAGAGGGAGTTGCCAGACCGAATGATTGTTCAAAGAGGTGGTAAAGCTGTCGTCGAAGATCGTTTTGCTCAGGGAACAGCGGAATTGGTCAAGGCACTTCAAGATGTCGAACCAGAAGAGCCATTTTGGGAAGATTTGCGAGCTGTCAACCTAGCTGGAAAGGGCCTACCCAATTTACATCGTCTAGATGCCTTCTGTTGGTCACTAGAAGATGTTGATGTGTCCGATAACGCCATCAACCACCTGAACGGTGTTCCTCGGACGGTACGACGCTTCTGCATCCGGAACAATTGCCTCTCTGGGCTCTCTTCGTGGGGCCACTTGACCAATCTACAGTGTCTGGACGTAAGCGGCAACGACATCGACAATCTCAAAGGGCTGTCTTCATTGTTTCACCTTCGCGAGCTGATCGTAGATGATAATCGCATAGAAAACCTAGATGGTATACTGAACTTAGATGGTCTAATCAAACTCAGTGCTCGGCGCAATAGAATCACATCAGTGGATTTGGAGTCATCCAATCTGTAAGTTCTCCTTTGGTCCTGTTAAGTAGCGTACCATTAATACTTGCAGAAAATGTCTGGCTGAGCTTGATCTAAGCGTCAATCAAATCCAACACGTAAGAGGCCTCGAATCTGTACCTCGTCTGCGTCATCTTAACCTTGGTAAACATTTGCAACCCATTTGATCTCACATAAATATGCTAACTCTCTCAAAGATGATAACAAGCTCGTGACACTTCCATGCGACATAGAAGATGCACGTCCGTGTACCGTACTGAAAAGTCTCAGTATCTGCCGAAACCAATTAAAGTCCTTGATCGTAGAGGGAATCTTTCCGCATCTGAAATGCTTATATGCCGATGGCAACCGACTTAGTCGAGTCGAAGGCGTCGAGCGGTTGCAATATCTACAGTCCTTCTCTTTGCGATCACAGCGACCTCATACCATCTGCGCTCCCTCCTCCACCTCACCAACAGCATCCATCAACCTATTATCTCCGCCTCCAGACCTCTCCGCCCTCGCTCTCTCCGCGAACATCATTCCCGTCCTAGATATGCCTAGCCCCTTCCTCATGCTCCAACGTCTAGAACTTTCGTCATGTGGTCTCAACGCTTTACCTTCCACCTTCTCAAAGACAGTGCCCAACGTCCGATATCTCAACGTCAACACGAACGGTCTCAAAGATCTCAGTCCACTCCTGAATACCAAAGCTCTCGCGGAACTGCACGTTGCAGGCAATCGCCTTTCGCGTCTACGAAAGACGATGGCGGTTCTCGCTCGCCTAAGCCACCTCAGGACGCTCGACTTGCGTAACAACCCGATAACTGTTGGCTTCTATCCTACGAGCATTGAAACACATCTTGTCACGACCAAGTCTATGGCTCTCGATCAACCAGTGAACATGGAGCCATTCGTCTTACCCAATGCCGATGCAGAAAGCGAGGCTAGCCATCGGCTTCGACTAGATGAGGATACACGTCTGCGGAGACGAGTGTATGATATGCTGCTTGGAAACAGCTGTACAAAGTTAGCAGTCTTGGATGGCCTAAGATTTGACGCTGGAGCAGCGCTGGCGAAGGATGAAGTTTTTGAAAGGCTGAGGCTGTTAGGCGTATTGAAGCGGTCCATGAAAGCAGAAGATGATAGCAGTGATTAAGGGATGCCGGGCGTCCTGACTTTGTCACCTTTTCAAGTTTTACTGTTCGGCGTTGAGTGCATGCGTGGAGGGTTAATCATTGTTTGACGATTGCATTACTGGGCGTACATCTGCATGATAATGAAGGGACTTAGCCCACGTTGTATATAGGCCTTTCCCGGTTACGTATTCTGTACCTAACGCCTCACGTTGACTTCCAGGCAGTGTCATGTCTGAGGAATACTGCAAACGTTTACTTTCACAACAAGTACTCCTGTCAACTGGGATTTCATCTAAAACAGCCCTACGATAGCACACAACGTCTCCTCTCCACAGGCCTGACTGTTGTTTTGATGGCTCACTTCTCCACATGCGTCGTCCCAGCCTCTAACACTCACTTGAAAACTCCGGTCAATTAAGATGAATCAAAATTCGAAACGCGGAGGAGGCCGATAGGCAATAGAGTGAACCTAACCTTGGTCAGGTCATGGACTCTGTTTCACTTCGATGAATGCAGCTGTGATGTGACCGGCCTAATGGTGAAGAGGCAGAGGTAGGAAAATGATAGTGACGTCAGCCGCAATATTTATTACGGCTTGAACGAGACACTTAGTGGCTAATGCATTACAATGCGAAAGAAATGTAGCTTCTTATATAGTATCATTCTTAGCCGTCCGGTAAAAGATACAGGAGACTTTTGATTAGTTCAAGACTTTCCACTTTTAAAGAGTATAGGCAGTTGGGAACATTGTCGGCGTTTGACAACGAGGCTCTCTCTCTTCCGTGATAGCCACGCGAGTTAAAACTAAGTTGACGGACCTTACACTGTCTCATCGTTTTGTTCGATCGAGCTCCCAGCCTAACAGTCAGGAGAAAGCCAAAGATATACCAATGGCACCTCTTACGAATACTCCTCTTCATCAAAATCGTCAAAAATCCAGTGCTCGGAGAGCCTCATTCGTTCCTCCTCAGACTCTGCTGCGTTAAACGCATCGGCCTTCAGCTTGGTTTCACGTTGTTTTGTCTCTTCATACTGCTCTACGGGTACCCATCCCTCGGAACCGACGCCGATAACATCCCTACAAGTCTGCAGTTGCTCATCTGCCTCAATCTGTGCAGCATTCAAACGCTTACACTCGGTCACCTCGTCTTCTGTGAACGAAATTGGGCAAGGAGGTTTTAAGTCACCACTTGTGCTCGATTCTGGATGAGCAATGCTCGACCAGTTCTCCATTAAGTAGATGAGGTCGGCTTTTAGCGTGACATTGTCGCCTTCCCATGGATAACTTGCATGATCAAAGATTTTGCGTCTCAGGACGCTGAACTCGTAGGCCAGGGCGTCATAGTGCGTCGAGTTTAGCTTTAACGTCATTGCGATATAGTAGAAGTGAAGTTGACGTCGGCGTAGCAGCACGACTTGCTCGTACTGATCTCTCTCGCTCAGTTCGTTGAAATTGGTTGGTAATTCAGGCTTTATAAGCGATTCCGAAACGTCGTCACCGTAATTCTGAAGACTGTTTGGAATACCGCACTGTAAGAAGAGCGGCAGGATTGTGGAGTGTTGCCAATCGATCAAACCGGTGATTTCCAGTTCATCAGAGACAAACACATTATTTGGTTGGAGATCGGGATGTCTTAGCGTTGGGCGAGCAAGGCTTTCGTTATGTGGAATGAGATGTGGCGCAACTCGCAGGTATCTGTTCAGACTATCAAGATGATCTATAGGTGATTGCTTTTGGTAATCGTAGATCTCTCGCCGCAGGCGCTGGAAAGGGTGAAGCGGCTGGCCAAACTTCGTCAAATATGCGATTTCCTTACTAGCCCCGGCTATGAGTGCCGCTGTTGGATCTGTATCTTTTGAATAGTCAATGGAGGTTGGAGCGGATGGTCTGTATGAAAGTGGGAAGGATTAGCACGTACATGGTCCACGATCAACTTGAACATCGCCTCGTTTTCCATACCACAAGCCGAATCTTGTATCTGGGCCAACGCAAAAGTCGCTATCGCGTGCTAGGCTGACGTTAGGAACCTCAACTTTATTGAACCCATCTTGTAAGTCTTTGGTGTAATATAGACTACCGCTTGCTGGAAACTGGAGAGCAAAGAGTCGAGACTCTTGCTCCACTAGCTTTGAGACAACAGTAATTCTAGCCTTCTCGGACAGGTCAAACCATATGTCACCCAAGTTTGTCCCCCGAATTAGCTCCATGAAGACATATTCGGTGCCAGCAGAGTTTTCTGACGTAGCCGAGTAACTGTAGATCTGGGGAACAGGTAAACCATGTGAACGGAGGAAGTCCATCGTCGCGACTTCGCTAGCTACGACGAGTTGTTTTGGTCCGGTAGTTAGATAAGGGATGCGTCCAACGAACTTGAAGCCGTCACGCATCGTAATTAGGAAGGTTCTGTTGAATCCACCTTCGGCCAATTTTTCAAAAGAAGCCACATCTTCTAAGTCCTGATTGACAGCTGCGGCCGCGAAGCGCTTGAGCTCTAATACATCAAAAACACGTCTTCGTTCAGAGTGCTTTGAGGCATCGTTCCAACTTCAGTTTACAATCAGTAATGAAAGCTGGCTGGGGCAGAAAGGGTCGACAAACATCCATCGGCCCGACGTATATTCGAAAAGATCAGCAGGTTGATCCATTGATCGGTGACCTATAGAATGAGTCCATCTCAAGCCGAGACTCCTGGCTCTTAGGGATCGTATTGCCCATGGAAAAGTATGGTAGAAGCGATTCGTAAATAAACGTTTACTTGAACCTCGACAGAGCGCCATGTTACAGTCGCGCAATACAGAGGCACAGTGTTAGAAAAGGCATATTTAAAGCGTACTTCTCTATAGTATCACAATATACACGCCTTCGTGTCAATGAGCAGTATAACCAGTAAGTTACCTATTGATATACTTGGGTCTCTGCGCTACTCTAGGGCAGTCCATTAGTAGTGGTCGGGCGAGAATAAAACCAACCATAGAGTCTCTGAAGTCACGTAAAACGTAATGTTCGACATGACCATAATTGTCCAAGTGAAGCTTTAATAAGATAGATGGAGATACTAAGAGAATTATATAGGAGATCTATGAATATCTTAATGATTACTTGATAATTCAGAGATACCAAACGCGTGAATGCTCTCTCTCCGAAATTGTTTTTGCCCGACTGCTACTAACAGGCTGCCCTACTAAAGTAAACACGCTAGGCAGAAGTCTTCGAGTCAAGTCGCGACTCCGACGCGTCTACTCAGCTCCACACAATTCGCTCTGACATTCTTATCATCCTCGGATTATTCCTTGAAGCCCGATTTGAGGCTCCGAGGCTATTGATAATTATGTCTTATGCAGCATGGGACCCTAAGTCTACATCTTATTCCCAAAGTATACCACCGAAGACCATTATGAAGCCTTGGACTGATCCGTGTTTTGAAGTCATTTCAATAGTACCCACCTCATCTCCAGTGAAGCCCGATGACACAATGCCTTACCCCCTGAGCACTATATCTACCATACAAAATCCACAGCGTACGAATGAGCCCGCATCAGAATCCGGAAAACGCCAGCGTGGGTCTGCCAAATCTACACAGAGCAGCAAGAGACCCAAAGTCGAGATAGTAAGCCTGCTGAGTGACGACGAAACTACAGTCTTCACAGATAGCAAGACGACTTTTGCAACGTCGAGAGACATTCCTGGCCCTAGACCTCGCACCCCAGCAGGTCAGCCTCAACCAACTCGAACAGACATGCTTGCCCACTCTTCTGCACATTACAATAGTGGGGAACTATCGAGAAATGCGTCGCACGCTATGATTAGCACGGCCAAGGAGAATGAGGTCCCCGCAATTGCGAAGACTGGCAAGAGCCTTGTCATGGCTAATGACAGTGCTGTGAGACCACTAGATGCAAATCAACGTCGCATGCGCGCGCAGCTCCAATATCTTCAAGAGACCTCGCGTCAGCCATCGAGTTACACTGACTTCAATGCTGCACCTTACCCTTGCTACTCAGAAAGACTTCATGAGACTCCCGCATCTAGGCTCGGTGTGAAGTCAAATCCATACGCCTCGAGAACCTTACACGAGAGCACCATAGACTATCTTGACATGCCATTCTACAGCCCGATACCAGAGAAACATCAATCCCTTCAGGGTGCACCACAGAGTGCTCATAACCCAGGAGGCTCTCCTGCCAAGGATGGCGCTCTGCGGCGTCCACACCAGTCAGAGAACCCATGTCCTAGGGATTCTACAATAGGGCATGTGCGTGGTCAAGACAGTACACTTTATCACCAACATCAGCTTCAGCGAAGTGAAAGTCCATATGCCGCTCATCAAGGTCCTCAGGAAGACAGGCAATGGGAAGACTACCAAGCACTCCCACGCTATGTCAAAGAGCTACTCCATTATCCCTATTCAGGCGATGATCTGCTGGCATTGTTGCGCCAGTCCCCCGATGTAATCCACGATATCTCACACTTGCTACCCAAAGAGCTCCTCTCCCTATCGAACGACCGCGAAGCCGTCGATGGAGCACCGACTTCTTGGGCGCAAAATCAAACGGCCACGACCGGAAACGCGGCACAGCCACCAGCGATAGTACCCATAGTAAAACCAGAGTTATGCGAAGAGCAGCGCAAGTTGAGAGATCTCATTCTCAGTGGCGTCAATGTGTTTTATACTGGTTCAGCTGGTTGCGGGAAATCCACAGTACTTCAATCGACTGTCGGAAAGCTTAAAGATCAGGGGAAGCAGGTGGACATTATTGCCCCCACAGGCCGTGCTGCCCTTGCTGTCAACGGCTCGACGACGTGGACATACGCGGGTTGGACTCCAGATAGTCATAAAAAAACACTCGATGAACTAAGGAGAAATGCACATGGCACTTTTGTGAAAAAACGCCTCACAGCTACTGATGTCTTGATCATTGACGAGATAAGTATGGTAGAAAATCTACACTTCGAGCGTTTGAACGCGATCATGAAAGAAGCACGAGGAAACGACAGAGCCTTCGGGGGCGTACAGATTGTGGTAACTGGCGATTTTTGCCAGTTGCCTCCCGTCAAACCGTTCCAGCATTGCATTGAATGTGGGCGCGAATTGATGCATAACACTGTAAAAGCTACATACAAATGTAGAAAACACGGCGAGTATAAGGACATCGATAAGTGGGCGTTCCGCAGCAAAGCCTGGGAAGAATGTCACTTCCACCACGTCAACCTAGAAAAGATCCATCGACAAAGCGACAAGGTCTTCATCACCATCCTTAACAAATGTCGAATGGGAGAGGTACTGAGTTCCGCCGACGAAGATCTGCTACTCAATCACGAATGTAACGTTGAAAATGCTGTTAAACTCTTCTCGACAAAGGATGAGGTCCGCAGAGTCAATCAGATAAACTTTGCGAAGCTTAAATCAAAGACGTACTTTTTTCCAGCCCTAGATGACTTCAGGCACAATGCCGAGAAACATCGCCATCTAGAATGGAAGAAGGAACGATTGCCCGATGGCTCTTTGAAGGCTCTACAGGAACACCGCTTCGACACCAAGGTATATCTCAAAGAAGGTATGTTGGTAGTGCTCCTAGTGAATCTCACTCTCGCCGAGGGACTAGTAAATGGGTCACAAGGCGTCGTCACTGGCTTTGAGCCCTACGACCCGGCCAAATTGCCCAAAGCTGTAGACCGGAGCGGACGACGGGACCAGGGCGGACCATCCCCGCTCACCACAGCCGGCGTCATCGGAGGTGATTATGCTAGTATCAAAGAGGAAATGGTCAAAAGATACATGTCCGACGGCCGGGGCCTGACGGCCAAAGTCTGGCCGATCGTGCAGTTCGACAATGGCGTATCCAGGACCGTCTTTGCCGACTGTACCATCAACGAGCTTGGCGATGATAAACCGTACAGCCTCATGTCACGTACCCAGATACCGCTCACAGCTGCCTGGGCCATGAGCATCCACAAAAGCCAGGGCATGACTCTCAATCGAGTGACTGTGAATCTCGCGAAGTCGTTCGAGGAGGGACAGATGTATGTGGCACTATCGCGTGCGAGGGGTCTTGACGGGTTAAAAGTGGAGGGTCTTGGTAGGACTATGGGCAAGGGGAACGCCCAAGTCAAGGAGTTTCTGTGGAAGGTGTTCAAGCTCGAAGTGTTGCGCGGGGGGTTAAATGAGTGAGGCTACGTCGAGTGACGAGTTGGGATGAGCTCTCTTTTCGGCAAATGCTTTATATTTCAGGGATGCTTGTTTGAAGCGAATTTTCAGGGAAACCTTTGGAATATTTACGTGGCTTCGATATCGATGACACAAAAGCACCAGTCAACACCGATATCATACAACGAACGCGGTTCTCGATATTGCCGCACCGGTATAGGGCGATGGCATATCCGCTGTAGCAGCCATTTCAGGATTTGACATCAAACATAGTCGCGATATATCCGCTGAGCTATATCACTCGAATCCTTCTGGCCGTTTGAAACACGCTCGGTGGACGAGGGCAACGATTGCAATGTAGGCCTATGGGTCAGCTACGCTGGAGGGTGGAACTCGGTGCGATCATTTCTCAACATCGACGGAATGAAACATGGACTGGCTGATGACCACGAGGAGCGGACGACTGGATTTGGAAACGCTAGACTTGGGCGGTGTACTTTCTGCTTCGGGATTCCCAATATAGAGGTATCAGCAGCAGTAGATTTATCATCTGACGAAGTCATGCTGAACATCATGACGAAGTTAGTGAACCTCAAGTTGGGTGGGCTCCAGGTAGGTTCTAATCACTGACAAAGGCAGCGATTACAGCGAAGTGCCATGTGTAAACCACATTAGTGTGGCACGAGTATGTGCATTTTGATTTCTTCTTGTTCATGGAGAAGACGCCTTCGACCGAGCTTCATGCTCTCCTATGCCTTCTTACTCTGCCCATGTCGCAGTGACATCCTTCTTCGTCGCATCGCATATATGGTTGCGGAGACCAGTCGCACGAATTCGCCGTCCTCTCGAACCCGAGTATCGATTCTACCCTGTGCTTCCCTCAACTAGCCTCAATCTCCTTCCCCTCTCCACTCCCACCACCTTGTCCCGCCAGCACCTTCTGTCTCAGGACATCCTCCACGACCCTCGAATTCTGCCCTTTCGCATTGATCACGCCCTCCAACTCCTTCAGACTCGCCTCCAGGTCCTTGATCTTATCATTATAGAACTCGGTAGCATGCTTGGGCGACTTGGAGACGAAGAAGCCTGTACCGACATCGACCAGCAACTCCGGCTCGCTGCCGGTGCCCTCTAGGGAGAGCTCCGACGGGGCAATGTGCGAGAAGTGTCCGGGGACGTAGAGCGAGGAGGTAAGTGGGATGAGGTGGGGATGTGCTGTAAACCTTCTAGATTAGCTTTTTTTTTCTTTGGTGGCCAGACCTTTCGTTCTCCTGTGCATGTATCGGGCTTCCGTACCGGATTCTTTTTGGGCTTCTACTGTCTTTATGCTCTTCAGACAGTCTCGGAATCTTGATTGTGCGGTGCGTAGCGACTGGAAGGACGAGGTAAGGTGTTCGAGCTCGGAATCAAGCTGTTTTTTGAGTTGCGACAGCTGCTGTGCGCTCAACGAGGTCAGATCGACTAGTCACACGCATGTTAGAATAAGGTTGACAATCAGTCAGTGGTAAGGGCTCACTCTGTTGACCCTGCTGCGGAGACATGCTTGTAATCTCAACTAAAAGCGACAAGTTTGGAGAAGTTGTTCTGGTTGATGATAGAGAAATCATGCGTCTGAGCACAATAAGGGCCGCCCAAGTAACTTTCATCACCACCACACTGCCCTGTCTTGGGTCGGCTTAGTCCTTGCAACTCTAATCATCAACATGGGCTTTATCACGAATTTGCACATCAGAACAATTCATCTAGACCACGAAACTGCTTAATATATCACATTGAGGTTATTAAAACTATCGACTGGTGCCAAACCACGGACTAGACCAGTAAAACGCCCTAGTCTGGCGACGAGCACAAACGCATTCCCTTCAAGCAACAAAGCGCCATGAAATACACGTCCTCGAATGTCAAATCCTGCCAGTTCCCCTCATTCAGTCAAACTTCGTTGTCAAAGTCGTCCGGTCCGGACTCCGTGTGCTCCTTCCATGCACGCATCGTGATCCTACTCTCTTTATTCAGTCCAGTAACGTTCAGAAACCACACTTTCGATATTAGCAAGCTTGTCAAGAAAGCCAACGAGTCCGCTCTTAGAACAATCCGAACCGTCAAATGTTTCATCTGGAAAGAAATCGTCGATCTCAAAGGATGCACCCTCGGTGGCCTTGAATTCTTTCTTGTTCTTATGAAACAGGCCGTCCCATATATCATGAACCACCACAATGGTCTTGAACCTAGTAGTGGATATATCACACGTCGCAGAGGTCGGCTGTGGGATATCAGTAATATTGCTCGCCTCTACACAGTAGCTGGAGCCCCGAAGGCGGTACTCGTACTTGCGAATCAACTGTACGTGATATAAGTTTGGATGAGTCCCATATCTCAGGCCCGAATTTGCTGGATGGGTATTGTGGCTCATCTTGACTTGTTCCGCAAATTCGTGTAGCTGCCGCGGAACATCTTTTGACTTGATGTCCTGAGCGACGCAAAGCTCGAAATTCCAGCACATGCCGTACTCGTTGGGGGAAGCGAGAGTAATGTCCATCAAACAGAATGACTTTGGGGCTCCAGATCTTGGACGGTTCTTCGTTTTGAGTCGTACCCATTGACACACGTCTCGGAAGGGGTTTAGACCTCCTTGGAAGCCAATCTCGAGACAGTATGAGTATTCGTCACCCCCAATATCGAAGTAGAACATGCCTCGATGTTTACACTCTACTTCACTAAGACTAGACGTGAAGTGATCCTTGGGTTCAATAAACTTATTAGCGCGGAATAGGTTGCGAGGAAATTTACTATCAAGCTCGTGAACCAGGCGTGGTGAGAAAGTGACACCATCATGGTCAAGGTCGTCGCAGAGGTCCATGAAATCATTCATTGGTAATTTATCAATTACCCCTTTTGGCGTTTGCTCGAGGATCACGGTACCAAGACGCGCGCGGAGACGAAGGACGCCATGATATGTGCGAGCATCATTTAGGCATGACTTGATAGCTTTGCGCAAAGGTTCCAGATCCAGATCCAGACACCTCATACCGATATGAGCCACCGTGGGAACTGCGTTCGGGTTAATCACGGCGATACGCTCGCGCTCACAAAGATCCGGTCTTGGTTTCAGTATTACAGTTTCCAATGATAGAGGCTCCCAGCCGCTCCATATCATCATTGGAAGTCGAGAATTGACGCTGACTCTTGCCTGGTGCAGCTTGTTATAATATTGGTCGAGAGCTTTCTGGATGTTGTCGTCCTCCTGAGCGGTGAACCTAAGCTTTGGTGGTCCGTTTCCTGGAGGGAGCAAGTTGATAAACACCCTACACGTTCTTCGAATTATGTTCAAAGCCGCAAGATTGTAGCCGAATACCTCTTCGACGGTGTACAGTTTTTTCTTCCGAGCACCTTCAACCACAATAGGATGATAGGTGATATCTCTATAGACGAGTCCTGGAACATTTGAAGGCGGAGACCCGGTGAACATGGCATCGATCAAGTTCTTCTTTTCAGAGTGATTCTTGCGTGCCTCTTCTTTTTCGTTGTAGGCTGAAGTCTTCGTGAATTTGCTCATGTCACGATTACGGTCTGATGCACGGTCGGCATTCTGGCGATATGCCGGGCGACCAGATCGGGCTCTATTAGAAGACTGGCTTGTAAGAGCAGTTGATTTCCCTGTGACTTTTAGCGAATGCAAACAACTATTGTCACAATACTTACCAACATGGCTTTGCGTCCGTATACTTGGTTCAGCAGTGGGTACTCGCGGAGTACTGGTTACTGCAGCGGCACTTTGTCTCATCGGCCCGTTCTGGTGCTCAACGGACGATGATACTCCTGTATTTCTACTGGTGCTCGAGTTGGAGTGACTACTCAATAGATGCTGAGGTCGGTCGAATCCATGACCCGAAGTGGTAAGACTAGCATGCTTAACAGGCGGCGGTAAATTGTTCGAACTTGAAGATCTTGATGAGGAAGAAGAGTCTTGCAGTTCTACTAGAAGAGCAAATGAGTTTGTAGCTGTCGTATCTATAGCAGGACTAGGTTTTTGACTGAAATAGCGGTTGGGGGCACCAGTCGGATGGGGCATGCTGTGAAGAGCTTAGCTGTTACGGCCTCAGATTTGAGCGCGTAAAGAGTGATAGACATGGTGATGTATGTATATGGCGGATCTGACGACAACAAAAGGTGACTTACCTGACAGCAATACCAAGGTCGATTTTGAGCAAGCCTGGCGGTCACTCCGGTAGAAATGCAGGTGAAGATGGCAGTATTTGACAGATTCTGCACTTGAGCGATTTTATGCATACAAATAGGCTACCACCTACCCAATTAGAGTTGTCGTCGGACGGTGAATGTTGGTTGTTGACCGGGTTTCGCTCCGCCAATCAAGCGATCAGGCGTGGTGAATATGAGTAAAAGAAGGTAAAGTGAATCCGATCTGAATCCGATTCTAGGATTGAGCCCAAACCTCAACGTCCAGCCCCCGACTTGACTGAAGTTGATAGAATTGACGGAGTTGCGTCAACGTCAGAACAGGCGTTGGACAGGTACCTATGAATGACCTTAGACAGCATGCAAGCTCACACCTGTCGTTGCCAAAACAAATGTCACCAACCCAAAGGGATTGAGGTAGTGTTCCAAGGTACAACCAAGAAGAATCTTCGAGCAGCATCCGGTAAAGAAGGAAGGGCAATTCAGAGCTTTCGTTGACGAAGAGCTATCAATGAATGGCTTTGACGGCAGCTCGTAGGTAAAGAGAGGTTGGAAGAAATCATATTGGTAAGGAGAAAGACATGGAGTGGAAGAAAGAGATTTGATAAGCAAAGGAAATTCCACTTGTAGTTGCCTTGAAGATCTGACGACGGAAGGGATAACTACGAGTTGTTTGATCATGTCACATGGTTGAGCTGATGAACAACAGCCGCAACATACAAACAAGCTCGGGCCCCCTATGCGGCAAGTGAACCGAGTAAACAATAACAGGCATGTTCACCTCATAATCCAACAAGCTATACGGAACACTCGCCACTGGCGTACCACAGGCTTTACAGCATTCACTGTCTTATTTATCTTACCTCAGGACTCACTGAAAGGCCACGGCTTGCAAACGGCTCTAGAGATGGATTCTATCTGGGCATAACCGTCCAAGCAAGAGCGGCGATGCTCAACGACTCCTGCCTGTCACGTTGGTGAGCTCCGGGTGCTCAAGTCCTCCGGGTGAGTTCGCAGTAGCAACGTCATATGAGTATGGAGTGGAAGTTACGCTTCTGCAAGCCAACTGGCCAGAAGATCGTTCTGTTGTTCGAGCACTTCGTCCAACCATTCTTTGCCCTAACACGTACCAATATCCTACCCAAGTACTCTTCACCATTCTTTTCTCATGCATAGTATCTTCGGGCGTCTGTGCTGTCAGCCAACCCCGAAGAGAAAGCGAAGCATTCAAGTAGCCTCTCCGTCCTCAGTCATACCTACCATAAGCCCCCCTGCTCCACCACCCTCTCGAGCGCAAGGAACACTAGAAAGCGAGCAAACAGACAACATCGATCTGTCCGCCCCGGAATCAGCGGCCGAAATTAACCAACGACTCCGCTCAGCTGGCCATACACCTGGTCCACTTGACCAGACCCGAAAGTCCAGTCTGCTCAAGACACGTACTAGCTTACCAGATGTGAACGAGCATTCACCTGATTTTTCGATCCCTCGGATCGCGACCAGCAAGTCTTGGTCAAATCAACCTAACCCTGATGATCGCCAGCTCGGCGAAATACCCGCAACGAAGATCAAGTCCAGCCCGCATTCCAGTCTTGGCGGCGAAGCGTGTCTCATGACTGAGCCGAGTCAAAAGCGGTACAGCGAAGACGTTGCTGACAGAAATATCAAGCTTTACGGTGGTATCGAGAGATCGAATTCCATGCCAAATGATCAGAAACAAACGAGTCCGGACGAAAGAGACCGTTTCACACGACGGACTTCAATCCCGCCGTTCAAAACCGATCAGCAAGAAGTATCTGAACCGCCAAAGGACGAAGATGTTACGCCCAAAGAATCCGAGGGGCGCATTCTCATGGTACCAGATCTAGGTCAAGTTGAGCTTGCCCGTTACGCACACCAACCCAGCGCCTGGCAGTCTCCAGATGGGAAGCCTGTCGAATTTTCAAATTCCCGTCCGATTCAGCCCGTACGAGAGGAGTCTGAGGAGTCATTCAACACGTTCTTGAGAACCACTGGCCCGGTTGTAGAAGCTTCGAAAGACAGTAGGTTGGGTCTGAAGAAAGACATTAATGAGTCGAGCACCCTACGCATGAAAGAAGGTGCAGGTAGTGACGACGAGCAGCCATCTCAGCGCAAGGTTTCGGTCACACCCTCCGTGGGCGTTAGCAGATACTCCACTGCGAAGGCCTCGCTTCCGGAGGATGGTGATGACGACGATGCAGCTGAAGCAGACCGGGTGGTGATTTGGAAAGGGTTCAGTGTCTAAAAGCGAAAATGAGGTCTTCGACACCGCTGGTTGCCTGATGTTGGGACAGTGAGTTGAAGGAACATCTGTCGTGGTCTAAAAAGGCACCTGGTGTACCCACAGCGCTCACCAGCTTGTGTTTGGTGTTACGTAAACTGGTCTTGAAATTAATAGCACGTTTGGACCTTGTCGGGTATATGAAGCGCTCGACTCTTCTTAATCTTGAAAGACTAGGTTGTCAACTCCGTATATGCAACACGTCCAGAAATACTTTATACATGCTGAAGTCTAATGTTCAGTACCCGATGCACATAGACTTACTCGCCTTTCTCTAAACAACCACCCTCGCACGAGCTCCTGGCCTGGCTCTTTTCTTCCCTAGTGCATGCCATTCCGCTGGCTGTCTTCGATGTCCAAGTGCATAGGTCGCCATTTCCTCTTTCCACTTAGGATCTCCTCTGCCTCCATCTTCATTCGTAGAGCGCGATCTCTGGTGTTGATGATGGTCCGTCTTGCTTGTGGCGCGGTGTAATCCGCGTCCAATTGTTTGCCCCATCTGTAATGATGTATTAGCGAGGGACCTATCTCTTGTCGAACATGCTACGTACGGTCTGAAATCATCGACCTCCTCAACCTCCCCCGTCTTCTTATTCCTCATTTTCCCCTTGGTCGGCTTCGGCCATATGAAGGGCTCGTGCAACTCCACGATCATATACTTCTTCCCCTCGACCCAGCGCCACGCCTTGGCGTACAGCAGATCAAAGCTTGTGCTGGGTCTCTTTTCCTTTGTCGCGTACCCGTTTGTCACCCACGAGCGGATGTTCTTTACTTTGAGGCCGTATGCGTGGTATAGGTAGTCGTGCAGGTCCATCTTTGAGAAGTTGAGCGGGACATGGAATTTCGCCTCGTTGGGGTTTTCTTGGTAGATGAGTTGGATGGTAAAGCTGGGCCTGGTCAGGGTTAGATGGTACTGCGAAGGACTGCTGATGGTGGGAGATGCGCGAACATGTAGACGGGCTTTTGGCCAAAGCCATATCTTAGACCTCGTTGAATGGCCTCCTGTGAGCGTATATAGGGTGTACGTGATTTGCTTTCGCTGGCGAAATCTGTTTCGTCCACTTCCTCTGCCTCTGCATCGACGAGTTGAGAATAGCGAGCGCTACGGGTTGATCCCCGTAAAGCAGTAATTGATGGCTTGCTGCATACGCGGGGAGCCCGGGTCGCCAGAAGTAATGAGGACCGCATAGTGGTTGAAGACAATGGGTTGTTGATACAGCTTGTCGGGCTTAATTGACTCTTGAAATTTGAGGTCGCGATAGTATCGGAGGTCAGTCTTGGCAACACGGGTCTAGCTCCCGCAGTCGTCCTGCCGCACTTCGTGCTACGCTAGCTTTCGCGATATTCCGAGCACCTCTTACACCAACAGATGGAATAAAGGTGGCTTTGACGTAGGCTCCAAGTGGAACATGAGTGGAGTACCACCATACATATACAGCAAGCCATGTTTCAATTCGGGAAAAATAACAAGCCACGCTCAAAATGTTACTACACTCAAGTCACGGGCGTGTCATACGTTGATGCGGACCAGCCTCCAAAGAAGAAGAAGCCATATTCTCTATTCCACAATCACGCCTTCTCACATACCGTAAGTCACTGTAAGCCCAAAATTCGGCAATGACTAAAAACACTCAAAGATGGACGTCGCACTCCCCGAAGAAATCTACACTCTGATCCATCATCACCTTGAATCCCTCACCCTGGATTACTCTCGCGTATTTCTTTCTCTATCCGACATCCTCGACCCACCGTTCTTCAACCATTACATCAAGCAAGGTTCCATCGCCCTTCTCTCCGAAGGACGACCCCAGATTGACAATCTCATCTCCCTGACTGCCGGCATTCTGCGCCTGGAACTCGACAAACCGACCTACGAACGCGCCGGCCTTGTCGGAACCCCCATACCCAGCGGCGGACGCACGCATGTCAAGGCGCGATATGCCATCGAGTTCAATCTCCGCCTCCCGTGCATGTTACACGGCAAGAAGGGGTTTGAGCGATTGAAGTACGCAGCGCAGAACGTACTTACGCAAAGCCTATCCTTCCTCTTCGTTGACCTGGGTTCGAGTAGGATGGAAGTAGATGAAGACCCGCTGGCGAAGCATCATCCATTCAAGCACACTGTAGCGCCGAGCGTCTTGCGTATGCCAGACACGCTGTGTCCGGTGCTGCCAGGGCTACGAGGACTTGAAGATCAGGGCATCGCGGCAGAGGTTTACGAATGGTTGTCGTTGGTGTCGCTTGCCTCACCGCGACTATCAGCCAGTGATGACATGGATGGGTTTTTGAGTCGATATGCGGTGCCTGAGGTAGACGCGCACGTGCCAACAAGCTGCAATCTTGTGAGGTTGCGCTGGCGAGGGCTGATCACGCCGCAATATGTGACTAAGGTGTGGATGGCAGTGTTGAGAGAAAGTGCTCGTAGTGGCAATGAAAATTGGGTCGCACTGAACGCGGGCTGTTTTCGGGGAGGAGGGTCGTATCAGGTACTGGATTTCGGGAAAGAGGGATGTGTATGCTGGGAAGTGGAGCGATCCTCTATGTGATGATAATCTAACTGATTTGTCCTCATTTGTGCATGGGATTGTGAACCTGGCCTGGTAAATGAGGAAATATTAATAGTAATGTGACCCGAGCTCGCTTGTGGCCGACTATCAGGGGTATCATGCTACCTTCGATTGTGTCCTATCATCAAATCATGTGATGCCAACACGGTCTAAACGAAATGAAGTTTAATGAAAACCGACAAGGACAGAGGTTTGCAGCTCTATCTTGTGGTCTTTATGCGCTTCACGATGTTCGTCCCTACATGCACTAAAATTGGCATGTTCTGCCGAAACGCCTCCAATGCACAACTAACAACTCCGTCTCATGCCCAACATGATTTTAATACGTCGTCAAACTCTTGACTGGTCACTCCGTGTGGGTGTCAAGTACGCGGTTTGCGAACGACGACGGTGAACATATTGTCGTGATCTTCGTCGTACGGCTGCACGTCTACTGCCTGATTCTGATTCAACATGCTGTGTTGCAGGTCCAGACCAGCTCTACGACAAAGCTCTGCTACGATAGGATCGCAATCGCCGAGCAGGTTGATATCGAATTCGATGTGCTTAACGGGTTCGCGCGAAATCAAGATGTGGGGTATCTCGTGCGGAATGTAGTTTGGTATGTCAGACACGGGGGCAACCTTCATGGAGGTACCTATAACGATGACGAGGTCCACTGGGCCGTAAGGCTCATTATTGAGATCAGATCGCTTCTGCCTTTGGTGCTCATCAGAATGTTCGATGATCCTACCGTTCTTTGAATCGATTTCTGGTCGATCTAAGCTTATGCGTTGGAAGAAGATATCAGGGAGCTGTTCGCCGAAAAATGTGATATCTGGCTTCATGACGCCCGGCTCGGGAATGTCGTATTGACCGTCGCTCTCAGAATCCGAATCAAGTGCGTATCTCTTCTTCGGTTTGGTTTGACCATTGGGACGTCTCTTTCGCTTCGCGGCGCTGGCTAGAGCCAAATTGTTCTGGCATTCTTGACATCTGGCAATGCGCTTCAACCGGACGTCTCCGAAAATTTCCTCACCCTTTACTTTGTGTCCACACTTCCTGCAAGATGCAGTTGCCCATGAGCCGTGGCATTGTATCAACCTCGAAGGCTCGATGTTTGCGTAACTCTCGATATTGTCTATGTTTTGCGTATAGTTGGTGAGGAGCTTGTGGTGCTTCTGCAGGAGCGCTACAAATGCATGGGTGGGTGAAGTATACCCTAGAGTCGGAAGTATGCCGCCAGCCACGTTATAAAACTTCGAGGGATTTGTGTCGAAGTCATCTAGATCAAATACTTCTTCTGGCTCGTAGTATCCTTGCTCTTTAAGCAGTTCATAGAAGCCTGTTGTTTTGGAACGAAAATCTGGTATACCCAGACTGGTAGAAATACCCGCGCCCGTGATGACTATGATGTTTTTTTTCTCCCTCAATAGATTAGCAGCATGGTCTATGGTCTTATATTGTGGCAGCGCCCGTCGTCGCCCTAGCTCCCGCTGGATTAGATGACCCAAGGACCGGAAGTAGTTGTCCGCAGTTCTTTTGTTGTATGGCAAATCGAAGGCAAATGCAGTACATAATTTCTTGACAGTCATCTTGGTCGTGAACAACGTCTCATATATGCTGTAGTAAGGGAGCTTGTAAGCCTGAGGAACATACATCATAGCGTAGCAAGTTTTACTGGGTTACTTACAACTGTTTGTGGCCGACCTTTCTGAGCCGCATCCTTAATGCATGAGCTTCACTGGCTGTGCATGTTTCGTCATTAGGCTCTAATTGAATAAAGTTAGCAACGCAACGAATCATTCTGTGCGAACAATGAGCTCTTGGAAATCGGGATTGTACCACTTGCGAATGGCCATGCATCATCGCTGTCGTGGATCTTCTGAACGAAATCATCCTCAGAGCCAGTATCTGGATTCAAGTTAGGGAGCCTAGCTATACACGTAGGACTCGAACGACTGACCTGAGAATGTGTCCTCTTCGTCGTCGGACTCGGCCTCATGTTCCTTCTGAGCAGCGATGGTCGCAGAATCAGGTGCGGTAGTAACCTCTACGTCAGTTCGGCTTCCAGCTACCGAGGGAGCCATAGTCGCTGGCATAGTGGGCCCAGCGAGAATGTGATCAGTGGGAGTGTCGCTGTGGATAAGACCTGTTCATGATGGTCTTCGTTAAATCGCATATGCAGGGACCTCGGGATGTCTCACTCACCCCTTAGGCGCTAGTCAAGATAATGGATACTGCACCTGCAGGGCCGGACCGCTTGTGGAGCCAGCGCTGAGCTTCTAGAAAGCATTCCGGTCAACATTCTTTTTTCCGTGGCTGTGCTATCAACAGAGACACAGTTATATCTTATATCCGTCGCTCAGTGTAACCAAGATATTGAGACGGGAAGATGCTACATCTTCTTACCCTCTCAGCCTAACTGAGACTGCCCTTTGACCGCGAAAGAAGCAATGGGCTCTCTTCTTCTTCTTAGCCATCAGGCTTCAGACACGTCCCGGCATGTTGCAAACCTTCCTGGGGAATTGACAAACATGTAAATCTCTGAGTATAACATACAACACAGCTCTGCCATACCATCATAGGATTCCGACGTAGCACCTTGTACGCTGTCCACTTGCGACTCAAAGCTAAGCATTGGGAGAGCGGCTTGCGGTCCAGTGCTAAGGTCCCACAGGACTGAGAGCAGCTTTGAATGATAATGTATCGCCGAACTTCGTCGGACCTCGCTCAAGGGAAGAAGACGACCGTCGTCGGTGGCCATTCATGATGACCAACAACACACGATTTCGTCTATGCCCTTCACGAAGGGGTATACATGGTAGAGTGACTAGCTAAAGCAGTCTAGGCAATTCCTCATTACGGTCGTAGATTCGCTTGTGAACAGCCTACAACTATAACCTTGAAACATCGGTTCACGGACACTACTAAGAACTACGCGATCTAGTCTTCTGGTGGCAAGGCGGCGGCGGCATAGTTGTTGGTGTATATCTGCCATACCAACCAAGATACAGATGTGGAAATTAGCATAGGAAGTCCTTTTATGATACGAAGCTAACAGCCAGCAGCGGCGGCGAAAAAGCTTGATGTATCGATCTTACTGTTTGCATTCATACAAGGCCGTGTTTGCGAAAAACGAGTGTATGACGCCGCCATCACTAGACACCAGCTTCACCAAGAGATAGAATGGCTATCTCCAATTAGCACCCGTTCGACAAAACGGACAAGAGTAGGTAATGGTGAACGGATAAAGGGTGACTTGGGCGCGAGCTCCTTGAGCCTCGCGTGCTAAATGCAGGCGATGTCGCAACCTTGCCAAAGCTAGCACACGGTCTCAATCTGTCTCTATCTGACAGCGATGTGCACATAATAGCTGCTAGGACGAGGCCAAACCAATTACGACTCTGACTCTATTGCTTCAACAGCTCGTTCAAGTATGCTTTAGGTTTATACGTGCCAGTGCCAGTGCCAGGTTGACGCGCGTGGCGGCATCACGAAGGACTCTCCACATATCTCCAGACATCTCCATGAAACCATCTCCGCTATTAGAGCGCGGGGCGCTTTCCAGACCTGGCTGCACCGTTCCGCAACGTGCAGCGTGTGCTGTGCAGCGTGTGCTGTGCAGCTCAATGCCTGGTCGGGGCAATCCGATAACTTAAAGCTTTCAGGAGGTGCGTCCACGGTCGATCTATCGCAAGGGGGATTATTTGCCTTTTGGCGGCCTCGGTAGCGAGACTTCACCTGCTGCAGCTGCAGCTGCATCCAACGGCGCTGTGAAAGGAGGAGCCGTATCGGAGTAATAAGTTGACTTTTCCTTTGCAGATTACAATGGTCGCCTTATCATAATTACACTTATAGCGAGTAGTCACTGCAACAAAGATTCTGTTGGGCACTAGAGCAGCGAAAAAAGGCCCGGCAATACCTTAGGCATCACTACTGAGGTACCTAGAGGGTGTGGTGGAGATGGCGAAAAGGTGATTCTGTGATGAATTTCCCTTTCGGCGTTGACTCGCGTAATCAGCCCTGTCTAGGAGGCTTGATTAAGCCCCTAAGCCCCGTCTGTTTTGCCGAATGCAGCTCTGGATGGTGGCCCCGACCTCCAGCCTCCAGTCTCCGCAGCCCCAAAGCCCACAGCAGCCCAGCTCAGGGCCCCAGGCTCACATCCGGCCGCTTGGGAGGAAGCCGAGGACACTGTACTATTAGGCAGGCTGGCAGTTTTATTAGGTTCAAGCGTATGTACAATTTCACCGCTTTGATACGAGCTCACGCTCCAGCTTCGGTAACCAGGGTGTTAAATGAAGCAAAGCTCACGGTGTTTCATCTGGCCGAGCTTTATGCTCCACTGGACCGTTGCAAAGAGATTTCCCACACGTGCCATTGCTGACGAGTGACAGCAAAATCGACGAGCCATGTTCAGGAGCATGCTGATGCTTTTTGTTAATGTATCGGTTGTTGAGGCTGTGCGTTTCCCCTGTTGTCGCACGCATTGCGCGTCAGGAAGTCAAGCCGCCACGACCCCTCCCCCCGGCCGGCTGTTCCGCGAGTGTGTTCGATCAATGTTGCACAGCAGCATGACAAACAGCAACCGAAAGTTTTGCATAATCTTGCCACACTCTGCACCAAGACGATACGTATTCCTACGTCAAGCCTAATGAAGATCTCCGCCGGCGTCCGCGAACCATTTCGAGCTCCTCAAAGCACGCCAGAGCAAAGGGGGCGGTTGAAGGAGGGAGGCGAGAACGGCAGGTCCCACGAAATATGACTTGTGCGGGGGACTTGCAGCGAGATTAGACGCTGATACAACGATTGGCGGCGCGCGAATGGGAAGACTCAGAAGAGACGACAATAACGGGAGTGATTGGCTGGATCACAGGAGAGACAGTCGATAGTGGAGATATTTTAGGGGGGGGGAAGGGGGGGGGAGGGATAGGGGGGTGTGAAGACTAAGAGTGGGACGGCTATACACCAGACCCAGTGTCAGCTAGCACAGTCATTAGCGTGCGGCGGCTCTAGTACCTGGGCGCCTTCACGCCGACTGGAACTGGTTTGGCGCAATCAGCAAATCTTGCTAGGTTGCTCTCGAGACCAACTGCTCGAGCGTTCCTCGGTACCTCTTGGGTGCTGGAGCCTGTGGTATAAGAAACCCCCAGCTCCAGCCGTTCTCTTCTGTTTGTCCAAGAGTTATCATTACACACCCTCGTTCAACTCCAACTCCATATCCACCTGCTATACCAATCCAACTTTCGTCAGCCAACACTCCAACTTTCGTCAATCAACCGCCATCCATCAAAATGCAGTTCAAACTTGCCTTCGTTGCTTTCGCCGCCTGCGTTGCCGCTGTCAACGTCCAGCGTGCTATCGACCCGTACGCATCTGCCCTCTCTCTCCCAAATCAATTTGACTCGCATACTGACTCGGTACACAGAGCCGTTCTCAACGAGCTGTCCCACGCCATCCCCAAGCAGCTCCTCGAGCGTGCTGTCTCCGACCCATCCGCCCTTGAGGCCGAGTTCGCCAACGGCAACCTTCCTCGCTGGTACCAGGAGCTCCCAGCTGATGCTAAGAGGTCTCTCAAGGACCTCGGTGCTAAGATCGTTGTCCGCCACGATGCTGCCTCTTCCGCCTCTGGATCCCCATCAGGCTCTGGTTCATCCGTGATCCCCTCTGGCACTCCCACTGGCGGCTCACCAACTGGTGGTGCCCCTACCACCACTGGCGGCAGCGGTGCTCCTACCTCCACTGGTGGCGCCTCGTCCAACATGGTTGGTGCTGGTGTTGCTGGTCTCGCTGCACTCGTCGGTATGGTCGCTTTGTAAGCAGTTTCATGGACGGCGTTGCTCTAACCGAGCATTTGTATGTATTGGCTATTGCGTGGTCTTTGGACGTCACGTGTGGACGGCATATAGCAGGTCTTGCATAATATATGGGTCATGGTGTGAATGGATAGAGGTTTATTAATATGTTAATGATACTCCAGTGACCATGAGCACTATTCTTTGCAATCTACATCTTGCGCCTAACCCTTAATCTACACAGGTCAATTGAAACACCGTGCTTGGTTCCAAATAATGCGCCCTACCTAGTTGCCACGAGTATGTGTGGGTACAATGGCGCCCAAGGCTCCTACCTTGTTGAGGCATTCAGTTCCAATGCTCGTAGGCGCAATGTGGTAAAAACTATCGGGTACTACAGGGAAATCATCGGACTCGCCCAGCACCGAGCCACGTATAATTGCCGTGTCAGTTGAATGTTTGCTCCTGCAAGTAGTTATTTCGACACGAATATCTCTATCGAAAAATGAAAGGTTTGGTTGTGTCCGCATGGATTTGCAGTTGTGTATCTCGCACGGTCGCTAAATGTTTGACGCTCCTGACCTGCAGTAGCGGCAGACCAAGCCAACGTCATGGGAATTGTATCCATTCATCGTCGTCATCGTGGAGCTGCGCAGGACTCGCGCTGGAACAATGCACATTGATGTCTACTTTTCACATAACCTAGGTAGCATCCATCAGACTCGCCACAGCTTCAGTGGGCTGTGACATAATACCGTCGTCATTGCGTCCCATCCGCATTCGGTAAAACCTGGAGGCGTGGCCTTTCGGTAGGAGCAAGCTCTCGTACAAGAATGTCGTTTCGCGCATCACGCTCAATGGCCTCTGCTACTTCAAGATTATCGTCATTATCGTTCCAACTGACAGCTCAGCCCTCTGCGCGAACTTTCGGTCACCAACAAGTTAGAATGGCAGGTCAATATACACAGCTCAAGCTCAACACTGGTGCTACAATTCCGGCCGTTGGCTTTGGGACTTGGCAAGATAAGGAAGCCCAGGAACCAGCTGTTATCGCTGCCCTCCAAGCAGGATATCGTCACATCGACACCGCCCGCATGTGAGTGTGGCATATCTGTGCTGTCATCGTCGTCACTGATATCACTCAAGCTACGGCACGGAAGGAGCCGTTGGCAACGCTATCAAGCACTCTGGTGTTCCTCGCTCGGAGATATTCCTCACCACTAAGTTATGGAACAACAAGCACCACCCGGATGATGTGGAAGGAGCTCTTGACGCATCGCTCAAGGACCTCGGCACAGACTACGTGGATCTGTATCTGATGCATTGGCCTAGTGCCTTTGCTCGTAGTGAGAAATCATTTCCCAAGGAATCAGATGGCAAGACCAACGCGATCGCTGACATTGACTACGTTGATACATACAAGGCCATGGAGAAGCTTCTCCAAACTGGGAAGACAAAGGCCATTGGAGTTAGCAACTTCTCCCAAGCAGAAATGGAGCGACTGCTCAAGGAGACAAGTGTCGTCCCTGCAGCTCATCAGATGGAGATGCATCCATGGTTACAACAAAAGACTTTCGCGGACTGGCACAAATCGAAGGGCATCCACATCACCCACTACAGCCCCTTCGGAAACCAAAACGAAATATATGACAGCGGTAAAAACATTAGCAAGCTGATGGATGATCCCGTATTGGTCGAGATTGGAAAGGCACACGGTAAGACTGGCGCACAGGTTGCTCTAGCTTGGGGAGTCACGAAGGGCCACTCTGTCATACCAAAGAGTAAGACGGAGTCTCGCATCAAATCTAATCTTGAGGGAGATTTCAAGTTGAGTACTGATGATCTAGAAAAGATCGATGGGATCGACAAGAAATTGAGATTCAACGATGCAAGCTCTGGGTTCCGCTATGAGTTCTTCTCGGATCTTGACGGGAAGAAGCGGTAACTCGGATGCACCGATTTAATGTGTAGGAAATGTGAGAGGAGATGCTAGAATATGTGGGGAGATCGTAAGATTAGAGCTGAAGTGTAGCGGGATGTAAGAATATGTAGAAATAACGTAGGTGCATGTATGTTGCCATTCTATCATGCACGCAGAGACTTGATGCTGTACTATTTCAGATCTCAAATATTATGTCCGTGCATCGGGCGCGCATCGGCAAGCCGAAATTTGCGTGTGCTTAAACTTCGATTTTTTCCAGCTCTCACATTCTTTCTTTCCACACGCCAACATCGAGGGACAATTCTTTCCACCGCACGCACTCCAGTTTCCTTATTTTTTCTTGTAAGTACTCTCACATCTTTTACTTCCCTTAGATGATGACCATTACATGAACAATCCAAAGCCTACAGCATCATGAAGGACCTTCTATCTCTAGAATTACCCTGATCGTGGTTACGAGTTGTGCTCAACTTACAAGACAATCTTCAATTATTATAACTGACTAATGAACAGATAGACATCTCCAAGACATGATATCACTCACTGGCCATGACTCTTCAATTCAATAAAAGGTCAGTCGGAAATAATTCTTTTCTTGCACCCGTTGAAGTGATGACATCGAGACTCGGAAAGGCATTCCTCGACCTGAAGATAATATGTTGATCCAGTCGCAATTAGTTTCAGCCTTGTCTGATCTTTTTTTAACCCACCCTGCATTGCTGAAGATCACTGCTTGCAAACTTGAATCTGACAGCTCTTCTCTAGGTACACCTCATCTTCACCCCCAACAAATATCGTTACGCATCCATATGAGGAATTCTTGACGAACGGGCGGACATATTGTGCATACCTTGATCGGCATCTATCAAAACCAAGGCGTACAAACCTTGCAGCTGTCAGGATGGGATATGCTTGTTGAGAACTCGTCACCTGATTGATGCAATGTGTCGACGACCTGTGTCTTGAGAATACAAGAGCATATCATGCTAATTCAGATTCTCACAGGTATAATCTCCCTACTCGTTGCGTGTACCACGTTGGGCGTCACCTTTATGATGATTCTTCTATTCACACTGTTTGATCGAGCAATTCTGTAACGAGAATTTCTTGAACTGATAGTTAAAACACTGAAAATTCTGATTTAATGAGGTATGTGCGGAATTCGCGGGTGCAATGATACATGCTAATAGTGGCAGCCTGATATATCCTTGACGGTCCCCCGACTGATCTGCTTACGATATTCGTGAAAGACAATGGCTAATATTTTGCATGTTGTCAGGTAACGTCGATCACCAACCATAAATGTGATACATCTTCGTAAGTCGCTACCAGAACTCTTTCCTCCGGCACCTGATGAGCAAAATATTCGCTGTGTTCTTTCTGAACAACCTTGAAGAGCAAAATATACTTAATAATTCACTTTGGAGAACTGATTGTATATTTTTACTTGTTCCGATTTCAGCAATACGATCTTGTGCATCCTGCTGACTTGAATGTAGAATGCTCCTTGGAAACCGTTACAAACGAAACTGCTGTAGAACGCCGTATGCACAATTAAACAGCTATGAATAATAATATACATAACTTTACAAGTGTCTTTTATCGAAATCATGATATGTTAGTGCAAGAGCCTCATGTGTCCTTGCCTCTGCTGCATTGAGGTAAAGTCTCTCTAGTGACACGCAGAGACGACTTCCAGCCTTTCGATACTGCACGCTGCGATCCCATAGCGGGCCACTACTATAGTCATATGGAGTATAACCCAGGCCTAGACGATGATTATAATGTCAATATACAAGCCGTGCAAGCGGGTCCGCAATCGTAATTTGCCAGTCAAAGCACCCACAGAAGCACATTCTTCAACTCACTAACTCCTCCACCACCATGATACCCAGAGATGGACTGCCCTCATACCCCTTGCCCCTTCCACACACCCTTCCCCTCCCTACACACTGCACGCACGCACTCTCAAACAAAACTCCCAGCTCTCTAACTATGGCACAAATAACCTGTCCAAAAACCAGCTCTCCAAGACACAGCACCTCGCTCTCTCCTCACCTCACTCCCACCCAAATCATACACCCCGTACACACCTTATACACGCAGCCTTTGCCCATGTCAGCTTCTTCATCTCGCTCTACGTCTACCCCTTTTTCATTGTTCTGTTTTTCATTCTCCGCGTCTCTTTCGCCTCTCTTCTAGAGCTGTCTGATCCGGTCTGACCTGATCTGGTTCTACGTTCGAGAAGATGTTTTCCTCAGTCGCGGATCCCCACGTCCAGAAGGGGAGGGAGGAAGGGAGGGAGGAGCGGGCTAGAGGGCGTGCGGTGTTTGGTGTGGTGTGCAGAACGGAGAAGGAGATGGAGAGGGAGAGGGAGAGGGAGAGGGAGAGGGAGAGGGAGAGAGAGAGGAACATACGCGGGACTGGGAAGCCACTTAGTAGGATGTGTAGTTGGAGATGTAGCTGGAGAAGCTTTGTGTGTATGTGTGTATATGTAGTAGAGCTAGCTAGCTAGCTAGCTGTCTGTCTGTCTGTGTGGCATTCCATGGGGATGTACTATGTACTATCTGGACAGGTATGTATGTAGATAGATATTCCCATACGCCATACACGCAAACACGCAAACACGCAAAGACTCATACACACATACATGCACGCAGTGTACTCTATCTATCCATAGTACCATGATAGCCCTTCTTGAAACGCCAACTCAGCAGTTGCAAAAAGACCCCAAAACGTATCTCAAACATTGTATCATGTTCAATATGCGTTCGGTGCGGGAAATTTCCGACTGTATACCCACCCATGGTCGTGCTGGAAGGAACGTTGAACAATATGCCTGGGGACATTGGGATGGTGGGTACGTACCGAGAATCGACCACCACGACGAACTGTAACAGTAGTACCTCGGAGCACGTAATAGGCGGCGCTGTGCAATGCTGTTTATACACTCACGTCAGGCATTCACACGAATTGTACTAACAATGTCTAGACAAATATGAGATTCGGCAAGGGGGTAAGAAATAGGTTCTTGCGAAATTGAAGACATATTGACACGTTCCCGTTCATCCGTAGATGCTTTTGATTTACATGATTTTCGCAATCCCTCTAGCATGGGCTTCTCTGATTCTTGTGCTATGCTGCACTCCGAGCTAATACGAATGCTGTTCAGTGTTCGTATGATCATTGCTCGAACTTGGCAAAGCTCCGCATGTATCCTTCTGCGCCTCTTTACATCTAGTAAACCTTCTTTTTCTCGTCCACACTGAATTGACCGGGTCCCATATTCACGAGGAGAAGAAGACCGCCCCTAACAGAGTTAAATTCGCCAATTGATCGTGGTACTGAGGATCACTTACACGATAGACAGGATCTGGAAAAAATCGTACTTCGCAAAGTCCTTGTGGGGGTGATGTGGGTGAAGCTGATATACAGATTAGCGCGCAGCCCAACTTCATAGGTTTTGATGACTCACGGTCCAGAAGTTGTTCACAATCAGGTTGAAGATGCTAAGGATCAAAACCAGCATGATCGCGCTCCATTTCGCCTTGAAACCGACCACAACCATGACACAGGCAACAAAACCAAGAAGGCTCACGGTAATTCGCCAGATGCTCCAATCACCTCGGAACACAAAGCCAATGAAGAGGAAGATCAGAAGGACACGTCCAGCGAGCTGGAAGTACATCTTGCGGTCCTTTTCGTCGAGCGTAGGAAGACCGGCCGGGGCAAATCGCTTGCGCACCCAGGAGTCGGAGAGCACCATGAGAAGACCGCCCATCACCGACAGGTTTCGTAGAAAGAAATTTAGGTCGAACACGAGACCGTAGCCGATGCCTTGGAGGATCACCACACCAATCAAACCTCCGACCGCGTATTCCGAGTATTTTCTTCCAATGATGAGGATCGAGCAAGATGTCATTGCGATAACGTTTATGATGAGGAACAAGTGTGTAACGCCGGACCAGACTGTTACAATCTGTTAGCTGACCGTAAGCTTTGTTGCACGTCAATTCGTACTCTTTCGGTAGTCTTTCAAGTAAATCAGTTGGTCGTTCCATTGCGTGATGATGCGCAGAGCATCTTCTAAGAATGTTACTACAATCAGGAATCGGCCAATTGCTGGCAGGTATCTGGATGCCGAGAGCGTGTCAGCATATGTCCTGTCTAGATCTCGTCGCGAGCTGTTCACGAGACAATAGAGCTGTGTGCTACTCACGGTTTGATGGGATCCGAGAAAGTGTCTAGCCAGTCTTCAATCTTGCTGGTCTGCTCGCGAATAGCAGCCAGCGGGCTGGGGTCGTCGGTTGCGTCAGTCCTGCTTGGTCCACCGAACGGACTCTGATTGCCCAGGTGATAGCCTGCGGTGCCCCGTATTTGCGCCATGGTCTTGGAGTAGATGCTGATGAGCGGAGGAGGAAAGTGAAAAGGCAAAATGGAGTGTTAGTTGACAGTGCGGGCTTAAACACTGGCGGGGTTTTAAGATGCTGGGAAGAGGACACGGGGAAGATGGATGGATGGGTTCCTGTAGCTAGCTAACGACCGGAGAGCAGTAACCGCCGCGCACCCAACGCTCTGCAGGGCACCGGGGAAATCCATCGACCGCGGCTTGGAACAACAATGATGATACTCCTACACCGCACTATGGACCAATGTCAACACATAGTTTCCCCAGCTCGTTCAGATAGAACCAACATCTCTGTTGATGCATCTGCTGTATAGGCATAATCTATCTTGTGCGCAAGCCACACTAATCATCGGTGTTTAGCGCATCCAGCCACACTCACTATTGGCTCGTTCCCAATCATGTAGTTCCTCCGAAACACCTATTTTTATAATCATCAGTGGAGCATTTGTTATGGGATTACCCTTTTGAAATAAACAGATGCAACGTATATTCCCGGAAATCTGAGTCGTGTTTAAGATGATACCCGGCTCGAGTGATGATCCGTAGATGATGTCACACTTGATCCCCGGCCAAATTGCCAGATCATCAGGTCACAGGTGTTACTCAAACAGAAAGGTTGCATAGTATGTGTGCAAGCATTTTGGTGACAATTTTTATGATACAAGGGAATATCAGGAGTCAGAAGGCAATAGACCCATTCATGTTTGACAACCTATGTGCCGACCTCCTCAACCATGAAGCATCATGCGAGAGCTGTCCCGCTCCGTGTTGGATGCTTGTCTGTGCACGCAAAATTCGCATTTATCCTCCCATGCAGATGATTAGGGCGCACCAGACGAACATAATTGATAAATTTGCTGTACAAGAAAGGCCCTGAATCCATTGATAGGATGATCGCGCTTGCGTAAAAGACCGTGGTGACATTCAGCTATCGCCAATGACGAACTGAATCTGCTGTCGTATATGGAGCCAAGTGATAAGACCACAAGATCTTTGTCATAGCTTGCAGTATCGCCGAGAGAGAGATCAGAATGTCTCACACAACGGCCCAGTCAGACTCGTCGGCGTTGCTCACAACGTCATATATAGAGGGCCCGCCAATTGGCTCTGCATTACGAGTAAAGGTCTGCATCGGTACTACAGTCTCCTTCTTGTCTGTCTTCTCCTCTGCGTTGCCAGTGTCACTCACGTTGTCCTCCGCGGTCGTATCGCTACCTGTCGTCTTCTTCCTTGGACGTCGGTTCGGCACTGTATTCCATCCGGAATCTTCCATGGCCATTCTGACTTGTTCATCTTCAGAGAGGAATTCGCCCAGGTTCTTCCCAGTAGTGTTGGTAGATGCGTTACTGTTTGGTGCATTGCTAGAGCTCGCCGTAGACGCCGCGTCATTCTCGAACGTATCGAGCATTGGAGCGTCACTAGAGCTAGCAGTGATGTTGCTAGCGGTGCTACGAGTCCAGGCACTACTTTGAGCTTTGGCTGTCTGTACACCATTCTTAGCAGGCTCTCCCCTGTTCTCACGGGCGGTGCGGAGCTGCTTCTCCAACAAGATTCGGCGGTCTTTCTCGTCTTGCTCTTTCTGTAGTCGCTTCTCTTCAGCCTTGCGACGGTTCTGGCGTTGCTTCTTGCTCTCCTGCGCTGGTGGAGCTTGCTTTGGTTGCTGCTGCTTTTTGGAAGGAGCTGGATTAATCGGCTCCGTGATACGGAGAGACGACGGTCCTGGAACACTAGCTGGAAGCATGTCGGATACATCCTTGCCACTAGGCATATAGTCTACAATGGACGTGTTACCAGTGTCGCCATTTGACTTAGAGGTCAATGGAGTCGCGTTTGCAGCGTTCTGCTTCACAGTCTTACTGCGACCATCCTTGCGCTCAGGCGCCTTTAGTGAAGTTCCGGTCTTGAGACCAGCAAGTCTTTCCGCCCAGTCGTTATCGTCGGTTTCATCCTTGGTATCATCAGTTGAGGTATGTGTTGGAACTTCGAACGGCTTCGGGTCAGTCTTTGTGGATTCTTGGGTCTTGCGACCTTTCTTCTCCTTTTCTTTTGGCTTGAACTTTGACTTGGTAATGGAGGCCGAAGCTTCGGAAACTACATCCTTCACAGGCTCCAAGGCTGCAGTGACAGTAAAAACCTGCTCTTTGCGTTTTGATTTGCCTTCACCGCGCTGCCGGCTAGACTTAGAGGCCACAATGTCTTGTGAGTCGGTGGCAGGTGTGCCAGTACGCTTCAGTATCTTGTCCTTGTTGGTGAAGATATAGTAAGCAGTACCAAAACCTAACAAGAGGCCCCAGCTCTGCCACGGCTCCATGATGTTGATCGGTCGGGTTATTTGTGAGAATCGCGGATCAGAAAGGGGTTTATGTAATTTGCTGTTGGAAGACGGCAGCCGCGTATTCTAGCACCTGTGGTACTACTCTTGCTTGAGAATCAGAATGGAGCTTGCACTACTTTGGTTGGGTTTGATCGCACGAGGTTTCGAAGTGGATAGTGTTACAGAATAGGGCGAGTTAGACGATATTAGGTGTAACGGAAAGGCTTCAGACTCGGTCTGCGGTGCAATGACGTCGCTTGGAGCGATATGAAATAAAGATAGGACGACAGCAGCAGGCCAGAGAGCAATGAACAGTAGATAAGAGAAATCGGGCGGAGTTGCGTGATGGACGTTCTGAAGCTGATCCAGAGTTGCGCTGAGCTTGTCTTGAATCCCCGGAACCTGAGCTACCTGATGGTGGCTTGCAATTTCCAAGCAATGAGGAGCTCAATTGCAGTGAAAGCAATGGCTAGACGAGGATACAGTGCGCGCAGAGAACGGAGAGGCAGGGTGAGGCCAGCAATTGGAAAAGGAGACGTAGAAGCTGAAGGACACGAGGGAGAGAGGCGAGATCTAATCGGAAGGTGGTCATTACTAGCGAGTCGGGTCCATGTCCCACCCCCCCAAGAGCTTGGAGAGCTGGGCAGGCTGGCTAGGTTAGTTGCCGATATTGGGACAGCTTACGTCCGCGTTTCTGACCACCCACCTTTTGCTATGTGTGCTTCAAGAACTTTAGATCACTTGTATAATTAGTCTACAAATTGGACGCGGCATGTACATCCCGAATGCTATGGGATCGCGGGGATCGATCTCCGAGGTGCTCAATGTTCGTCTGAGCTGCTCCCGTCGCAAATCTAAGGGACAATTCCAGATACACGCATAGTGCACGGCATGGAAACTTCTGGCTCCATCCAAGGTTATATTCTACTGCGTTTGAAATCATAGAAATTACAAGCAATGTGGAAACAATCTCAACCCAAAGAGGTGGTGTCAAGCCTGAAGATAGTCATGACAGACAGGGGGTCTGCTGAGGCCACGCAGCCCTTACACTGACATACACATTATATACAATCAGTACCTAGGTACCTTGCCTCAAACACAATACCGTCTTCTTTCAGTGTTTCACTTTTTGAATAATTCCACTCAAGGCCAGATCATCTGTGCTACCATTATGGTTGTCTAAGAGCCGCCCAGCTCGTCAAATATTTGTAATATATGGAACATGCGGCTCTACAATTCATTGCGTTACTATGTTATTCACTCTACTTGGTCTAAGCAGCGAGAGCGAACATTTTGAGGTACTTAATTACAAAGGGGCGAGCATCATTGTTCATAATAAGATTCGACTCGGGTGTCTTCATGCCGCAAGCCAGGCCGCGTGGGTCAAATGAGTTTTGGACTGTTCGCTTCGAGACAGAAGGACAGCATTGAGGGGAGTGCTCTTAGGGACTTATAATAATACTTTCCAGTGAATACAATACTGAAGAATTTCGTTGAGAATTCGTTTGTTTAGTGTACAGAGAAGAGCAAACAGCGTCTGTAGATGCCTGGATATCAAGGCATAAAGCCGCACTTTCCTCGTTTCAGACAAGATCATTCCTCCCATGATTGCGCGCGCCAGGGAGCGAACAATCCGTTAAAGCTATCAACCTTCATCTCCCAACGGCCAACGCGACACCATTTCGCAATTCACACCGCGCGTCGCGGCCATAACTACACACTCTTTATGCTGCAGCTTCCTCTGATCGTTCATTCTATCGCATTGCGCACGCGCGACACTTCATCCACGGCTCGAATTCTCACCACACAAACAACGCGTTCTCCGGGGTCCTGGTTTAAATAATCGCTGTCTTAGCAGCTTTTTCCGAAGATGATGGCAACGACCGAGAAGCACCCACCGCAGGCGTTCATGTCAAGTTATGCGCCGCGTTTGCGCCAGTACGGAAACTCCCTCTTGACTCCAGTCATTCCTCAGGCCACAGCTCTACCTACAACAAGGACGACTAAAAGAGGAACAACCTTGATAAATTACGCTGAAGATGGATACGATGAAGATTTTGACGACAGCGAGGGCCATCGACGACCGACAGGTCTCCGCAGTCTGAGACGCGACGAGACTCAACAGAACCCCGTTGCGCATATAGCGCAACTTGGTAAAGAACTTACTGCGCCGGTCGATGTGCAAGGCATATGGAGGGACTGGATGGGAAAGCCAAAGCGTGGCGTGTGAGTTCTAGATTCTCCTGGGAATGTCCTGAGATTAACATTGTGCTTCAGACGGACAGAAAAGCAGCTTCAAATACAGTCCATGTTACCATTGACACTGATTCCAATTACGATTAATCTTAACATCCAATCTTTCCGCCCAGATCCCGCTCTACCAACGCCACATAATGCGAAAGACTTTGGAATTGATGAGAGCCTTCCTGCATACAAGTATCCGGAGCCTACCCCTCAGTACCGTTTGAAGGACACTTTTTTATGGAACCTACACGAGGCTTTGATGACTCCGGATCAGTTTGCGAAAGTTTTCGTGGATGAAATGGACTTTCCGGCCGACAGAAAGCTTGCTCTAGTCATGCAAATATCACAGCAGATCAGGCAACAGCTAGAGGAGTACGCGGGTGTCGCTCTACATCCCTTGTTTCACTCAACGACTGCGACTGCGACCGACGGTACCGCTGTCAAGCAAATACTTCCTGCTCATGCGCGGGCTGATTCATCTGCGCCTGCGTCTGCAAGAGGTGGTACACCTCTCACAAACGGATTCAAAGACGCTTCAGGAACTCAGACACCCTCGGTAGCTCCCGCCTCAGCGGATGTCACATTGACGGCAAATGCAATACCAGAAGAAGACATACACAGCCCTGACGATAGCTACCGCTGCATTATCCACTTAACCATCAACCTTCAGAATCGTCTCTACACGGATAAATTTGAATGGTCCCTGCTCCATCCACCCGGCTTCGCGGAAATTTTTGCGAAGCAAACGTGCGCAGACTTGGGGTTAGCAGGAGAATGGATACCAGAAATGACCCACGCGATCTACGAGGCTGTTCTGAAACTCAAGAAGGAGGCGTGTATCAATGGTGGTCTGGTAGGATATGGAGAGATTGACAATGACGCCGCGGGCCCAAGCGAAGCCGGCTGGAGATACGACCACGAACATCTCGCAGACGAATGGGAGCCCAAGGTGGAGATTTTGTCCAAAGAAGAGATCGAGCAACGAGAGGCTGACCGGGAACGCGATGCGCGCAGAATGCGCCGGGACACGGCGAGATTCTCCAGTACTGCGAACATGACTGCTGGGGTACCACAAAATGACTTCTTTGCTACTCCGGATGCAAGCGAGACACCGATGGGTCGGGGAGAGCGAAGTAAAAAGAAGAGACGATTCAGAAGTCTTTCCCCCGTAGGCAGAGAGACCCCTGAAGCAGGCTATGGAGGCCAAGGAGGTGGATTACAAGAAGGGGAACGCCAGTACTGGCGATGTGCTCACTGCGCTGTGTGGGGTACTGCTGTTTGGGCTGTCCGTGATGGCCCAAGCGGACCTAGGGTAAGCTCTACACAACATCAGCAGAAGATGATGGCATGCTAATAATATCTAGACCCTGTGTAACAACTGCGGCCTTCTATACGAGCGTGACAAGCAGCTGCCCCCTTGGTCTCACAACCTATACATTCTCGAAACTGCGTTTGGCACGAGAAGAGTTTGAGGCCCCTTTAGTGTAGTCTTTTGTTTTCGTCTTTTGATATGTACAGTACAGCATAGCAAGCATGGCGTTCCGGGCCGGATCCAATTGGGTTGGAATTGTAGGTACAGAAAACCCTTGCTTAGGGAGCCAGCTTCATGGGGCTATATTTCCCATGACCCAGAAAAACACATTTATTACAGGGTTTCATGTTATGAGAAAGTCTTGGTTAGACATCCGGATGGTCTGTTAGATAGCCAAAGAGGACTAGATCCTCTCATATCTTTGAAAATCACATATCATTTGATGCCTCATGCCCTAGCCCTGGTATACCGCTAAAACTGCTGAAGGTCTGAGGATATTGTTCGTTTGAGATGCCCACCGCAAATCGTCCCGTGGAATGTACCCAAAATAAGAAAGCTGCCTACATCAATCTGGTCTACTTGCCAGACCTAAGGCTCCCGTTTCGGACTCTTCGCCCGCTCCGCACCGGCCCAATCCTCCTCCGCACCCCTCTTCCGCTGTCCACTCCCCGCGCCAACAACAGCCTCGATACTTGGTCTCGCGAGCTGTCCTGGATTCGGTCTTTGCTGTACTCCTCCCTGTTGCACAGCGCTGCCTCCTCCAAACACACCGTTCGCAGGACCCGTCAGCGCAATAACATTATTATTCCCGTTCACCGTGACGCCGCAGTTGATAGTGATGTTCAGCGGGCGCGTATCCCGCCGGAGGCCCATATGTGATTGTTGCTGTTGTTGCTGTTGCTGGGCAAGGACACCATGTATCAGAGCGCCCAGCCTCGCCGTCTCGACGCGCGGCATGGCGACGCGGTTTCCGGTGCCGGTGATGGTTGTCGAGGCATTGATGTGGACGGATGTGGAGTCTTCGGAGACTTCGTCGTCGTCATCGTCATCGCCGTCCATGGACTCGAGGTCTGAGTCGTTGATTACTTGTTCTGGGAGGAGGGGTATGGTGTTTGGACGGGCTGGTTGCGTTTGACGGGGGGCGAGGGAAGGCATTTGGACGTTGTGGATGCCTAGACCTGTCGGTTGTATGCCTGAGGGCTGTCTGGAGGGCGTTGGGCGAGCGGTGTATGGTGGTGGTGGTGGCATCTCGGTGTGTCTTGGCTGGTTATGAGACAGTAGGGAGAGGGGGAGTTTGTGGAGGGCGTGGCGGATGGAGGTTGGGTCCATTATTTTTGAAAGCGAGTATGTTTGTGTTTGTGCGGTGAAGGCAAGTGTCAATCTTAGAGGCTTCGCTTTGCTAGGAAGATATGCCGAGTTGACTTGGATCGTGAAGTGTTGAACTATTATGACGAGATGGAGACTGGGTATCAAAAAAGTAGAAAGACTTGATCGACGGTAGATGATGGATAGATAGATGTAAGCAAGTCGCAAGGCCAAAGTCACTGAAGTCTGAAGTATACAAAGACAGAAACAAGAGATTGAAGGCACTTAGACAAGGTTATAAGTAGATGAAAACTATCTAATGTTGAGGATGAAGGACGGCGAACTATGCTCCTATTCACACATGTACTACTTACCCAGCGCATCGGAACGCCTATTGAGGGCTGCTTGCGCAGACGTTAGGGCGACAAAGGACATAGGCACTGCATTGGGGAAAATGCAGAGCCGCAATATCGGATCTGAAAGAAGCGTGCGTGTGAATAGTAGCAGTGGAGCAAAGCCTGCAGAAGCCAAGGTCCGGATGGTCGAAGCTTGCTATTCAGGAAGTTCTATTGTGCCCGTCGCAGTGGTTGACAATAGCAATCCACTCGCAGTAGCGCACGGCGTTTTCAATGGCTGGGACCCCTTGGCTCGGGCATTTGCACGACACAGGACACGCCACTCGTATTATTCCTGAAAGGCGATCAGGCAAAGAACCATAATTCGTGACTCGTGAGAGGCTATTGAAGGTCTGAGGCAGACCCGGCGGATTATAGGCCTTTTACTCAAGTTGGAGAGATTCTACCGCTTAACTTAATTAAATACTCTTACACAACCACGCGGTTGTATCACTCTCCGTATTTGACCCGGCCGCATGTACAAAGGTATGGAATGGCATTGTTACATCGATTCTGCTATTGGAGTGTTGGTGTCTTAGGGCCTTGGAACGGGTGCAACTACCCAGGCTTTAGGGCTTTGACCCTATGAATACCTGAACCCAGCCTCTGGCCTATCGTCATACTGGTGTGTCCTTCTCTTGAGACTACTAGTATTCTCGCCGGCCGTGATGATGATGCCATTTCTCCATTGCGAAGAACTTGGCATGCCAATGGGAACACCGGCACTGAAACCTCCAACTCTCTGTCGCTACTGTACTGCTCTGCCGAGGCCACAGCCACCCGTCCTGTTAACCAACAAGACTCTCGCAGATCCGCCATCGCTGCTTGCGGCTGCTCAGGCGAACCGCCTATCTCATACAGGCATGATGCGTGGCGTATGGAAACCATCTCATCGATGCGGAGTGGTGCTTGGCATGTCGCCCATAAGAACTCAAGCTCGGTCCTGATCCTGCTATCGTGCAGAGGGCTGTTTAACGTCACTTTCTGGTGCTCTATTCGTTTGTGAATATGAAATCCATTCTGCTGGCTGCTGGGCTCGCCAGCTTTGCTACTCTTTCAAATGCACAGGATTGCGCGTCGACTTTGTCTGCCAACTATACTGCCCCAATCTTGGCAGACGGCTACCGCGCCACCTTGATCGCAAATCAACTCGAGACTCCTCGCTCGTTGAAGTTCGATTCGGCCGGACATCTCCTCATGCTGCAACGATCATATGGCATTGTATCTTTCACTTTGACTGGTACGGCGCCGTGTCTCACTGTTTCCAGTACGAAGGATATCCTAGCCAACACTTCAGTAAGCCCCAGCATGTCTCGATATACATATTGAACTTCCATCTCAACGCATAAAACAGGTCAACCACGGACTCGAGTTGTCTCGTGATGGAAGAACTCTGTATGCATCGGATCCAAACGGTGTATACGCCTGGAACTATGATGCTGAGCGGCAAGAACTGACATCTGATGCTCGCCGAGTAGTGACCACGGGCAGCACAGCAGACGGCCATGATACTCGGACACTCCTAATGTCCCGCCAAGTGGACAATATGCTTCTTGTCCATTGGGGATCTCAGGGGAACATAGATCCTCAAGCTCTAAATCGAAGTACCGGTATCAGCTCGATCAAAGCCTTTAATGTCAGCGATCCGAGTGTATCATACGACTATGCCTCTGAAGGGATTCTGATGGGTTGGGGTCTTCGTAATTCAGTTGGCTTCGGTGAAAATCCAGTCACTGGCGGTATCTTCAGTGTGGAAAACAATGTGGATGAGTTAAAGCGTGAAGGCAGAGACATCCACAAGAACAACCCAGCCGAAGAGCTTGTCAGTATTAAAGAGCTACAATAGTTTACTTTACCCACTGATAATCTTCTCAGAACTTTCACGGCTATCTTAACGGCACCGAATATGCGAATCAAGGTGCGAACTTCGGCTATCCATCTTGTTTTCCAGCTTGGGATGCTAGTAGCGTTCCTGGCTATGACGGACTCAAGACTGGTCAACAGTTTGCCATTGGCGACCAGAATGATACCGTCAACGATAATATTTGTCGCGAGGGTACTGTGCCGCCGCAGCTCAGCTTTGCTGCGCATATGGCTCCATTGGACATCAAGTTCAACACCGAAGCAACAGTTGCATGGGTGACGTTCCATGGTAGCTGGAATCGTGACGATCCGCAAGGCTATAAGCTCTCAGCTATTCCTTTTGACAACTCCACCGGTCTGCCACTCGCCGCACCTGACAGCAACGCTGGATATGTTGACATTATGTCGAATCAGGACCTCTCAGAATGCCCGGATGGCTGTTTCAGGCCCGTCAGTCTGGCCTGGAACTCTGAAGGAATGCTCTTCATGACTAGCGATAGCACCGGAGAACTCTATTTGATCTCAACGAGTGACAACACTCCTCTCAACGACGCACCACCACCGACACTGACGAATGGCGGGGAATCTCCACCAACCTCACCTTCGGAGCCTTCTAGCACACCAGGAGCTGCATCTGTTGGCTATGTGCCAGACTCTTGGTTCGTCGGACTGGTTTTCCTAGTCATCTCCTACATCTTGTAGAATAATGTATCATGACAGGTGACGACTCATGACCCATAAATCAAATGACGAAATTCCAGATGCGCATTTTATGTCCACGCATGGACATAGGAAGGCACGATTATTCTGATCATGATAGTTGAAAACACAGCACTTAGTTCACCTGAGCGAGCATTTGTCATGTGTACTGCACAGAGCAATTGTTAATGATTTGGGCGAACTCCCTTGTGCGCCTTCCCCTACCCAGAGAATCAGCTCGCTTGCAACTTTGGAAGTGACATTGTACATTTTTAACACACGGTTTGGCTGCCGTGTCAATTTGGGCTCACTCGCCTGCTGTTCCCTTGCTCCAGTCCCCACATTTGCAAGAGGTCCACCAACATTTGTTACTATCGTACCTTCAAGTGAACAACTGACCTATTGCGCTTGGACCACGATATGATACCGTAACAAGCAGCCACTCTTGCCTGTCCTCATAGCTCAGCCCAAACCACTCGAGGGATCACAGCGCGAGCTTCATCTGCTTCTACTCTCACACACACACACACACTCTCTCTCTCACTTCCCAGTCCGCCTCATTGCATGGTCATATGCTTCGCGATACAGCACAGCCACAGATCTCCAGAATGGCATTCAATATCCTACCGATTGAGGTATGCTGTGTCTGAAGGATTCATGGTTGTAGTAACCCTGCTAATTGAATCAGTTGAATCAAGGGATTGCCTCCTTCATTGCAGACGATAGAGACCTTTGCGCCTTCCGATCGATCTGTTCTGCAACCCGCAATGCCATAGATGGCGATAAGTTCTCGTTTTGGCGATCTAGATTCAGAGAGCATTTCGATCTAGTGAAAGGCGTCGAAGCGGAGAAGCTGAGGAGGAGATATCAGCACCGGATGAGACACATGCGCCATAACGATACTACCAGATTCTCGAAAGGATCTGAAAGACAGAGCAAGTCTCTGCTCAACATTGTCAAAGATCTGATTCTAGGTACGAGAAAGTTCTGTTGTATTGTCACAGATGCATGCATTAACCAGTGCAGAATCCTTCAATGGCGACTCAAAGGATGTTCATGGACGACCCATGAGCAAAAATCTCCAGCACTTACAGAGACTCGCTCTCCATGGTGACATCGTCAAAATGTTTCGTCCTGCCTCAAAGCACCTTCCCATGGACGAGGTGCGTGAGTCGCCTCTCCTGGAAGTACTTCAACTAGTGCTGAGCCACTTGAGTCTGAACTTTCAGATGGACGCACCGGAGGTGCACTGCTTCGAAGCGTCGCAGAAAATGACTTACGCTTCCGTAGAGGCTGAGCCAATCTTCAAGGCAAGTGGTGCAGTGAACTATACTTGGCTTCGACACACAGTGAACTTCTTTAAGTATCATTTCACGCAGTGTGCGGACCGTAACAGCTTGCTACCTCACTTCTTGGCTGACCTCAATGAAGATGAGCTTCCTTCAGCTTGGACTGATAAGCTTGTGGATGAAGTGGTCGCACTTGACAGGTTTTGGAAGGGAACATATGCCTACCAGGATATGTCTGATCTCAGAGAGATGCGAGCAAGTGACGACGGGCTGCAAGGCCAATCTGATGGCCACCTCGCGGATGAAGATATGAAAGACCCTATCCAGACTTTAGCACTTGACTTCGCTCAAGCTGGAGATCGCGACCTCTTCTGGCCAATAGCCTTTGAAGATCATCTGAATGCAGCTTTTCAGACTAAGCGTCAGAAAAGCAGGCGTGCTCAGCTGCGCTCAAATGGCTCCAGATCTGTTCCAAGCATCAATGGCTTGTATTTCCAAGGACGTGGAACAGACGATGAAGAGTTCCTATCGGCAGGCTGGTTGAATCAACTTCCTACTCAGCAAGGCATTCCTGGCTGGAAGCGCATGACGATGATGAAGTATTATCGCTGCGAAGATACGGGTGCAGTCGACGTCGACGCTCTCTGGGCCTACGAAGGCATTGTTCTACCAGGCAACAAGATCATCTTGGGTCGTTGGTGGGCTCCTGGTTCAGATCTGGATGGGCAGTCTTACTCTGGTCCTTTCATTCTGTGGAATGTTGCTCCACCCAAATCCGAGAGAGCAGATTCTGTGATGGAAGGTTAATCGAGAGATAGATTCGCTGCCTCCGTCCAAAGATCCGCCGCCCTTAGCCACGACGCCAGCATTGCCATTAGGTCTCACGATGTACAAATCGTGGCACTACACTCAGCCTAGGTGAGGTATTATGACCCTTGTCTCATCAATCACTCCAACAAACCTCATTGGTCAGCGCGTCTTGCATGTCCTCCATCCACGATACCAAAAAGCCACTGAACACATGCAAACTCAGCATTTGTTTATCATCAGCACATTCCTTACATATCTCCATCATCTACCCAGACTTTCATTCAGCATTGTTTCCGAGCCAGCATGCACTTTTGCACTTCTACAGTCATTCTCACCATCTACTGCATATGACCTCCAGACATCTTGCGAGCTATTCGGACTTCACTTTCACTTCGCTGGATAGAGAAATCAGTCATTTACTTTGGTTTAGTGTTTTTAAAGCAGGTACAAAGGTGTGGGCTATGGCATTTCGTTGGCGGTTTGCATATTGCATGTATCTTCGAGCGAATACTACAGCTATCACGGCGTTAGGACGAGCGTAGTTTGACATTTGTTACTCGACCAGCGTTGGGTACCGAACCGCTACAAAACATTTGCACTTTATCAATAAGGAGGGGTCTTTACAGAAGGGGTCTTTAATACTTCAATACATCTTCGTTATCATTTGAGGGTATATATACCTCCCGTCGTAGGCTCTCTATTATATGCACCGCAGTAAGAACGAGACCACTTTTCGAAGAACCATTGGGTCTCGCTCACAGCTTTTGAAGCCGCTCGGCCAACACAGTTCTAGTATGAGTTGGATCGTATTCCTTGGACGTAAGCCGCTTATATGTCATGTCGGTTCTACAGTCTCTCATTCCTCAAGTTTCTTGACCAGGTCCCACCCACCGCTGAGTCTCTCCTTCCACAGACTGACTCTGTTATCGCCCGTACTAACAGCTAAGATATTTCCGCTTAGACTCCAACTTACACGCCAAGCGACAGCGTCAAAGTTGAGCGTTGTGGACTTCCATTCGCCAAGCGCAGGGTTGGTACTTGTCCATATACGCACTGTCTTATCCTGTGACGCAGACGCAATATAGGATCGCGTAAGAACGGTAGGCGACCACGCGACATCACGAACCCAATCCGTATGACCAGTAAGCGTGCATGTCGAGGTATACGTGTTTTGTTCCGCACTGTCCCCACTATTAGCATCACTCCGCACGTCTCAAGCCTACAGAGACAACATACTTCCACTCCCAAATCTTCACCAAGCAATCGCTTCCTCCCGTCACGAACCTCCTCGCACTGCCCACTACCATCCCACTCGCCCCCGTCAACGCGCCTGGAACCACGGCCGGCGACCAGCTGACACTGTTGACCCCAATCCCATGCGCCGCAAAGACCATCGGGCTCCAGCTATTCTCCTTGAACTCCAGCACACTGACACTCCCATCGCTGCTCGCACACGCAAGCACACAGCCCGCCTCATGCGGCGCCCAAGCAACCAGATTGACACTCGCCGTGTGCAGTCCAAAGTCGTATACGCGCGTCCAGACAGACGCGGACTCGCGCCAGATGAAGACCTTGCCATCATACGAGGCCGAGGCCAGGATGTTGCCGAATTTGGGGTGTGCCCAGGATACGCACCAGACGGCGCCTTCGTGGCCGGTGAGGATGGAGGTTAGCACGTGCGAGTCGGCAGTGACGTCGAAGATTTTGATGGTTTTGTCGGAGGAGCAGGTGGCGAGGCGGCGGCCGTAGTAGTCGAGGACGGCGTCGTGCTGAATGGTGGTTAGAGGGTTGTGCCCGGTGAGGAGGTCCATGGATGGGGACGGGAATGTGGATGTGCATTTGGGAGATTTTGCGTTGAGGTGGCGTTGGAGGGTGTTTTGGGACATTGGGATGGTGGAGAAAATGCTTGGGTATGGATTTGAGACGTACGATCATGTCATCGTGCCCGGCGTTGGAGATGACTTGCGCCTAGATATCATAGTCAGGAGGGCTCGGGGGAGCGGTGCGGGAAGCGGTGACGGACCATGTTGTTGACAATTGAGCAGGCGTGACGAGGGTGGAGGGTAGATCGGATGGAGGCGAGGTGAAGGAGAAGAAAAGGGAGACGTTTAGAGCGGAGTGGTGTTGTATTAAGCGTTGCCTGCGAGCTCTCGATGTTTATTGAAGCTGGGAATACCAATACCACGTTTCGCTGTCAGGATTATCTTTCTGCCGCCCCCGGAAATTCAGGGTGCGTGCCCTAGGTGTGGTGGTGCACCCGTGTTCGGACGCCACACTTTCAAACCATGGGTTGCGCGCGCCACAGCAGCACTGCGGAAGGGCCGACCGAGGTTCGTTCACGAGACAGCATCAGCATCCGCGCAATTCCTTAAAGTGCGGCTTTTTTCACTCATATACACTTACATATATCTCTCTACTCCTCCACCAGCTCTGACCTCACCTTCTGTCTGTATTCTGCTGTTCTGATCGTATCGTCCGTCGCTACCAGACACATACTACTCCCTTACCTCGATCCCCACCATGGCCGACGCCCTATGCGGCCCGTCGAATGCGCTGCAGAACTTCCAGAAACACGCATCCACAGATCGTACACTGCAACAAGACCGTCTGACATCACGGCAGAGCCCTTCGCAATCCTTCAGGATCAACGGACCCAACGCTGGTCTCCTCGACCCTGAATTCGAAGCATTCCAAGCCGGTCATAACACCCCAGCGCCCATCATCCAGCAGGGTCCCCAATTCGACTCTCGATTCCAACATCCACAGCCACATACGCACCCAGGGCAGCCCTCCACACCCTGGGCGTCGGACTTCCAGAGACTTCATATCTCCTCACATCCGTCGTCCCAGCAGCAGTCCCGGCATGTCAACTTCTCCGGACAGACGCCCGCGGGCGCATCGTCATGGCATTCGGACTTCATGATGCAGCACAGCGCCCCTGCGCCCACGCCCCAGCAAAGCTATTCGTCGCCCATGTTCGGCCCGTCGTTCGGCATGCAGCAGAGTTACATGCAACGACCCATGTGTCAGAGCCAACCACAAGAGCAAGAGCAAGAGCAATCTGCCGCCAAGGGCAAACAAGTCCGACAAGACGCCGCCTTTGACGAAGCAGCCTTTGAGCGCGCCTTCGAAGCCGCACACGCCAGCATGCAAGTGAAAGCTGAAGCTGAAGCCGAAGCTGAAGCCGAAGCTGAAGCCGAAGCCGAAGCCATCAGACTCGCACAAGACACATCCTCCCTCATCGCCGCCGCACAACACTACCTCAACCAAGACGCAGAAATATACAACAACCTCATTCCCAACTCCCCGACTGCGCATGCCAGTATGCTCGACCCCCTCCTCGCTATGCCTCAGGACGCCGTGGCTGCAGAAGGAGAAGACGAAGAAGAAGTGCAGCACAACCAACCCCCGAGTCACTCGGACGAAGAGCTCGCCCAGACCGCAGGCCGCCTCCTCGAAGCCGTCGCGGACAACAAGTCGGACAAGTTCGCGCAGAGCACGTTCTTCGGCCTGATGCGCAAGCTGCGCGACCACGAAGTGCGCGTCGAAGGCGAGACCATGGTCGACGTCGTGCCTGCCGCGCAAGGGCCCAGCAGCAGTAATATCCAGAGCAACACAACGGTCGACGGCGCCGGTACGTTATGAACGAGTCGTGAGTCCTCAGTCTGTGTGCGCGCCCCCTTCTCTCTCTCCGGATCCCTTTGCCCCTGCGCACACAACAGCCAGACTCAACGGACCACCAGAAGGCACTGACAAAAATCCCACAAAAGGACCATCATCATCTCAAGCACGACATCTCGATCACAGAGATACAGACTGGGCTTCAATCACGAGTAAGTCGCACTGGCACGTCCCCCGCCCACACGAGTACGAGGGGTGAAGGAGGACCCTTACTTCCCCTGAACCTTCTTTCTCCTGAACCCAAATCCAAACCGAATCAAGTCAAAATCAAACAATCACAAGCACTCACGCTGACCATGAGTCAACCCTACTGAAAAGTGGGCGACACATATGCCAACGATGTTACTCCCGAACAGCTCAGTAGAGCATATGCGGCTGTCCGGCACACGCTGCGGCCTGGACTGCTGGGTCGGTCGTGGGCTACTGGGTGTTTCCCGCCTGATACGCGCGAAGGTTGAGGGAGGGAGGGAGAGAGGATGTATGTGAGTGAGTGAGTGAGTAAGTGATTGGGATGTTCGCAGTGTAGTGTACGATTTGGTCGTGGTTTTGTACAACTAGGGGAGAGAGAGGGAGATGGGGATAGAGGGATAGAGAGAGAAAAGGACTAGGTGGACGGATGGAGGTGAGTTCTGACCTGATCTGACTTGACTCTCCCTTGACTGACTGAGAGACAGAAGCAAAGAAAGCGATTCATGCCGCGCGCTGGGAAGACAGCGCGTACCCCAAACACGTATGCATACATACACATACAGACACACATACATACCCCTGCAGCTCAAACGCACGTACGTACGTGCATATAAAATAGAAGACAAGACATACGTTTCAAAAAAAACCCCACCCCAAAGAAAAGGTTATACACAATTCACGAATATAGAAAAGAAAAATGTTCACTTTCTCGCGCATTGATCGCTATGCTATGACTCGACTGGTGTCTTTCTTTCTTTCTCTCTTTCTTTCTGTCTCCATATATCTACGTTTTCCCTCCCCCTCTTCCCTACCATTCCCTGCCAATCCATTCCAATTCCATTCCAAGAGATTCCCCATGTAAATGCTACATATATACAGTCCTTCCTTTCTTCCATCCATCCATCCATCCATCCCTTCTCGACAAGGAATTGTGTGTTAGGGATAAGTATCACGCCTGTTGATATCCTTTTCCCCCCGCTCTCCCTGCGGGTTGTATGTGGAGTTATGGTATGTGTTTGTTTGTGTGTGTGTGTGTGCGCGTATGTGCCCAGACGCTCCCAGACGAGAGTCCTAGAAACGAATGGTGGTGGTGGTGGAGGATATACAAAAAAGGCTCCCACTTGCGTGAAATACATAGAACGCCCTCCGTCTCTGTTGGATTCCAGCGCAAAACGTCGTCGCCAAGGTGGCAAATATTCGTCCCCAAGGTGAAGATGGAAATGCAGATTATGTTGTAAGGGCCAGTGTACTACTGATCAAAGTGCGTTGCCAAAAAAATGTGGTGTCTTTCAATGCGTTGCTCTCTCTCTCTGTCTCCCATTTTTTCATGTTATTCCTCGTCTCGCCTCCCTCCTTCGTGTAAGGGGAATAATTCATCACCGCCCAACGTGCCAGCTCCGCACCGCCATACCAGCCACACGTGCAATGACTTGCGTCATACCATTCTGAGCTTCTTCTTCCAAGAACCTCTTTGCGATGTAGAGTTTATTGTTCTCATCCTCTTCCGTGTTGTTGTACGTTTGTTGCACGGGTGCATTGGCCAGCCGTGTACCGACGTGCCTTACGATCGCAATCGAGTATATCACGTCCCGGTTTTCTTGCATAAGCAGGAATGTTCGCATGTCAATTAGCACACTCTCGATTTCCTTTGTCGAAGACGAGTCGTCGTCTCGCAATGTGATGAATGTGCCGAGGTGTTTCCAGAAATTCGTCTCGCTGTACTTGTCCGAACTTGGCTCGATGTTGGGATATGCAAGGTTCAGCAATGGATTGACGTCCTTGGTGTGGCCGGTAATAAGGTGCTCGAGGATGTCGAGTCGACTCTTGGCTTCTTGCAGCGGAACGTCTTCCGTTGTCGACGTGCTGGTGCCATTTGTGCTTGCAGGCTGTGCTTTTCGACACAGTGAAAGCAGTTGCCAGATTGTCTGGGCTTCGAAACTGGGAATCTGACGGCTGGTGCTGTAGTCAGTCTGCGACGTCCGGAACAGGACGATGAGGTATGAGAAAGCGGCAAGAGCCTCGGAGTCGCCTAGCAGCGCATCGAGGCCTTTGTGCGTGAACCATATCGTATCTAGCATGCGATCAAGACCGGTGGCGTAGTCGTTGGTGAAGACCTGTTTGACCTCTGACAGGTCTGCCGGTATCGTGTGACTGGGAGGTATCGTGGGTGGAGGGATGTTGCTAATGACAAACAAGTCTTTGATGTCGTTTTTCTTGACTATGCGAGAAGGTCAGCTTACTATCCTCATACGTTCTCAACAGTCGGAATGATACTATAGAAATCCTCACTACCTTGAAAGCCCCGGTCTGCACCTGGGTACATGCCATTGTTGCTGAAGGGCCCTTTGGGATCTGGCCGTGATCCTTGACCGTCGTGTGGCATTGCTGCGTGTTCTGGACCACCGAGTGCTGGGTCTATAGGCGCGCTGAAGTCGTATGGCTCGTGAGTAGAGGGTTGTGGTGGCGGTGGTGGTGGTGGATGCGCGGTCGAGCTGATGGGAGGCGGGTACGATGAGTTGGACGCAGGCGCGTACCCTTGCGGTATATGTGAATATGGCGCAGGTACAGGCGCAGGCGGCACTGGAGCAGGTGCGCTTGCAGTAGGAGCAGACGTTGGCGCTGGTTGAATTTGCGCAGGACTAGGCTGTTGCTTGAAGATGGGATCGTATCTGCAATACCTTGATGAGCAAATAGGCCGAGAGAGAGTGTGGTGTTGTCGCAAAGCTTACCCAGCACAGTCGCGTTTGCTTTTGCGGCAGTTGTTGCAGATAGGATGGGCTTCGTCACACTACGAAAGATTGGGTCAGTAAACGAAAATGAAGGTAGAAGATATTTTTAAACGAGACACGACAACACTGTGACGGAAATTCGAAGGTTCGCGTCTCGCTTCTGTCGCTCTTCGCTTCCAGAAAGCTTAAGCATTAAGCGACCGCTCCCCACCTTTGACCTCTTCACATCTTCCCATTGTTGACTTCTGGACTGTTCTTGATTACCAAATGAATTGGTGGCTCACCTTTATTCTTCTCTTGCGACAAGTCAGACATCCCGTCTTTGTGCGACGCTTGATCTCCTTCTTATGCCTTCCACCCGACATCATTCGTTGATCACCTTGCTGCGGCGGCAGCTGGTATCGCACGCCTGCAGAGTATAGATGAGCATTATGGGGAGAAGAAGCAGACATATGCGCAGATGGTGGTGGCAGTGAGGGACTGTGTTGATGCTGGGTGTAGTACGCACCGCCCATGTGCACATTGGGAGGAGGAAGTTGGGCGCCCGTATGCGGTGGACCAGCTTGCTGCGGAGGGGGCTGGGGAAGGTTCTGTCCATCAATTGTATGTATTGGAGGGAGGTTCAGAGGCCCTATCTGTCCACCCGGCGCATTCGGCGAGGCGCGATACTGCTCATTGTTCGATTGGCTCTGCGACGGTGCTTGGTATGCGTATGATGGAGGCATCGATGGCGACGGGTAGGAGTGCGGCGATGGATAGGACGTCGTCGTCGTCGTCGTCGTTTGAGACTGCGAAGGACGCGCGTGCGCACCATTCGAATCCGCCATCTCGGGTGCAGAGGAGGGTGTGGAGTCTGGATGGGACAAGTTTTCAGGTAGGATATAGACCTTGAAAGGCGGAGGCCCCGTGCGGGAAGGCGCGCTCGAGGCCAGGGCGCAGACAGGATCGTGGACTGGAGATGGAGAAGAGGATTGATAGAAGCAGTGATGGACACACAACAGATGACGGGGGTTATGGATATGTGGTCGATTGTGCCAGCCGACGGGCGTGGAGGGATGCGCGACGGGGTTGCAAAGGTTCGAACAGGAACCAGGACGACGATGTAGAGGATTGGTAGAAGGGCGGAAGGGTCCACGTCTGCCGGCGTCTGGCTTTAGCTTTTTGGCTGCGGCTCGGCGCCCCGGACTCGACGCGAATGATGCAGTCGGCTATCTTGATTCTCCGTACGCTGCAGTGCAGATAGTATCCGTGATGTAATTCTGCAAGATATCCTGGCGCAACTAGAGAAGAAAAAAAGAACAACGCCCCCCCCAAAAGTGAGATGTGAAGGCGTCCGAGGAGGTGTCGCCGCCGTGGCCAGCGATCAGCACCTCGTCGATCTTTGAACAACTGCTAATTAGTTTGCGTGAGTCCGAGGCACGATCGCAAAGGTCGGACAAGAGTTTGGCGAGGGAGTGCTTGAGAGATAATGAGAAAGTGAATGGACAGTAGCTGTGAAGAGTATCCAGGGGGTTCAACCCATTCCAGGCTGTTTTCCTTGGACTGCTTGCTCTTGTCGTCAGCCAGCCGCGGGCCACGCCCGTTGATGCCGAGATGATGTGGGAGTGTCTGTCCGTTCACTGGTCGCTGGTATCTTATTGAGCAGCTCTCAGAGGCCTTGCACAATGCTAGACAAGCGGATTGCTTGCAAGACACGAAGATGACATACAGACAAGAGGTGGGACAAGAGTTCGCATTCGGACGCTGTCTTGGAGTAGGATTCGACCATTTACGGGATGATGGCACGATCTTTAAAGCTGTTATTGCACTCTCTCCATAGGTACTGCTATATTACTACAAGAAAATGCATTGATGTACCTAACTATCATGGTAGCTATTTACTTTGTATGCCCGCTCGCCAGCACGTCCCTGAGCACCATCCATTTTCGCGATTTTGATGGCACACACCTCAATTGCTAATTATGCATCTTTTATTGCTCAATTGTACAGTAGTAGACATGTCAGCGCGCGACGGGATCTGGGTCTCGGCACAGCAGCACACTCAAATCTCACGGCTCTCACCCACCAAACGGCCCAAAAAAACATCATGATTTCCAAGCCGCGACCAAGCAGCTCTGCTGAGAATGGTTGCAAATCAGCGCCTCCGAACTCTCACCTGCCCAACTCGTCCATAGTCACTCAGTCGTCCTGCCAGGGCTTGGTCTGGTAATTGTCACGTCGAGCGAGATGTGCATCGCATCCTCGTCCTCCGCCACCCCGGCCCACGGTCCGTTCACGGTTCTTCGATCAACAAGTCATCCGACATCCCTTTCTTTCAGCTTCTTCGGCCATCTGACTTCTGACAATAATCACTCTCTTGAGCCCTCCCCAACAACGACTACAACTCAGCCAGCACCTGGACACTCCTGACGCCGAAAACAACAGAGTCTCAAGTCCCGTTAACCAATTAACCCTCAGCGGGACGGCGGTGCACCTCGGCCGAGTCGATCAAGCAAGGCGACCGTGCCCCCCTTCTCTCAGCGTCGTTGGTTGCAGCAAGCCAAAACCAGAAAACCAGAAAACCAGAAATCCAGAAATGTTCTGTTCGCCTTCTCCCGCTCCACGCGAGACACACTAAAGCGCGGGACGAGCGTGGGAAGGAGCCTTGGAGCTGAAAGGAAGGTAGCGAGCCTTCTTAGCCTGTCCTTGCCCCGTGCGTGCAAGCCTGCCCCGTGCCTGCCCTGCTTTTCCCGCCCTGCTTTTCCCGCCCGCACATGCCCTTCCCTCAATCCCTCGCCTTTGCCTGGAGGAGGATGTTGTTAATTACATAATTAACCTACTGCTTCGATGGATGTATTTGGTGGGTATGTGTATTAAGCCTGTTAGCCCCAAGTTAATAGAAGAATAACTAATTGTTGTTTGGCCATATACATATCCCCGGCCCAGCCAGATATACCCATCTATCAACCCTGTCCCTGCATTCAATGCCATACACACATACACACATACACACACGCACACACTCGCTTTGTCGTTCTTCATGCTGACGTCGACGACAGATATCATTGGTGCATCTCACCCCTCTCGCTTAAAGCAGCAGCTAACCGTTTTCATCTCACACAAGAGGCTTTCATAGCTGAGTTGGCAAACTCCTCTATCGCTTGCTATGTCTCAACTTAGGACTGACTTTCCAGGCAACATCTGGGATTGGGTTGGGAAGGGGGTAGATGGAATAGGCGTGGGGTGTGCGTGCTGCAGCCCTGGTGAAGGAGACAGACTAAGGCTCGCGCTGTTTGGAAGCGAGACTGCTTCGCTTCCGCTGGCTCGGGTTTGGCCTGTTGGAAGGATGATGGGTATATATATACATACTATATGATGCGTTGCGAGTCGACGTGGTTTGCAATCATTTTTGGTGGGTGTGGTTTCATAGACGGGGGGTTTTTGCGGCTAGGATTGACTGTGTGCGTGGTTTGGATAGTGAGGTGTGTGATGCTCAGCTGTGAGGTCTGTCCAGCATGGTGCCTTGTGTCTTATAGATCGTGCTATGAAGTATTACTGGTTGTCTTTTGCAACTCACTCTCCTGGACGATGCCGTGTGGGTAGCATGCCAGACGCGCGAATACGTATGCCATCCATTTCGAATTCAGCACGCAGGGACTGTAATATCGTCGTCAAATTCTACTTGCATGCTCCACACGAAGTAAAAGGGTATTGTGTGTTTGGCTACAATTCGCTCAACAACTTTTCCTGTTTGTCCATTTTCGAGACCACTTGAATGCTGGCCGTTGAAGATCCATACCCATCCTCTAAATTCGATAATAAGACCACTCGTCGGCGATCCTGAGACGTGACCGGTAGTCTCAAGTGCCCAATAATGCCATGTCAGGGTCTCGATGGACTTTTCGTCGTCTCGATTCTTTACATATCTGCTTGCTCTGGCACGATGTTGTTGAGCTTGCCCTTCTCGAGCACAGCTCGCACGTTGCCAATGTTCCATTCCTCCATAGCAGTCTGAGTCTGCGCAGGGTAGGGTTAGGTCAAGAGCACACGGAGACAGAGATTCAGAACCTACCTCGACGGTATACGTCCCCATGTGCGGCACAAGCATGACGTGAGGGTTCGCTACAAGTCCAGGATGGATCTCAGGCTCGTTCTCGTACACGTCCAATCCGCAAGACCACACATGTCCAGAGTCTAGAGCCTCGACAAGCGCTCCTTCGTCAATAACAGCACCACGCGCAGTGTTGACAATCACGACGCCTTTCTTCATCTTCTTAAACTCAGGGGTCGAGATGATGTGACGGGTATTTTTCTGCAGCCTCTAAGCACGGTGCCATCTCTCTCACAAAAGGGGGGCGCATTCACTCACGTTCAACGGGAGATTCAGACTCAGCACATCGCTGGTGCCGAGCAGCTCGTCGAAGCTCACATATTCCGCACCGCCAGAGAGCTCCTCGCTGAGCCTGGACCGGTTGTGATAGATGACCTTCATCCCAAACGCCTCCGCCTTCCTCTTCAAGTTTCTGCCGATTCCGCCCATGCCTAGGATCCCAAGCGTCTTGCCCTCTGGATCGTGGCCCAGAGGCGGCAGTGGCTGGCCGCGCCACTTGCCCTCTCTCAGCGCAATCATGGACACATTGAAGCCGCGCAAAGCCCCCAGAATCAGGAACATGTTGACGTCTGCAGTGGCGTCGTCTACGGCTGTTGGGACATTCGACACGCGGATGCCTCGCGCAGTGCAAGCATCGACTTTGACCTGATCGTATCCGGCGCCTGCACCGCGAGGTCAGCCTGCCGGTATCATACCATACCATACCATACATTTGATGTGCTGTGATATTGCATGACCATACCGTTGTGACAGATGAATTTGAGGCTGGACGGCAGGGCATCTACAAGCTCTTGATCGAATAGGCCAGTAGTAGCGAAGCTGTCAAACGTGCGGTACGCGACAATGACGCCGTCAAGCCTGCCTTCCTTGCATTCTTTTATGAATTCCTCTCGTGAGCGGGCTTTGGTCGTCACCAATTCGGCATAGTCGGCCAGAGCATTCCAGCTGTCGTGGGCGCTGGGAATTAGGTCAGACCAATGAACCGTCGTACGAAAGGGCTTCGCTTCCTCCAATGGTTGAACTGTGGCTGGACGGGCAATAGTAGCCCGTGACGAGGGGTCCTCCCAATCGTCCCATGGGAAACTTACTGTTCGATTTGCCCAAGTAGCAATGCTTTTGCTTTTGCCATCTTGCTTGAACCGGCGTGGCGGGATATAGAGTTGGGGTCAAGTAGTGGTTTATGAGAGGTGTGATTTTCTCCGGACCATCCACAGTTCAGGTAGACTGGTGGATTAAAGACTTTATCGCGCCAATCGATTGAGAACTGATGTCAAGAGTGAACCCGATCTCGGAAACGGCCCGCGGCATAGTGATAGCGTCTTATCTTAGGTCCGTGTCGGGATGCAAGGGCTGTGCGTGACGAGAAATGTGCTTATTTGGAAGGAATTGTGCTACTCATTCAGAAATTTCACCGTGAGGCTATCCGGCCACGAGCTCGATGATGCATTTCCGTTTGTTGGGCACCCTTTTCGCAGAGTACAAGCGGAGCTACACCACATGATACTATGTATGACCCCTGGAAGCGATACCGCAAGACCTTGTTTTTATGCTAATCCTCGGCGAATGACATTTCGGTGTTGCGGGCTGTTTCAGTCCTTTCCCAGCATCGGCATTTGGCATGGGGGTCATGTTCGCCCGAAGCGCGCATGAAAAGGCACTGCGCACACCACACGCGTTCCTAGATTAACCACCTACATCCCAGCATTGATGCGAGTTGCTGTTATTGATCCCATGTAACTATCCGTATTCGTACACACCGCATGGTTGTCTATGACACCCTGCATTAATCACCCCCATTCTCCTGACCCCCGCTTTCCTTCCATGCGTGCGCCCTCTGCAGCAATTTGGACAGCTTCGCAGCACTCTCATCGTCGGCTGGGAATACGTAGTCCATGTATTCTTCGAACGAGTCGTCGTCCAGCTTTCTTCGCTTCTTGACTTTCCTAGGCATTTGTTTGTCAACACTCTCGATATCATCCGCTGATCCGTGGGTGGCCTCGAAAGATCTCCAAGCATTCAGGAGTGCAACACGCTACGTCAATGTCAGCATTGATATTATTCATATGGAAACGCGGATAACATACCTCTTCTTTGAGATCTTTCTCTTTCAAGCTCTTGTAAGCACGCTTGAAGACCGCTCTCGCCCGTGTCTTAGCCTCTTCGCTGACGGGGGCCTCCTCATCTTCGTCTTCGTCACCCTCTGGAATGTTGATCTCAAAGTGCGCATAACTGATCCAGACCTTGACATGGTCTGTCTTCTCCAACAGCCGCTCATAAAGATTTCTCGTCCTGTCGTACTCTCCTTCTTCCTCTTCAAAGTCGATATAAGCTTTCCATAGAAGCTCTGGCATGTCCAGTTGCTGCTGCTGTACAGCGAGCTCGAAAATCGCTCTTGTTCGATCAAGATCGTCCAGTCCGCGCTCTAGCTCCGCAAACTTGATCCATGATTGAGTGTTGGACGCATTCCACTCTATTTTCTTCTCGTAAAGCGTGCGACATCGGACGAACTCAAAGAGTTTCAGCTCCAGATCGATGTAACCCTGGAAAAGTTTATCTTTCGGACACATACCGATAGCCTGTCCAAGAGTCTTTCGCGCCACATGTAGAGCCCCCTGACGGACGTCGAAATGTGCCTTCAGGAGCCAGATCTTGGCAAAGGTGAAGTGCTTGTGTGGTATAAGCTTCAAGCATTCTTGGTAAATCTGCCGAGCCCGATCGATGTCTTCGTTGTCCATTTCCTCCCACAAGGCATAAAAGACCCATAGATATATATACCGTCTCCAATGTCTTTTCTCGTGTGTCGGTGGAACCTGGGCGATGGCACGTTCGTATACGTCGCGTACCCTATCGACATCCCCTGATGTCTCTTCGAGTCTTGCATAGTCGAACCATGTATCATAATTTTTCGGGTTCTCCTTTACTTGTTCCTCGTACTGCACCCGTCTTTTGGATAAAATGACGTTTTCAACCCCCTCTTTATCTCCGAACTGCTTCTCGAAAGTGGTATAAGCTTTATGTAGAGTGGCGGACCGTGACCGAGCCATGCGGTCAAGAGCATACTTGTAGATAGCTCTTGCGCGCTCATACTCCTTGAGCTTAGCTTCAAACCGGGCGTAAGCCATAAAGAGCTTCTCATCCATGAAGTCGTCCCCAAGAGTTTCGATGGCACTACCAAAAACTTCTCGTACATCTTCCACATCGCCGTTCTCTTCTTCAAATCGAGCCCATTTAATCCAGTTCTTCGGTTCCGGGTGTACAATGGTAAACCGCTCGAAGATTGTCCGCGCCCGATCCAATTCTCCATATCGCTTCTCTAATTTAATGTAGGCGCTCCATGCCGCCTCGTCCGGCTCCCAAGTCATCCACCGTTCGAAAACTTGACGTACACCAGAGATGTTGCCCAAGGTTTCTTCCATGTACACATATTTATACCAAAGTTTGTCCACGCGAGGCAATATGGCGATGGCTCGGTCCAGAAGATTTCGAGCATGGTTGATATTCCTCGTCTTCATCTCTGCCTCGATATACCGTATCCATAGCACTACAGATGTCGAGTCAACATCCAGTGCTCGCTCGAAGATTGATCTGGCACGCTTATATTCTTTCTGTTCCAACTCCCATTGTGCATAGCGCATCCATTGGGTCATGTTGGTCCTACTGCGGCGAACATAGTTCTCGAACTCCTGCCGCTTCCGACCTTGAAACTCATGGAGCTCTTCTAGATCTGCAAAGCGCTGGGTCGGCGCTTGTAGACCTGTATCTTGTCGGTCTACGGCTTCGCGAAGTAGCTGTTCTGCTGAAATCTGTATGGGCGCGGCGGCCTTGTTCTTGACCCTCGGGGGTCCGCGTGAAGTCTCCATGATGGCTTGCGTTGCAGGTAAAAGATTGTGCGGTGGATATGTATATTATTGAGCGAACCGACTAAACAGAAGAGGACCGGGGGGAGCTTTCGAGAGGATCGCGCGGCCAACACGCATTGAGAGATGAGTCGTGCTCGGATTGAAGCTCCAGGCTGCTAGGAAGTTCTTCTGCACGCGTCGCGCACGGACCACTATTGGTAACGTTTGTCGTTCATCGTTTGTCGAATCACCTTGTCGCCGCAACAAGGAAGAGAGATCATCACAATCAACACCTTTCCATACACCCCTCGTCTCGCCGATAACTTTCCTTGATTTGCAGCTTTCTGGTGCAACGTGAGTGTGACAACTTTCAAGGCTTTCAGATTAACTGTTGACGATGGCATCTTTGGAGGAACAGCTCCTCAATGATTTTGGAGATGTCTCTGGCTCGGAGGATGGGGCGGAAGAAGAGCTTGGGGATGAGGAGCAAGAGCTGAGGAATGAGATGGAAGTTGAAGGGGCCGGTACAGAACGAGAGGACATTGCAAATGGCGATAATGGTGCAAAAGCCTCCACGACCCCAGGCTCAAAAGATCTCCGCAATGCGAACACGCTCCTGCAGACTCTGCGTCCTGTACTAGACGAGATTGATCGATACAGGAATAAGCCTAGTGAAAACTTCATTGGCTCACTAGAAGAGAACCCCGAATTTCGCCTACTCGGTCAAGCCAATACACATTCCACCTCCATCGACAATGAACTAGTTACGGTTCACAAATACATCAGGGACCACTACTCCGTGCGATTTCCTGAGCTCGAGACACTTGTCACCAATGCTATCGACTATTGCAAAACCGTGGCGATCATTGGCAACGGACCGATGAGCGAAATCAAAGCCATTGCTGCTTCGTCAGACAACCCGGTGGGCCAGCCGTTAACCAACGTGCTCACAGGACCGTCTCTGATGGTAGTGTCTATCGAAGCTGCGACAACACAAGGACAGGAGCTGAGCGAGAAAGAGCTGGCACAGGTGCAGAGAGCCTGTGATATTGCTCTACAACTCGAGAAAGCCAAGGTTACACTTACAGACTATGTGCAGTCTCGATTAAGCATATTTGCTCCCAATCTTACTGCGCTCGTTGGTTCCTTAACAGCGGCTCAGTTGATGAACTATGCAGGTGGTCTCATTGGGCTCGCAAAAACGCCGTCTTGCAACCTCGCACCCCTCGGATCGAAAAAGCAGAGTGGCATGGGATTGGCTACGAATGTCGGTGTCAGACACCAGGGGTTTCTATACGAGTCTCCTATCATTCGAGATATCCCTACCGATCTAAAGAAACAGGCGATGCGCATGGTCTCAGCGAAGGTTGTCCTCGCCGCTCGAATAGATCAAGTCCACAGTAGCCCGGACGGAACTAGCGGACAGGAGCTAAAAGAGGAATGTCTCCGAAAGCTAGAAAAACTTACGGAAGCACCTGCGAATAAGGGTGTACGGGCACTGCCCGCGCCTGACGACAAGCCATCCCGGAAGCGAGGTGGCAGGAGAGCGAGAAAGGCGAAGGAGGCTACTGCGCAGACGGAGCTTGCACGAGATCGTAACAGGATGGCCTTCGGAAAGGAAGAGCAAGAAGTGGGTTACGGCACTGGAGAGGGTACAGCAGGTTTGGGCATGGTTGGACAACGGAACGATGGTCGCATTCGGGCACCACAGATTGATCAACGCACAAAAGCGAAACTGAGCAAGAAAAATGCAGGGTGGGGAGGCCCTCCTACTGGAGGAATCGCATCTTCACTTCGCACGATGGGAGCTGGAGGGCAAAATCATGGACTGCGTACCAGCGGAGTTGGAGCTTCTGGTGCAGCAACATCTGGTACTGCCTCGACGATCGCATTCACTCCTGTACAAGGTCTGGAATTGGTTGACCCTAGGATCCGCGAGGAGATGAACAAGAAGCGCAAGGCAGACGAGGACCGCTGGTTCAAGGGAGGAACTTTCTCACAGATTGGGGGTACACAGACAGGGTCGAGCACCAAGGTCGATGCCAGTGGCTTCAAGATACCATCTCTACCGCCTCGAAAGAGACAGGACACGAAGAACTGAGTCGACGTGGTGACTTGTCTCGGACAAGTATTAGATTTCATTTCAGGCGCGAGGCAGGGAGCGAGTGCAGCATTTCAGGCGTTAATAGTAGCATGCATGACCTAGAAGGAGAAGGACGGCGGTCCGACAAGCGGGATGGTGGACGTGGAGGCAGGCATTATGCGGCTACGGAAGCAGCGCAGCGCACGATTGCGTTACGACCACGCGAACGAACGCCTGAATCGCGTAAGCTTTTGATAGGGTGCCTGAAGTTGCCAACCACAACCTATGGTAGGACGAAGCAGGTGTGCAAAAGGCAGAAACGGGCGAAGTCACGTAGTAGTACAGTAGCGACAAAAATAGCAGCACGATCGAGATATACTTTCTCGCCTGAAGCCGAAAGGCTGAAAGACAGCCAGCTCCAGAAGCGGTCGGTGACAAGACATGCATGCAAGAGAAGCGATGGCGTAAAAGGGTGTTGTGTAAAGTGTAAAAGTCTAGGTTTCGAGGATGACAAAGAAGGTTTTGTTATGAGGCGTTGCAATCCCGTGTATTCCATTGGAGGTCAGGCGTAAACCGACCAGCAGTCCTCGACTCGACTCGACATATGAAGATTGTACGGTTCACAGAATCGCGGATGCGGGGGAGAGGGCGGTGCCATGGGACGGTACTGTGTAGTAAGTACAATCGGAGAATTGGGCAGCGGATCGAAGGAATATATTGGGGAGCTTTGTTCCATGTTTTGGCGGCTCCTCTTCGATCCATCATCCATACACAGACGTCGGAGGATAGCTGGGTAAGGGGACAGTACAGGACTGTTTTCTTGGCGAGGGAGCATTCTGCAACGTGGATGTGGGGAACAGTGTCAGGGTCTTTGAGTCTTGAGTCTTTGAGCCACGCAACGGCAGCGTAACCCTCCAACGTCGACCCTTGTAGCAAGAATCTATATGGAACAGGTAATTGTATGGAAGCCTATTGCGGTGGTCTGGAAGGTTGCGGGATGTTATGATGACGATGATTAGAGTTTACGGACTTGAAGGGCTAAAGTGAGTATTATTGTTACTGTATAAGAATACCTTTCATTGAGGCATAGGGGAGGGCGGGAAGAGTAGCCAATACCAGCTAAATCGTCAGCTTAAGGTTAAGGGGGGTTCTGGGGGTGTATGACGGTGATGGTGACGGCAACGGTGACGATGGGCGGGCGCGGGTGATGGCAAACAGCGCTATGTTTCACCGCTGGCACTCTCCTGGCTCTTCTGGCTCTCCTGGCTGGAGAAAGGCTGGCGACCCTTGCATGATAAAAAGCCACCACAGTCCCTGTTGATCCAGATAGTTTGGCTTAGACTGCAAGTGATAATGCACCAATCCTTCCCCCTGTTGTGCCCGCAACACTAGGGCTACACTACACTAAACACTCTCTTACACTGTAACCTACAATGCCAACGGTCAACCCCCTTCCACTGCATTATTCTTCAGTACTTATGCATGCCCAACTAACTACCATGCGATACATGCAGGGACTGCGGCACGTAAAGAGTAAGAAAGACGCTTCTCCAGCTGACCTCACCGTGCGTTGGCTAATCGATGCCATGCCGTGCCTTGGGTCCCATCCGAGGAGGTAGGTCTGCAGCTCATGTCTGTGTTTGGGCCTTGGCTGGGCTCGTGAGCGAGAGATGAGCATGTTCACGCGCTGTGAATGGACATGTTGGATTGAAGTGTAAGGTAGCATAATGATTGTAATAATTAATGCCAGCCATTGCGAGGTTACAACAACAACACTTTGAATCCTGCACTGACTGCTGCTTCCTTTGACATTGCCCATGCTGTTCCTCCCCGTCCTACTTCATCTGCCTCCACTCCCCCGGTCCGAAGAGCGAACGCGCCAAAAAGCATCGTCTATATCACCAGTTCACTGTGATCAAACCGCAAAGTGTGAACTAAATAAGTGACGGCAACCACTTGAAACGCCCAAATCGCCAGGCCACTGTCACTCGCCTCCAGCGAATCGTGCGCTAGTATTGACTCCTGTAACTCGTGTGCCCTCTATCCCCTGGTCTAGCGTGCTTCTTCTGTGCATACTCACCCGTCCACCCGTCCACCCACCCACTCTCTCTCCTTCGCCTGCGCCCGCCCTGACTGCCCTTGGCTGCCCTGACTTTTTTGCCCTGACTTGTCCTGACTGGCTCTGACCGTCTACCTTGTCCCAATCCATCGCATCCCCGTCCTTACACTAATTACTACCTACTGTCACAACCTCCTGTCGAACCTCCTCGCCCTCTCTCTCTCTCTCACCCTGTCCATTCATCCTCACTCTCTCTTCGACCTCACCCGCCCTTCCGCCCTCAATTCCATTCCGCAACACCTTCAATTCGACTCCCGCGCCGCTCATTATACCCCACCGTCGTTCTTTCGCTGGCAGGAAACAGGAAACAGGAAACAACCGTCCTTCTAATCGCTCAACCCGAAATCGCTCCCTTTTGTCACTCTCGACTTGACGCGCGAAATACCTACTATCCACATTCGTCCTCCTCATACCCTTCGAATCATACCTCTCGTCGCCATTTCATCCGATCCTTTTCGTCGGGAGATCCTTACCTACCCCAATTGTTATCTTCATTTCCTCCGACTCGAACGTTGACCCGATCGTGGTCGGAGAATTGCTTGACAGGGCACGGCCGATGTATGGTCGTGATATGAAATAGATGGACTTTTGATACGGCTGCCGGATCCTGAACCAGCCTGCACTCTACTGCACTACTTTCGCTGATACCCAGTCGATTTTCCTACCTCATACTCGAACATTTCTCTCCATCTATGATGTTCCATTCATGATACACAAGAGCTTGCCATCCCATTGAGATACTAAAGATCCATCTAGCGTATCACACTCACTCTTCAATCAAAGTGCGCCCTTTGTTGGAGGTGTGTTCTTACACCAGACCATGTCACTTCCGAAACCCCAGACAGAGCTCAAGGGCCAGTGCTCAGTGGTATACCAAAATACGTTGTTCGTCTATTCGCCTGATGCTTTCCAGTCGATAGAGCTGTCAGAAGGAGCAGCATGGGCGTCTCTGGACAAGGGCACAAGCATCGCCGGAGCTCAATGTGTCAACGTTGTGTCTGCCGATAATCCTGACGCAGATGCGCTCTTCATAGTCGGAGGAAGGCCAATCGCAGAAGATATCATTACAGCATATCCCGGACTGCAGAGATACTCGTATAAGGATAAGAAGTGGGACTGGATACGGCCAGGAGATTGGGTCACCCAGAATCGACAGAACCATGGCGCCGCCTATCTGAACTCGACAAAGCAATTGCTAGTATACGCAGGCTCTCAGTCCGGCGATACTGGTCCATCCTCTGCCACCTTCCTAATATCTACGGAGCCTCCGTATGCGGTTTCGGCTACCAGCTCGTCTGCACCGCCCAGCGTGAATCCGATTCTTCTCCCTTGGAATGATACTACTACAATCGTCTTGGGCGGGAGTGAACAGAATAAAAATGTCTATACGTTCAGCTCTCCAGGTGGATGGCAAGAGCTTGGTGTCGATCTAGAGCAGGGTATCCACCAGGCGACTATGCAGACCACAGTCATTGCCGGTGACGATGGAAGCAAGGTGCTCGAAGTCTTTGATATGGGATCCACACCGAATGTTGTCAAACGCGTCGTCCTGCTTGGCAAGGATGGCCAGGTCGCTCCTTTTGGACAAACAGTTGGCCCGCCACCGACAAGTCGGACGAAACGGCTAGATGTGAACAATTGGCCGGAATACAACGCGACGTATGCGCCATCAACATCTCGTACCGGCTTTTCGGTTGCTTCTGCTCCGAATGGCTACGCGGTAATATCTGGCGGTAATGTTGATGATCCACTTTGCATCTTTGACCAACGACAGAATAGCTGGGTCAACGCGACTGCGCTATTTGCTGGTAGCCAAGTCATTGTTACTGGTGAACCTGATCCGTCTACAACACCTACACCTTCTGCTATAGCAACTCCGACTTCGTCAGCCACCCCTTCGACGACTCCTGTAGTTGCGAGCGATGGCAAGGACCGAATGCTGACTGTACTTGGCGCCACTCTCGGCACTATCTTCGGAATCGCTGCTATTCTTCTCGTCATCCTGCTGCTGCTGCGATGGAAGCGACTGAAGAGGGAACGCGCACAAGGAGACGACTATATCGAAAAAGAAGGACGATTAAGCTTTGCTGACCGCGGAGCTGACTTCATGAAAGAGGCTGGCATATCCAACAGAGATAGCCCGAGTGGCAGAAAGCCGTGGCAGACCTCTATGAATGGATCACATAGTTCCCTCGCGATTATCACAGGACGCGCTGGTCAAGGACATAAGCGAGCTCAAGGTAGTGATGCAAGCACCGCTGGACTGACCTTACACAAAGGTCCCTTGGGGTATAATGATGCCGTTGAGATGACAAGGATCAAAGAACATCCTTCCGACGACGCGCTCCGCAAGGAGATTGGGGGTGGGATGCTCACACCAGCTGCTGCTAAATCTGCACCCAAACAAGGCCAACGTAGTTCTGGTTGGAGCAGATATTTCTCCGGAAATGAAGCCACCAACCTAGCCAATATGCGGACAGATCGATCGACATATGCTTCCGATCGCACAAGCGGCAATAGCGAGTCAAATTACACGAGTTCGCGGATTGGTAGCCAGCCCTTGCAACAGATCGCTCCGTTAGATGTCAAGTTCGAGAACCAACGCATCAGCCGCGTCGCGACCGGCAGTCCCACCCTTGGCCATTCGCACGAGGACTTGCATGGTCAACAGGCACAGCTAGCTAGGGCCAATTCATTGAATGGCTCTGTTTCAAGTCTGGGAGCCGACGACGACCATCACGCTGAAGCGACGCAGGGATGGTCCCCTGTCCCTCCTTCGAACTGGCTTGATCGTCCCACGAGCAGTACATACACAGACAGCAACCGTGGAAGCGGCTTCCCCATCCAGGATGGCGCGTCATCATTCTACAACTCTGATTACTCCTCGTCAAGGAATGTCGACAGAGATACCATCAGCGACCTCTACGCTCGGCCTGCCATACCAGTTGGTCGAGAAAGCACTGTGACAGTGTTCCCTCGAGGGACCCCGGCAACTCAGCAGAGTAGAGGTCCGAATGGCAAAACACAAGGCGACATGAGCTGGCTGAATCTCGGTGTCGGTAATCACTGAAGACAGACCTCTAGACCCTTCTGCCGATTCGTTATGAAACACATCGCGTGTGCACTTGTCGGCGTACCATGATGACATTCGTTTTCTTTTATCTCGGTTGAAGATACCACCATGAAGCATTACGCACGTGTTCTATACCATTTGCGCTACGCGCATTCTTTTCCGGGCACATCATCCATCACTTGCATGCATGTTTCCTGCTCCAAAGCAGCAGCGCTGGCGTCACGACCTCTTTTGTCTTTTGACCACTTTTTGATCTCCCTTTCCCCCAAACCCATCAGCCGCGCTGGTCCTGAGCATTTTCCACACCTCCACACCTCCACACCAATCATTTCCTCTTGGGTTTCTTTCTCTTTCTTCTTTTTCATGTTTCATATCCGGCGGCTCGAGCCCGTGTTGTGGTTGCATTGCAATTGCGTGTGCGATAGATATCTTTGTACTCTCAAAGGAGGGGCTTGCTTTGTTTCATGTTGGTTGGTGCACAGACACACATCTTTTTTCCCCCTTTTTTTTTGCTTACAGCCGCAAAAAAGTGTTGGGCGTGCTGCTTCCTGGGGATATCGGTGGAGCGTACCGTCATGCATGCGTGCATGCATGCATCATCTTGTCTTCTGGCCCTGACTTGAACTGGTCTGGGACTAGACGGTGAGTGAGAGTGGGAAAGGAAGGCCTTTTGTGTCGAGGGAGAAGAAAAGGAGAAGGAAAGGAGAGGAGAGGATAGGATAGGACAGGATAGGATAGGACAGGATAGGACAAATGGTCTCTACCTCCTCCCAGTCACGTGGCTTGGCTTGGCTTGGCTTGGTTTTTGCCTCCGCTGGCGACGGGTGGGTGCTAATATATAGTAATGACAGTGTCAAGACTTGAGAGTGAGAGATTGTGTGTGTATGATTGTGTGTGTATGATTGTGTGTGTGTGTGTGTGTGTGTGTGTGTGTGTGTGTGTGTGTGTGTGTGTGTGTGTGTGTGTGTGTGTGTGTGTGCTATCTATGTATGTATGTGTGCCATGAGGTGAGAGGGTAAAGCAACAAAGTAAACAAGTCAAGACCACCGAAACATCTAAGTCCAAAATCACACACAAAACATCCTAAAACATCTCTCTCTCCCCCCTCCCCCTAAAAATATCCATGGCTATGAATGAACGATGAAGCGTACCGACATACGCTTCTTCTTCTTCTTCCTGCCTTGTTCTTCCTGCTCTCTTCCCCACTGTATGCGTATATGCATATATGTATATATTTAGATAGATAGATAGAGAGGCATATATGTATAGATAGGTATATATGTATAGATAGGTATATATGTATAGATAGTTATATATAGATAGTTATATATAAATATATACCGCACACGCGCACGCTCCACACGTACGCACACACGCATGCATGCACGGATACGCACGCATAGATATACACGTGCGCGTCGTGCGGGTTTGTCTAGGTTTGCGATCTTGTGCTGTGTGTGTGTGTGTATTTTGTATTGTTTATATTGGGTTTAAGAGGGAGATGTTGTAATTGGTAGGGCTGGGAGATTTTTGGGGGTGTGTGGGGAAGAGGGTGAGGGAGTGAGAGGGAGTGAGATTGAGGTGGTGAGGGCTTGAGAGGGAGTTGTTTAGATTGGTGTATCAAGGGGTTGGAATTGGATTTGTGCGGGGTTTGGAATGGATTTGGATGTTTGGATGGAGCTGGAGGTTTGGGCGTGTTGAGTGCTATGCTTGCTGATTGGTGTGGGATCGATGCATTTCTTTTCTCTTTTGTTTTCCACAGGGGAAGGGGCAACAACGAAGGGTAGGACTTCAGTCAGTCATGAGGGAGCTTCGATTGAGCTTCGATAGAGGAGAGGAGAGGTCTGCTAGGGTGGTGGTGACGGACGTGAAATCATAGTTGAGAAGTGTACATATCAGACATAAAACACCACTGATCGCAATCTATAATGCGCGATATCTATGCCTCGCACACGTACTCCTCCTCCCTACTCCTCCTGACGCGCAACCCAGTCCAGCACACGCCCGATATACGCCCTGCTGATCATACCACACTCCTCTGAGTCTGTCAAGTCTATCTTGTCAATGCCATCACTAGACTGTTCATCAGGCACTGCTGTACCATCACCACCACCTCCCCTCCCCCCGACCCAATTCCCCCTCCACAGCGGAATCAAAGCCTTGGCCTGGTGATCTCCAGGCGCAGCGTCCAACCGCGCGAGCCAGATATGCGGGGGGATGAATTGCGTTTGTTGGGGGTGCTTCCTGGATGCTGCCCATTGTGTGATCCAGGTTTGGATGTGGGACCAGGGGGTGTGTGTTGCGGGGTTGGTGTTTGAGATTGGGGTGATTGTTATGGCGGATTGAGATGCTGGTTGTGGTAGACTGTGCATTTCCGCAACGACGCGGCGCGCGGCCACATCGACGGGGAGCCAATCTACGGCTTTGAGATGTGCGGATGCGAGATCGGGGAGGGTAATGTTATCCTGTCCACTATCATCACTGCAGAGGTCGAGCTTGAGCTTAAGCCCGGCAGATAGCATCAGCGGCCACGCCTCACGCGCATTCCAGATCCCCGTCGTCGAGGCTCCGCTCAGCTGTCCGACGCGCAGGACCGAGACCGCGACTGCTGCACTGGAATTGCGAGAGAGGCTGTCCAGGACGCGCTCTGCGACCCATTTGCTCTGCGCGTAGCCTAGATCTGCTGCGTCGTGGGGGTGTGCTGAGATGGAGTGGTCTTGCTTTGTGTTGGCGGATGCGCGTGCGATGCTGGCGACTGAGGAGCAGAAGATGAGTCTTTTAGGTGGTAGACTTGGGTGTGATTGTGCAGCGCCGAGGAGGAGGAGGGTGTGCAGATTGACGACGCCCTCGAGTTGCGGCGCGAAGGATTTGAGGGGCAGGGTGAAGTTGACGTCCCATGCGGCGTGGATGACGTGTGTTGTCTGAGAGACGAGTGAGGCGTAGGTTTCGGGCGAGAGGCCGAGGAGGGGGTGTTTGAGGTGGAAGGGGATGTATGTGATTTTGTCGAGTGCAGACTTGGGGAGGGTTTGGGCGAGGTGGTGGATGTTTAATGCGGCTTCGACGCGGCTTTGTGCGGTGGTTGTTTGTTTGGAGTGAGGGTTTGCGCTGGAGTCGCGGATGAGGAGGAATATGTTTGAGATGCTGGGGTCGGTGAGGAGGTGGTGGAGGATGTGGGTTCCTAGGAAGCCTGTGCTGCCAGTTAAGATCACTTTTGCTTTGCCTGGTTGTGAGGCTTCTGCTGTTGTATGGGTGTGTTTTGCAGCGTGCTCCAATAGCTGCGGTTGGAGAGCCATGTATTGGTCTACCATGGCCCGCATCTCGTCATCTTTGGTAGTTTGATTAGCATCCATCGAGCCAGTCTTCCCGGTACGTTCTAGCACGAAGTTGACCAAGGCATTGATTGATCCACATTCGTACACGACGCTCAGGGGTACCAGAGGCCGTATTCGAGCGGGAAGCATGCCGCAGATCTGTTTGCGAATGACAATGGACTTGGCAGAATCCATGCCAGCCTCGAACAGGTCCTGATCGGGGCTGAAATTGTCTGACTGGTGAAGGGCGCTGCAGACGAGATGTTTGATTTTCTCACGCATGTTGGCGGGATCTCCTGTCAAGCAGTCTGCACCATCGTCCTCGTGATCAGAGTTATAGATGCGATTGATCTCAGAACTAAATTCCGCAATGAATCCGCTTCGTATGACACCCCCTTTGCTGTTCTTGCGAACTCGACTATGTGCCGAAAAGGATAGGATGCATAAGTTTGTCTTCTCAAGCTTTGCATGAGACGGGCTCGACATGTTTACTTGCTGTATATGATGCCATATGTTTTCATGGGCATCGACGTCCTTGATTTTGTCCTGGCTTGCGGCCATGAAGATAATGGCTGCAGGAAATGGTCTGTCGTCGCCGATAACGATGGCATCTTCAATTATCTCGATACGACGAAGCGCTTGCTCAATGGGCGTCGGATCGAATTTCTTGCCAGTACTGAGTGTCAATTGTGCATCTGATCGACCAATATAGTTCCAAGCACCGTCGATTCCTTCGTGTGGTATGAACACATCATGTGTATTGAAAGGTCGTCTTGCATGCGCTGCTACAGACACAAGCGGCCAGTTTTCCTCAACTATAAGTTCATGCCGACCATCGGCCATGCGTTGGAAGTTCAGTCCTTCCGAATTACGGCAGCGCAGTACGTGCCATCGTTTGTCATTCGCATAGTCACGCTGCGATGACAACAGAAATCCGCATTCAGAACTGCCAAATCGACTGACGAGGTTGATACCTTCAGCCACGATCTTATCTCCAAGTTCTCGGGGCATTGCGGCACCACCGACGCCGACCGCACTCAAACGCCGAAGTCTATCTTTCAACGCTGTCGATTCGACTATAGTCTCTAAGACGAAGGGAACGCATGATAGAAACTGAAGTTTGGTAGCGGGGAACCTTGGATGGGTTTCCGCTATACGATCAATGCCATCGATGCAAGATGAGATAATCTGTGAGGTGATGGGCATAGTGCGTTCTGGAAATATCCATAGTGGCGAGGCTGCACTCCATGAACGCAATAGATCCGCAATACCACCCGAGTATAGTGGGGTCGTGGTGAATGTACTGCTGCGTTGGTCTATATCACCACAGCCTTGTAGTCTGGGTAGCACACCTACAGCTCCATGGTGAGTTGAAGGTATTAGCTTTGGAAGTCCGGTTGTGCCGGATGAGTGACGATAGAATGCGATTGATTCAGGGGGCTCAGATTGGTTTGCAGTCTTTTTTCCCGCAGTATGGAGTTCGCTTCTACAGACTGAGTCCAGTGATGGCCACGGCAATTCAAACTGCTTCACGCCTTCTCTTGTTCGGTCGTCACTATCGTGGTGCTCCGAATTGGACGAATCCTTGGGCCTGTGACACAATGCCTCCGAGACCACACCTGCATGTTCACGGTCGAAACATATGGCAAATGACCTGCTCAGCTTGATCAAGTGCAATATGGCCTCCGGTGAATTTTGTGGCCTGATTCAGTCAATCGATGGAGATATATTAGGGTATAAGCTTGCTTACGAGACGAGAAGTACCTCGTAGCCCGACCGGATGAACGCCAACCACGTGAGCAGAAACACAATTGAACTGGATGCTATGAGCGCAATGCACTGCTTCCCCTGTTGGTTCTGTCCAAACACATGGCGGAAATGCTGACTGAGTCGACAAGTTTGCTCATCCACTTCGGCAAAGGCTGCAATCTGAAGTCAGATAAGTTTATTGAAGGACGCTCATTTTGAGCATACTCAACAGCTCCTCGACAAGCCCATCTTGTGAGTGTCCTGATGTCTTGTCTGGTGTGACACATCCCACAGCGAGGTGTCCACCGTAGTTTTGGGCCAGGAACGATACAAACTCATCAATATTGTTGAATTGTGCATGTTCACTCACAAGGCCCTCTGGCGTCTGACGAATTCGTACTTCGTAATTGCCCCTGTTATGTGCCAAGGCTTCTGAGAGCGTACACGTGAAATACGAGGGTATCATTATTGCAGCGCGAGGTCTCGTGACATTGTCCTCTGGGGTCTAGCCAGCAGCAGCAGCAGTCAAGCATAAATCACTCATCTCGTCCAACATACGGGAAGAGCGGCATTAATTCATGTCGGGATAAATCGCAAAGGCAAAGCCTGTTGTCAATAAACAACGTGTTATCGCGCTGCCAGGTTCCGTGTCCACTTTCTTGCATACGATGATGACTTCGATCATGGCAATTTACATCATCATGAAGCATAAATGCCGTGTAATAACAAACCTAGCTCATGTAGTTTCGTGTTGTTTGGCTGAGAGTGATGAGACATAGTGGACGACGTCACGATATCGTGCCAAGAGGTGGTCGACTAGCCTGAGACAGTTAGAGTTTGGTCCCTATTCTCCGGGGGGATCCCTGTGGTCCATAACGCTCTGCAACGGTCAGATCTAGATCTCCGGCTTTGGAGAATCCTATGTTACGCTGCCCTAAGCGACAGCTCCATACTTTGCACGTCCATGCGGAAAATTTGTATCAACGGAAATGGTTCCGATGTCACACAAACATGTGTCGAGTGTATTGCGTGAGATACCAAGGTTATTCATCACTAATTGACTTCGAGATCAGAAGAGGGTACATTTTGCCATTGTGCTGAATATACTAGACGTCACTTAAGCTGATATACTAGTTGGTCTGTGCTTATGACTAACTACTCCACTTTCGGACTTATGCTTGCACCGGCTGCAGTAATTTACTCTCATTCATCAGATCACCATTCTCGTGGTGTGCGTCCTGCACAAGTGCCTTGTGACCGTTCGGGATTTTGCTTGACATGCCATTCGAGTGGCCGTTGGCAGAGCCGTTTGGTTGCCCTTTGCCGAGATTCTTGGGTGACACTACAGTTGGCTCACCAGTATCAGAAGCATCCACATATGCTTCGAGACCATCCCCACTGCGGGGAAAGCCTGCGGTATACTTCTTGTGGTCTTTCAGGACTCGCTGCAGATCTCCCACGGAAAACTCGTTCACGAACTGACATTGGCCCAGAGGACTAGGCACTGCAAGTCGTAGGGCACCATCCCGGGTCTTCAGGATTGCCTCCGTACCCTTCTCGATGGCTACATCATCGTACAACTGATGATCAATACTGAGACCTGCGCGGGAGAAAAGCGTAAGAATGCGTGTGTGATCCTCCTTGGAAAGCATGCCACGATCGTAAGCGAGAGTTGCTGTGTATGCCATGTCGATGCTGATCGCATGGCCGTGGCGAAGGGGTGGTTCAGGCTGAAGTTCGTGGAAAGGTGACCATCTGTTGTAATCAGCACAGTACCTTCGTAATCCCTATCGGAATACCTACGTATGACCATACGCAATGACTCGGTCAAGCATAATCTCATGCAGATTGGGAGTCTCAAGTTTCAACATCTCGTAGATTGCATCGTAACAGATTTCGTCTGCAACCTTGCGAACCTCGGGTCTGCTGCCCTCAAGACGCCCAAATTTGGTGTCGATGAGCTCCTCGCAGTATCTGTCGAGAGAATTAAAAGTCTTCAAGTCAGCGCAGGAGCTGATCTTAATAATCTCCGCAAAACCGTTCCGGACCTGCGCAATGGGAAGCGTCTTCAGAAAGCTGAAGTCAAGGAAAGTCCAGATCGGAGCATGGTAAGCTCCAAGGCGATTCTTGTAGTTTCCGTAATTGACAGCAACTTTGATACTCACACTTGCATCAATCAGCCCAATGAGAGTAGTAGGCACGCGAATAAAGTTGGTTGTGCGCCTGTAGCATGCGCAGGCAAATCCAGCGACGTCAGTCACTAGTCCACCTCCAACGACCAGGACAGGCTCTTTGCGGATGATGCCGAAATTGGTCATGGACTCGACAATCTTCAGAAGAGTCTCGATACTCTTGGCCTTTTCTCCCACAGCCATGGCATGAAATGTGACAGGAATGTTGTAGTGGTCGAAATATTTCTTGATCTCATCTGCGTAGAGCGCTTTCATATTCTCATCTAGAACAGTCAAGACGCGGCCCCATTTCTGGTAACATTCCGCGAGTTGTTTATTCTTGATGTCGAAAACACCCTCAACGAAAGCGAAATCGTAGTTTAGCTTCTCGTAGCCAGCAACGGAAAACCCATTGTCTGTTTTAGTGACAGAAGCTTGCATGTCTGACATGGTGAAAGTATCGATCGAAGTGAGGTGACTGGTAAGGGATGATTCAAGCTGACTGAGGGAAATGGAAACAGCGATTTTGCTGTAGACGTGCAGATCTCAAAACCGACATGCGAGTCTGGTATCAGTAGCTTCAGCAAAGAGTGCGTGGAAAACTGAATGTCCAGAGGGCCATGGAGGAAGCACTCAATATATACGCCAGAATGGTTCCACGTGCAAAGGGGGGACGGGACGAAAAGCTAAGCTCGCTTTGGTGTCCACATGAAAACATGTCCGTGAAATGATGAGGTCTGCTAAAGAGAGGTCGATCATGCAATGAGTGACCCACTTGTGGCACAACAGTGACGTCCACGACATATGCTGATAGTGAGCCAAATACCGTGGTGCATTTCGACATGCTGGTCGACTGGGGAACGCTCCGACTTAATTGTTGTTTAGAAAGCATTTGTCTCTCGATATTTCAAGATTCAGCACTACCATTCACATAATATCCGTGTAAATGTCGACAGCCACCATGGTGACCCAAGACTACAAGCAAAAGGAAGACATATGGGTAATGACTTTAGTGATGCATGCCAGAAATTTGCTGACGTGGTCTCCTAGTTCGACGACGGCCGAGAAGAGCGATTGCTTGAATATGTGAAAGAACATCTGGACCTGGCAGCTTCCAATAAGTCCGAAGAGGTCATTCGTCTCATTGATGAGTTCGGCGTGAACCATCATTATATGATGAATGTCGGAGCTCGAAAGGGACGAATCGTCACTGAAGTCATCACGCAACGCAAGCCGAAGACAATGATAGAGCTTGGGAGTTATATTGGATATTCAACGGTGTTGTTCGCCGCGGCGATGCGGGATGCTGGAGGACAAGAATATATTTCATTTGAACGCGAGCCTAAATTCGCACGCGTTGCGGCCGCGATGGTCGAACTAGCAGGACTGGCCAATCACGTACGATTTGTTATTGGTCCAAGCTCAAATGGTCTCGTGGAAGAGCATAAGGCTGGCCGCTTGAGTCAGGCCGATGTGGTCTTTCTAGATCACTACAAACCAGCATACGTCAAGGACTTGAAGATAATGGAGTCACTTGGGGTGATTCGAGTTAATACTGTCCTGGTAGCGGACAATGTTATTGAGCCAGGTAATCCGACCTACCTAGAGTACGTCAGGAGCACACCAGAGAAAAAGCAGCAGCGCTTAAAGGGGGAAGCAGCCACGTCAGATGATTCGATTGCATTCCCATCTCGCGCAGTTAATCAATATACTAAGGAGTATGCTACTGATAAGACTGAGCTTCCAGGGCTACCAGGCATTGTTTACAAGAGTCGGATTGAGCACAGCCATGAGCCCACAGGAGTGCCAGATGGTATTGAGATAACCGTTTGCTTATCATTACCAAGTCCGAATTAGTATAGGGAAGGTACTCGATACAAAGATCTTTACCCTGCTCACTTGTCACGCTTTGAAGATTTTCGCCGTGCTAACATTGATCTCCTTCCACCTGAGCCCGCAATAAGTTGCCAAAATTAACTCCAAAGGCCAAAACAAATGATTGAGAACAAACCAGGGCAGTGGATCCCACCATACGAATGTTGGATCTCTCCAGGTGCACAAATTACGAATGGCGAGAAGTATCTGCTGAACAAGACTCGACCTATTCACATCAGCTGTACCAAACAGTAAACCCCACAGAGATCCGGCGACCAGTACAACCAGATCATGGGCCATCCAGTAGTAGCCAGATTCTGATTCCGTTGTCGCATGCAATAATTGGCCAGCTGGAACGCGAGTCAAACATTCGAGGTACTTGTCCGCCAATTCCTGCTCGAGTCCCTCGAAGAGAACGGTGGCTGTATGGCATCTCGGATTGCATTCGATTGGGGCTAATGTACCGATGAATCCATTCTCGGTCGATCGATAGCGGACGAGGAAATCGAAGCTCATGTGTCCGGTAATATCGCCGAGTCCGGAAGCGTAGTTAATGGTGAATTCAAGCATCTTATTGTATAATACAGATTTTGTGTCCAACCGCTGGTAGTGCATGAGCACAGATGCACTTGGACACGCGGTGAATGCGCGAACTTCTCCTTTGATGATGAGTGCATGTGTGCAGTACTCTTCCCCACTATCAATGAACTCCTGCAGTATCCATTGACGGCCATTCGAGAAGTCCAGATTGCTCAAAGTCTGCTCAGCGTGTGCCTCATCCTGGAGACTGATAAGCGGAAGAGAGCCTCGACTGGCATCATCCATATTGGCGCTCTTGATCATATATCGTACGTCGAGCTCATCTTTAGTGGTTTTTCGCATCTTCTTAAGCAGAATCCGAATACCATTCAGACTGCTAAGTGCGTACCATTTAACATTGGCTAGCTTTAGCTCAGTGGTCTTCTTCATGAACTCGAACTTGTTGTCTAAGGTTGATACAGTCGATTCGTCGAATTGGAACACCTTGCATTTTGTCTTTCGCTCGATCGCGTTCGCCAACATTGCATCCTCTACCGCAGTTGCGACTCCAGAACAACTGATCCATAGATCTATGCGCTCGAAATTGACGATGTTGACAACCTGGGAGATGTAGGCCTCTATGCCATATACGGCTGGATTCTTCAGAGCAAAAAACTTCCTGATGGACCTGGAAAACCTGCCACAGTAAATATTTCCGTGGCCATCATCAAAGTCACCCGCGACAATGTCACATCCGCCAAGGTACATCGTGCGCGCAAGGAAAAGGCCTTTGGCCATCTTGACGCCTGTAACCAAAATCCGAGGCTGAGATCCGCCAATGTTTCGAACATGTCTTCTTGGAGCCTGCCTAATATGTAGAGTTTGTAGTGCGATTGCGAACAGGGTGATGGTGCCACTAACGGGCAGGAATACACCGCTCAGGATGAGTATCAATATTGTACGACATGAGTGAAGAATGGTTGAGTCTCCGCACTTGAGGTCCATCATATTTGGACAAAGGAGACTTTGGAGGTAAACACACGATCATACCTTTCCTGACGATTGATCAAAAGTACTATGTCCTAAGACGTGCGCTACGAACCCTGTTTACTAGTTGGGGTGACAATGACCCAGACGATAGGAGTCAATTACGTCATGTTTGTCGAGTGCGACTTTCAGTGCTGGGATGCGATAGGAGATGCCGGAAGATTTGACAGGCAAATAATCACTCTTAGCCTCTAGGTTGTGGCGTCCTATGGATGGTGGTGATTAGCACGAGGAAGTTCAACGAAGAAGGTTCCATAGTAGCGCGTTAGCTTTGAGATGCTTGACGGTTTATTAGTGCCTCTAGTTCCTAGTTGGTAAAAGCTGCAGAGAAGAAGTTGATGAGAGAATGGAGCACTGCATGGATACTGAATTTTCAGCCATCCGTATATCCATAGTTACATGGGAAAGCTTGGCGCCCGATGTTCGCCGTGTCACCAACACACACGATTTAGTATAATCGACATTTTTATCTATTACCGCCGTATAATACTTATATAGTACTAAATATTACTAAATATTAGTTCTATATAATTCTTATTATATCTCTATAGCCTTTATATTACTTTATATTATCTATAATACCTCTAAAACTATAAAAAAAGAGTAGTTATATAGAGATATTCTTACGTCTAGCTAGATATATACCCCTATATTTAAAGGCGCTCTAGATAGATATAGGGGAGGTATTAGGGGTCTATAGTACTATATATTAGTTATACTACCTCTTTAATACTATACTATATAGTTATAGATACTATATAAGCGTAGTATAGTAGTAATAGATAAAAATATCGATTATACTAAATCGTGCGTGTTGGTGACACGGGCGAACATCGGGCGCCAAGCTTTCCCATGTAACTATGGATATACGGATCCATAAGCGGGCCCGTGCGTACACACCAAGGTCCAAGATTCGGATCTCACATCCGCATGAATCTCCTACGCCTCTGTCACCGGTAATGACAGCAAATCCTTTTGATACCAACTGAGGCTATTAGATAGCCCTGTATCAATTCAAGGAGCTCATATGTGCGCGTCTGATCTGACCCAGTCCCAGTCTAAGCCCATGGACCCGCTATAGGCTATAGCTTGCTCTTTAGGCACATCTGCCTCTACGCAAAACGAACATTAGGATCAGTAAGCTCTGCACCGTTTCCATCGAAATTCAGAGCGATCGGTCGGCTCACGCAACACGCGGCACACGTAATAACATGGCGTTTCGCTTTCTGTCGGTACTGATACTGGTAATTCCGAAGCCAGCTGCAATTCGCCTGAACATCGAAAAGTTTGCCGAATTGCGTGATAGCCCCATTTTAAATCTGCTCACAATAGACAAATATAATACACCACAGGATGCCAAACAAGGATAACATTGCATTCCCTAGCTCTTCATCTGTCGTAAGTCACTCATAATCAACACTCTCCTCCAGGTCAGCTATATTATTATCGTCTACAGTATCTGGGCTCCGAGGACAGTCGCCATGTCAACTACTTCCTTCGACAATACCGCCATATATCCCCAAAAGCTGTCGCTCTTTAGATCTGTACCTTTCCAGATCCTAGTAGCATGTGGAGTCTCATTCACGGCACCCGGAATGTGGGATGCTCTCGGTGGACTCGGTGCTGGAGGTGCTGCTGAACCATACGCAGTGTCTGCTGCCAATGCTCTCGTGTATGGTTTGTTTTCTGTTGTATGCGTGGCTGCCGGAGCTATCAACAATCGTATCGACCTCAAATACGGACTCGCTTTAGGCGCTATCGGGTACCCACTGTATGGCGCAGGACTGTACACGAACAGTACAGGCACCAACACATGGTTTCTGTTGTTTGGTAGCGCTCTTTGTGGAATTTCTGCTGGGTTCTTTTGGGCAGCTGAAGCAGCAATCATCATTGGATATCCATCACCGTCGGACCGAGCATTCTATCTTGCAATCTGGCAAACAGCAAAGGCTGCTGGCCCCATAGTTGGCGGCGCTATCAATCTAGGGTTGAATGCAAACAGGGAGACGGCAGGCTCCGTTTCGTCTTCTACCTACATCGTATTCATCGTCATAATGTGCCTCGGCTTGCCGATTGCGCTTATGCTCTCTCCAGCCCCAAAGGTTTGGAGAAAAGATGGGAGCAAGATAATCATACACAGAGCTCCTTCATGGGCAGCCGAGTTCAAGGGCATCGGGAATTTGTTAATCAGTCGGCGTATTCTGTTATTACTGCCGGCATTTTTCATTAGCTACTTCTACAACGGGTTCATGAGCACCTGGTTGACAACATACTTCACTGTCCGTGCTAGAGCCTTTTCAAGCTTCTTCACGAACTTTGCCGGAATATTCAGCTCTTTCATTATCGCAGCTCTGCTCGACAATCAAAGAATTCATATCAAGACACGAGCTCGCGTCGCATTCATCGCAATAGTAGCTATCCTCATTGGAACATGGATATGGGCAACAATTCTACAAAGGCAGAACTACGATACGTCAACCCCGCCGGTATTTGACTGGTTCCAGGGAGGTTTCGGAAAAAGCTATGCCTTGATATTCTTCTGGCAATTTGGTGGACAAGCATTCCAGCAGTTCTTATATTGGCTTGTCGGGCAATATGCGACGTCACTGTCGAGCTTAAGCCACCATACTGGTATACTCAGAGGTGTAGAAGCTCTAGGGCAGACTGTTGCTTGGGCGTAAGTGATGGAAAACAAAACAAATCCCTCGAGATTTCCAAGCTAATGGATGCTTTGCAGAATGCAATCGGAGGGTAATGCCAATCATTTCGTAAGTATCGGACTAAACTTTGGTATCACGGTAGTATGTATCATTCCGACCTGGATTGTCCTTTCTGAGCTCGAGTACAGCCATGAAGGGACAGGGGATGATGGTCCCGGGGACTCAGGAATACTAAAAGATGCCGATGAGTCATGACAAGGGCTGGGTAACTATATATTGTCTTTAAAGTTGTTATCTATCTTCCATCCTCACTGTATATGCCGAATGTATTTCTCGAAAGAATTTTCAACTCCGTTGAATACGGTCTCTGGTGACTTCTTGCTTTCGTCCTTTACTTCTCACTCAATTTTTTAGAATCGCAGAGCCGAATGTAAGCTTGAATCTACAGCCTAGCACCCGGATAGGTAGAACGGAAGCTAAGCACTTAGGTGCATGGATGCATATGCATGGCTTCGAGCTAACTTTCGACACATAAATGAGCCGTGACCTAATCACTGTCACTCTCAGCCTTCCGACTGTCGATTTAGAATCTTCCTAGTTTAATCATTGAGTCGATTATATATCGCCAGTAATCATGAAAGGCTTCGAGCCACTTTACCAGGCCAGTAACCAGCCAACACCCAAAATCAACACACCAATAACACCACATCCAGCTAATCGCACATGCACAAGCGCAGACCACAGCTACCCAGCCCTTCAACCCATTTTCACTCCTACCCGGTCTCCTCACTCTCGCGCCTCTCTCAAACATCGCTCACCGTACTGCCATTCAAGGCGTCTCCCCACTCGACGCGTTGATCCTGGCCCCCGGCCTGCACCTTCAACAAACAGCCACCGAACTACATAAAGCTGAGTACCCAGCCTGCGCAGCTCTCACCACAGGCTATGTCTTCCGCGTCGAGAACCCCGCCACCGTCTTCTTCCTCCAACGCATCGGCCGCACCGGGCATCTGATTGACCTGGACGTCTCTGCGACATCTCCTTCGCGGACCCTGCCGGCTTCTAGGAACGCAATCGCATCTCTGGCCTACTACGCCGCAGCAGGAGTCACTACCTATTCTGCGTACCGCCTCTATGCGCTCAAAGATCCCTGGGCAATGGTGTTCCTGTCCAATCTCATCCTCACGCGGGTAGTCAACTTCGTCTCGTTGCGCCGGCGCTCGGAACTAGGCTGGTTCGGAGCGCCGGAACCAGGCGTACGGAGTGATATCCTTGTTCTACTCTCCCAGGACCGCTGGATTCGTATCCGTGGCGCGACAGATGATGTCAAAGGGCTGTTGTCTGGCACGTGGCTGAGGGAGCCCACGACTGGGGAGAAGTTCTTTGGCGCCGTTACGAAGTTGCTTGCGTATGCGAATGTAGCTGTTGCGGGTTATGCTACGACGGCTGGCGTTGCCACGCTGATGTCTATGTTGCTTGTGAACGGCGGCTTGTTGGCGTTGGATGGGCTGCGAGACTGGCCGCTATGTATGTATGGGAGAACAATGGGACAAGTTGGCGAGGCGAAGAGATATTTTCGGAGGAGAGATCTGGCGGAAGAGCTGATCAAGGAGACTGGACGAGACGATTGGGCTGTTGGCATGGGAATGATAGTCAAGAAGAACGAGACGGTACTAGTAACCATGTAGCGAGCTATGGCTAGCTGTATAAAACATATCGAATCATCGTCATGATAATTTCGGTTGAAAATTTGATATCAGCATTCAAACTCTGATGAGGACCCACTGGCGCACAAAAGTGCTTACGTCCTATCCAGATCCTCTCCATTTCTTGTTGTACGACCTGCAGATCTCTAGGACTTCAGTTCGTCTATAGAGCTACTGTGTAGTTTGCATTTATACAGGTTGATGAAAAATGTTACTATATCATATCTTCAATAATGTGTATGAAGACCATATAAACTTTTCACGGCATATATCTGTAGAACAGAGACTAGAAAGCTGGTAAGTACTACTGGATGCTAATGGCACTGTATGAGAAAAGAACAAAGTGCTCTCTTGGAAGTTGGCTTAGTTGTCGTTGTGCGCGAGGGATCGCTTGACATAGGAGGAACGATCTGATACTCCATATTAGCAGATTTGACATTGAAATAGCCGTATCACCGGTCTAAGCGGTTGACAATAAAGTGGCTCTCTGAAAGCTAACTCAATAGCTCGATGATACTGACTGAGTAGAAATTTGTGTGTCTGCAAAGTCAAGTGACCGGATAATGATATTGATGAATGATAGATAGACTGCCAGAACGCTCCAGGTCTCGAAATATCGAGTATTTATCGCCCTTGAACCGAATTCGATGGAAGGACCACAGATTCTTGTATCCCTGGTGCTATCGAAGTCGGCTCTCGTGTTTCATCAGCAGCGAGCGTTGCAGCACCGTGTTAGAACTTATAGCTCGATTGAAGTATATGTCCCCGGCCTTGAAGGGACCAATGCGACATCTGTCCGGGCTCCCTTCGAAGGCGGAGCGAACGATATCTCTGACTTCTCCTATTCCATCAACGTCGATCATAAACACAGAATCCCAGGGTGTGTGGGTCCAGAGCAGCTCAAGAAGTTCGATGAACCTACGCTCCCACTCATTGACACCTTTTTGCTGCTTGTTTTCGAATCCGACGACAGCGCGATCTGCATGTGGGTTGACGACGATCATGTCGATCCTCTTGACGTTAGTGAGTATCTTCTTTAGCCTCCAATTGGCCTCTCCACACTCAGTGCTAACAACGTCGTTTACATCAACAATGAAAAGTAGCCTCGTGATCCTCGGCCAGACCCCAGGTGTCATCCACAGTACAGGAATATCGCGATTCAATGAACTAAGCTTGAGGGAGAAAGGTCGGCAGTATAGGACGTCCAGAACCTCGTTGCTGATGCGCTTGTTCGTGCGCAGAATAGAAAGGCCACCTTTGCCACTGTCCTTAGGTTCACGATTCAGATGTACTTCCTCATATCGTGATCCAATGTCGCCGGCATCTATGGAGTCGAGATTCGTCGCCAAGTGCGCCAGTAGATGTTCGTATATGAGGATCCGAAGTTCTAGCGACAATCGGAAGAGAGGGCATGTGGTATTGGTGTTCTTTGAAAGATTCTCGGATGTGACCGGTAACGCAAATTCCGAGACATACGAGGTCTTGCACGAGTCTGAGGGAGAAAGAAGATTGTGGGATAAGCCTGACAGCGAGCGTGAGGTGCTGAAGTGACGCTCAACGTGGAGACCCTGATGGAACATCCTAGCGGGCTGGCGGCGATGGCGATGGCGATAGCGATGGTTGTGATGTAGTAATGTAGGCACGACGTTGATAACACTGGATTGCGTGAGGACAAATAGAGTCTGGGGATGCGAGCGGGGTAAAAGTAAGCGTTCCCTCTAGCGGTTGGAGGCTGGTGATATCTGCCTGAGGTGGTTGTTATGTATTTCAGCCACAGTACGTCCCGTATTAGTTAACAAGAACTCTGGTAGCACTGTACATCGATCAGAAAAATATTGGTAAGATGAAATGTTTGTTTCTGTGCCGTTACTACAGTGCGTAGATGTAAGGTGTTGTGATGCGCTCGAGGACCTCTCTGCTCAGTGCTCGTGGGATAGAGTTGGCACGTCTCTGGAAAATTCGCGTCTGATACGCCCGTGGCGGTTCAGATGTGCCCTTTTGTTTTGACTTTTTGCTGGGGCGAGATTGTGTGCCTGAGGCTGAAAGTTGAGAGGCCTTTTGTATTTTATGTAAAAGCTGGGGAATCATCGGTCACCGGGATTCAATAGACACTCTTATTCGGCTAGGCGATCGTAGGGGATCGAGAGTGATGAACGTCCGGATTCAGATTTGCCCTTCGGTATGTTGTTTCTCTTTTATTTTTTGGCTCCTGCTTCTATATTGGTGCCTGAGGCCGAAACTGCAAATGAGCACCTACCCTTTAGGTTTAGGTTGTCGTAGGGTATCGAGAGAGTATGACAAGACGCACTGGTAGACAGGATAGATAGCCTTATCTACCATATCCGCTCTCTGTTCTCGAGTAGATCCTATGGCAGAGTGCTGTCCTGATCCACATAACGGACGACCTCGAATACATTTTCTTGGAGCAGGGGTACATTCGATGCTTCTCTATGCCTAAGCCTGTAAGTTCGGAAGATTTGGGTTTTGTACAGATCTGAGATTTCGAAGCGTCCTGGAATTGGTCGTATTCAATTCTATTCGGACCAGGAGATGACTGTAGACCTCCCATCGGAGTTTCTAGAGGCAGGAGTAGAGGATTATTACAAGGTCTTGTTGAATCGGAACTCCCCGCCTGACATATGTCATATGTTGCTCTCGACACTTCGGAGGAATTTCATGGAATAAAACAATGAGCCTATGTAGTGATTGTAAGTAGGAATACCGAATACCTTCGCAGAGCCAGCGGTACAGAGGATAAGTTGCGGACAGCATTGGAAGTAGAGTCTTGATATAAACCGCATCTTTGTCTACCTGATAGGTAGTACTGACTTTTCCATAAAATGTCCGGATTCACAATGCGTAAGCCAGTCGCATCGTATATGCATGTCATGGGAACCCAATCTCTTGATCCAATTGCTTTAACGGTAATGTTGTGCAGGCATTACTTGTATAACATCGTTCATCGAACTATTGCGTCTCTAGAGGACACGATACAGCCAGCCTCGCAATCGGGAATCGTTGTGCTGTTGTAAACCAATTGAGCTACATCCCTCCCTGGCTCAGTGGCTGGATCGCTCGGGATCTGAAATATCTTCCCGTTGACGGGAGCAGTCACTGTTTCCAAAACATCTCCCCAAGCATTGCGTACGATCGCCACTTCCTGCCCTGCTACGACATCGTCCATGAGTTGTACTAAAGTTTCGACGAATCCACCATACTTGCTGGGCAGAGAATGAAAGACGTTGCCAATGTACGTCTTGCTTAGGTCTGCAACATAAGGTGTAGTCCCGTTACCGGGAAGCATATTCAAATCAACCATCAGACGATCGATGAAGTCGCCGGCTCGCTTGATAAAGGGCTTGTACCACACCTTCGCTGCCCCGAGCTCCAGAGTAATCGCAGGCACACCGTACTCGACAAATGTGGTCTCAATACTGCCAGGTTCTCCTTGATCGATCTTTAAAACATCGGGCTGGGCCAGCTCTGCCATGCGCTGCACATATGGAGCGCGGACATCACTGTAAACCCACATTGGCGCAGACGAGCCTGTGCTTGAAGTATGTATGTCGACAGCTACATCGACACTGGAGGTATTGCCCCAGAGATTGTTCCAGATAATGAATGCAAGTCCATCTGGACCACTCGACCCTTCATCCGGATCCTCGCCTGGGAATACACGATTGACATTGGTCAAAGTACCAGAGCCTGAGGCTGTGTAGTAGTTGCGTTGACTCAGGTAATTCCCAGTTGGATTTACTGTTGGTATTCCGATGACTACGCCACATGTTAGTGATTCGAAAGTAAAGGACCGATATACAGCTCATACCTGTGCCATTGAGATGTGGGACTATTTCCTCGAGCCGTACAAGTAGCTCTTGTGCAACACGTACAGGACTCAACTCATCACCATGAATCGACGCGGATATAGAGAGCTTCTTGCCCGTCTTCAAAGTTTCTGGGCCTCCGCGGGCGACGAACACTGGGAGTTGCATATCCCACCCACCACTCACACTGGGAACACGCAGATAGTAACGTGTGACGGCGTTGGATGGTACATCCTCAAGTGACAAATGAGTTATGACCTGTGCACCATGTAGGATATCGCCAGTGAAGTTCGTTTGCGCGAAAGCCAGTTGAACCGCGAATGAAAGCGCAAGCACCGTAAGGAAGCTCCGCATGTTGAAGCAAGGCGTGGTTGCGAGGTTGGATGACGGGAAGGAAGCATCATCACTTATAACCCCAAGCATCGTGGGTGAAAACTGGGCTTATCCGAGTTCAGCAGTCCAGCTGTCTCCACCGACATGCCTCTTTCGGTTATTCCCAGCTCTTATCAAGAAGACAACATCTTGGCGCACTTGGCGATCTACGTTCAAGATCGTGATCGCAAGCATTACGTTCAAAGGACTGGATGTCGCTCAATCACCGGTCATAAAACAGCTGGAAAGACGCGACTCAGCTGATACATGTGCATGATCTCTGATGTACGAAGGAGGAAAGTCGTGATGTGATCGTGGCTATTTCTATACCTATCTGAGCGCCATGACGCCAAGAAATCTAGAGTGGAGCAAACACGTACAGTACACGACACATACTTCTTGGCTCCATTGCGCCGCAGAACTTCAGTCATTTATTTCTCCTTCGTGACAATTCTGCACTCTTGTCCTATAGCCAGAAAGCTCATCGGTATCGATTACATGACCAATAATCCGCAAGATTGTAGATGCATTACAGTCCATCTGAACACCGCTTCGCATCCACACGAGGCTAACTTGACGGTCTATGCCTCAACATCCTTGTAATAGACATCTCGTCTCGGCCAGGCGCACATCTTCATAGCATGGTCCATCAATGTCCCTTTACCGCCCCAGGTCTCATCAGCAAACTCTGCCATTGCATCCAGACCGTTGAGTAAAGTTCCTGTCGTCCATAGTTTTCCATCTCGATGGAAGCGTTTCCGAACCCAGGTCGTTTCAGGAGCCGTGGCCTCAAGTTGAGACAAAATCGGGAGCGGGCAAGTCGCCGTCTTACCTTTGAGCAAGCCTGCCTGCATTGGGGTCATCATGCCTCCGCACACTGCGATGAAGGCGGAGCAGTCTGAGTATGCCTTCCTGATGAAATTCAATTCGGCCTCAGTGGGAGTATAGGCAAATTCACATGCGCCCATGACGACAATGTCCAATGGTGGACAGGTCTCAAAACTGTCCTGCTAGTACATCAATACACTACGCGAGCATATGATTGAGACGACTATACCGTGGCTTGGAGTGTCAAGTTGGGGGACAGCTTTCCAGCTCCACCGGTTTCATTTACCCAATGGATTTCTACTTCCAGGGCTTGAGCTTTGTGCTCATCAGAGTAAATTTCCTCCGGAAACTTTTCGACATTCTTCTTGTCGATACTCCCGAGCAGGTCCACCACTCCGATGTCGAGTAGTTCAGTCACGCTGCTACTCGTCAATAACGCACGGCCTAGTCGAACGGGGTTCGCACCTGTTCATAAGAACAACCCCGGCATGAATCTTCCGACCGGGCTTTGAAAGACTGAAGGTAGTGTGTTCCGACATTTTGATCAAGTAAGATTCGTGAAAACTGTATAGCAGATGCTCTGGCCCATGTTAAACATGGTAGGAGGGAGCGTTGCAGCCTTTATATGCTAGGTCTCATGCAGACCGATCACAATCCCTGGAAAGCTGGATGCCTGATATTCCATCTCGAAAGCTGTGTGATCTGCTTGATCGGACGCAAATTTCTGAAATATTGAGGAAGTTGCTGGCCTCAGAGAGCCGGGACGGCATACAGGCTATGGCCCGGGCCCGTGGAATACGTTTTATGGTGTGTTCCTTGGCATCACTCGGGAAGCTAACATCGCGTGAAACTGTGCCAAGAAGAACTTCCCAAATTGCAAACGCATATCGCCCTCAACCGGCTCATAGCAGCCCACCGGACCGTGGCTGGACGCGGACAATATATCATGATGCTGCCGCCTTGCATTCTTGGACATCGTGTTGGTCCGGTAAACACTTTACGGATTTAAAGGCTCTGTCATGGAGCCGAGTCTGACTCCTGATGAAGAACGCCATGCTTCGCGTGTCTCAAAGGCATGCCAAAGATGCCGATCATTGAAGGCACGATGCCTACCTAGTGACCAGGAAGGAATCTGTCAACGGTGGGTGCCCACAGACAACACAACATTCACCAATACTGAATGTAATCTCAGATGTTACAAGTCTAGGAGGGAATGTGTTTGGACTGATGCGCAGCAAAGAGTAAGAAAAGCGCGGGCGCCGTCGTGAGTGTCACCAGTCACAAGCCTACGGTTCTACTGTCGTCCCTCAATATTCACAATCCAGGCGAATTTCTCAAGTCGAACAAAAGATAGACGGCCTCGTGGCTCGCATCACCGAAAGGAATGTTGCCGAATATCCTTCCCCTGCAGCCACGTCCTCAGGTGAACCCTCGACACCTGCAGCTCTGCGTCCTGATCGCACTCCAGTTCTGCAAGCTTCTAGGACTTTGCGCCATGCTCGGAATGAATCAGAGAATGATAAGGGATCCGAACCACCTATTTCCTTACCTGATCTATCCAATATGCACTCTTTTGGCATCAGTGCAGATGTGCCAAAGCCAACGAACCCTCACGCAAAGATGCCCAGAAAGCAAGACGATCGGCTCAGACAGGGCATCCTCGCACATGCTGATGCAGAGATGCTCCTCGAGGAGTACCGGGCTATGGCTCCTTCATTTCCTTTCGTTCCAGTCTCATCGAGTGTATCGATTGAGGACCTTCGATCGCAGAAGCCCATGTTGTTATTCGCAATCATGACTGCTGCTTCACGGAAGAACCGAGCTCTTCAGCAAGTATTGGAGAAGCGCTTTCGACAAGAAATTGCGCTTAGAACTATTGTGCAACCTGCGAAGGATATTACGCTCCTTCAGAGTATCCTCGTATACTTGGCTTGGTATGTTTCCCACAACTCAGCATTCGTCTCGGTATGCTGACAAGCCTAGGTACCATTACTACCTGGACTATGCGCTGGAGAACGGCGCTACCATCCCACATCTATGCATGAGTCTTACAATAGAGCTACGTCTCGACCCGGGCTTCAGCGCACATATGCTTGGCGGGTCGAAGGGAATGCCACTCACGAAGAGCGGCGCTGAATTGCGAGAAGAACAGCGGACTCTACTTGGCTGCTACTTCCTGTGTTCTATGTGAGACATTTGATCGGCCTTTGCCATATGAGCATATCTGACCGACGTAGTATTGCAAGCGGCTACCAGCGGCCAAACACGTTCAAGCGTTCTCGGTATATGTTTGAAAGTGCCCAGGAGTTATCTGCAGACAAGGAGCTGGAGGCTGACCATCTACTCGCACCTCTCGTGGAATCACGCCATATAGACGACGAGATATACGCCGCGTTCCATGGAGAAACACCCCTTCCGAGTGATCAGATAGCCACCCAGGTATACGCCTGGCAAACAAAACTCCAAGCCTGGAAAACCGAGCTACAGCACACCAACCACAGACGTGCGTAGAAATACACACACCATCCTCCGCCCAATTTCAAAATACTGACTCTCACAATCCAGTCCTCAGCCTCACCATCCACCCCATCGAGGCAAACCTCTCCCTCGCCCTCCTCCACTCCCACTCCGACCCAACCCCAACCCTCCAAGCCTGCAAATCCCACCTCGACACACTCCTCTCCACACCCGCTGAATCCTACCCACTCCTCTCCTACCCCGAATGGACCACCCTACCACACACCATCATGACGCTCGCAACGCTCTGCATCCCCAGCAGCACGCATCCCCCCGACTGGCTCGCCGCACAAGCCCACGACCGCGTGCGTCTCGACCTCTACCTCGAGGCTCTCTGCTTCAGAGCCCAGTCCTGCTCGGTCTACTGCCCGCCCGACAGGCCTGACGTCGACTACTGGGCCGCTCTCAAGACCGTGCTTGTTGCTGTCGGGCGCTGGTACAAGAAGATGGTGGACGCGGCCGGGGCGCGCGATGTGCCGTTTCGTTGTCCGGGCCGCTTTATGGCCGGGCGTGTGGCTGCGCGGGCGTCGTCGCAGCATGTGAATGCGGGTGATGCTCTTGCAGATACACACCCGGGTTTGAGTATGCACGACGCGGATCTCTTTGCGGATATGGATCTGTGGATCGACTCGGGGGATTTCCTAGGCCTTGGCGATGTAATTTAGCAAGTCTGAGACGGAGACATACTATCTCAGGCAGGGTGTGTGCAGTAATCAGTCGTAACAATCTTGGATATAAGGGAAAATCTATGAATCAAGAATACTATATATTGACCTTTGCGATATTCTTATACCGAGCTTGAGGAGGTTATCGATATATAGGAAAATAGTATATACATAATTTGTATCCTCAAGATACTTTCCTTAGACCTGACAGTCTACACTCTATACATGTCGTACTAAGATACTCTAGGACCTAGCGTGTTACCTCCTATCTGGTAGAATACCACAAGTACTAATTAGTATTACTATTTCTTATGCACCAAGCACTATAATGTATACCTCAATCTATAAATAAGACCCACATCCAAGTCCTAAAAATTATAGAGTATAACCCAGATTATAAAAACGATAACCAAGCTCTAGCTAGCTAGCTAATACATGAACTATACAAAATCCACGCTCCTCAGGCCGCTGCACCCCCAACATCCCTCCTTAACACATCCAACAGCCTTCTCTCATCCACCACCTCCTCCGCCTCACGCACGCTCCCATCTACTTGAGCGCCCCTATCCTCTGCCCCCGCAAACATCTCATCTGCCTCGCGCCGCACCTTTTCCAGCTGCTGCAAATAGTCGCTTTCCAGCACGTATCCGCTGGGAAGCGCGTCTGGTGGCTGTAGCAGTGCGTAGATGGTTGGATACTCGAGAATGGTACGGGACGCGAGGAGGGTGTGGAGGGTTGATGTGCGGTCGAGGGGGATCAGGATGGTGTCGGTGCCAAAGGTGTGCGGCCGGTGCAGGTAGAAGTGGTGGTGTTTGTCAGTCGAGACGGGTTTTTTCTGGGGCGCAGATGATGGCGTTCGTGTTTGTGCTTGCGATGTGGTGGTATTCGAGCCGTTGGTGTCTGTAGATGGCGAGTCTGAGATTGCCGTCGAGTCCTGCGCGTCGTGCGGCTGCGGCTGGTCTTCATGTCTATTTTCAGCACACAGGCTTGATTCATCTGCTGCTCCGTCTACCTGTGCGAAGACCTTCCTCCGCCGCTTTCGACTCTCCGGCTGCGGCGGTGCGCCATCCTCCCCGCGTGCACGCTTGTTCCGCAGCTCGCGAAAGTGCTGGAAATACGCCTCTGCCAGCGGTCTCGTGTCACGCACGTCATGATCCAGCGATTTCGAAGCATCATCATGCACCCACTCCACCGTCCAGATGAACACTCTATCCCTACCCACCCACCACACATCAGCCACAACGCTCACCAGTAAAACGAGAACAAGAAACTCACTTCTTCACCCACCGCGTCCGATTCGCCCGCTGCCTCGCCATGCCCACAGGCGCCTTATGCACCACCACGCGCGTCTCCGCTATCCTCTCCACAAACCTCTCTCCTCGCGCCTTCGCATTCGGTACTCCACTACTCGCCTTCGCCCTCTCCTCCCGTCTCCGGTCCACATCATCCTCCATCCGCCCAACACCCCTCTCGATTCCGGACAGGAAGTTGTAGTCGTGGTCCACGCCCGCCGGCGTGGCGATCTTGCTGCGCGGTACAAAAGCGGTTGGGTCGCGCACGCCGGAGCACGTGGCGCGCTGCTTGTGTTTCTTGCAGCAGGGCAGCGAGCACGTGCGGGTGGCGCAGCGCGGACAGGTGTATTTGGGGATGCTGGTGTGGCAGATGGTGCAGAGATCGCTGAGTAGTGGTTCGGATGAGACCATGACTACTACAGTGCTGGACTGCGAGCTGAGAGACGGATGTTTAATGTAAAGCGCGTTGATGGGTGGGCCGTTTGTGTGTTGCGCGCGCTGGGATTGGAGTCAATGCGAGAGATATAGGACCCTGCGGATATTTTTTGAGTATATTAATGTTGTTGATAAACTGTTACAAAGGCGTGGATGTCAAAGGATAAAATTATATTGGGGCTTGACGTCACGTGGTGAAATCTCAGGGTTCATAGCGGACTCGATAGCTAGCGTGTTTTATGGGGTTAGTGGATCCGAGTCAATATACGCTAACCTGTTTCATACCCATCCCCCATCGTAAACCAGATCCCAAGGTCATTATAACAACATGACATTAAAAAAAGAGCGATAACTGCATTTAGTATGTATCAGCAGCATATAGCGAACTTGCATACGGATTAGCACATCCGTAGCCTCGACATCTAGCGCAAAGCCAGTCACAACAAGCAACGAACAATATTTCGCAGCACACAACTCGATATATATGGCACTTCCAAAGCAAAGCATGACTACTCTTCCGCTCTCCCTCTCTTCCTCTACCATTCGTGTCCTCTCCGACCTGGAAATTACAAAATCCCAAACATTCCATCTGAAACAATACGCCGAAGTCTCAGCCCAACCAAAACTATCTCGCGTGTCCCCAAAACAAAGTCCGACTCAATCATCCTCGCGGCAAGTCAGAAAATCAGAATATTCCTACTTTCCTAGAAGGCCAAAAAAGACATAATCGCGTCCATCGGGTTGTGTGCGCCGCCGTGAGGCAGTTCCTATCTAGTCCTTGTTTCCCACTGCGAAAGAAAATCGTCCCCCTATCCGTCGCTAAGCCGATACAGCTACAAAGTCCCACTTCAGTTGCTGATTGTATTCCATTCCTCTCTCTTCAAGCCCCTCCGGCTCCGGGCTCAGACAAATTCGGCAGGTAGTTGTGTCAGATTGCGAACAAGATTGCACGAACTACCAATAACAAGCAAAGATCAGGACCAGAACTGTACAAGATAGCTAAGGAAGATATAAAGGGCTTCGTAGAACGTAGTAAACCCCAAGAGTATAAACAATCTTGGTAGACTTTTGCGATCAGCCGGATCGGCTCGATCGGAGAGTTTCTTCGAATGTAAGAAGTTGCATTGACAGCCTTTATCCTGGTGGTCGAGCTGGATCTCCAGTTCTATTACTGGGTATCGAGAGTGTAGATGAACGTGTTTGGTGGTATATGACGCATAGTTGAGAAAATCGGGCACGTGCTGAATCTGAGAATGCGACAGAAGACAAGTAACGCCCGCTCGCTAAATAGATCGACGAAAGGGATGAAATGATTCCAGCGTAGAATTCGAAATGGTCATGAACAGTCGTTTCAGTAGTATGTGTCAAGATTGGAGAAGATCATATAATGTTAGTCGTCAGTAGACACATCGGACCAGAAATGTATCAGATCATATTCGGGGGAGCAGCGCCCCATTGAAGGTAGTCAGGAGGCATGTTGGCTCGAATCTCTTTTGGCCCTCTGACGTAGCCAATGGAGGGCTGTTGCTGTTCCAGAGACTGACCGTGTGAGAATGCAGGGAGGAGTGGCTGTATGTCGCTGATACTCTCAGAGGAGGAGCTCTTCCCATGGGAAACGCTGCCCCGCCGGTGGAGATCCATGGGTGGGATGCTCTCGTAGGGAGAATGGTGATGAGGGTCGACAGGAGGCGACTTGTTCTGCGAGCGCGAGGCACTGCGCATACGTTCAGTCACTCCTCGAAGTCGACTGCCGATGCTTTCACTGACACTGCCACGACCACGTCGGTGACCATTGACAGGGGACGTGGTTGTGACGGGAGCTTGAAGTACTGGAGGCGGTGGCGGTGGGATATCCGAAATAGGCATCACATTCCCATTCATCTCATCAATAGCAATATTGATCACACCCGAGCCAAGTGTTGATGGCGAGTTGCTGTTTGGAAACATAGGCGGTGGAGGTGGAGGGGGTGGTGTGGAGAGATGGCGAAGCTCTGGAAGCATTGGCGGTGTGGTAGGTCCACCTTCAATGACAATAATTTGATTATCACCGCTAATGGTCTCGTCTATGCTGGCTCGAATGGTTGGGCTAATGCGATTGGCATTAGCAATGGCCGCTGCAGCTCCACTGGAGATCCGGCGTGAATGGGGATTGCCAAATTGTGCACTGTAGTGGCCATGTGTGGGACTGTTCTTTTCGATAGGGGCAGACATAGTCAAGGTCCGAGACGGCGGCTTTGTCACAGGTTGACCGTATGTGGTTGAAGGCAGGAGTGGCGCCAGGTCGTCGCCGGGTACAGCAGGCGGCTGCTCTCCAAGAGGGCTTCTTTGCATATTGCTTGGGATCTGGGGTACATCTGGAACATCTCGGTCCTGGTCTTGACTCATGTAACGAGGATGCCGCATAGCCCTTGGAGTTGCGGGAAGGCCTATCGGTGTGGATGGAGTAGAGTGGCCGAATGTAGTCTTTGGAGGACCTTTGTACCGACCAGCAAACTCTGGTTCGGCTGTTTGACTTCGAGGTACCCGGTCAGCATAGGAGAAAGATGGAAGAGCAGAGGTTGGGCTATTTCCAAATTCATTGTTGCTGTTCGCGCGCTCCATGATAGGTCTTGCAAAATCTCCTGGCAAAGGAATCACAGGAGCGGATGGCCGGCGTGCCAAAGACAAACGCCGTTCTTCTAGCTCACGTTGAGCCTGCTCTTTCCTAGCTTGGACTGATGAATCAACAGTGAAGTCTGTAGTAAGCCTGGGCAATGCAGTAGTGCTGCTGTTCTTGAACGTCGTAGGAGGAAGTATTCCATCTGGCGACGTTGGGGCAGTCTCACGACGTCGACTTTGCTCTCTTGTGCCTGGCCGACGGCTGGAGGATCGCTCTCGTGGTACTCGGCGGTCTGGCGATCTCTCTCTACGCGAACTGGTACCACGCTCGCCAGGTCGTTGGCTTCTGCTTCGCTGCCGTAGTCGTCTCTCGGTGTCCGCTACTGCACCGTCCTTTAAATCCTCTTCATCTTCACGATAGAATTGTGCCTGAGATGACATTGGTAGTGGCGAGGAGGGCGATCTTGCATGCGAGGTTTCCAGGATCAGCGTTCGGCCCCTTATATCACTAGGAGCCCCTCTATCGGTACTACGCTGTCTACTACGGTTACGGCTTGCAGTCCTACTCGATGCTTTGATTCGATCGGGCGATCTGGCTTTCCTAGACATTTTCGATGACGCTCGAACTGAGCTGGAATCAGCAGCTTTGCTGCGACTGCGCACGCGTCCAGTTCTCGAACTCTTCGACTCTGTTGGTGACGTGACCTTGTAATACTGCTCAGCATCGAATGTCTCAGCCTGCGACGAGAACAGATGCGCGTCGTCAGGAGACATTGACACTGGAGAAGATGGAGACCTCTTCGCAGGTTTGATGTACTTGACTCCTGCTGCTCGTCCGCGGGACTCGGAAGCTTGTCGACTGCGACTGGTTGGCTCACGGCTCGTACCGCGTTTCCGACTTTCAGCCCGCTGCTGTCGAGCATGATGACTAGCCTCATCTAAGCTGCTGATATACTGATCAATGCTTCGGATCTTGGCACTTTTCAGACTTCCTCCCATGCTGTGGCCAGTAAGTGGCGGGCTGGGTTCATTCGCGATGGATCGGACTGAAGAGGGATGAGCTTCCCTAATCACCATGTCACCCATATCTAGGTGCAAATCGCCTGGCTTTCTGCTGCGAGACCCATTTCTGGAGCGCGACTCCTGCAGAGCAGTGAACACACCGACAGCAGGAGATGGCAACGATGTCCCAGTACTGGCCGTAGATTTGGTGGGATCATAAGCAACAGCACTCAATAGAAATGGCTCCTTTGCGCTACTTGAAGCGCTCCGCCTGTGCAATGGAATCTCAATTTCGATTCCCTTCTGGTTCTCAATTGCTGTCTGAGGGGTTTGTCGACGCGTTGGAGGCACGATTGGGGTAGGCTCTACAGAAGTGCTTCTGTCCACATCCGAACGGGACGGGTAACGCTTTCGTCTGGTGTACGATCCGGGAGTGGCAGTGCGAGCGGAGGACGGCTCTCTCATGCCACGAGCTTGTCGAGCCCATGGTGTGGCACCTCCGGGAGAGATGGCCGATTCAGCGATAGGTGTGATACCAAGGTTCATAGGTGTCATCTCATCAGTTGTAGATCGCTGTCCGGCGCCTCCGCCGGGATTGAAGCTGGTGATAAGCTTAAGCGACGAGTTCTTCATGCGGCTTGGCATGCCTGCAGACGGTGGTGAGAGAGGAGGGCTAAGCTGGGATCCCAACACCGACTCCTTCTGTGCATGAAATACAGCATCTTGAGCGGCAGGTGAGAACCATGGTTCCGCTGACTCCAAACTTGTGCACGAAAAGCAGCGGACTGCCAACTCTGGTTGCTTATGTGCAACCGCGACCTCACCCCATTTTCGAACCAGATAAGATTGTCGTTGCCAATCGTTGGGAAACATGAGGCATGTCAAGAGAACTGCTTCCAGGTAGTACCTACGAGACACATAGACCTCGATTGCATCGTTCTGTTCTCCAAGGCCAAGGAGGATCGCAGCGGCTGGATGGATATCCCCTTTCTCTAAGAGACGCTGAGTGAAAGCTTGACCGACCTTCTTCTGAGAATCTGCACCCATAGCGCTTAGGGCTAGTAGCATCCAGTCTGAAGAAGACATGGATTCAGAACCGATCATAGATGCCATGATGTCTGAGCCATCGTCACCCAGCCACTTGGAAAGTAAAATCGCACTTGCGGATCCGGCCTTGTGACGTGCGACTAAAATCAGTTAGTAAGTACATCACCGAAAGCGAGCCATGGAGATCTTACGTTGATCACGAATCAGTGCCTCCACCGTGTCATCCCAGCCGAAGACGACAGATATCATTTGCTGTCTCATTTCGTCCACTGTTCTCTCAGAGCTGTAGGTAGGCGTCTGGTATGGTACCTCCGATAAGCGTGCTTTCACAAATGGGAAGAGATCAACATGAGTTTGGGGCTCTTCCCGCATCTTTTGGTATTCTCTCCGGAGCGAGGAAGGTTTATACGCGGAAGATGAGGCAGCTGAAGAGGTAGATCTGATAGATATACTCTCGTGACCAGAACGCTTCGAAGAGCCTACAGAAAATATTGTTCCTGTGCTTTCACTCGAAGTGGCCGACAGTCTCGTCGATGAAGGCTTATCATACCTGTATCTCCTCCGAGCGCCACCTGACGATCTTGAACTCATTGACGCTCTGCTTGAGGTTGGACTAAGGGGCCCAACACGATCACGGCGCTCTTCTTCTAGCTGATCCATTTCTTGAGCTATCCTTTGGAGTGGTGACATTGTACCAGCTTCATTCTCACTACTCGTGGTATCACCATAGGGGGCCGATGCACCCGAAGTCTCCGATTGGCTTGACAGCTCTGAAGAGGTGTCCTGCGGAATCGGCGGCTGCTGCTGACGCGCCTTGAGCTCATCTATTGAGTTGGGCGGAGAAGGAGGCGTATTTGCGGGAACATGCTGTACATTCTGTACTAGTTGGGGAGTTCCGTTCGGATTAATGTCATATTGTTGTACCGTATGATTACGACCAAGCGTAAACAACGTTGCTGTTGGTCCATAGTTTGTAATTCCCACTATATCAGGGATGGTAGGCACAGTGTCAAATGAGACTCTTTTCGTTCTGACATCCCACGCGTATGTTTGGCTATGTTACGTCAGTTGCTTGTTGGCTTGTGGTCTGAGCGTCCCGCGCCCAGTGCCATGGTATGGAAGCCGCGCCGCAACGGGATCTAGGAGAGGAACTTACCCTTCGGAATACTGTACAATGCGCCCAGTCTTTGACCAGTTGAACCAAACAGGACCACTTTCTCGAACTTCGGTTTTGCAGAGAACGCGAATTACACATGGAGGATCTCCTGCATGCGGAGCTTTAGGAACGCTCCAAACTCGTAAATCTCCATCCTGAGTCTGGGTCGCAAGCATCTCCGATTTCTGCCTAGATGATGATCCGTGCCAAGACAGGCCTATGATGGGTGATGGTGATCTCGGCGTGGTTAGTGTGTGCAGGATGGTAAAAGCGGGCTGAAGGGTGGCAATCAGGATTGATCCGTTGAGGTATCTAAAACAGTCAGCATCACACGGTGGTACTGCATAATCGTTGACTGATAGGCTTACCCGATAGCGAATGTACGGCAATCCGCGACCGGTGCCAAAGCAGTGATGGGGTCGAAAATAGTTCGCGCGGACACATGCTCTGACGTCGAGGGCTCAAAGAGTATAACGTTTCCTTGTGAATTGCCTTGTGGAATTATGAGTTTGAAGTCAAGGCTTTGAGGGGAGAATAGGTCTTACCGAATGCGACGTTGCCGTTACGCATCCATGCCGCCACCCGGATATGCTCATAGGAGGCGAACCGGGCCACTTCGTCGCCAGTCAAGAGGTCCCATACGATGGCTGTGTTTCCAGTATCGTAGCTCACGACCAAGCGGCCGGCGCCTCTCTCACTGATGTTGTCAACATATATCCACACGACGTCTTCACGGTGACCTGTGAATCTCCGCTCGATTGCCAATGTATCATGGTGGAGACAGAGGATTACGTTTCTTTGGGCGTAGAGGAAGAAGGAAGCTGTCGCAGCGCTCGGTTCAAAGCCGACGTCGTCCTGCTTTGGCGTGATGCTCGGGGCAGGCGGAGGAATTAGATTTGCCGACTTGTTTGAGCTCCGCGAGGCCGAACGCTGTCGCGAGGACAGAGGAGCAGTCGACATATCGCCCGGATGATAGCAATTTTATTGAACTGTCAATCGGGCAACAGTCTTATGGCGAGGGGCATGAAGCCGTGGGGAGGAGATGGCAGTCCGGGAATAGGTCGACGCAGAAGAAGAAGAGGGGATGCCAGCGAATTCTAATGGAATACCTAGACCTAGTACAGTGAACCCTGGGCAGAGCGCTAGAGACAGGGGAGTTGTGGGTTGCGGAGTGAGGTCTCTCTTGGGGTCCCGTCAAACGGTACGGCGAATAGTAGGCGGTCTGGGTAAGCCCATAAATTGAGCACTGGGGTACCTGAGTAGAATGGGCACAAGCTGCATGCGCGCGTCCGGAGAAAATGAGAGGAAGCGAGTACAGAGTAAGAGAGCTGCAGGCGAGTACAAAGAGGAGTAGACGCGGAGGAGAAGGGTGTAGAAGAAAGCAATGGGAAAGGTAACGGTTGAAGCTCTGTCTGCTCAGGCTGGCGAACAGGGTCCTTGAGGCCGATGAGGTCGAATCAAGAGCCGGCGCTTAGAATGGCAGATCTAGTTTAAAAGGTGGACAGCCAGCCGCGGATGGCATTGGGGGAACGAGGCAGCATGACTACTGACTAGTCTAAGCCGAGCAGTGGGATTGGGATGATGCCGTCCGGCACCAGCAGAGATGAGGCGCTCAAACGGCCGGGGTTGCACGGCTCGAGTGAATCAAGCTTGTAGGACTGGCCAACAGTGGCTTGTACATGTGCTCTCGCATGCGGTAAAGCGCGGTGGAATTATACAGGCCTTTTCGCCTAGCTCGGCCACACGGCGGAGGGGAATGATAGACGACAATGCGTGGCGAGTGGGAGCAGCGAATGAAAGCCGAGGCCAAGGTATAATGGTTAGATAATAGAACATTCATTCAATACACGCAGTAACCAGCAGTTGGAGAGAGGTCGCACAGACGAAGGTGCCTGCATCATCTTTACTGTGGGTTGTTAACGTGGAGTGGAGAGATATATTTGGGGGGGAGGGGGGGAGGGTAGGGGGTTAGGGAGGGATAACTAGGGTGGAAGTTAAGATGCAGCATGCATGATGGCAGTGAGAATAGCAATAGTAGCAGTAGCAGAGTGGCAGTGATAGAGAGACAGTGACATTTCATGTTAGTTTGTGGAGAGATTGTGTAGAGATAGACAAGCAGTAAGAAGATGTTAAAGTGTCAAAGGGCAGATAGTGCGTGTTTGGGCGTTTGGTGCTAGAGCAGCAGGACAAGCGCTCCGGCTCGCGATTGGGCGGATGCGCGTGCCTTCCCGAATCACACATTCACTTTCCAAGGCCCAATCACCAATCACCGTGCGCAGGTCCGTCCCGCACAATGACAAGCATCCTTCGGCTCCATCGCGCCTTCCCTCTTCCGTCCGCCCTCCCACAGTCTCTTCTCTGATTGGCCAGATGTCCAACACCCGTCATTACATACCAACCTAGCTATACCCTTTCATCATCATACCATTTTCGCACTTGAAGGCAAATCCCAAGCAATTTCCCACGAGGAACTGCTGCAAGTGTGCTGTGCCTCCCATAGTCTGAGCCTTGCTTTATTTATAGCCCATCGTAAAACAGTTCGATCAATCCAGGCACGCCAGCCTTAATCTCGATTCCTAACATCTCGTCGGTGGCGCCTCTAGATGCCAGATGCCGATACAAGAACTCACCATCTAACAAGATGGTGAGAGGTGTTCGGGTCTCACGGTGGTAAAATCATCAGGCCAAGTATCGACATGTACCAGCACTGCACGGCGTCCCATCACTCAGCATTGTGATCCACTGCCTTCCATGCTCTCCAACACTCCAGTTGGCCGCCTGCAAACCGACCGCCAGTCTCACACATTGCTACTACGCATGCGCATGACGTCCCGCCAGTGTTGCGCGAGTTTTGACAGGCTGGGGTTCGACATGCTGAAATGCATCACTCGGCCATTCGGGCTGCTCTGTTCAACATTCGCTTGCGACCTCCTTGCACTCTGCTGCTTCGAGAATCCTGTGTCGGCATTGCGCAGGATCCATCGGTCACTTGACCTGGCTCTTTGAGCGTCCTCGCAATGTGACTGGGCGTCGATGGCGATATGTTGATATTAGCACCGGATCAAAACACGAAAGCCCTGACCATCACCGTGTCACAGCTACATAAGTATATCCATCCAAGACTGTTGGGACAGCCACGACACGTGCCCTAATACTGGCCTTGCATCTTGCAGCATCCTCCACGTCGTGTGCACGCCTTTTACTACTTCTAGCAACGCCTCGTTGCCTCGCTGTGGCAATGTTGGGCAGCTGCCAGAAATAGCTTCCTCAATAGTGCGGACAAAGCATCGTCAAGCTGCTCGTCAAGTAGACTGTACAACAAACGCTTAGATAGCTGCAGCATGCTGGTCGATTGGCCACGACATGTCCGACTCGTCCTGTCGGCGACTCATGCAACCATCAGGTGAGAATATAGCAAGCTTTCACTTCGACCCTTGCACGAAGCACCGGACCCTGGACATATAAACCTAATCTGTATCTATCTCGACAATTTGCCGGTTCCTTATATTATACAGGACAGGACAGGACAGGACACAGGACAGGACCACTTCTTTTATTTGTCAAAGGACCCATACATAGTACAGTCATTGTTACAATTTTGCTCTTTCAATTGCAAACGGCACCAGCACGAACTCCCGTCATCTTCACAATTCAATCACATCCTTCGTCACAGTCGAACCGAGAGCATGGCGCAGCAGTCCCTGCACTGCAGCTACTCATGCTTTCCCCTCACCATTTGAACAACACAGCATATCGACACCACGTCTCTGGTCCGAGTCCCACCATTCACACACGACCCAAGCCGCAGTTCACCGTCGTTTTTCCTCCCTCTTCTCCCCCGTAATCATCAATGTAACACTAAAATCCGAGCGGAACGCACGTTGCAGATCATTGCGCTGGGTTGCGGGTGTTGCGCGCTTCCAGTACCATATTACTCTCCCTCGTCCCGTCCAACCGCCCGCAGGACCAACCGCACCAGCAAGGATATGCCCCCAAGGACAACACCTCTACGCCGCTGTCTTCTCCTTTCGCCCTGGTCAACCATTTTTATCACCTTCTCCTTCCCTCTCTCTCTCTCTCTTTCTCTCGCCGCGTCTGTCTCTATCTAAGCGCTGTCAATCAACAATTAACGCTGCCCAGATGACAGAACCGCGCAGCCCTGCAATACTGACGTCGCCTTCTCCAGTTATTTTTTTAAACTCCTTGTTGTAGTTTGCCTGAAACTGGCCTGCGCCTCGCCCGACTGCATGAGCATGAGCATGAACATGACTCATGAGCAAGGAAGAACCACGACAGCAAACACAAAAGGGACGGTCCGCTATTTTCATTATTCTCGACAAGCCTGCGGCTGGTACCAGGAAAGTGCTCGAGTAAGTAGTTCGTGTGTGTGTGTTTTGCGCAGGTCGGTCTGCATCTGCATCTGCATCCGCATCCGTGTATATGTCTGTGTGTGTGTGTGATTGCGACCGCGCAAATCCGAATCACATCGTGATCCATCCAGCCATCCCCCGCCATCTCGCTTACGCCAGCAGCACTAAACCCGTTGCTGGTCGACGTAATATGTATTTGACTTTTCGTTGCTGTCGATTCCTCATACCGTTACCGTTCGCGCGATCACCATCAATCCATTCCCGACTTTCATCCGCGCATCTGTCAACCGTTTAGCCCCATCTATTATGTCGCTGCTTCCCCCTCCAAGCCGTCCCGGGCTCGCTCTTTCCCCGTAGCGTCGCCGCTTCCCGCCAACTCACAACAATACAACCTACCGTTCCATAGAACCCTTCGCTTGTTTCGGCTGGATCCCCGTCTTACATCGTCACCTCACCACTGCCTTCCTTCTCTGGAGACCCTGTGTATATATTCTCCGATCTGAGCTGCTGGCAAGTGCGACCACCGCGGACAATATATCCTAATGTAACAGTAGCAGTGCCCGTCGCGTCGCGTGGCGCGCGAAGACAGTGCTAAATTGAAAGAAAAAAAGCCTGTCATGGCCTTGGCAAGCCCATCCCTATTACCATGGGATGGATGATAAGCAGAGAAAACCAAGGCAAGGTAAGCAGACTAAGATAACTGTAATGAGTAAGTATGTAGTTGAGTCGTCGACACATACACACTCTCTCTCTCTCTCCGCGGCCCGCTCGCTGTCTAGCCCTAGCAGCCCCTCCCTTACCTGACCTGACCGTGTGCCCGGTTTTATCACACTTTCTCAATCACAGATAGCCGATATGATGTGATGGAGGCTTGTGATTGCGGTGTTTGGGCTGCATGTTCGTGGGTCGCGGTTGTGATGGTGGTGGTGGTGATCTTGGGTCATCATGGTGGTGGTGGTGCTACTGTATTTGGGTATTGCGGTGGGGGCGGGAACTCGGAGCTTCGTCGGTGGTGTGGTGTGGTGTAGATGGAGCTGGTAACTGTAGTGACAGGACATTGGTCTGGGGACACAGGTCCGGAGTTCAACCACGGCCGGGAGGACAGTAGAGTGTCCCGAGATTAATGTCCTGTTTAGTACTTACTGCAGGTAATATGGCTAGACTCGTATCGATCAGTCTGGCGATGCGTCTTTGTGACATGTTGGATACAGCACAGAAGATCTTGGTCGCGGCAAGGATACTTACTGCCCATGATCGAATATTAAATTGTATATAAGTCTGTTTCTTAACATTTGCTCTATTGCTATATGTCTCTGTCTATGGATTTGGATCTATTATCTCTAGCCATCTTACATCATACTCTAGTGTTTGGTTAATACATGTTGACTATTATACGCATAGATATATACATTGTCATCTACGAGTCCTTGCATACGAATTGATATATTATAACGTCTTTGTCAGGTACCTTCACTATCTAGCACTTTATTGTTTCTTTACATAGGCATCTATTAGCGAAATAATCTCATAACATAGAACATGGTAATTAAGCTATAGATCGTCTATATGTTTAGTTACATGGTAGTACCAAGATTGCTTTGCTTATCTAGGTAGTACTTCCTTGTTCTTACTAACTACTAAAGTATAGACTCCTTCGTTATACTAATAGTAGCATTATCGTAGTTGTACTCGCTACCTTATAGTCTTTACTTAATATGGAAAAAATTCCCATCGTTCGCTTTTACAACTCTAGTAGAGATTTTTAGGCATAGACACTTTTTCAAAGATAATTCTATTGTTTACCTCTCCGTAGAGCTACTTAAGTAAACGTTCGATACCTATACAGATAGATTTATACTATGAGATACGATAGACTAAAAGCGTTTCATCGGTACACGAAATGTCCCGATTGATGCCTTTAGGTATAGCTACACATAGCCTATATATAGGAGTTCGGTACAAAGCGCGGTAAAGTCTTACCCTTAATCAAGAGACACACGATACCGCTGTTGTATTTGGACTTTACGGAGCAGACATAATAACCAAATGGTTTGATATATGGTATATAGCTAAGCATTTTATAATCTTACTAAGTAGGCTACCTTAATACTATGAATACTAAATAAGAATCTACTTGCGGAGTTATCAATCAGCTATTAGACTTTCTATATATGTAAGATATAAAGTTAGACTAGAGCACTTCTACTTATCTATTAGGGTAAGTCTAAGAAGAGCATACCTCTTATTCTTCTTGCTAGATAGGCGATCTAGTATATAGTGAGCGTTATAAAGTACATAAGCCAACGAAATCTATGCCGGTCACCTAATATCTCTATACTTTCTGCTTAATTCTTCTTCTCTACCTTTAGATCTACTACATTTAACTCCTGTATCTCTGTGCCTCTATTGATATGTCTATCTTGTTCTCTTAGTAATCCATTTATAAGTGAGTGAGTATCTATGATCTACTAATAGACACACTTCCTAGTAGGTACAAAAGAACGGAGACGTCTCATAGTCGAATCAGTCAGTCTGTCCGTCACTCAACATTCCTTTAGTCCCTGATGAGACGTATAAGACTTCACAAACATTGAGATTTAGCTTGACGGCACGTATAATGCAGACTTATTGAAACTAGTGCGAAAATCTTCGTCTGGAGGGAAATACTTCACATGCAAGGACATTTTTGAGTTGATCTGCGTCTTTGCTTGACTGCATAGAGTGCTATGGCCCGTTTCTTAGAAGATAGTACGCTAGAGTGAATTACAAGCGGTGACGTTGAGACTGGCCGTGAGCAGTGGATGACGACATTGTTTGCGTCAGTAATCATACCGATCGCGGCAGAGCGAGATGGGGCGTTATTAGACGGTGAGGAAGGGGCAGGAGGGAGAAGATGTACCGTGTGTTGTGCTTGAGGATGAAGACATACGGTTGAAAATGAAGAGCGTACGCATGTGGTCCGCAAAGACTGAGATCAGTCCACGTGCGTGGAAGCACCTTTTCGGTGAATACCTTCGTCTTTGGTGCTTGAAGTCCCGCCCGCTGACCCCTCACATCTGGTAGACATTCTTCGATGCGCCTCTCTGGTCAGTGCATGCCCGTGCAAGTAAGGATGGAGGAGATGGCAGGCAGATACAGTCCCCAGAGTACTTCTTCATGGTCAAATCGTTCGTTCTATCTAAACTTATTAACCGTACTAGCCAAGTCTCTCATTTGTAGCGAGTCGCGTCATGACTCTTGGGAAACGGCGACCTCAATCGCATCTAAGACCTGTGATGAAGTCTCAAAATGGCCCATCCAGCATTTTTCGATCACATCGCCAAGCATAATGTCAGCGGTAGGTGGGAAGATGTCTTGTCGAAAAAGAGCCTCGATAGAATCGCTGTCCTCAATATCTTCATACACCAGCGTACCAGTCGAGATTTCATACAGCAGACTTCCAATAGCAAACGTTTCTGTAGCAGCGGTTACGTCCCATCGGTCTGCGACGTTCTGTTTCCAGTAACGGGACTCCGGGAGAACGCTAGCTGACAGATCGCCCAGCGCAGACCCAGCAAAGTCGTGCAACAACAAAGACAGATCATCGGCAACAAGTATGTTTTTGGCACTCACGTCGCCTTGCAGGACACCCTTGGAATGGATATACACCAGGCTGCTCACGGCCGCTCTCGCCCAGCGCATCCTCATGGACGAATCAATCTCCCCCTTTCGCGTCCTCAGATACGTCCGGAGGCTTCCGTTCTTCATATAAGGGAATATAAGCCCTTCGGCGGAGATCTCGAGACAAGGCAGAATCCCTTCATGGGAGCCGAGATGCCGGTATATTTCCGCCTCGCGCGATATAAGCATGGCTGAATCCTCTTCCAGGTATCTCATTCTCTCTGTCGTCTTTTCGTCACAGCCCTCGCAAGAGAACAATGACGGAGATTTGAGCACGGTGCGGCCATCTTCGGACAGGTGGACTCTCGAATTACATCCTCGTTCTGGAAGATCTAGCCGATGAGTACCGGTGGGGCGAACCACGATCGGTAGGCCTTTGTTCGATTGACCTATAGACATTGTGGATGAAGGCGTTGAGGTACCTATTGATTTAGTACGTGGAAGTTGAATCCATAAAGCGTTGAACAAGTCTCAACAGGAAAGCCATACCACTTGATACGCCGCACTAATCCGCACTGAGTCTAGCGTAACAACTCCCTACTCAAGTATGTAATGATTTAACGACCAAGAGACGGGCATACAATGACACATTGATACCGTCGCTATAAGACCTACCTGGACTAAGGTTATTTGTGGTACAGGATATTACCTAAACCATGATATAGCTAGAAACAATTACTAGTAACATAATACTACTAGAGACAGACTACTCATAACATAATATTACTAGAAACAAGGTATCATTAAAAACACGTATTTACCAGAGATACAATAATGCTAAAAACACGCTGTTCTTAAGCCAAGGTCCCTGTAGTCTAGTAACACATATATATAGTTGTATGTAACCTCTTGATCGACGCCTAATCTGCATTACATCTAGTTGATACTTAAGGCTAACCCATCCGAAGAAGAAGTACAGATATAGGACTATTATTAGTTTCTGACCTTTTCATGCTATGGTACATTTACTACTACGGCCACACTAGCCTAAGCTACAACAACGCATGACAAGTACCAACCCTATCGCAAGACTAATTCCACCAACAACAACAACAACAACAACAACAATAAGATCAACCCAGAACCACCAACAGCCCTAACACATACAGAGTCGAAACCACCCCCGCAGGCAGCTACGACTTCGAATTCCTCATCTTTCAAAGCTTCATTTTAGTACAGCATATCACGTTCACACTTCACTACCACCCTCATGTCCTACTCCCCCTTAACCGCACGTACACAAACACCCTACCAATACAAAGTCCACCACCAACCCCACACATACTCTCAATACGAATCTGAGACCTTCCAGCCAAGGGTTATCATCTCAAGACCTTGCGTATCTCAAACGCCATACTAAAACGAGAGCGGTAGATCTTATTCAGACAGATATCGACATTGGGTTGTACGTAGGATAGTAACCGACGACTTCTATTCTATCGTCATGCAAAACGCCATCTAATTTCCCCATCTTCAAACATGTGTTTCAAAAGCTACGGAAAAGGACTGTTAGTGAGCGACGATGACACGATATAGGTAGGGGGAAATAATGCGAGAGAGTAAAACACAACCGGAAATCCAAACAACCCTCCAAAACACTCTCACGCACACAATAAATTACATACACTGCTATATTATAACAAGCCACCTTACCACCACCTGCCTTGACTACCATACCAGACCAGAACAATAAAACTCCTAGATTTTTCTCCGATAAACAACTTAGCACGAGAAGCAGCACCAGTCCAATGATCCCACCCTGAGTTAGTAACATACACATCCTAGAAGTACACACACACACACACACACACACACACACACACAAACCTAGTAGAACCCCCCTTTTCGATCGAAAAAACAACAACAACAACAATACCGATTCTCGACCTTTGGGACTCATGACCATCTAAATTCCAAAATAAAAGAAAATACGAAACGACGTAACCTCTCACGATAAATTGCAGAGAATTAACCCCCCCCCCCAAAAAAAAAAAAAGAAAGAAAGAATTATATTACCTCCAAATCTCTGCCCTCTAGCTCTACGCCCCCCAAATCCCGACTTCATCTAAGAACAAATATCCGATAACCCAAGCCAAAACATTCCACGTGTAGAAAGAACGGTAGTCAGCAGTCAGCAGTCAGTAGTCAAGTCGCAGCAGTAAGTATCCTTACCATCCAGACTTTTAGATTCCTAAATTTGTCAATTCGCAGATTCGCAGGTTTAACAGATTCGCAGGTTTACAGATTCGCAGATTTACAGATTCGCAGGTTTACAGATTCGCAAGTTTAACAGATTCATCAATCCACCCAATTAAACATGAAACGCATTCATCGCCAGACACGTTATATCACAGCGTTACACCACATATATTATATCAATATCATCCCATCTACACACAACTCACCTACTCACCATCAACCTTTCAACATGCCCATACATACCTACCTACCTACCTCTCTACCCATACATCAACCCCACCCATCCGAACCCACGCATCCATCACAATCTACGAGGGGAACAGTAGCCCTACTTTCAGACCGGTAAACCGTATACAGCAAGGCAGATTGCAAAGTGTACAATTACAGTCCAAGGGAGGAGGAGGCGGGGAACATTAGTCTGTGCTGTGGACACATTCTGCTGTCTGAATTGTGTCTGGATTGGCTTTGGCTTTGGAAAATGACTGGGTGGGTCGGTGGAAGGATATTGGGCTGCTGTTTGACATGGAAAGTAGGATAAAGTGATTGATAGATAGAGGCTACAATGTTGCGAGGAGTTGGTGGAAAAATGTTGGAAGAATGGATATTGATTGAACTCATTCTGAGTTGGGGAAGAGGAAGATCGGTAACGTGTTAGTTCTACTTTCGATTATATTCTTCTGTTTCTATCTTCAAAAGGCTATAGATTGAACTGTTAGCTTACGAGGATTAATCGTACGATTCACATATATGGAAAGTGGTACGAGTTATTGCAGTTGGGTACCGGTGAAAGAAGTAAATGCTCTTTGCAGACGTTGGTCTTTTCAGCTGGGTACCGGTGAATAGAGTAATGCTGGTCGCAGAGTTTGGTCTTCCAGCTGGGTTCTGGTGAATAGAGGAATGCTGGTTGCAGAATTTGATGAGCGGAGGGTACGTATGCACTCTGCAGCCTCAGTAATGGTGCTGAGATCTGAGTAAGTCAGGCGAGCTACGCACCACGCAGCGGACGGGAATCACACGTGAAACCTGCAACTGTCAATCACTGCATAAAAATCACCTGGAGGTACCTGTCGATAGTCCTGCGTTCATCACACAAAGCGTGAGAATGGAACATCGATTGGTGCCCAAAACCATGAAAGTGATTGATGAACAGCAGCCCCATATTTCTGCAACGCAGGCGTCAGCGCAAAGCGTGGCCAGGCTCCAATAGGACTTCCAGGACTTGTCTAGATGAGGATCTTCAAGCTGAGGAGAGAACGTGTCGACAAAGTTCCAGGTGATACGTACCAAAGACCTGGATGTATTGCATGGCCTGACCAACGGGCAAAAGTCGTTTCGGCCTCGTCACGAGTACAAATGCAGCCGCACAACGTAGCTACTATGGGATCGGCGCATCGGGTAGCCGTCTGTTTTCCCACCTACACATGACAATGGACATGGTCTCAAGGTCGAGTGCTCGACTGCGCAAGTGTCGCTCGGTGCATCTTCCGAAGAGTCGTCTGCTGGGTACGGTCCTAATGATCTCTAATTCTTTACCCGATCATCTGAATGCGTTTTATATGATGACAGGCTTCACACATCATTATATCCAGCATTCATGTCTGATTATGCGGGGTCTGAGGCTATCAGCCTGGTTCTGTATTAGCATGTCAACGACCAAGCCCACCACTACTAGCCACGTGAAGAGGAGAACCAAGGCGCTGTGGGTACTTGTCGCTACCACAAATTGTTGTAGTGGTGCTTGATGACTTTGTGGCGAGGTTTGTGGCAGTGTTATGATATAATCCGTCCCGTGCGCGAACATCAAAAGTGAACGTGCACCGCCCATACCCCGAAATATGGTCACAGCATATTCCTGGAAGTCTGTGGCTTGTGGCTGTTGCCTCGCGTCGACGGCACCGGTCGAAGAGGTGTAAGCAGGCCTTGCCGCCGTGAATATATATCGGTAGCGTATATCGCGGCTAGGACGGTCCTGAGTCTTAGCCAAAGAAGTCTACCGGCTTTGCCCCCATAACCTGAAAAGGACCTATGAGTCCCAAAGTGTAATCCAGACACTGGCATGCTCACAACATCTTGACTGGAATTTATTCTTTGTCGCGGAGTGCTTCATCATACTCGTCTCGAGCTACGAAATGAACTGTTTCGAGTCAGAATACCGCCGAGTTCGAGCCGTTAAGGTTTTTGAGTTTGGGGGAAGCAGAAAGTGAGAATCGGTGGCTCTACGGCGAGGAAGGGCCGAGCCAGGTAGAGCTGAATGAGAAGAGAGAAGAATGCAAGTTTTTGACCCTGGCTGAACGATAGTTGTGTTCTTCGCATAACTCGCGCATAGGGGTTCGAAGGTTTGAAGTTGGAGGGTAGTGCTGTGGACCCTGAACGCTGCCATGAACGGCCCGCAACGAATGAGAACGGTTCCCGCAAGGATTACCGTTAAAGTCATGGCTGAGGCTGGAAGTCGTACATTGGATGGCGTGACATGCCCGGCCGTGATGGCTAGCATTTTGGCCAATTGGGAGTGTAAAGGAACCAGAAACCCTTACATTTTCCAAATCCGAACCGACGCGATTCGTGCCGGCCATGCTGGAGATCGAGATGCGGAACATAGAACGATCATTGCACCGTAACGGGCCTATTCGATTCAACCCAGTTTACTCTCAATTGGACAACCATACCCCAGTATACTGTGCTTGTAACCAGACAAACTAAGTAGACGTTGCGAGCTAAGGTATGAAAAGCAAGAGCACAGCAGGTGTGCTCTCGTGTCGAGTGATTTGAGAGCACTGAGAGCGTGGAACGGGAGGACAGCCAGGCTGCAAAGTTCTCCGTCCGTCACTTCAACAGGTTTTCGGGAAATGATTAATTACCCCACATCTATGAACGCCACATCGAGCGCCAGTTGACGACTCCTAAGGACTGCGACCTATGTTGACTATATCGAGTCGAGGGTTGAAGCTCTTCGAAGTTTAGCTATCCCAGGCGCGAACACATGCGAGTAGATGGACTCGCATGAAAAGATAGCGGCGGTAACGTGCCTTGCTACCGAGCGCGATTAGCTGAACAGCAACGGTGCATGAGCTCAGTCGATGTCATGTAGACAGCGCGAGAGACTCGTAGCATTCAAGTCGACGCTTCATCTTCAGACAGCGAGACGCGACGTCATTGTTTGCACGTAATTGAAATGCTTCTTGACGGCAAGATGAAGCTTTATAGCGGAGGAAGAATGACAGCGAGCCCAGAACGGTGCTCGTCCGAGAGCTTAGGGATTTCCAAGTGTCAGCAGCACCAGAACCAAGCTCCTTCCCGAAAGTCCAAAGGCCACTGGTCGTGAATAGTATGCTCGGCGGTGGATCCGCGCTGACCGATTACCAGTGCATTGGAAGCTGAACCCAGTTCAGCGATCAACCAAGCATCATTTAGGACTCGTTTCTATAGCTTCGCTTACGCAGTCGCACTTGGTCGGGATGTCCCTTGAAGAAGTTAGGAGTCCGATAGGTTCGGCTCGAAAAGATGGACGAGCCGGGCAGGCCAGCGGAAGCGCTCCAGGAGCAAACGGTGGACCCTATTGGAGCATGGAATTGGAAGATGGAGAATGCCGCATAGGCATGTTGCTTTGTGTAGGTAGGCAGTTCCGCCAGTACGTTGCGACCAACTGAGGAAGGTTTAGTCTCGGTGCAAGCGCAAGCCATCCTCTAGTCGGCCCGACAGGGACGTGTCAAGGGTGAGTGACGGCCAGCGTTTGACTGTGGCGGTTCTAGACTTTCATTAAGGGCTCCAGAATCGTGCGACAGGCGCAGCGTTAGAGGTTGAAGACGGCGCCATACGTTTTTGCGAGAACATATGACGCTCTGGCACTCTTCTGAACGAGTCTGTTAGCCACAACGTAATGATGTCAGTCTGAAGAAACTGCACCTAACGGAGCTTGAACCTCTGGGAGAGTTCTCCAGATTAGTTACGGTGTGTGAAGTTGGAGGGCTTGGGTGTGAATAGATGCAACTAGGTTCGACAGGTTTGCAGCTACTGCAGTTGGCTTGTCAAGCTGCTGTCAACTAACCAGGAGCGTTTTGGGATGTGGTGACGGCTCGTTGGCAAGGCGATAGACTTGTTTTTTTGACAGATTGTGTGATCAGGATGGGCTGAGTCACAGAGCAGCCGGGACGTGATAGCTTTAATGATTAGGTACAACGAGGACGTCATAAGTCGGTGTTGGGTTGACGGAAGTTGGACGCGGCACTAATTAATTACAGTATTAGACGAGAGGTGACAACGGTCTGTACGGGCGGGCGGTCAAGTCAGGAGCACCCGCCACAGCTGCCCTGCATGAAAAGTTTCCAAATCGAGATATAGAGAGAGACATAGTGGATGAATATCGAATATGTTGAACAATCTCCAGGCTATCTCCTAGCTTTGAGACTGTTGGAAGGAGGCAGACAGAGGCAGACAGGCGAGTAAGATGGCAGTTGAGTGTCATTCAGCACGGGAGGAGTTGAGGGCTTGGCTGTGAGAATGAGAGAAACAATCTTCGATCGCATTGAACAGATCGGTGATGGGATGGACAGATAGCAGGTGACTGAATGGGGTGCGGCACAGGGGGGCCTCCAAGCCTCCAAGCCTCCAAGGCCTTCCAAGGGGTACCTCTGCCGCAGTGTCTTTTTGGGGGAGACGGGAAGTGACGTCGTGGGCAGCAAGTTGAGGCAAGTTGGAGGATTCAGTTAGTAGGGTTAGTAGGGTAGGGAGAGGCAGAAGGGATTGAAGCAATAGGGAAAAGGCATAGCTGAGCCTTATTGAGCATGGACTACTGTGGGGGATCGAACGTTTTGCAGGCTGATCGAGAATTCTTCGACAACGCTACTGTATGTGCCACGTTGGTGGTGCAGGGCAAATCCCATCTTCTGCCCCCCCGCCAGCCGCCGCCGAGCTCCTCCAAAGAAGAAGGGAGGGGGAGGGGGGGATTGGGGAGAGGAGAGAGACCACCACGCGTGCTGTGGGCTGTGGCTGACGGCGGGGTGCTGCTGCTGCTGCTACTGCTGGCACAGTACGTACAGTGACAGTGAGCTGCGAGTGCTTAATAGCAATGCTAAACAAACAAACAGACAGACAGACAGACAGACCCTTTGCGAAACCCTGCCAGCCATCCATAATAATACATACTGTAATGGCCCTTGACAGTAGTAATTATTAGCACTGTAGTAGGTAATTACTGCTACCAGCTACTGTCGCTACTCCTGCTCCTGCTCCTGCTCCTGCGTACTGCTTGCTGCTTACCCTAACGTGCTGCTGGCTGCTGAGCTGCTGCTGAGTCCGCTCCAGTAACATCTGCCATACGCGCCTTGATATCTCCTGCTTTTTGTCCCTAGTTTGTGCTTGTTGGAGGCTTCGTCGACCTGACTGCGATGTGGTGGTAGTAGTGGCCGGTAACGTAACCGAGACGAGGATCGCGTCAGTCACTGACAGTCAGCCCGTGTGCAGCTTAATTAATTAGTCTTTTGATCTTTCGCCGCTCTTTTGAAACAGAACGGTGTTGTTTAATAGAAATTCTGGCCAGGCTGGCTTGCTGTCGCCTCAAACATCGTGCGCTAATACCGCCATGAGGATCTGCGGAGAATCCCGTGTGTAGTCCTCCAAAGTCGCTCCTTCAACACGCCAGCACGACAACTCTGATGCTTCTGATAAGAGGACAAGAGGATTCGAGATAGTCAGAAGATAAAAGAAACAACCAAACTTTCTTACCCTCTAGCTGATGTCTTGTGAGCTGCAAAGACAGCTGAGCACACCGAACTGATCTTACCCCGCGTACACAATCCTACAGAGCTGGCATCTCTATCGATCCAGGCGAGACATCCGATGCACCAGTAGTCATAATTACCCTTCATACAGCAATGCACCTGTGAAAAGTGAATCATATTCAGGCAGTGTGAATAGGCTGCTGGGATTGCACTTCGGCAGATAAGATGCCCTCACCAGACACGAGCGGGAGACAGGGAGCTGCCTGAACTGCTGGAACTGCTGGAACTGTAAACAAGTCAAGTAAAACGCAGAGGGACAGCGTGCATGGTTCAAGCAAATCTGCTCCCCGGCAGGCTGCGGAAGACGTCTGAGGGGGCCTGTAACCTTGGTCTACCACGAGGAATAATGTTACTGTGCTTCATTGATTTCAACATTGGTACTTGGGATTTCAGTAAATTCCGTGACGACATCCTATCAGCCTAGCGGAACATGTTCAACAAATATATCTCTTTTTGTTTTCCGCCTAGACACAACACCCCAACACCAAAAGTCGGGTTCACGATGGCACACAGAGATGGAGCCAGCTGGCTAGAGAGCCAGGCCAGCGATGCCATTCTCTACATAATTACTAGTAGCACGGTAGTACAGTATACAGGAGTGACTGCTAAGAGTCATGGTGCCTGCTCAACGTTTGTTGTGTATCGACTTCTCAGAGAGGGGATGCCAAAGCAAAAGGGCACCAGGGTGGATTACCATGAACCGCCGAAGCAATCGAGGGGGGTGGCATTTGCCCGTGGGATTTGGCCATGGCATGAGGGAAAATGGCCTGCAGCGCTGCAGAAAAAGCATCCATCCTCCTATGCCGTATTCCGCTTTCCTGGCAATTCCAGACGATGGCGTTGGCTGCACGTACTCCGAGGAAAGTTTTTTGCCAAACACACAACCACCCCCTCCC